AAAAAAAAAAAAAAAGGAAAAAAAAAAAAAAGAAAAAAAAAAACCCCTAACCCTAACCCTAACCCTAACCCTAACCCTAACCCTAACCCTAACCCTAACCCTAACCCTAACCCTAACCCTGCTTGCGAACATCTGGGGTAGCGATCGCGTAGTCGATCGTCGAGTATAACCTGCTAGTCACCAAGGTGGCAGTCGCAGAATCATTCTTGGTGACCTGAGTTGGTCGAGTAACCGCATCTCCGAGCGATCCATCATCATTGAGTACGGACGCCTGGAAATCCTCGCAGAATTTAAGAAAGTTGCGACCTGCCGAGTTCAATGTTGTGTCGCATGCACGCGGGTTCAATGTCTGGCCGATACGGCAGTTGTAGTCGCCGAGAATCAGAAAGTCTTGTTTCAGCACAGCCTCATCGTGTAATATCTGTAGAGCTGGGCGCCCCAAAAGCTCCAGATTGCGAGCGGAGTCTTGCGGTTGGTAGGTGAACCCAATCTGCGTATTGTTGATTGACAGCCAGATCCTGTCAATGTTATTCTCCGCGTTGCGTTCGACAATCTTCACCCTTGGTGATTGGAAGATATAGTGCTTGTTGAACATCGCCAGCCCGCCCTGTGTCTTCGTTGTCTAGGCAGCGCCAGTAGAGTGCCTATGATTGAATGAGTTGCGCTTGACACGACACGTGTATGTATCGTCGCCTTGTCTACAAAGCGCAACAAGTTGCCAACAACAAAGACGCGCTACTCCGCAAGGAATCATGCCGCCCAAGGCAGACGAGTCATGGGAGTTCAAGGCTCAAGTCCTCGAGATCATCCCGCATACCAAGAAGAAAGGCTTCACGGTATTGCTGTTGTGGCCTGATGGTACCACGACGAAATCGTCCAAGGCGGTTGTTTACGCAAAGATGCCGCAGACCATGCTAGCGTATGGCGCGTCTCCGTGATAAACAAGTCTTACAACAGGTATTTTGAGAGCAATCTAGTATATGAGGATGAGATCCCAGAAGACAAGCCTGGTTCAGCAAAGCGCAAGACGCCGGCCAAGTCGACGAAAGAGACAGAGAGCGCAGAGGCATCCCCAGCTCCGGCAATGACAGAGGAATCAGGGCCTTCAGCCCGCAAGTCAAATAAGCGGGCGAGTGAGCCTGAGCGACGACGCGAAAGCGGGCGACTCCGCGAGACTTCTGAGCCTGTGGCGAGCTCACATAAGAAGGCCAAGAAGGAGGAGTTCTTTGAGCTCGATAAGATTGTGGATGAGCGCATGCGTCATGGGAAACGTGAGTATCGTCTTCGCTGGGTCGGGTATGGGCCGTCAGACGACACTTGGTCACCGGAGAAGCACACACTGGAGGATTCTCCTGAGGCTGTCCAGGTGAGGGTACCCTTCTTTCGCGGGCAATATTGACAACAGGACTATCTGGACGAGAAGAGGGCGAAGGCCAAGGAGACTGGCAATGACGAGGATGAGGATGCGGCTGCCGCGGCCATGTTGCAAGCATGAGTCACACAGCCGCTTGCCATGAATACTGTATCCCATAGCTGCTCTTTGTGTTGTCAAATTTGAGGCTACATCTCCGACAACCCTTCATGGGCATATGCGCCTCCTGCTTTGGCCAGTCGCAGGACGATGCAAGTCTCAATGAAGGTCACAACGAGTCGACGCCGCTGCTACAGGATCCAGCGCTCGTCTTGGCAGCACCACAGCGGCATGAGCCCAACCCGGAAGAGCAACAGCGTGAACAGGAGTTTCTAAATCGCGTCGTCCAGCATGCCGCGGAGTCGCTGGTGGATATAAAGGCCTTTGCACAAGCTGGGCAGGGTGTATCGGAAGAGCAGCGGCAGGTGCGCGTGAAGCAGCTGGAGAGTATCCTCGATAGGCTACTGGCGGACACGGCGCATCATGGCGGCGCCGCGGGTGATGCAGAGTATGTGGAAGCGCCGCCTCGGGCAGCAGGTACGGACCAAGGCGACTGGTCTCTGCGGCCTGTTGGGCCTATCATCGTGCCACTTGCACAGGCCTCGTAGACGTGACTGCTACAAAGATGTTTATACTCTGGAGTCTGGACGAGATCCATCATCCTTCCTCTCCTCCATGCTCAGGCCTGCAGTTTACACATGTCGCTGCCATAGAAGAGCTTTTCATGCGACACGGTCTGCAACAAGTCCATTGGATGTAGCGCATGTGGCCTTGCAGACGGTGCACGCTGCGACAGGTGCATCATGGGCGGCGACCATTCCGCTCGTCACCCTTGGCATCTCCGTCTTGACGATTCCCATTGCAGTGCGCTCGAGACGCAATCAGATCAGGCTCGCAGCCTTGCGGCCTCTGGTTCAAGCCCAGCAGGCTACGCTCGCAAAACAGGCAAGGGCGACAGCGATAGACACGAGAAGCTTCCAACGGGAGCTCAAGAGGTTGCAGCGCGACTTTCGCAGGACACTCCACAAGCGGCATGGGGTTAATCTACTTTCTATTCTGGCACTGCCGGCACTCAAGATTCCCCTTTGGCTCTGCTTTTCATTCACATTGCGGAGCATGGCGGGCATGGATATTCCATTTCTTGAGGGTGTCGAGACTGAAGAGGGTTTCAAGGTAGAGGGACTGTTGTGGATGCAGGATCTGACACGGCCAGACATGATGCTCAGTCTGCCTGTGCTCTTCGGCCTTGCGAATCTGCTCAATGTCGAGCTCAACAGCGCAAAAGGCGCGTCTCTTCTTGGCAGAGTCCTGGGCAATATTGGGCGCTGCTTGGCTATTGTATTCATTCCCATCGCAGCGCAGATGCCTGCGGCCCTGTGTCTTTACTGGACGACAAGCGCCGTCTTTACACTTGCACAGAATCTGGTCTTGAACCAGATATGGCCCGTCGATAGATAGCGTAGTACGATCGTAGGTGACATCAAAACGCGACGACATTTTTTTGTGTCAATAATCAACGATCCTCCCTGCAATGAAGGATGTCGTCTGATTGGATCTTCGATCAGCCGCCGCCAGCGCCGCAGGTCGATGCAAGTGCCAGATCTGCGTTACCAAATCGTGGCAGAGGGCGGGGACGCGGACGAGGACGAGGCGGCCGTGGAGCAGGTCATACATCGCAAGGCTCGGGGCTAGGCAGGCTGCCTCCTGCTTGGGCGCCGTCACTCAGTCCCGCAGCTGTGGGATCTGCTGCCGCCATCTCCAAGTACTATCCGGCTGCGCCAGTGACGACGACGCCAGAGCAGCTACTTGCATCACTCGAACCAAAGCGTCACGCGCAAGGACATGCGTCAGAAGTCGCTGCATTGCCCAGTACATCGGTGCAGCACACTGCTTCAGTCAATACGCCTGCTCCTCGTCTAGCTATCAGCAAGAGCGCAGCAGTCATTGCACCCTCAGGCGCCCGCATCTCGCTCGACACGCCCGAAGAGCTTGCTGCATGGATCGCTGAGCGTAAACGAAGGTGGCCATCCGATGCAAATGTACAAGCAAAGCGTGCACTTGAGCAGTCTAGGGATAACGGACAGGCTCTGCAGCCGCCAAGCAAAAGGCAAAAGGTGAAGCCCAGTTCAGTCGATGCAGCTCTGGTAGGGTTGGCAGATGTTGAAGAGGGTGAAGCAGGCTCAGCCAAGGCATCCAGCGACGAGAGTAGCGACGATACCAGTGACAGCAGCAGCGACAGTAATAGCAGCAGCGATGATAACAGTAACGAAAGTGGGCCTGAGACCCTGTCTGTTACTGTTCCCGCTATACCTGAACGAGCTCAAGCACGTCCGTTGTGCAAGTACTTTCAGCGTGGACGCTGCTCACGCGGTGCCGACTGCCTCTTCTCGCATGATGCTCATGCCAAAGCGAAGCAAGACGAGATGAGGCGTCAGAGGCAGGAGCAACAGCAGCTACGCGGTGCTGGAGGAAAAGGCCAACGTCCTGGACATGCTGGCAAGCAGGATGCATACAAATGGCGCACACGAAAGCCGCTGATTGAGCTGCTGATGGAGCGCGAGCAGGCGGAAGAGGCACCGGCAGATGTAGCTGTAGCTGGACCTCAGGGATGAAGGGTGGAAATAGCCTGCGTACACTCGCGCTATGAAGATTTGAACCACTGCTTGGCACTCTCGCTCCACTCCGTCACCTTCTCTCCTGCCACGCCAGTCATCTGCGTGACGCCTTTGCTTGTTGCATCCCATAGCTCAGTTGCCTTTTCTGCAGCGGTCTTGTCTGTTCCATCGTCGTAGTCTGTGCCGCCGCCGTCGTGGACTGCGCTCTGCCTGTAGCCTGATGGATGCTCATGTGCTTGTTGGATAGGTGCGACAGGCTGGATGAACTGCTGCTGCAGTGGCTGTTATGCTGGTTGTTGTACTGGCTGTGGTCTTGACTGTAGTTCTGACTGCTGCTGCTGCATTGGCTGGAATCCTACTGGCACACCGACGACAGGACCCGCGCTGTGCGCAGTGTGTGGATATGCCTTGGCAGCAGGTGTGTCTGTGGTAGCTTGCACTGGCGCTGTGTCCTCCTTGATGGGTGCGTCTGCGTAGTTTGTGACGAGACCCATGCTGTCTATGGTCTATGGATTGAGTGGTAGTGTGCAGTAGCAGTAGCAGTAGCAGTCTGTAGTACTAGTAATACTGTAGTAGTCTGTAGTATAAGTAGTAGTAGACTAGTAGTGTGTAGTAGCAGCAGCAGCGGTGATGTCTGCAACAACAAACAAAGCGACCAGACCACCAACGCGCCGTCATCCAGGCATCCAGCAGGACCAGCACTTGTACAGCATGTTCATCAACGAGGCATTCTCCATCCGCAAGTCAGAGTCCTCCACCTCCGTCCGCTCACAGATGTGGGACTCCTCAGGTATTATCCTCGCATCGCCGCACTCATGACTGACAAGACAGATCCACAGCGCAATCCAGCGCCTCTACCACTGCCAGACAGAGATCAACCAGTCTCCGCTGTGTCAACACAGCAAAAGATCTCGGTGGCTCACAAGCGCCTGCAGTCCTCGGGCAGCAGCAAGACACTCAATCAGGACGAGGCAGACAGCAAAGAACGCGAGCGCGTTTCAAGTAGATCTCTCTACGAGCTCCTGCAACTAGTGCACGCGAATCTAGAGACCCTTATGAAACGCTCGCAAAACAACGCGCGCGATCTAGGCAAGCTGCGTGGCGATGTGCGCAATCCACAGGTGGTAGAAGACATCAAGCGACTCATGCAAGAAGCGTCTGCTGCAGTACAGGACCCAGCACAACAATCGCGGCTCGATGTAGACCTCTCCCACAAGCTGGATGAGCTTCTTCGCTCGGAAAAAGTGGAGCGACCGCCACCGTCACAGGACGCAAAGTGGACAAACGACCTCCAGCAAGTATTGACAGTCCTGCAAGAGCTGCAGTCGAGTCTGCAGCAACTTCATTCAAGACCCCAGGAAGCATCAGCTGCGCCGGAGTTGCACATCCTTGACAAACACATGGAGTCGCTGCACGCATGGACCAGTACAGCAGCCACGCAGTCGTCTTTGGAGGCGCTGACCGATGCGCAACGCCTGCACATGGCAGAAATTCAAGCCTTGCTTCAAAGTCTTGCCAGCCAGCAAACAACTGCGCATCTTGGTCTGCACACATCCATCGATTCGCTCTCAGCAAGCCGTGAAGTCGACTTGTCTGCCCTTCAGAATCACGTCAACAGTCTCGATGCATCCATCCAAAACAAATCCGCAGAACTGGCAAATCTCGATGCGCTACTCGCAAAGAAGCAACTAGTCTTGAAGGATCTCGAGCGTCGCGCTGCACTCATGCAAAGCAGCCTTCAAGGCATGCGCCAGGATGTCTATGCCCTCAAGGAAGAAGCAGCTGCAAGCCTGAAGAAGAAGACTCGACGCCCGCCCTCTGTTGCCGCACCTTTGCAGCAAGTCACGAATCGTCGGATTGTGTCGTTGACCAATATGGCGCAGCCTTCGCCTTTTGCTAGACCGTTGGATAAGTTGCAGTCGCCGGCGCGCAAATCGAGCTGGTCAAAACGCGTGGGGAGTCTGTTCACAGCCAACAAGGAGAATACTGCCTCGGGTCTGGCTGGCCATGTCGAGGAGGCGCCGGCCACGGACTCTCGGTCTGTCCGCAGTGTAAGTTATCGTGGTTAGCGGCGCGTTCGAGTGAGTCTTGTCACACCCTTTGTATTGAACCCTTGCACAAACAAATTAAGCGTCGTCGGCAACTGCCACAACCCACAGCACGAAAGGCAGCTGCTCTGTAGATGAGCAGATGATATCGATATACACCTTCCTGGATCCATCACAGTGCTGACCTGGCTGCTAGACAGCAATGTCTGCTCCTAAGGAAGTGGCACAAGTCTCGATTGAGCAGGGAACTCTCCCACCCGGGCATACATGGAGCGACAAGCACATTCTTGTGGACTTCGTCGCGGGCGACGATGATAATCCATACAACTGGCCGCGGCGGAAGAAGCAGCTCGTCACCTTTGTTGCTACGGGCATGACCTTCTTCATCATGTTCATCACCGGCGGCTATTCCTCTGCGCAACCCGGCCTCAAAGCGGAGTTCCATACGACAGACACAGTCGTTGTGCTTGGTCTCACCTTGTTTGTCCTTGGCTTCGCGCTCATGCCTCTATTGCTTGCGCCTCTATCAGAAATCTACGGCCGTACTCCAGTGTATCTGGTGTGCTCCTTTCTTGTGTGGATACTCTTGTTGCCCCAAGCCCTTGCACAAAATATTACTTCAGTGCTCGTTGCGCGCTTCTTCACTGGTTGCTTTGGCAGTACTGGCGCTACTATGGTTGGAGGCACGATTGCAGACTTGTGGGAGGCAGATGAGCGTGGCACGTACATGGCAGTCTTTGCTGGGTGTGCCTTCATCTCCACCTTTGCAGGGCCACTCATTTACGGTGTTACAGCAGAGAATCTCGGATTTCGATGGACCTTTTGGCTGGGCTTCATTCTGACAGGGTCGCATCTGCTCGTGCTCATTCTCTTTCTCAAAGAGACACGAGGCCCGGTGCTTCTGTCTCGTCGAGCAGCCAAGCTACGCAAAGAGACTGGAGATGAGCGCTATGTTGCTGCCGTCGATTTGGAGCGCGCTTCTTTTGCGACCATGGTCAAAGTGTCGCTGACAAGGCCGATTCGCTACCTGCTCACGGAACCCATTGTTGCATGCTTCTCCACCTGGGTCACACTCTCCTGGGGAGTCTTTTATCTGGTCTTGGAAGCCCTCACGTTGGTGCTCGAGGAATCGCATGGCTTTGGCAATGCAGAAATTGGCTACGCGTTTGCTGGACCCATGCTGGCATCTTGCATCGGTGTCGCCACCAATCCTATACAAGAACGCTTGTATCGTCGAGCAAGGGAACGCAACGGTGGTGTGCCAGTTCCAGAAGCGAGACTTTATCTCTCGATGTTTGGTACCATCTGCTTTGCTGCGGGCCTCTTCATCTTTGCGTGGACTTCTTCGCCTAGCCAACATTGGATAGGGCCTATACTTGGCTCCAGCATTACCGTGTTTGGCTGCTACCACATCTACCATGCCACATTCTCCTACTTGGCAGATGCCTACCAAACATACGCCTCGAGCTGCAACGCCGGGCAATCCTTCATGCGTAATCTCCTCGGAGCATGGTTCCCGCTCTTCACTAGAAAGTTCTTCCAAGCACTCGGTGTCCCAAAGGCCGGCTCTATTGTTGGCGTATGTGCCGTCTTGATTGGCGCTATACCATTCCTCCTTTTTGTTTATGGCAAAGCCATCAGAGCTAAGAGCAAACTTAGCATTCACGACTGAATCACTGCATTGAGTGAATGAATCTTCAGACGTGTCTTTGTACCCATGTAGCATTGTAAAAGCATTCTATTTTGTGACTTTGCTTTCTGGCGATGTCGCAGCGCGTCAGACGAGCTCGAGCAGCCCCAGACACCGACATCTGCCGCTGTGAAGCGATGCAAGCGCTCTTTCCTGCGCCGCCAGCATGGGCAGTGCAGGCGGTACAACCAATCTGCGACCTGATCACCCTGCCAATGCTCTCGCGGCACTTGCATGTCGTCATCGGTGCAGCGTTCTTCTACCACGGTGTCATGAAGGTCTCGGCCTTGATCAGTCCCGTCTTTAGCAGCTACAACAAACTCGATCGACGCACTAAAGTCAACTGGGACATTCACACAGTTTCCTTTGTGCAAGCAATCATCATCTTGTACTACTCGTATATTGTCCATGTGTGGGATATTGCGTTGCACCAGGACAAGGTTGACGCCTATTCTCCCTATGCCGGTGATGTTTACGCACTGGCTTGCGGGTATTTTCTGTGGGATTCATACGTGAGTCTCAAGTACATGCGGTGGTTCGGCTTTGGCTTTGTCTTTCACGGCCTAGCGTCTCTGCAAATCTTCAGCTTCAGCTACAGACCGCTCTTACAGTATTGGGGTCCCATCTTTCTTGCGTTTGAGGCGTCTACGCCGTTTCTCAATATCCATTGGTACTTGGACAAAGTCGGCATGACTGGATCACGCCTACAACGGGTCAACGGCGCCTTTCTACTCGCGACTTTCTTCCTTGTGCGCATCGTCTGGGGCTGGTACTCGGCATACAACTTGTTCACAATGCTCTGGGCATTGTACAAAGCTGGTCGCAGAGACTTTCAAGGATTCGGGATTGTCTATTTTGTGTCCAACATGTCGCTCAATCTGCTAAATTTGTACTGGTTCTGGAAGATGATTGAGTCGCTCAAGAAGCGCGTCAAGCCGGTAAAGAAGGCACAGTAACTGAGCTGCAGCCTGAGAGCAGCCGCTGCATCGTCAAGTAGCAGTGCTAGTGGTACAGCACGCGAGAGCGACTTGAATACATGTGCCATAGCTTTAGACTTGCGCTTTAGATGATAAGGCATCATGCGATGAAGAGTTGCTCATAGCAGCCATGATGCAGCTGTTATAGTGTAGATGTGCTTCCAGGAGGCATACATTGATTCTCGTACGAATTGCCAGTGGTGTCGTTGGCCGATGTGGGCCCGGTCGCTGGCCCGTTCATGGCTATATCCCGCGGGTATATACTGCTTGAACTGCAACTGTACAATGCGTATGAAAGGCTTAGGTAGACTGCCAGTCTCAGGCCGAGCTGAATAACAGTAAAGCAGCAAGCATCCTCACGAGTCACGACACCGTCCATCTACACATCCCTACTACTAGTCTACTCCTCAATAGTCAATGCCAGAGCCCGGCTTTCCCCATCTTGACAGCTTTGACAGGTCGCTCGGGCCCGCATGACATGAGCCAGATTCGCCCAGCTGATTGGCTCGTCTCTATGCTCCTGTTTGCTGCAGCCAATCATGCAACGCTGTCAGTGCGCGAGCAGTCTGGACCTGCATCCAAACTGCAGACTCCAGACTTTCATCCAGACAGCTCCGAAACGCCAAGCACCTCATCCAGAGGACCAGAGAAGCATCGGTTAAGGAGACTCCTGGAACGGTATATATTTGCCATGAGCCCCGCCTGGCGAGGCAGGCAGCCCCTTAGTCTTCTCCTTCTTCTGTTCATCTACTTGCTACTTCAGCTACAGCCTCAGACAGGGCTCGCCCTCGGCCTTGTCCTTGCGGCCGACATGATCAATGCAGCGACGTCGCGTTATGCCATCCTTCTCAGTTGTGCAGCATTTGTGTCCTTTTTCCTCTTGACACTGCCCGGTGCACCTCTTGTTCACTTTTGGAGACTGCAAGAGCGCGCCTTTGATCCCTTCTTCTACACCGCGGCCGCGATACCAGCTGATGCGATGCCAGCGTGGCTCGCTGAAATTGGCGACGAAACGAGCCTGGCACGGCTCAATCTTCCAGGCACTCATGATTCCGCTGCTCGCTATGGTGGAAGCAGCTATGAGTGCCAGTCGTTGACAATCCGCGATCAGCTCGAGCTGGGTATCCGCTGGCTTGATGTGCGGTTACGCTATGACAGCCGTGGTGTCTTGCAAGCACAACACGGTCGTGTCTCTCAGCGCGCAACCTTTCCAGAGCTGCTTGCAGACATCAACGCCTTCTTGGAAGCAAACCCATCGGAGTTTGTTCTTCTCAAGGTTCAGCAAGAGAAAAGCACCGAACAGACCAAGTTTGGTGCCTCTGTCGAGCGTGATCTTGAGCTCTCTGGTGCAAATGTATTCAAAAGGATCGTCACTTCATCTGCACAGTTACCACTTCTGGGTGAACTACGCGGGAAGATTATGCTGATGCCCCGTTTCTTCACTGTGTCATTTGGAACTATCCAATATGAAGCGCTGGTTGCGCAAGACGACTTCCAAGCATCTATCGAGCAAAAGAGGCATGCCATTTCTACAAGCTTTGATTCAATCGCCCCAGTCACTGCTCTGAGCGCGGCGTATCCAGCGCCAGTCGATTCTTCAGTCTTGGTCAGAAGGTTGCTTGGATTCGTGAAGCGCAAAGATCACCGCTTGCAAAGACTGGCGCAGCAGAGCTTGGCCTTTAATCTTGGCTTGTACATCAACTACTTCTCTCTTCACAACAACCGCGAGTCACCTGCGCTTGCAGCTTCACTCCTCAACAGCTTGGTAGAACCACTCTCCAGCTTGGCCAAATCAGATGGCAAGCGTGGCATGATATTAGCATTTGATTTTCCTAGCAGCGACACAGTCAAGGCTGTGGTAGCCTCCAATTTTTAGACAATCTTCAAGGGGTCCTTGTCGGCCTCGCTGACCTGTACAACCAAGCCAGCCTTCTCGAGCATCACTTTCATGAATGGCAGATACCCTCGCTCTGAATTGCTGTGACCCGTCAAGATGACTGGCACTTTCTTCTCTTGATACCGTAGGCACTCGTGGTGGGAGAGTTCCCCAGTGACAAGCAAATCAGCCTTGTCGAATGCCTTGGAAGACTCAAATAGCGAACCACCCGAGCCCGCACAGATGGCAACCGTCCTGCAGTCTTTCATGCTCTCGTCTGAACTCATCTGCAGATGACTGAGTCCCAGTCCTGTCTTGAGCCGTTTGCAAATTTCACTCAATGGAAGCCTTGTGTTGGCTCCATTTTCTTGCAGAGTCAGCAAACGGCCAGCGCCGGCTCCATCGAATGAAGAGTCCAGTTTGGTAGTGTCTGCCTCTTCAAGACATTTAGTGTGTAGATGACTTGGCTCGCCAGCGCGAAATGCGTCAATCTTTTGGGCAATGACATGAGCAAGCCAGTCGTTGACACCGCCAGGAATTGCATCTGCACTGGTGTGGACGCAGACGACACCGACGCCAAGTGATGCCAAGCGCATCAGGAGCTTCTGCTGCGCATCATCGTTATTGAAGCGCTTCAAGCCTCGAAAGATTGGAGGATGGTAGGCTACGACATGTCCAATACTCTTATTGGCACAAACTTCGTTAACAACTGACGTCGTGAGGTCAATGCACAGCAACACTTGGTCAACGCCTCGTGAGTGCCCAGGTTCCCAGAGCAGGCCAACATTGTCCCAAGAGCCAGCCAAGCTGGGCGGGAAGAGCTTTTGGACGATATCACTGACTTGTCTGAGCGATTTCATCGGAGCTGTAATGTAGCTGTTGTGTAGAAGGTTGATTAATTCTCAAAATGATTTAATGTACAACTCCAATCTACAAGACTACCGAAATATGTATTGCCGAATTGTGCTAATGAGAGATGCCATCTGGAGTGGCTTGCTCAGATATCGATCCATCCCTGCAGCTAGACAAGCATCACGATTCTCCGGGACAATGTCGGCTGTAAGAGCGATGATGGGTAGCGTCACTCGGGCTTGATTGGCCTGTTCCTTTTGCCTTATTGTCTTGGCGCAATCAATGCCCGAGCACAGTGGCATGTGATGGTCAGAGAAAAATATATCGTAGTAGCCTGGCTCGTGCATCTCGTAATGTGCAATCGCCTCAAGTCCATTGTTAGCGACATCGACGTTCAAGCCATACTTGGAGAGCTGCTTGAAAAGCAACTTTTGTGCGATGGGATTGTCCTCTGCAACCAAGACGCGTCGTGTGCGCAGAGTCGCAAGCTCAGCGGTTGTAAAGACACCAGTATAGGCACTGCGAGACAGAGTAGGTGGCCCAGAATTCTTGGATGACCGCAATCCCTTTTTGTGCACGCCCTTCAAATTGGCAAGGGCTTTTGAGAAAGCCAGCGCGAGCTTTTGCGTTCTAATAGGCTTCGTCAAGCGCGTCAGTCGATCTCCATAGCGCATAGTCATTGCATGAACGGTCTCGGCACTGTTGTGTCGACGTGCACCAGCCATTCGGCCCTCTTCGGGCCCGGTGGCGCCCGGAACATGGAGCCAAAGGACTTGCAACATGGACAAAGCTGGATCGTCCAGTACTGAGGACAGCATCTCCGCCGACTGATCAAGATCGAAGTCCCAAATTAAGATTTGCACAGGTCGTGATGGTGCTGCAGATCTGAGGGTCGACATCATTTCCTCTGCGCTCTTGCAAACGACCATCGGTGCGTTTTCTGGTATGCACGCGGAAAGAGAGTTCTGGGTGTACATGAAGGACGTACCAAGTACCTGGCGCACACCAGCCAGATCTTGCTTGATCAGTTGTGCGTTGCGCAAGGCTTCCTCGGCATGAGCATCCACAGTTGAAGCATTGACCTTTCGCAGCTTGACCCAGAAGAAAAAGTTGCTTCCAACGCCGACCGTCGACTCAACACCAATGTCTCCATCCATGAGACGGACAATCTGCCACGAGATGCTCAAACCAAGACCCGTCCCGCCAAACTTGCGTTCAATAGACTGGTCTATCTGCGAAAATGGCTTGAACAGAACCTTCATTGCATCTGCGGCCATGCCTATGCCAGTGTCGGATATGTCGAAACGGACAAAAATTGTGTCATCATCAGCTGGTGGACAATTCTCAGTGGAGGCCTTCACAACAATTTGGCCAGCGGCACAAAACTTGTTGGCATTGCCAAGGATGTTGGTGATGACCTGCCGCAGTTTGTTGCTATCGCCACCCACTTTGGACGGGATACCTTTGCAATCAACGGCAATCTCGAGGCGCTTCTTCGCCGCGAGTGGTTGAATAAGCTCAACACAGTCAGTAAGCAAGTCTTCCACTGAAAATATGAGGTCATGCTCGAGAGAAACTTTGCCAGCTTCAAGCTTGGAGAAGTTGAGCAAGTCATCAATGATTTGCAAAAGTGATGTCGCCGACTGTTGGGCTGTCGTGACAATGTCTCGCTGTTCCTCATCTAGAGGAGTATCGCTTAGAAGCCCGAGCATACCGAAAAATCCCGCAAAAGGCGTCCGCAATTCGTGCGAGATCGAGGCCATCCACGTTCTTTGGAGATTCATTGCCTTCAGGGCAGACGCTTCAGATTTGCGTTGATTGTCAATGTCAATGAGACCACCTATCCATTTGACCACTTTGCCCCCGATACGAAGCGCTGTCGCCCGGGATGTGTGGCATTTGAAATCGCCGTGCAAGTCCCTGACCCTGATCTCGTGTTCCTCGTAAATGCCGGTGTGGATGGCACTTTGCATTACCTTTCTCGTGGTGATTAAGTCTTCTGGCATGATGCATTGGGTCCATGCATTGTCCTGCCAGGATGGTGCACCCGCGCCGCAGAAGCGGAACCAGAACCCATTGAGATAGTCGACAGTGCCAGATTCGTCGGCGGTCCAGATGATGCATGGCATTGTCTCGAGCACCGCCATGTACTTGTTCTCCGAGTCACGCGCCTTGGTGAGGGCTTCTTTTTGCGACTCAATCATTGCTACATTGGCCAATGTGGCCTTCTGCACAGACTTGAAGAGAAGAGCATTCGTAATGGATATTCCGATCTGTTGTGACAACATGCGAAAGACTTGCACATGACGTGCGTTGAAAGCAAACGTTGCACCCTGTAGATACAACACGCCAACCAGAGCTGCCTTGTGCTCGATTGGCAAAGCTAGGACACTTCGCTCGCCATTCTCGCGATACCATGGACCACTACTGAAACGCGCGTCTTCTGCTGTGCTTGGAAGCAAGAGCGACTCTCTTGTGTGGATGACATAGTTGACGATGCGTGCTGAGATTTGACGCTCATCATCAGCGAGAGGCTTTGGCGGCTTGAAGGTCTCATACTTTTCTGGTGTTCCAATCGCAGCGATAGCAAAGGCGCCCTCTTCCTTGACAATGATGGCGGCTGATTCACCAGAGACGGTCTCCAAAATGGCTCCAAGAAGCCTAACGAAAAGCGTCTCGACATTCACTTCAGAGCTGATAATTTGGCTCGATTTGATGATGGACGTAAGATCAATGACGTCCAGGCTAAGCAAATCCTTGTCATCCATGTCTTTCGGGCCAATGTCAAGGTCCATCATAGAGGTTTGCTTCTCGCCTTGGTACCATTGGACTTCTTCCTCTTGCTGCTCAGTTTGCACAGCCGCGTCAACCGTCTCACTAATGCGACGATTCAGCAGAGTTCCATGACGCTGCTGTAGCGCATTGACAATACCACTTGCTCCCCAGTTGCTATAGAGCAGTACGGCTTCGCGGAGCAAGCTAGTGGCCACGGTGATGAGACCATTAGCAAGGTAAAAGACACCAGCCAGCTCATGCGCAAGAGCCTCCTCATGACACATCTTACTGATTCGCGCAGACTGGATCGCTTCTTCATACGCTGTTGCTGCCTGTTGAAATTGGCCATCGACCGAATTGATTTCTGCTTCCAATAGTTTTGCCCAGCAAAAGTAATTGTGTTTGTAAGGACCCAACCAGGCAAATACTTGCGCATGCAAGCTACGTAGCTTGGGAATATGCGCGCGGTCACCCTTCTTTATCCTTGCAGCAACGGATAAACCGAGCCAAAAAAGACCTTGCCGGGTGTGGCGATGACAGGGATGATAATCAATTGTAGCTTCGAAGGAGACCCCGACTTCAAGGGCCTTTTCGTGGAAGCCGTAATGGAAGAGTGGAATGAGGTAATACGAGCCATACCAATTCAAAGGCACTTCTGGTACAGCTGAAGTTTTGGACACCTTGGCAATATGCTGCAAGTGGTCAAACGTGTGGTCTGAAAAGATGGCATCGGGATTATTCACTTGCGTCAAGCCCTGAAGGGCAGAAACACATTGGCGAATTGAGAGAATCAGTGTCGTGGCATCCGTCTCGGAATTCCAAGTCTCTAAGTCAGACAAACCCTCTTGGCATACCTTCTTCGCAAGCTCTAGACGGTCGCCTCCCCAGAAGGCAAGCGAAGCAATGTGAGAAAGACAAAAAGACGCATAGATGCGGTCACCGGCGGCAATCGCATTTTGCAGCGCTGTTTGCTGTCCGACCAAGCACTCGTCAAGTGAGCCAGCAAAGTGATGCAAAAAGGCATAGTAGCACATAAGTCCACGGGCCATTGTGCCAGGACCAGCATCGCGATCAAGCAGAGCTCTGCCAATACGGCCACATTCGACACCATAGTCAATCATCAGCTTGCGAGACACGGCGGAAATGCCTAAGTAGACAAAGCCCATACCACCACTGGGATAATTGCCGTGCTCAATTTGGATTTGTGTCATGAAGAGAGACAAGGCAGTAAACCACAAGGGTGAAGACCAATACCCGGCAGTGGTAGCTTCAGCTGTGACTGCTGCAATGGCGGCGATGCGTTCATCCTTGATAAATGGGGTGGCAAGGATCTTTTGCAAATTTTGCTTGCCCATCTTGTTGCGCAGAGCATCGAAAGAGGCGTCGAGCTTTTCAAAAGTCGGATCAAGGTCGACTGGAAAGCCTAGAGCAACGATGCATTCCGTCATTTGTACGCGGGCTTGTTCATGTTGGCCAAGCGTTTGTTGTATGCGACAAAGCAAGATGTGGCTCGTGGCGCGATCAACTGGCTGTCTTGCATTGGCAAAGATCTCATCCAAAATCTGCTGTGCCTCATCCAACTTGTTGTCCCACCAAAGGCATTCCGCAAAGCGCGCGAGAATCTGCAACGTGCTGGAGTATGCCTCCTCAGACCACCGATCCTCAGCAAGGAGCTCTGTACATGCGCGATAGTATCGGATGGCGACCTCGTGCGCACCAGATTCTCCTGCCTTTGTGCCCGCAAGAAAGATTTGACGACGCCAAAACATAATCTCGGAAGAAGTCAAAGCCTTGACAAGCGGAATCGCCTTGACAATGTTGTCGGCAATGAAGAAGATATCCTTGTCCGCAGCATGAAGCACCTCTGCCACATAGAAATGAACTTGTGCAGCGTTGGAATCTGGCCCAGCAAGTTCTTTGAATGCGCTCAAATAACGATCATGAACAAAGGCATAATTGTCCTCATCAATGGCCACGATGATACCTTCTGTCAAAGCAGCCTGCAGACCTGCAACGGCATAGTCTGCTGCATCGATTTCGGAGACTTCACTCAAGTCTTCTGTCCAAGAGATGTCTTTGAGCATCAGGTCACGAACAACGTTGAATGAAAAGGTCCGTCCAAAGAAGCTAGCCATATGACCAAGCACTTGAGCTGCTTTATTCATGCTGCGAAGTCGAGCTTGAATTAAGGAGTCATCTTCGAGAGATGTTTGACTAAGGGCACTCTGCAGAAGGGCAGAATCAAATTGCCATCTCGACATCTTCCAATCAAAGGTGATGACCTGATCGCGGTGTAGACGAGAGATGATTTCCCGCATGAAAAAGGCATTGCCTCCACAACGTTGCAAGAGGGCCTTGGCAAGAGGCTCAACGTATTCAGGGGTACGTGCAAGCGTTGTGGCAACATATTGCAACATAGCGCGATCGGAGAGAGGCGTAATCTGCATAACATTTATGCTGTGGTTTGGTTGGGCAAGGAAGGCACCTAGCGCAGTCTCCTCGAGACCCTCATTGTTGCGAAAAGACAACACAAGCATGATGTGCAATTTGGCGCTGAGGATTGTTTGTATCAGCTCTAATGAGGCATCATCTGCTTGATGGATATCATCAAGAGCAATAGTGATGGGCTTGATGGCAGACAGAGTCCGAAGAACATCGAGAAACATGCTCATGAAGCGTAGTTTTGTGCCGCCGCTGCGTACGTGTTGCACACCAGAGACATAGTGCGAGGAATTTGCCGCGTCGGAATTCATCATCTTGCTATCATGTGAGGACATGGATCCCCCAGTCGATGTATGATGAGCAACAGGGCTATCTGGGTCTTGCGCGCCTTGAACGAATGCCTTCAGCTCTGGAAGCAAATCAGACAACGGTTCCATCCGTGCGATGCCTCCATTTGCGGTCAATTGCCGAATATTTTGTTGCAAATCATGAATGAGCTGTTCACTCTCTGCGAGAACCTGCTGAAGAATAGAAGACACGCATCGCAATATAGCAGAGTACGGCGTTGATTGAGCACGGTCAAATTTAGAATTGGCAAAATAACCATACCGACGTGCTTCCACGGCAGCAAGGGAGACGAGGGATGATTTGCCTATGCCACCTGGGCCACTGAGCACAAGGCACTGACAGCGCTGTTTCGAACTGGGATCTGCATCGAGGCGCATTGCAGAATTTGCAGTAGAAAGGCTGCCACTGCGGCTGAAAGAGTTGGCTACAGATGAGCGGCTCGAGGCCTGAGAACGCGTGTCATCGAGGCTGTACATGTCGACGTCCCGAGTAGACTGGAGGATGCCGCGCTTCGCTGATTGTGCAATGACATGTGTTTTGGAGAACCGTGCAAGTTGACGCACAATCATCTCCTGTTCGACTTCTCGGCCAATGATGCCTGTGGGCAAGACGAATGTAGAAGAAACATCATTTTGGCCGATGGGCGTATCACAGCGTGGATTCTGCACAAGCTGCTCTAGATCTTGGCGAATGCCGCTGGCACCATGATAGCGATCTTCCACGCGTTTTGCCGTAAGCTTCTCAATAATGCGAACCAGCCGCGGGGGAACATCATTGCGACGCGCAGATACATCAGGGCACTTTTTAGACAATGCGCCTTGAAGCACCTGCAAAGGTGTACCTTCGAATGGCAGATGGCGAGTTAGTACAAAGTAATAGACGAGTCCTGTTGTTAGCTGGGCCGGGTGGAAGAGCTGACGAACCGAGCGAGTAGAGGTCCGTTCTGTGTCCTGGTTCCTTGCTGGTCCGTCCAGTCTGTTCTGGAGAGATGAATGCTAGGCGTCGGTCAAGTCCTCGTTCTTGAGAGAGCTTCTTCCAATTCTCACTGCTCAGCGCACTCTCCCAGGACCGTACGCCAGAGCCGAATGGGAAGAGGCGCACTTGATCCACTGATGACCAGAGCAGCGCATCAGGCCGTATCTCTCCATGGACAATCCCTTGTGAATGAATGAACTCGAGACAGTAGCATGCTCGGATGGCAAACTGTAGAAAGTCCTTGATCGAAAGCGCCGCAAGAATGTCATATCGCCGGAGGACATTGTGTTGCTCGACATCCATCACCAGCACGACGAGATTGTGTTCCGGGAGCTTTATACTGCAGATTGGCTTGACAATAAGGTTGTGAGAATCATGCTTGACGAGCTTATTGGTAAAGTATACGTCGCGTTGTACCCGCAAGACTTGTCGCGAAACCTTGCATGTAACGAGCTTGCCCGTGCGTTTTTGAAGGGCCTCGATGAGGACATACTCAGAGGTGCACCCAAGACCTGCGACGGGGTTGTCGTAGAACTGGTAGTCGCAGAGCTCTGACGAGGAGAGCAGGATATCGACGAGGTGGGAGTTTTCGTAGCCATACATGAGCTGCGGCTCGAGGTCAATGGCTGACTCTCGCCGGACCAGCAGCTCACGTCGATGCGCCATAGTCGGAGTCTATAATAGCTGATGCAGACCTTGTCTCGACGTCTCTATGCGCTCATATTGCTACAGCTGCTTTGGCGTTGTCGTTGCGTCCTGTCAAATCGCGGAAATGGAATTTGGGTCGCGCAGGGGAAAAGTCCAGGGGAAGAGCCAGGCACAGGTCGAGTATAGCTAGTGCTGGTCTGGTATTGGCTAGTGCTGGTCTAGTCTACTCAAGCCAGCTTGTACTGACCTCCCTTGAGCTGCACAGCACCCTCCCTCATCTTCTTGGCAAGGAACGTACCAAGCTCCTCCGCCGGCCGGTCATAACTCGGCGCAAACATCCCCAGCATGCTCTGGATGCGCTCTAGCGGAAGTGCACCAACATTCGTCAGCATACCGACAATGAACTGCCAGTACATGTCCATATCATCGTCTGCCGGTACTTCCACTGCGTCCAGCGCAATATCTTCCACCACGACCTCCTCAGTCGCTTGTGATACACTCTCAACCACCGAAAAAACACCTGGCCGTAGCTCCCTCAGGATGCCTTGCTTCGTCCAAAAGACGAGCGCTCGCCGCAGTTCAGACTCAATAAGGTCGAGCGATTCCATGAGCTGCTCGACTGTCCTCTCTGCCACATCTGAAAAGGCATAGATGACTGATGCATGTCCCGGCGTAACCAATAAGTCGAATTCGCGGTCTTCAAGTTGAAGTTCAACACGCACATGTCCCAGATTTGGGAGAAAGCGTAGAGTCCTATTCGGCTTGAGCTCGCCATACGCGTCAGTGTACTTGGTGAGCATGTCACGAACCGGACCCGGAACCTGCTTGGTCGCTTGATCCTGCGATTGGGCAAGGACCGCATTTAAGTTTGGCAACGACTGCTTTGGCCAGTAGAGTCGTGACAAAATGGTGGCGTGCACGATTCCCGTACACTTCTCTTGTATCTGTCCGTCAATGTCTTCCGAGTCGATGATGTCCTTGACCATGACATCTGCACTTGACATGAGCGCTGCGCCCTTGAACCGTCGTTTGAGAAGCTCTAAGTTGCGCAGCTCGCCCTCAATTTCGTAGCCTGATGTCGCAAGAAGTCTATCAGCCAGTAGTACTTGCAACTCCTTGACGAAAACATCTCGGTGCTCGTAGATGGATGTCAAGCTGTCCAAAAGATCCCTTGTACGCCGCATGTAATCAGGCGAGGCATCCACAGGAGTAGGCTCCCAAAACAGGTCATTCTCGTCATCTTGCATCTCTGCCGCTGTAGTATTGAGCTCAGCAGAAAGCTCATCGGCTTCATTGAGCAAAGATGTCATGATGCATCGAATCGTATCGCCGCGCTCTCGGAGGTACTTGCGAATGGGTCGAGCAACTTTGTCAAGCAATACGCCTGGCGAATCTAGCAATGTGAATGTTTTGATTGTTGAAACATAAATGAAGATAATATCGACCGTGTTGGCGCCTGGGTGTAATAGTCGCTTGGAACATTGATCGATATAGGACGCGACGAGAAGACTTCGCAAACCGGGTTGCCCTTGTAGACAATGTCGCAAATCCTCGAGTGCAGGCAGCGAGGCAGGATAGTCAACAATGATGTCAAACAACTCTGCAATGCGAATCTTGGCGAGGCTGTCTCGTTCCAGATTCGCTAGCACATCGCCAGACACTGCGACATTGCATTCTGCCAGCAGAGTGCAAGCATCAGAGATGGTACGAGAGGAGAGTGCATCCAAGAAGCGCTTATCCCAATTACCGGTGCATTTGGTACATATGCTCGAATCGATTGAGCTGAAGAGCTGTTTTTTGATAATGTGCTGGCATAGCCTGCCAATGCCGATCTGATTGCAGAGTTTGTAGAATGAGACGACCTTGGTTGGCGTGTCTAAGATGGCATCTAGACACTGTTGCAGTACCACAACGAGCCCAGACTCGTGTAGTGCTTGCCGAACGAGCGCTTGGAATGTTGTCACAACGACATCATCGTACTCGTCCAAGTGCAAGCGCTTCCAGCACGCTTGATAGCGGTTCAAGCCATCTGCCAAACTTGCGATGATGCTTGGCAGTGTGTTTGAGGTCAAAACAACTGACTTGAGAGCAGGCTCAATCTTGAGCGCAAAAGTAGAGCGTATGAGACCGGTGTAGAAGTCAACAACAGCTTGTGGAGTCACTTGCTCCACAGCATGGTCAAGATCGCTTTGCTGACAAAGCGAAGCGTCGCTTGATTGAAGATACTGATGCAGAAGTTGCAGCGAGTCAGAGCTCTCAGGACCATACTTGAAGAGAGGACGTGCCGTCCTGGGCTGTAGCACTTTCATATTGACATGTCTGTTGATGTGTCTGGCGTTTCGCTACAAAGGGACTGCTGCTGCTACGATCTGGGCCACAGTCACATTCACTTCTTGTATTGCTCAACAAACTCCGCAAATTCTGCTTCGTGCTCCTTTGACCAACGACTCAATGCTGAGCGGTTTTTGACGATGTCCTCAGTGTTGTACAACATACGTGCATTGTCCGTGATTGAGTCCACAGCGTTGTCTGGACAAATGATGTAAAAGTCACGCGATGCCAAGCGGGGCATGGCATACTCAATGACTTGCTCAGCAGTCCATGCTCCATCTGGCTTATCTGTACGACCTCCACCGGTCATACCAGTGAAGGTCCAACCAGGCACGAGCAAATGCGCCGAGAAGTGGGCCAACTCTGGCTTTTGTCTGAGCTCCCAGGCCAGATGCTCCGTCATGCTTCTCACTGCTGCTTTTGAGCAATTGTAGGCACTATTTCCTGGTGGGTTCGTGATGCCTTGCTTGCTGCCGGTGCAAATGATGGCCACCCTTCGATCATCCTTCTGCTCAGTCATGAGAGGCAGCAGAGCAGCAAGAAGTTGTCGTTGGCCATTGAAGTTGACCTGCATAACGGAATCCCAGTTGTCTAGGTTGCCAGACAAAACGCTGCCTGCACCTGGTTCACGAGATCCACTGATGCCAGCATTGGCCATCACAATCTGCACTGAGCCAAACTCACGGAAGGCGAGATCAGCAAGAGCTTCGCAATGTTCGCGTTGAGCAACATCGCACGTCATAGTCAGAATTTGGCCACCTCCATCGGCCATGCCCTCAGCATGACTTTTGAGCAGAGCAGTATTTGTATCTGCGAGGACGAGGTTCATGCCTTTTGCGGCGAATATGCGCGAGGCAGCAGCTCCGATACCACTCGCTGCACCAGTAATGACGGCAGTAGTTCCTTTGATGAAGAGAGACATGATAGCTTTTACAATAGACTGTGGAGGGATTCGCTATGAGCTTGAGTGTTGTTGTTGTCTATGGGCATGCATAATAAAAATGCACTTTTCGGGGCTGTTCATGAAGACTATAGCTAAGAGCGTCGACGTCGACGTCGCGGACTGCAGACCGGCAGCTCCATCATCAGGAAGTACCTATGATGTATGGGATGAACAAGCAGCTGCTACATCGAGGAGCATGTTCAGAATAGACCTCGCCAGCTAGCGCCAAATATTTGTAACGGGATGTCTACCCCAAGGCTACTTGTGCGGCGCCTGATGCACAGACTAAGTGCACTGTCCGCGTAGCACAAGGACTTGAGCGCAGCTGTTGGCTTGGGGGCTTATCTCACTACAGAGTAAGGCCGAAACCTGATCATAAGAGGACGCTGTCTGCACATAAGCCTTAAGCTCGACCACGACCAGACTACGGAGCAAAACATTAAGTTGAAACACTCCTGCAAAGCTCTCAAGCTCCAACTTCATCCGCTTGACAGAAGCCAGCCAGCGAAACTATCCATGATGCTAATGCTTCCTTTGCTCTTCGTATGCTCAGCTTACGCCCAAGCCAACATCCTAGACATCTTGCAAGGTCAGAGGTGCAATATTAGTGAAGGCAGCATCACCACGTTCCGTTTTCAAAATGCAACCTCCAATGTGGAACCTCTCAATGTCGTCGTCACCATCCCATCAGTGCCTGGTGTGGCTCCAAACGTCACAATCACATCTTGGCTCTTGACTCTCAATATCTCTGATGAGTGGAGAGGTATACACCTCTCGGGCGCAGTCGAAGCGGACCTAGGCGATGGCCTGTGCCTGAGGAAGCTCGACTTTCTCTACCGCGAAAACTTTGGCGATCCCGAGTCGGGAACACTCCAGCAGACTATCAACGGCGGCCTTCATCTTCGAGCTTGGCATTACCGCCAGATAGCTAACAGCTCTGTCTTGCCTGGGCGAGACATCTGGTTCTTTGGAGCCAGCACTGAGGAGTCTCTTCAAAAGAAGCACACAATATCGGACAATGGATACGACACTGGACGTGACGAGATTGGTCGTCGTGCGCAAGAAGATCACATGATACCAGTCCAACAAAGCACAGCACTGACGGGAACAGAGGGTCTGCAATGGGGAGCAGCTGCGGTAACAACATTGGTGGGTATACAGCAGCAGGCGGTCTTCAACCACGACATCACCTCTGATGGGGCTGTCCTGCTCATCGAAGCAAATCTTGTCACTCAACCTGAAGTTTTGCCTAGCAATCCCACCAACTACACTGCCGGGCAAACAAGTGTCCCTGTCAGCCTTGCCAGTCAGGGAACCATCTTATCAAGCAGTGGCTGGCCTTATTTTGTCTTTATCGGTCATTTGTTCTCCTATGCAATCCACATTGGCTTGTAATGTGCAGAAAATACCACCAGAATGCTGGCAGCGTAAATTGGCCGTGTACCATGGTCGACGCTACTGATATTTCACAAAGGCCTTCTGTGTCTGAACGTATGTAAGGTTTGTGATCTGTGGTCTGATCACTTCCCAGGTGCCTTGCGAGCCAGATTCCTCACATGTCTCTAGTGAACGACGACCAATCTCATCACGACCGCATTGACCGAAATTGCGCGATGCTTTTCAAGAGACTCTTCAGGGCTGGCTAAAGAATTGTCAATCATGGGCAGCTGCTATACGCACCGCAGCTTAGTGCAATTGCGTTTGAGTCAATCTCTGCGTCCAGTGCAGTCAGCTAGTCGCGTGCATCTCTTGGATCGTAAGTTCTAGCAAGTAGCAATTATGAACGACAGCATTGCAAGGTGAGGGTGGTCTGTTGGCAGGGTTTTGATCTTTCAATTAAGCATTCACCTACAGCCTTTGTTGCAAGGGGCCAAGTCCTTGCACAAAGGCAGTCTAGCTCCCATATGGGCCATGTCCCTCCCTCTGCGATATAGCGTGAGACAAGAGCACCTCAGCCTGATGCTCGTCGATGTCGTCGTCGATTTGCGGAGTAAACGAGACTCCGGCTCCACCACCAAATGACGCACTTGGGCATATATACGAGGCCAATTGGGGTCCAGCAGCAGGCCTTGGCACCGGGGCAGCGTAGGGAGGCCTATATAAGCTAGGGCCTGCCTCAAGATACCCTTCTTCATCAAATATGTCCAACTACAATACCACAAACACACACACAGGCTCCCAGATGACCAGCGACGCAGCTCCTGGCGTTGCAGGCTCCTACCCTGCAGACAAGTACTCAGACACCGTCTCGGGCGTGCCTCCTGTACACCCTGGCCATGTTTCTACTGGCTCGCAGTTGCCTGGCCAAGGTGCCTACCAAGGCGTTGATTTGGCAGCAGAAACGGCTCGCTTCGACAACGCCGGATCAGTTGCCGGTCTAGCTGGTGGACAGCAAGGATATGCTGCAGGTGGTCAGGGTATGACTGGAGGACAGCAGGGATATGCTGCAGGTGGACAGGGTCTTGCTACTGGACAGCAGGGATACGCTGCCGGAGGACAAGGCGTTACTGGACAGCAGGGATATGCTGCAGGCGGACAGGGCGTTACTGGTGGACACGGGCTTGCTCATGCTCAACACCAAGAGCACGGCCAGCACGCAGCTGTTGGTACTACCACCGGCCTTGCTGGTACACACGCTACCCATGGAACACACGGCACTCATGGAACCCAAGCTACCCATGGAACCCATGGCACACACGAGAACCAGTCGACAATGGACAAGGTCAAGGACACTTTGCAGTCTCGTCACCAGGGACAAACCAAGTCACAGGCTGCTAAGGAAGAATATCGTGATGCCGGCCATGAGGCTGACAAGCAGACACCAGAGGGGCACAAGCCTGGCTTCATGGACAAGGTGAAGGCCAAGCTCCACAAGGAAGACACAAAGTAGTGAATTTATAGCACTTAATGATGACGGCTACCAAATTATCCTAGGAATGCCTTGGGCCTATCATTACCAAACGCCCGAATGCTCGCCGACAGCGTTTGCTATCCGTTCTTGTTCGTCTGCAGTCTTTTTCCCATCGTGTTCAGGGGCATCTGCCTCATCGGTCACCTCTGCGGGACCCTCACTCGTCATACCAGCGTAACCTTTTGCACGTTCAGTCGATTTAAGCTGCCCGTCTCCGCCTTCCGCCAGCGCATCCAGCTTTTCAATGAGTTCCAGGGGCAAAGTGGGTGTGAATAGCTTTTCATTGTCTCGCTGGGTACCGCCGATACCGCTGCCGTACGACAGGATCAGGTCTGTGGACGTCGGTAGCTTGAAGCTCAATTGTTCTGTCGCGTCCAAAAAGATGCCCTCCGTGCCCTGCGCTATAGTCGCAGACTGTTCGCGCTCGAGTGCAACGAGTTGTACTTTGATGGCTCGCGCAATCTTGGTCTCGGCGCGTTCTGAACGATAACCTTCAGCGACAAACAAAGCCTGCCGTGCGGTGATGCCTTCAATGCTGTCGACCACTTGCTTCACCTCCGACTCGCCAAGACTCGACAGACATTGGAGGAGTTGCAAGAGACCCACAAGCCGCCTAAGGCCGCCTTTTTTGCTGGAACAACGCGTTGCCAAGTCTGGCTGGTCTTGCCAGGCACGATTGTTGTTCCTGATCCATTCCTCAATTTGAGAGACATTCATACGCAGGTCCATTGCCTTACCCCGGGACAAGTACTTTTTGTTTTGAAGAATGCGATTAAAAAGCTCACTGGCGAGCCAAAAGAGAATCTGACTCAGTGCCTGAACAGTAATGCTTGGATGAATTGCGTATGCCTCGAGAACATACAACGTCGATGATAGCAGCCCAGTGATGTTGCGCGGTGACGCTCCTCGCCGCCGCCGTGGACTGAGCGACCCGTCCCCTGAAGGCTGCTTCCGCTTGAACAGACGCCACTCGTCGCTCATTTCAAGCTCGCTGAGGTCAATGGCACAATAATCTAGCATACTCGCCGTCAATACCTTTTCAATACGTCTCTCTGCATCGCGAACAACGAGCACATAAATCTCATTGATCAATTCGCTGATGCGCAGCTGGGATTCAGACGTGGTCAGCACCAACTGTGGCTCCTTGCGAAGGTAGTACTGTAGTAGCAGACAATTACTGATCCAAAAGGCAAGGACCGTCATATCTTCTTGCTTCTGATTAACGACCTCCTCAATTGTCTCTAGTGCGTCATGTAGCAGTGTATGCAACAGCTGTGGCGTCGAAAAGTAGTGTGCAAACCGAGCTGCCAAGAACAACAGATTGGCTGGGACGAGACGCTGCGAAGATGCTCGCAATGGAGGATAATCGGTAATGGCGAGCTTGAGCATGTCTGGCAGCGACGCCTCTGAAAAGACAAACATCTGGGATGGCAGGCAATGGTCCCAAACGAAAGCATTTTCACTGTCTTCCTCTTCCAGATCGTCGTCCTCGGGCATGCCCTCGTTGCCCAGGGATAGAGCACCCATATCGACTTCAAGATTGATGCCAGCTTCAAGTGCCATCCGCCGTGATTGCTCTTCTTCACGAAGCGACTCTTCGAAATCCAGCGCCGAATGGGCACCATACCAGTCGCTACCAGTAGTACCCGTTGTACCAATCTCATCAGCCAAGCTGCCCTCTGGCGACAGAGACTCTTTAAGCGTTGTTGTTGAGGCAAAGTCGCTCGCGGTGTAACCAGATTTGCTCACTGCATCGCGCTTTGCACCATGTTCCATCAATAGCTTTGCAATATGACCATGGTTGTTGTTGGAAGCCCACATCAAGGCGCTCCATCCGCGCGCGTCGTGTGCATCTACATTCGCACCAGCATCAAGTAGGAGCTCCACCATCTCTGCATAGCCAAAGCAGCTGGCCGTCAAGATCGCAGGGGATCCAGCTTCATCTGGAGCATCTATTCTAATGCGCGATAGCGTTCCTGGGTCAGAGAGCAGTCGCGATACGAGGGGGAAGTCATTTGAGAGGCAGCCACGCAGGAATTGAGCTTGCAATGTGTCTTGTTCTGGCTGGCCCTGGCTCCATGGGTCCTCCATACGCACAGACCACAAGGACCTGTCTCTCCCCCGCTGCTCGTCGCCGTCCCAGCAGCCCGGCCAGTGATTGTGGTGTCTTTGTGCGATCGCCGACAAATTTGACGCGAGCAGAAGCTTAACCAGCTACACCCACTAGCAAAGAGAGAGCCAGGATGCGCGGCTGCGTCGTACTGGGGACCAATGGTCATCCCGAGCTCACAAAGGCCATATGCAACCGACTCGGTATGCAGCCCGGCGAGGTGGACATCAAGAAGTTCTCCAATGGCGAGACAAGCGTGAAAATATACAACTCTGTGCGTGGGCAGGATGTCTACATCGTCTCGCCCGGTAGTGGGCATGTCAACGATAATCTCATGGAGATGCTCATCATGATCTCTGCGTGCAAGACGGCGAGCGCCAACAAGGTCACCGCTGTGCTGCCTGTTTTTCCCTACTCGCGGCAGCCAGATGTGCCATACTCCAAGGTTGGTGCACCGAGCACAAAGCATCATGCTGCTCATCTGGCCAATTCTCTGTATCAGTCTCTTGAGAGCCGGCCAGCGACGCCTGTGAGAGAACGTTCAGGGAATCTGGTAGGCTCAGAATCACCGAAATCGGACTCCTCCGCCAGCTTCATCCCAGACAAATTTACCCCGAATGCCTCTGGCTATAGGAAATGGGTTGCTCAGGCCGGTACGCTTGTAGCTGCGCTACTGACAACGGCCGGTGCAGACCACATCATCACAATGGACCTGCATGATCCACAATTTCAGGGCTTCTTCGATATTCCCGTGGACAATCTCTTTGGTCGTCCACTGCTACAACGTTTCATCACACTCAACATTCCCAACCACCAGAATGCCGTTGTTGTATCGCCCGATGCTGGCGGTGCTAAACGCGCAACGGCGATCGCAGACTCGCTCGAGATGGACTTCGCTCTGATTCATAAGGACCGTCGCAACAAGAATCAGCACGATGAGAATCAAATGATGCTCGTTGGTGATGTTCAAGGAAAAGTGGCCATTTTGATTGATGATCTTGTTGATACAGGTAATACCTTGTGTCGTGCAGCACAGCTTTTGCATCACTCTGGTGCGACATCCATCTATGCACTTGTGACACATGCTCTGCTCAGTGGCGATGCGATTGCAAGGCTTCGAGAGTCCAAGATTGATGTGCTTGTAGTGACAAACACATCGCCGCAAGAGGAACATGTGGCAGGCCTTGGTCTTACCGAATCTAAACAGGCGACTGCTGGCGCAGGTGGTCCTCTTGGTGCATATCGCAACCCACCTTCAAATCCATCACCCTTGTCACAAGCGACAGATGCGCATGGCAACAACTTCCCCAAGGCGAGTAATGGCAGTGGCAAGATGGTTGTGATTGACGTGGCGCCAGTCTTTGCAGAAGCCATTCGGCGGATACACAACGGTGAGAGTGTCAGCTTGCTGTTTGACCATGGTATTTAAGTAATGCTATACCGTTTATGAAAGCAACTGAGCTTCCATGTGCTCTTGATGTGCTTGCTGCATGCTCATGTGTATCTTGAGTGTGACCTGGTGCGCCCGAAGTGAGCTCACGTATTCTTTCCGTTTGTCAATGTCTGTGACGCACAGCGGCAAGACTTTGCGTTCATACTCGAGCCAGGTCTTGCAGTAGTCTTGGAAGGTTTCATTTGTTTTGAGATACGCTGCAACATATGCAGCATTATTCAGACTTGCAAACTTGGGGTCTCGTAGTAGATCAGCTGGGATGTTTGGTGCACTAATTTTGAAGGCAAATCGTGAAGAGGCGTCTGTCGGAGCGTTCAAAACAAACTGCGGCGTTGAACCAAGCGCACTGAAGACAAAGTTTGGGTTCTCTTTGCTCTTTGGCAATTCGTTCTTCAAATGAGTGAATGTGAATGGCCCTGGCAAGTCTACCGAAGCCTTGCCAAACTCGAACACCGGTACCGTAGGGTCCTTGCCTTTCGCAGGCGCTGTATTGGAGTTGGACTCGAATGCAGGCTTGCTTCCTCCCTGCGTGTCGTTCTTTGCCAAGCCAGCCTTTCCAAAGTTGGGGTTCTCTTTGGCGGGAAAGCTGGGCTTTGTCATGCGCTCCGAGATTGGCTCAATATCGCTGCCATTGTCATCACTGGTAGCTTCCAAATTCGCTTCCTTCTCGCTTTCTGATGCGGATTCCTTTTGCGAATCACTCGCATTCTCGATATCTGCATCGGCATACCTTGGATCTCTGAAAGGTTCCTCCCGTGTGCGCTTTTCCGGCGTCCTGACTGCTGGTGCCGGAGGATGTTGGACATGAGGCGAAGAAGATGAAAAATTGAGGTCGGGCACTTTACTAAAAGACAGGGGGCTCGCGACATGCGGCGTAGAGACACTTCTTCTCGAAGCGGTTGCATCGACCGGTGGCGGCGTGAACTTGAATGAAAACTTGCGCGTGCTTGCTTCAGGCGTGGGTGTCGGATTCACGGGTGTGAATGTGCTGGCAAAGGTCGGTGCCGCTCGATGAGGCATAGAGTCTTGCTTCTTTCTTGACACGGGCACCGCAGTCTTTCGCTCGGCGGTAGGAATACCAGCTTTATGCCTGGTTGTTCTTCTAGGCGGATTTTTCTGTTTGTAGTCTTCGCCAGAGTCGCTATTGGATGACTGCACATGCTCTGGCTCTGATGCACTCGAGGACAAATCGTCCATACGATCCGAATCCAGCGGTCTGTCGTGCCGCTCTCGGTAAAGAGGCGTCCGTTGATATGCTGTGCGTGAAGACTGCCATTGATATTCTTCTTGCGCTTTCCTGCCGCCAGGGGTAAATCTCGCCGAGCCGGAGCTGCCAGCAGATGGTGGAGAAGGTATTTTGGAGCCGGCTGCCGCAGTGAATGGTGAAGTGCCTCCGCCTCCCGCAAACGAAGAGAATGTATGTTTCGAGGCAGTTGGAGGATCAGGCGTACGGGGGTCAAACTTGCCAGACGCTGCAGTTGTAGAGTAGGCAGACTTGCTCTTTTGCCACCAACCTGGCTCAGCCTGGGCCGCAGACGGACCTGGCGTTGGCTTTGTACTAGTTTTCGCGTGTGGAGGCCTTGTCTTTGGTTCAGAGCGCGGTGCAGGCTTAGGATCAGGTGTTGCCTTTGGTTGTGATTGTGCCGTCTGCGGTCTGCCTGCTGGCTTCGTGGCCTTGTTCACCTGTGGTCCAGTCTTTCCAAATACACCAGGTTTCGTTGCCGACGGAGGGAACGGCCCTTTTGTATAGGTCGACTGTGGACGAGTCGTATCTGCAGGCGCTGGTTTGGCTGCTGTAGGCGCTTTCCGAGGACTCGTCTTTGCTTGTCTTGGGTATCCAGCACCCACATCATCAAAGTAGCTGCTCCAATCGTAGCCAGTCCTTGCAGAGCCTGCTGCAGCAGCTGCAGCGCGTTGTGCACTGGATGCACCGTGAGTATGCGCATAAGCCGACTGCTTCGGCGCTCCTGGCTTTTGCGTCTGCTGATACGACTGAGGCTTCCGCGCAATAGGTCTTATTTGATCATAGATGCGCTTGAGTGACGGCTCCTTGAGTACATCATACGCAACCGTAATCTCCTGGAACTTGACCTGAAACTCTTGCTCGCGACCAGGGTTCTTGTCTGGGTGCTGTGTGCGCGCCAAGTCAAGGAATGCCTTGCGGATATCGATCGCAGAACATGGAAAGGACAGACCCAGGGTCTTGTAGTAGTCCTTGGCACTGTCTTGCTCAGGCCTGACCATCGTCCATCACGTCGAGAGCAAAAGAGTCAAAGAGTGAAAGTCGCGACGGAAAGACGCGACAGGACAGGTCAACAGTCACGTATATACATGCTTTGTTTAGCTCGCGGCTGTCTCATTATTATAAGCATAGTCATCATGCACCCCATTTACGGAACCAAGACCCCGTTGCAGAAACTGGCGGTGTACCGAGCTTGTCCGGCTCGTTCATCGATGTAGGCGTCAACGTAGACGACCTGTCGTCCAGCGGTTGATTCTGCTGTCGCTGTGGGCTCTGACCATGTTGCTTGAGGGCAGTCTGCAAAGCAAAGCGAGCCTCTTCCGCTTCTTGGTGCGAAATGGCAATCTGTGCCTTGGCCTGCACAAGCTCCATCCGCAATGCTTCCACCTCATCCACATCCTGCTGCATGAGCGAAACACCGGAACTACTTCGTGCAGCTGCAGGCCGCTTGGGATCCAGCTTGATGGACTGTGCAGAATCCCGAGGCCGAGGCTGAAGCCGTAGCTCGCGCATACCATTCTCTGGTGATCCAGCGCGCACCCCTTTCCGCAGGTCGAGCAATGCCTTTTCTGCCTTGTTTCGCTCTCGCTGCGCTTGTTCCAGGGCTACCTTGGTCGAGGCAAGCGAACCACGTATCCGTCCAACTTCGTGATTCCGGTCGTCCAGCTCACTCTCCAGAAAGGCAATCTTTTGTTGCTGCAAGGTGTAAACCTGACTGCATGGCGATGCGCGCAGCTTTTGTTGCAGCTCGGTGGTGTGCTGCGAGATGGCAGCTTGTTGGGCCTCTTGTGCTTCTGGGGATTGTGCTTCTCCAAAGGCATACAGACCTTCTAGTAGCTTGCCAGCAGCAGCCTTGAGGTCGTCCAATTGGCCTATTTGCTGGTCCCGCGCATCCTTGAGTTGTGCAACTTCACGATGTGATTCAGTCAAAGCCTCAATCAACGATTCAATCTGCTCGTTGAGTTGCTTGTTTTGCTTCTCGACCGAGGCAGAATACTTTTTGAGACTCTCGATGCTTGATCGAGACGCATTTGCTGTAGAAACGGGGTCTGTTGCAGTGGCAGTTGATTCTCTAGAGCTCAATGAGACAACATCCATTTCTTTGCCAGTCGACTCGCGCTGACCGCTACCGGAAAAGAGTCTGCCAGGATTCATTCGCCCGAGGAACGACGAGGTGATGGCTTGTAGACCACGCGACTCTTGTGACATGGGCCGCGTTAGCTCTTCATTGTAGGCGTGCTCGAGCTCTACGAGCGTGTCTGCATCTATCCGGGGTGCGAGTGCCTGCACATCTGCAATGAGACTGTCGTCGTCTTCGTAAGCCTGCCAGAGGCTTTTGCCAAGGAGCATAGATAGCACTTCTTCCATATCGAGCGACAAAATGGCGTCTTGGTTCTTGACGAGAAGTGCAATACCAACGCGCATCATGGTCTCTGGGCCTTCTGACAGAAAAACGTCGTACACGCGATGCAGCGTCTGCAATGGGCAAGTGACGGCAAAGAGCGAGAGAAACCATTGTGAAGCATACATGGCCGGGTAAATCTCGAGTGCATTGAGGTGGGTTGCAAGGAGAGGAACGGTCTCTTCAATCAGCTTTTCGAATTGCCAGAGACGAAGCTTGAGTCCTGCAAGCGTTGGTGTGTACATCAGTCGCATCTCATATGCCTCCATGAGACGCACGAGCACGCAAAAGGCTTCTCCATGCGACATGTTCATCAATAAGGGCGCAACGATGAAGCCCAACCCCTGACAGTAACCAACTTCGTTGTCATATAAGCTGAAGGCCCTGAGTACCTTGCCAAGATCCAATTGCCCATCACCATCTTCATGGCGAAACATGTCGACATCTGGAAAGGTACGCGCTAGATCGCGTCCAATGACCTTTTCGTAGGGAGAGCTTTCGCGAGAGAGTTGAGCATAGAGGCCCTCGAGATGTGTGTCGCGCGCACCGGCGATACTCTGCCAGACCAAGCCGCGCAATGGATGCGGGATACCAGCACGGATCTTTGTCGTGGTCAGCGTTGGCAGCCTATTCGCCGTTGTTGTATAGTCAGAGACCAAGGCTGTCCAAAACTCCAGGTCTGTCAGCAGAATCTCCTTCGACTCGATGCGCCGGTGGCCGAGGACTGAGTGACGCGGTAATATTGGCGTACCGAGCTGTGACGCGTCTACAACAGATCGCCGGACCTGCTGCACACTAGCGCGCTTTTCAGACGCGGTGGTGGACGCGACTGAGGATTGCTTGCCATGTCGGCGAAAGGACTGGTTGCGCTCAGGGAGCATGCGTAGCCATGACTCTTGCGCATCTGCCTGACTACTGCGACGCGATCGCTCATCTGCGTCGAGCCTATTGAGGACCTGCCAGTCGAGCTGCTCTGAGGTCGTGCGCTTGTGTTGCTGCTGCTGTGTGACAATGACCAGCGATGTTGTTTTGCGCACGGCCCGTGGTGTGAGTTCCTGCTGACAGTCTTCAGGCGGCGCAGAGACGGGTCTGTCTGCCTCGGCCATCTGTTTTAGAGTGGCATGCAGCAGTAGCAGACGGGCAAAGAGAGCTTGTGTGTGGTGTACACAGTGGATATGGATGAATTTGTATTTGTCGCGTCTCCTGGGATCTGACCAGTAATAGCTAGCTAGTAGCTTAGTAGCCTAGTGGTAGCTAGTACCATAGTGATAGCTACAGACCACGGGCCTCGCGCAGGCTGCCGACCCCAGACATGAGCTCTGCAAGCTGCTCCAGCTGACTCGCACCGGCCTGCTCCCGGCGTTTGGCAGAGTCGTTCTTTGCGACGGGGTCGCCTGGCCGGTGTTCGACAGACTCGTAGTTTTCGTCCTCGTCGGGCTCCACCAGCTCGCCGTCCTGGTCATCCTCTGCTTCTGCATCGCTGACTGTCTCTGCAGGCGCTTCTGAGGATGCTGCTCTTTGCTTGCCCTTGTCCATTTGCATGTCCTTCATCAGCTTCCTTAGCTGCTCCTTCTTCTCCTCCTCTGCATCCAAGTCACGCTTCGCCCGTAGTGCTTCGAGCTCTGGCTTATACACCGTCTCGTATTGTTCTCGTTTCCGCTCCATGGCTTCCACGTAAGCGTCAAAGCCCTCGCCAGTCAGACTGCTCACGCCAACAACATCCAGGTGATTGTAGAACTCTTCCAGCACAAGCGACATGCTGTTCATGAGTGAGTTCATGTAGCCGCTGCCTTGTGTCTCGCCACGTTCTTCCTCGCGCTTCAAGGCAAGCTGGAAAGTCTCAAAGTCGCGCATCCATTCAATCTGCTCGTCGCATGCATGCATATCGGTCTTGTTGAAGACGACAATCATGGGTAGCTTTGTCTTGTACAGGATACTGACTGCGTAGAGCATAGAACTAATGAATGTCGAGCATGACTTTGACCGTGGACTGTCGATGATGTAGGTCAGAACAGTTGGAAAGCTGGAGGCCAGCGCATCCGTAATGATGGCACCTGATGCTGACCAAGTGAAGATTTCAATCTGACCCGGTGTGTCAATGAGGACATGCGACATTTTTTGCTCAGCAGCACGTCTGTCAAGCAAGGTCAGAACCTGGTCAAACTTGGTCGTAAAGAGATTGAGCGAGGTCAAGATGCCGCCATTCGGGCCAAGGTTGTATTGCTTCATCACCTGCTTGTAGTTGATTGTATCTCTGATGTCGATATTCGCTGCATATGGCAGATTGAGTACAGCTGGGTCAAGATTGAGGATGTATGGCTTTTGACTCTTTGCGTGTAGATGCGCATTGAGCCGCTGCATAAAGGTTGTCTTTCCAGCGCCTGCCATGCCCACCACTATCGAGGCGGTCGGTGACGATGCTTGAGACTCCATCCTGCTCAAATCGGTTTTAGATATGTGGAGCCTGACTAGGTAGCTATATGCTCTCGCAGCTCAAGTTATCAGGTCTTTTGGAAGCTCTCTTGATAATGTACCTGTAGTTCTACAGTAGTTGACAAGTGTTGGCAGCACAAAATTTCAAATTTGTGTCGTTTGTCTTTCGTCCTCGCGCGACGACATGGACAAATGCAAAATAGCTCCAAATCTCGTGGTTCATAGGCCGCGGAAGCTTCCACTCAAGTGAAGAAGAAGGCTCCGAGGATGATGATGTGTGAAGTAAGCAGCAGGAACTGCGCTCTGTGAGTCCAAGCGACTGCGCACATATAGCAATGCCAACCAGGTCACATGCTGGAGGCACTTCACAGCACAACCAACTATTCTTGGTGGCAATCAGAATGAGCTCTTGCCTGTGCTAGGCAGGCTTTGTGCACAAGAGCCATCAATCAGAAGGAGAGACTGTGCGCTCATCTTTTGCACATGGTGCTTCCGTGCTATTGACATGAACAACAACCTCAAGATCCTCGATTAAGTCATTCTGCAAACTCGTCAACGATCTCTGATCCGCTGCTCTAGTGGACTCCACAAAACCAATGTCTTGGCTTATTTCATCGACAGCTTAAGATCAGACCTAACAAAAGGACCGAAGATCATAAAACTGAGGTAGTATGGTAACGGGTCAAGCTTCATCAATCTCAACGGTTATCCTGGACTGTCCAACGAGCCTAGGCAAAGCGCACCCTACGCCGATGCTCCTCGAGGCTCCGCCGGCGCGGCGCCAAGCATGGTCACCATTGCTTGGCACAACTTTTGCGCCCTGCACTGCCTCGGCGCTGCAAAAAGAGCATCACGCGCAGTGTGCATGAACAACACAACCTCAAGACCCATGTGAGCAAACTATTGGAGAAGCCCACCCGAAGTCTGCAGTTTCCTGCGGGCTCCGGACCCGCTGACATTATCGGCGTTGATTTCAGACTCGACAAGTAGCTGTACAATGTGCGCCCACTTGCTGACTCATGCAATGGCAAACTGATTCAGTGTGGTGCCGTTCATCTCAAATATCATCACCAGCGGCTTTGACGTGCTCAAAGACGCGCTGGCTCCTCACGGTGAAGTCGTCGACCACCACATGGAGGGGCGGCGCGAGGGCTCGCAATACTCAACATGCAAGGTCACGCTCCTGATGACCATTGAATCTATGCAGAAATTGCCTTCGCTGAGAGTGGTGTTGGATGGTTCAACTTGGACCGAGGAGGTGAATCCATGGTGAATGTCGTCCTCCACATCACTCCATTGAGGGCAACAATTATGCCAAGCTATGGTCAGCGTAGTTGGAGCTACCAGCTTGGCTTGCAATAGGATCGGGTCTGTCTGGGCATCTTGGGTGATCCAGAATAGCCGTAGAAGGAATTTGAGCGTAATCCGACCCCATCAAACTCATACGCGATGTGCGAACTATTCTATACACTCATGGTCAACGATAATTGACCACCACCGGCAATGTGTAACGTAAGAACGTAATTTAGCTGAGCTCGTGGACGATGAATCTTAACCGTTGCAATCGAGGGAGCTTGATCCGACACCATAGTCCCTTAATTTCATGATGTGTGGTCTTCAACGAGAAAAGGAAAAAGAAGATCTCATTTTATGCATTTCATTCATTGCTATAGAGATTACGGCTATGGTCAAATGTGTAGGATGTAATGAGCTCTATCTCACGAGAGTCTGCCCAAAGGGGCAACTAGGAGTGCGGCACTGGGAGAAGAAGTGAGGACCTCAACGACCCCTGGGATTCCGCGCATGCGCGATCCCTCTTTGCGTCAGAGCTGGTGTCAAGCCCATGTTTTGGAAAAGGCGCGACCTTGAGAGGGTCCAGATGTTTTATGGTTGTCCCGTTCCTGAAATGAGGAAGATGTTGACTGGATGCTGAGCAAGGTATGTGAGCAAGTGTCTGCACGCTTGGTGGTTCCTTGCAGCCAGTGAAGATTCGCTGCCACTACCGATATTTCAGGCGTACCATGCATCAGTACTACTCAGCGTGTCGGCTGAAGAGCCGACTGGCTGGGCGCAGACCTGAAGGGACGCATTGTTTGTTGGGATTGGGATCATAGAAAGTGGCTTCTTCCTTGGTGACTTGGTGATTACCACGGACACATAGGCGACAGCAATCTTTTTGAGCTTGCTGTCCTCCTCGTATTCGAGTGGACTCGGAAGCCATCATCCAAGTCCTGAGCTGAGGCCAGGACATCTGTGATGATGTGATAGCCTCTTGGCTATCTTGTGTCTCAAAAAGGGATTCTGACTGACTACCCTCTTCCTGCGACTGAGATGTGCTTGGAATTTGGCTAACTGGTATCTCTTGCGAGGGCTCCTGTTCTGCTTGCAAGGCCACAGGCGTCTCTTGTGCTCCCAAGGTAGCAAGAACTTCGATTGGAGAATCAGAGACGTCCACAAGTTGTGTCTTAACCCAAGAGTTTGTCTGAATGAATAATTCCTGCGACTGAGAGCTGGATGCGCTAAAAGTCTCGCTTGCTGTAAGCTCTTGTGAGGACTCAGGATAACTCGTGCTGATGGCATATCAGGCGACGAGCCTGCTGAAGCAGCGTGCTTTGGTGGTGAAGATTGTGTGGAAACTGTAGGAGCTACTGGGAGCTCGTCCAAGGACGGTGCGACGCGCTTCCTCAAGCCACCTGCAGGCGGTGCTGCGGCAGGTGACTTGAATGGTTCAGCGATCTGAGTCACGCCGGGTCCTAAATCAGAAGCACCAGTCTTGAGCCTCTTGCTTGGGACGGCAACAGTGCGGTGCTGGTTTCCTGCAGGACTGCGCCTAGTCGCAGCGGCCTACCTATCGGGTAACCATGCGACGCATGAGCCTTTGAATCGCCACACGCTTTGCAGAGAGGTGTCGAGTCACAGGCCTCGCGGAAGTGGGGTTGATGGCAAAAGCACCTCACCATGGTGTATCGTTCTTCAATTTGTGGACGTCTTTGACTCTCCAATCGAAGTGCTGCCTACCCCAGGAGCACAAGCTACGCCGGTGGCATCGCAAGGAGAACAGGAGCCCTCTCAAGAGCTGCCAGTCAGCCAGATTCCAAGCGCATCTCAGTCGCAGGAAGAGGGCAGTCAATTAGAATCCCTGGTTGAGACACAAGAGAGCCAAGAGGCTATCACATCATCACAAATGTCCCTGGTCTCAGCTCAGGACTCGGAGGACGGCTTCCGCGTCCACTCAAACAGGAGGAGGTCAGCAAGTTCCAAGAGACTGCTGTCGCCTATGTCAGTGGGGATTACCAAGTCACCAAGGAAAAAGCCACTGTCTATGATCCCAGTTCCTACAACCAATGCTTCCCCTCAGGTCTGCGCCCAGCCAGTCGGCTCTTCAGCCGATACGCTGAGTGGTGATGATGCACGGAAAATTTGTTGGCGGTAGCAGCAAACTTACAAAGGATGCCAGGAAGTAGTAGGAACCAACAGCAGCGAAAAGAATTTCTTTTTTCAATGTATCTGAACTCAAAACTGTTAAGCAGCTCTGAGTCTGATACCATAGGATGCCGGGAGTGACTTCACGAGCGTACTCGAGCGGGCAGCCAGTGCGGGCTTCTCCTCCTGGTCTTTGACTCGGCATGCTGCCCCATTCCTGAGGCATACCTGCTGAAACACCGTTGGTTTGAGGTGCCTGGAGAAAAAATAAAGAGAAAAAAAATTTGGGGCGTAGCAAATCCCTTCATATTTGAGCCAGCAATTTTCTTTCCACAATTCTCAGTGGTCCAACGGTTCACGATTCCTGCTTGTCACGCAGGCGACCCGGGTTCGACTCCCGGCTGGGAAGCGTTTTTTTTGGCCGACAGCCAGATGGCTTTGGTTGCTAGAGCTCTGTAGCTCTTCATCCCCATGACCACCGCGTCTCAGCTCGGAATAACAGAATGTCTCTTATCAGCTGCAGACCAGAGTGAACCAGTAGTAAGAACAAAATACATCTTGCTGCCCCATTTGACTGCCTGCATTCACCCAAGAGGCTCCTCATCATCATCAGCTGCTAAGACTGCAAGAAGCTGCTTCAACACTCTACAAGGCTCGACTTCCATGTGCAGCCTGAGAGGGTTTCGCCGCAAATCAAGCCTGATGCGTACATCGGGGAATGTTTACTCAGACAGCGCAACACACCGCTGTCCGTTCTATCATTCTGCTATTCAGATCAGTCCATGAGAGCCTGTTGCATCCTGTTTCCTACGATTGAGATACAGGTCAATATCAGGCACGAGCAATAATTTCGCTGCATCTAAAGCTGCACACTATCACAGGTTCGAAAGAGCTGATTGCTTCCCATGATCAGATCCCTCGCTTGCTGCGCACGCGCAATTCCGACAATGTCGAGCGTTCAAAGCCGAGAGATGGCAAAGATGCTGTCTCGAGAATATTTCGTTGGTGCGACGAAGGTCATCGTGTGTGATCGCTGCACGATGTATGAAGACGCCGGACTTTACATTAGCTGTAGCCTGCTCAACAACGAACGCAGCATGAACTACGACTCTCAGTCAATGCACTGGAAGCTCATTAGGACCATGTTGGGTGTACTTCCTCCTCGGCAAATGTGCTAGTTCATGCGACTCTAGTACGCTGCTGTCTTTCTAGGCAAGCCAGCGACCTTTCGCTCCTGGACGGCGATCTATCCATCTTGCCGCCAGCTGGCTGTTTGCGGACACGATTCTGCGTGTAACTTATGCCATCTGGTTTCCCTCGCCCTTTAACCCGACTTGACGCCGAATCAGCTACAGTGTGTCAAGGCTTTTGGCTTTACAGTGTTGAAGAGTCAGCCTTATAGCTCTTTTGGGAGGCGAGCACCTTTGATGTCCAGGCCTCATGCATATTGTCGTACAGCTAAGTTCGTAAAGCCAATGAATCTGCTATCTCGTTGCAGCTGCAGTTGTACTGTCGCATGAATGTTGGTTGTTGAAGTAGCTTCTGTGTGGTTCAAGCAGCTGATGATATCGAAGAGACATTTGAGTGAACAACGGCAGACAAATGGAAAGGTGAGGTAACTATTGTTCAGGGCTGCTAAGCAGCTGATATGCCTGAGAATCTCAGCTGAGACGCGGTCGTCATGAGGATGAAGAGCTACAGATCACAGACTGGATGTTGGCAAAAAAGACGCTTCCCAGCCGGGAGTCGAACCCGGGTCGCCTGCGTGACAAGCAGGAATCGTGAACCGTTGGACCACTGAGAATTGTGGAAAGAAAATTGCTGGCTCAAATATAAAGGGATTTGCTACGCCCCAAATTTTTTTTTTCTATTTTTTTTCATCTTCTATGGTTTGTCTTTCGATTGACCTGTCCCCTGACTTTCGCTACTGAAAGACTCCCTCTCTGCTCAACACCTTCCTGAAGTCCTTCTTCAGCTAGCTGCAAGGCCTTCTCCTCTGAATTCCGCGCTCAAATGAAAGGGAAGCTGAAGGACATCCAGAATCGTTCATGCCGGCGGCATCGACAATAAGGGTCGATTCGTAACCTCCCGAATGGCAGTCGACATCGTCCGTAATTGGACTGAGCAAGAAAGACTTGTGAAGGATCAGACACTTGATCTTGAGCAGGTCGTCAGATTTGCGCCAGTCAATTGTCCAAGGTCGGTGCATAATTGCTCATAGACCTGCATTGCCCTACCGCAGCCAGGGTATCCTAACTTCTGCTCTTGGACCTGTCATCAAGGTAAGCATTCGTCCGCCAAACAGTTCCATTAGTGCGAACTACAAAAAACCCGGTATCCAGAAAGAGACCTGCCCTGCTGTATCGCTGAAATGAGTCGGACAACCGCGATAGGCGCATTGTGGTCTGACGAGGTCTGCTCGAAACAGGTCGCGAAAAGTTTCGCGTGAACCCCAGTGTCGCGGAGGCCACAGAATCGCATTTGATACCACTGGCCGCCCAATTGTGAGCGCTGCCGGCGTTGGAGGTGCCAGTGCTGACGCCAGTTCAGCACTCATGGTATTCAAGGCGCGAGGAGTCGGTTGCTGGTCGGAACCACAACCAATGGCTTTGACCCTGTTGTCGATGCTGATGCATGGGGTGACATTGATCACTACGCCACAACGAGCTTACCCACTCGGAGAGACTAGAGACATACAGGCTCAATTCTCATGAAGTTGGTAACGAAGGTGCTGGTGGCGATGCATTGAGACTGTGAGACGCAAGATCAAACATCCTTGGGTTGTACTTTGACCGTCACGACGGCCTTGGCAACGCTCGAGGATACAAGATCTCGATGGCAGCAGAGCAGACAGCGGTCAAGGCAGCACAAGGTCGACAGCGTGCCAAGATCGCAGGGTCGCCAACTCAACTTGTGTCCTTGAATTGCAAGATAAACATCAACAATTGATCAGCTGCCTCAAGGACTTTTGCAGGCATAGCTCCAGGAGCAGCTCGAAAGTTCAATCGATGAGTGCAAACTTGCCACTCTTTGGCTTGAGATCATCTCAGAGAGCCTCCAAAGGCTGAGATCATGATGCTGCCTTGTGGAAGCGACTCGAGGCTAATATAATCCCAGATACTGGAAGCTGCACCTAGAGATGTATCTTGTACAAGTTGTGGGCTGCATCAAGATTCAAGAGTCGAGGCCAAAAGTTTTCGAACTTGAACTTGCCTCCTGTCACACAAACACACCCTCTTGTTATATGCTGAAGTAGCTGTGCTCATTGCCCCAGGCTCTCTGTTCAGGTCAAGTGCTAGAGTAGAGATAAGAAATAAAAATAGCTCAACATCTTGCTCGGCAAGCTCATAAAAAGCTTTGCTATACTTAGGCTTGCTGTTGCCATATAATTACAGGCCTCGCTTGCTGCAGAGCCCGTCGATACTGGCTGCTGCATGCTCATACGCCGTGCCTGGACCAACAGGATCAATAGGAACCCACGCACGCTGCTTTTACGGCCGTCCACTGCTTTCCAGAATTCGAGACGCGTCGCAGCGCAATCACCGAGCACAACAACACACCCAAACAACCTCTTCCACGCCTCCTTCTCCGCCTCTGCTGCAGCTCACGATAAGGCAGCCATGTCGAGTGATGATGGAGACTACTCCTTTGGAGCCTACGAGCCTAGTCCTGCACCGGCAAGTCTAACTTTTGCAAACCTACGCGACTAACAATAGAAGAAAACCACCAAGCGCGCACAGACGATGGACAGTGATGAGGACAGTGTAGTGATCAGCAAACCGGCTGCTAAGAAACAAAAACCAGTCAAGCGCAAGGAGCCGCTTGATGAAGTGGACGACAATGAATCAATGGCACCGACGCCCAAGGCCAAAAAGGGCGGCGCATCCGACATGTATCAGAAGTTGACTCAGTTGGAGCACGTCATCAAGCGGCCTGATACCTACATTGGCAGTATCGAGACTCAGCAGAATGAAATGTGGTCTTACAATGCTGCCACCACTGCCATGGAGTTCAAAAAGATGTCCATGGTGCCTGGTCTCTTCAAGATCTATGATGAGATTCTCGTCAATGCTGCAGACAACAAGCAGCGTGACCCAGATATGGACACGCTCAAGGTGGACTTTGACCGCGAAGCCAATACCATCACCGTGCAAAACAATGGTCGCGGCATTCCAGTCGAGATGCACGCGAAAGAGAAGATGTACATTCCCGAGCTCATCTTTGGCCATTTGTTGACCTCGTCCAACTACGACGACGACCAAAAGAAGACGACGGGTGGTCGCAATGGTTATGGTGCCAAGCTGGCCAACATCTTTTCCACCGAGTTCACCCTAGAAACGGCAGATAAGAAGAATGGCAAAAAGTATATACAAACCTGGTCGGAAAACATGTCCAAGATGACCAAACCGAAAATTACATCCTTCAAGTCTGGCGAGTACACCAGAATCACCTTCAAGCCGGATCTTGCCAAGTTTGGCATGGAAAAGATGGACGACGATCTCGAGGGTATCTTCAAACGACGTGTCTATGATCTTGCAGGATGTGTGCCAGGCATAAAAGTTTTCCTCAATGGCGAGCGCATCAAGCTCAAGTCTTTCAAGGAGTATGCAAACATGTATGTCTCTTCGCTGCCTGAGCGAGAAAAGCCACCTCCACTCATCTACGAGCGCACCAACGACAGATGGGAAGTTGCCTTTACCGTATCTGAAGGGCAATTCAACCAAGTCTCTTTTGTCAACTCGATTGCTACAACCAAGGGCGGGACGCACGTCAACCATGTTGCCGATCAGATTGTCAGCAAAATCATTGCAGAGTACAGCAAAAAGAACAAAAAAGCTCAGGCTCTCAAAGCCTTCCAAGTCAAGCAGCACATGTGGCTCTTTGTCAACTGCAAGATTGAGAACCCGGCATTCGACTCGCAAACCAAGGAGACACTCACGCTCAAAGCCACTCAATTTGGCAGCAAGTGTTCTCTTTCTGAGGACTTTATGAAAAAGGTCATGAAGTCTGGTATCCTGGACGACATTACGCGACAATCTGACCTGCGTGCCGACAAGGCTATGAAAAAGACGGATGGATCCAAGCGTACGCGCATCACAGGCATGGCAAAGCTGGAAGATGCCAACCGCGCAGGAACGAAGGATGCCGAACGCTGTACACTCATCCTGACGGAAGGAGATTCCGCCAAGACGCTCGCCATTGCTGGCATGTCTGTTGTTGGACGAGATCACTTTGGTGTGTTCCCCTTGCGTGGAAAGTTGCTCAATGTGCGAGATGCAGCAGCTGCTCAAATCAGTGCCAATGTCGAAATCCAAAATATCAAGACGATTCTCGGTTTGCAGCATGGGAAAAAGTACACGAGCGTCAAAGACTTGCGATACGGTCATCTCATGATTATGACTGATCAAGATCACGACGGCTCGCACATCAAAGGACTCATCATCAATTACTTTGAGTGCTACTATCCCAGCCTGCTCGAAATTCCCGGCTTTCTGGTAGAGTTCATTACCCCTATTGTGAGATGCACGAAAGGCAAGGAGCAAGTGTCCTTCTTTACCTTGCCTGAATACGAGCACTGGAAGGAGCAGGTTCAGCCAGGCAAGGAATGGAAAATCAAGTACTTCAAGGGTTTGGGTACGTCAGACACGGCAGACGCGAAAAAGTACTTTTCGGATCTGGACAAGCACTTGAAGGAATTCCACACATTGCAAGAAGGCGATGCCGCGCTCATCTCACTGGCATTCTCAAAAAAGAAGGCAGACGATCGCAAAGAATGGCTACGTCTCTTCAAGCCTGGAACTTTCATGGACCACAATGTCGACAAGATTCCCATCGCTGACTTCATCAACAAGGAGCTCATTCTCTTCTCAATGGCGGACAACATTCGTTCCATTCCCAACGTCATGGATGGTTTCAAGCCAGGACAGCGTAAAATTTTGTTTGCTTGCTTCAAGCGCAAGCTCAAGGCGGAAATCAAGGTTGCTCAGCTCTGTGGCTACGTTGGCGAGCACACTGCCTACCATCACGGTGAAGTCTCCCTTGCACAGACCATTGTCGGCTTGGCTCAATCCTTTGTGGGCGCAAACAACATCAATGTCTTGATGCCCAATGGTCAATTCGGTACACGTCACCAGGGTGGTAAAGATGCTGCCAGCGCGCGTTACATCTTTACAGACTTGGCTCGCATCACAAAAAAGATCTTTTGCGAAGCAGATATGCCATTGCTCAATTACCTGAGCGATGACGGTCTCATGGTAGAGCCAGAATGGTATGCGCCAGTGCTGCCTATGCTGCTAGTCAACGGTACCTCGGGTATTGGTACTGGCTGGTCCACAGACATTCCAAATTTCAATCCCAAGGACATTACTGCAAATTTGAGGGCTCTTATGAAGGGTGAACCAGTGCAGCGTATGCGACCATGGTACCGTGGCTTCCGCGGAGAAATTGCTGATGGCAAGGACGAAGGCAACTTCAAGTCTGTTGGTCAGATTGCCGAGATTGACGACAATACGCTTGAGATTACAGAATTGCCAATTGGCTTCTGGACGCAAAACATGAAGGAGTTTTTGGAAAAGGGCATTGCAGGTGACGAAAAAACTCCTTCGTGGATCAAAGACTATGCCGACAACTCGACTGAATCCAAAGTGCACTTCACCGTCACGCTGGCTGACAAGGCGCTGAAGGACGTCGTCAAGGCTGGTCTCATTGAAAAGTTCAAGCTTACTGAAAACATTTCAATGAAAAATCTTGTTGCCTTTGACCCCGAGGGTCGCATCAAGCGATACTCGTCTGCCGAGGAGATCTTGCAAGAATTCTACCACATTCGTCTGCAAATGTACCAGAAGCGCAAGGACTGGATGGCGGCTGATCTCGAACGCCAGCATGACCGTCTGTCAAACCAAGCTCGATTTGTGCAAATGATTATCAGTAAAGAGCTGATTGTGAGTGGCAAAAAGAAGGCTGCACTTGTACAAGAGCTCAAGGAACTCAAGTTCACCTCCTTCCCCACCAAGAAGGGTGCGCAAGTCGCTGGTGAGACGGAAGAGACTGTCGAGGAAGCTGAAGCAGCCGAGTCAGATGGTCCAGACCATGGCTTCGACTACCTTCTCGGCATGGCCATTTGGTCGCTCACCAAGGAGCGTGTCGAGAAGCTGTTGCGCGATCGCAGCGTCAAGGAGAGCGAGCTTAACGCACTGCTCAAGCTGAATGCCAAGGATTTGTGGCTCAGTGATCTGGATGCCTTCGAAGCAGAGTGGGAAGGTATTCTAGAGGCGGACTTGATACTACAATCGTCAACAGACACAATCAAGAAAAAGGCACGAGGCAGCAAGCTTGCAGGCAAAGGCAAAGTAGCAGCCAAGAAGCGCAAGGCCGAGTCTGATGACGATGCTGATGACATGGACTTCTCGCCAGTCAAAAAGGTCGTCAAGAAGGCCAAACCAGCATCGCGAGAGCAGTCCGTGGCGGCAAAGGCCTCTCCCGCTGCAACCAAGCCGAAGCCAATCAAGGCAAAGCTGGAAATCACCAAAACGAGCCCAATCAGCGTTCTTGCCGATGAGGAAATCAAACCCAAAGTGCTGTCAAAGAAGCCTCCAGTGAAGAAGGCCAGTCGTGTTGTTAGTGACGACGATGACGATGTCTACAACTTTGTCAACACAAAGGCTGCCGCCGTGAAACCTCAGGCTGCGCCAGTCAAAAAGTCTGAAGCACCAACCTTGTTTGAGGACAGTGACGATGACCTCTTCTCAAAAGTCAATGCCATGGCCAAGAAGTCTGTGGTCAAGGCAAAACCAGCCCTCGTCAAGGAGCAAAGCTTGTCAATCTCAGATGAGAGCGATGTTCCAGTCTCGAAGCCCAAGGCCAAGCCAAAGGCCAAGCCGGCTGCAAGCAAGGCGACAAGCATGACTTCCTCAGACAGCGATGTTCCAGTCTCGAAACCCAAGGCAAAGGCGAAGCCAGCTGCAGTCCGCAAGCAAGCTAGTCCTGCACAGTCAGACGACAGCGATGTGGAAAGTGTAAAGGCAAAGTCGAGCACGAAGGCTCCCACAAGCAGACCTGGTCGTGCAGCGGCGACGAAGAACCAGATTATCATCGAAAGCGATGAAGACGATGAAGGGAGTTTGGCTGCCTCGGAGAGCGAGCCCAGCGACGAGGATGATTACGAAGATTGAGGAGAAGATTGTTAAGATTACGCTGTAGCAAACATAGGCGCACCATCCAGGAGGAAAGACTCCAAGGCGTATAGCTCAGCCTACTCTGTAAATGTTGCAAGCAGACATGCGGTGTCCATCAAATAGATGTCGCAAGTAGTTGTCTTGTGGCCGGCCTTTCAAAATCCGCTTGCGAGTTCGAAGTTTGCTCAGACAAAGAGGATTTACAAAGGCACCCGGCCGACGCAACTGCCACGCTATTCTCTTGCTTGCTGCGCCTTGAGACTCCTTCCTCCAGCTGCTCAAACACTCTTTGGCGCAAATATGACCCCAAAGGATCGAACCGCATGGTGCTTGCCAGCGGCGCACTTTTGTTTGTCAGCGCTTCGGGGATAAATGTCTCGAGCATATCGCGCTTGGGCCCCTTGGACCTGGCCTCTTTGACAGGCTTTTGACATGGCGCCGCTTTGTCCGCCGGAAGCTTGCTCGAGTGACGCTCGGGGATGTCCGCTTCTTAAAGAGCAAGACAGCTGTCTTGGATCATGGCGCTCGAGCAATCTGCTTGTATGTTTGTTGCCCTGCAATTTGACGATGCGTGCAACGTGCGAGAGTGCCTAGGCCTCCCTCGACGTCGTAAGACACAAGATGTTGCATCGATCGCAAGGTGTACTCCATGGGACGCAACCAGTAGACTGCTTCCCGAGGCGACACTCAGGCATCTGCGGTTCACCTATCGCCCGCAAGCTGCCGCGAGTAGGAGCCCCGGGAGCCTTGTCCAGCAGCACAGACAACGCTACTCCGTCTTTGCGCAAACAAATCGATCCCTGTATAGCGAATCCCGCTTGGGCCAAGCATCCGGGCACGGCTCGAGGGGCCTGCTCGGACCGGGCACGTTGTCTGCTTCAGAACCTCGACAAAGCCCACTTGCTCCTGAGCTATCTACCTCAAACACCCTCGACAAAGATATCTCTCGCTCTCCCTTTGTTTCAGCAAGACCACACCCTACAAATCTGCGACCCGGACTGTCTTGGAACCTCGCCCGCCGACTCTCATCCTCGGGCCATCGGTATTCGCAACATATGACTATTTTACAAGCATCATCTGCCGGCATTCCTCCCTCGAGGAGGCCATCTCAGTCGAGTTCGAGTAGCAGCCCCATGTCCCTTTCTTGGCGTGCTCGATCTATTTCGGCAGCATCCGCCTTACCACCAGCTGCCCTTCCTACAAAGTCTCTTCCGGAGGGTAGTCTGATGGCTAAAGACTCGGACGCTGCCGTGCGATCCACCAGAGCCGTACCAACGAGTCGCCATGCCGGGACAACCACACAATATTCGTCGGCCGATGGGAACCGCGGACCCTATGAACCCTTCAAGTTCACTGCGGAAGGCTTTCCGGTGAACAACAAGATCAAGAAGGCCAAATATGCTACTAGCGTTGATGATCGAGGCTACCTTTCTGGTATTCCACACTCCTGTATGCAACAAGACTAACGAGCAGTATATGAGTTCTCTCTCAATGATCAGACCATTATGTGGGACTACACCACTGGCTTTGTTCATTTGACAGGGATTTGGAAGGCGCTTGGCAATAGCAAGGCTGATATTGTCAAACTTTGTTCTACCAATTTGGAGTTGGAGCTCGAAGGTGTAATCAAGAGAATCCGCGGTGGCTACCTCAAGATTCAAGGAACTTGGGTGCCTTATGAGCTTGGCAGAGCATTGGCAAAGCGAACCTGTTGGCCCTTGCGACATGCAATGGTCTCCGTTTTTGGGCCAGACTTTCCATCTGAATGTCTCCAGCCTGGTATGCCCGGCTACGGCACGCTGTCGCTGAACGACGATGACGATGCAGATCCCAAGAAGAAGCGCAAGCGAAAGGCTCAGCAGTCTGTCAGTGTCACGGGTTTGAAGCGTCCTGCACGCGGGCAGGCTTCGACAAAGGCTGAGCCGATGCCGTTGACTGTAGCGCAAGCAGAAAAGCGTCGCCGCATGGAAGGCGCTTTTTCGCACCCACCTGCTCTCCCGAAAGAACGTCCAACTCGCAAGGCTGCCAAACCAAAGCGCTATGTTGAGGAAGACGAAGGTGATGAAGAGGACTTTGACGAGGCAAATGAAATTGATTCGCAATCATCAACTTCGGTTGTGTCTGACGTGTCTGAGATTGTGGAAGTACCCATCTCCAATGGATTTACACCGTCCAAAATTGAGATTTTGGATCTGCTTCGTGCTTCGAGGTCACTTCAGCAGCTTAGCACGGGTCATCAGAGCTTTGACAAGGAATCTGCTGGCGGCATATTTGATGTTCGTGGCACCATGTTTCGATGGGATGGCGGTATGGAAGGTCGTTCAGGCTTGACGAGGATTATCAATGTGCCAGAACGTACACAGCAGTCTCCTCATGACGCGAGCACTGAAGTGCACGATGGAGAGCCCGAGCTTGAGGATGATAAGGGACGGCAAAGCTCGCCTGACAGCGTTAGTCTCGTGGGCTCACAGTACGGCCTTGATTACAACCCGCGCATGGCTTCGGCGAGTGTCTCGCCAGCTCAAGTACGCGTCTATCCAGCTGTTGCTCATCGCCAAGTTGATGGCAAGAGTCCATTCACTTCTGCTGCTTGGGCAACGCCACAGCCCGCCTTCTTTGGTGTGAATGGTCGCCCGATGCCGACATTCGGCTTTCCAAACACACCTCAGCCTGCGTCCAATGTCCATCGAGGCTCTGCGAGTATCGCTTCGACCAGTGTCGAGCATGAGCCAAGTTGTGCCACACCACCGGAACGCACAAGGACACCAGATTTCCAGTATTTTGGCCCTCAATCTAGCCTGGCACTTCAGCAGGCAATGACCAAATGATGGACCGCTTCAGCCAATGAGAATTTTAGTTTTAGCGCTTCTCAGCGAGTCTATTTTGCTTCTTACACTCTGGACATATGTTAGAGTACTTAGTACTAAATGTCTTTCACGAGATCAATCTGAATGTGTATCCTGCAAACTTGAACCCTCTGTCGAAACGACCACTTGACCAAGTGATGCTGAAATGAGAAGAGCTGTCATCAACTGCCATCGGCCATCCTTCAGGTCGCTACATGGTGATTCTTAGCTTGCTATACGTTGAAACTAACAAAAGTGCCAAGAGCTCGCATAGACTTTAAATACATTCGAGACAATGCTAGTGCCGTCGCTCGCAACTGCAAGCAGCGCAATCTGCCCATCAAACGAGAACAAGTGGATGCTATCATCGAAAAGTATACTGGGTTTGTCAGTAAGACAGCCGAGCTGAATACCGCTCTTGCCAAGCGTAATGCTTTGTCGTCGAGTATCAAGTCAGCCAAGCCGGAGCAGAGGCAGGCTCTCGTTGAAGAAGCGGCAGCCTTGAAGCCAGCTATCCAAGCCTTAGAACAAGAAGTATCGACAATCGAAGGAGAAATGGTTCAGCTGGCCTACGTACTACCAAACACGAGCCATCCTGAGACACCCATCGGCAATGAAAGTCGCGTCAAAATTCTTGATTACATCAATGAAGAGAACCAGTACAAGGGCAAGGAAAGACCGCTTGATCATGTCGAAGTGAGCAGCAAGCTTGATCTTGTCGACTTTGATGCTGCATCCAAAACCTCAGGAACCGGTTTTTACTACTTGAAGAATGAAGCAGTTGAACTGGAGCTTGCCTTGACGCAGTACGCACTCGCAAAAGCCAAAGAGGCAGGCTTCAAGCTTCTGAGATGCCCGGATCTGGTACGCTCAGAGTTTGTTCCTGCTTGTGGCTTCCAGCCTCGGGACCAAGCAGGTCAACAAATCTATGAAATCTCGTCAGACAATGAACCCTCGAGGCTATCGTTGGTAGGTACAGCAGAAATTCCTATCGCTGCGCTCGCTGTTGACAAGGTCTTCACACCGGGACAGCTACCCATGCGCTATGCTGCTGTTGGCCGTGCCTTTCGTGCTGAAGCAGGTGCTCGAGGCGCCGACACACGCGGTCTATACCGTGTCCATGAATTCACCAAGATTGAGCTTTTCTCCTTTTCTGAGCAGCAATCCTCTCAAGCAGAGTTTGAGGCGATCGTCAAACTTCAAAAGCAAATCATCAAGGAGCTCGGCTTATGCGCGCGTCTTCTTGAGATGCCCACTGAAGAACTAGGTGCATCAGCGCATCGCAAAGTGGACATTGAGTGTTGGATACCGTCGCGTGATGGATGGGGTGAAGTGACATCTGCTTCCAATTGCACAGACTACCAAGCAAGACGACTCAACGCGCGCTACAAAGTGGCTGAGGGCATGCGGTTTCTACACACAATCAACGGCACGGCAATCGCGGTACCACGCATCCTGGTGGCAGGTCTCGAAAATTGGTACAAGAATGGTATGGTCCGGATACCGCGTTGCTTGAGACCGTACATGGGTGGCATCAAGGAGTTTGGAATTGGTTCTGATGGAGCTGATATTGTTACTTCTGGAGTGAATACTAAGACTGCAGCAGTGGATACGTAGCTTAAAAGATCTTCATCTTGTTGGGTCGGATACGTGGTGCAAGGCCAGCGAGAATGAGGGCATCAAAGAGAAGCCAGACCCAGAGAACCCTGATCTTTCCCAAAAACCAGTCAGATTGAGTGCCCAATGTGACTGTTGTCAGGACAAGAGCAGAGAGCACATAACCGAATGCTCGATGGTACTTGTAGAGCGCCTTGGCTTTTGTTTCGCCACCAAGCCAATTGGGCAGCCAGAACATGCCTGCGCCGACAAGCACTTGCGTAGATAAAAGGAGGGCAGTAGTCAAGCCAAATTTGCCATGCCAGGTTGTGTAGTGTGCAGCACCGTGGCTAGCCTTGTTGTAGAACATGATTGCGGCAGCTGTACCGAAAGATAGCAGCGCAAGGCAATGCAAAATGCCATGGACCTGGCCGCCTTGTTGCTTTTGTGCTTGTGTGTGCGTTGGCTGCACAATCAAGATGGCATTCACAAGGAGAACAAGAGCGAGACTGTTGAGCAATGGATCTAAAGGTGTCAGCATATCGACGAGGCGAACAGGCTAGCTTACGCCAGGAAACGAGGATCAAGTCCGTAAAAAGCGTTTCATACCAGACCACAACCAATATTGCCCAAATACCGAGCTGTGCCAATACGGCCGTACCAGTCAGCAGATTCATCCTCAATGGGCCGTCTGGTCGCTGCAAGACAGGCGTGTCGTTTGGAAGGAGCGTTTGGTGCTCGCTGCTATGATTGCCTGCGGCGTCCCCTGAGCCAGAAGACATAAAGTAGTAAGGAGATGAGAGCTTAGTAGCTTGAAGCAGTCCGATTGTATATCGAGGCAGCAACAAGGATTCTCTTAGCTAATGGAGGTGTAGTCTCGGTCCTAGCTGACCAAATAGCCACAAATTGTCATCGAAGGCTGCTCAGGGGACAAGCACACGATTGACCATGCAGCCGGGCCTTGCTGTCGGAAGTAAAAACGGGCAGCTACTACATGCTTATTCGGCTATGGTCTAGCATTTGCTTATGCCGATTCTCTATGTAATATGTAAGGCCCCTGTCCCGTGAATATGCCGCCTTCGTCGCCCCGTTGAGCGCCCAAAACGCGAATGGCCAACGATAACGACGACCATCCACCACGAAGAGTCGCACGACCTGTTCCTCCTGCGCAGGGCCTCGCACGGTAATAGGAAACATGTCGGCCGCTTCAGAGCCCAAGGGTCGGCACAGTGTCACTCTGGGAAGCTCAATGACCGATGTACGGAGCGCAGAACAGCACGTAGGTCTGCGATGTGTGTCTATACTTCTCCACGACCTTACAGCTGACCTCAGTCAACTTCCAGCCAGGCACGATGGACCGCGCAAGAGCTGGATATCTGTCTGGAGGCCCGGAAGAATATACGGTCGCTGTGCCCAATACAAGCGATACAGGCTCGGACCACATCTTTACCGGTGCTGCCCAGTCTACAAAGGACCTTGATTGTGTGCTCATCTATGACGAAGCGACTTCTGTTCGTATCAATCTATGGCTACTACGCGCTAACCGGTTAGTCATACAGGCTAGAACACTTTGACGGCATTGTCAGGCTAGATCATCAACGCGGCAAGTCTGGACACCGCAAGACGGCATCGACAGCATCTCTGGCATCGCCCTTTGTCCCGTACAACATCGTCGGCAGCTCGCCTGCGCATCTTCCTTCATCTCCAGGAGCACAGAACATCACCTCCGCGCCAAACGCGGCCACAGGTCTAGCTTCATCGCCGGCCCCACCTGCCGTGGCGACACCAGCTGCTGCGCACGATGATCTAGATGACGATGCACCTGCCGATGAAGTGCATGATAAGAAAGGACGGGCTATAGAACTACAGCATGGTAGACGAACCGCCACCTCTACACCGCCTCCCCGTATACGTCTGGAGACTGCGGCAAAAACATCCGGAGTGGCCGATCCGCCTGAGTCTGCAGCAAAGCCAACAAAGGGCACGGCTCAGGTCAAGAAGACTGCTCCTGCAAAAGCAAAGGCCAAGGCGCAGCCTAAACCAAAGTCGAAAGCAAAAACAAAGGCTCCAGTCATTGCTGCTCGTCGTGCGGACATCATGGAAGACGAGCTTGATTATGGCGATGATTCTGATGAAGGTACAATGCCAGTCGATGCCTCTAGCAAGTCTGCGCCTGCAACAGAGATTGAAGAAGATGATGACGATGATGATCTCGATGACCTTGCAAATATGCTCGAGTCCACGCTGGAAGAGTCACCGCCTGACACCGGACTTGCTACTGCCCCCGCCGACGAAAGCAGTGAGGACGAAGACTGAGCCATTTCTTGTATTGAGCCTTTGGTATTGGCGTCTGTTTTTCTGTCTTGACATTGGTTGTACACATTTCTTTATTTCTAGTCAACGTCTTCATTCTTCTCGTCGTCCTCCATGAGCAACATCAAGTCTTCTTGAGCCTGCTCTAATTGACTCTTGAGCTGCTCCTTCTCGTCTTGCAATGCCACAATTTGTTTCTCCAAGTCGTTAACCTTGGCGGCTGAGACGTCGTCTTTCTTGTCTGACTTTTTGCTTTCTGTGGCTGTTGCGAGCTGCTCTTCAAGCTTCTTCTTCTCAGCTTCAAGCGACCCCTTCTCTTCCTCCAGCTTTGCAACCCGCTTCTCAAGGGATGCTACAGCCGATACGTCGACCTTTTGATCCTTCGCTTTGGCTGTGGCTGACTCTGCTGCCTCGAGCCTGTGCTTGAGCTTGGCCAGCTCGCGTTGATGAGCTTCTTCTGCAGCCTTGGCAGCTTGCTGAGCACCCTTCAAATCGCTGCCCAAATCGTGAGCCCTGGTCTTGCTCGTAGAAAGCTCTTGCTCGACCGCTTTCTTCTCCTTGCGTGCTTCACTTGCTTCTTTTTCGGCATCAGTCGCACGTCGTTCAGCTGCGGCCAGTGACGCCTGTAGCTTCTTCACTTCCTCTTCCAAAGCAGAGACAGCCGCAAGACGTTCGGCAGCCTGCGTTCGTTCCTGCTCGGCTAAGGTCCGACCCGTCGTCAACTCCCGCTCCAAGAATTGACGCTTAGACACCTCGCTCTCCAATTCGCTTTCGAGTGCTTCGAGCTTGCCCGTAGCAGTGGTCAAACGTTCCTTGAGCTTCTCCAATTCAGCGGCAGATTCTTTCGCAGCCACCTGCAACGCATTTCGCAGTCCCGCAGACTCTTCCACGGTTGCATCTGCTTGTTGCTGAACTTGAGTCAATTCTGCCTTGGCAATCACCACCTCTTCACGCTCCTTGACAAGCTCTTTCTGGATACTGCTCAACGCCGACTCGTGCTTTTGCTGCAGATACTTGAGCTCTTCCCGTTGCCGCTGAAGCTCCTCTTGCCGTGTTCGCAAATGATTGATAGCTTCCGCTAAACCTGTGCTCTTGAATTCAAGCTGTTCCTGCAGGTCAGAAATGATGTCTTCACTCTTTTCGTGCTCTTCTTGCGCTTCCCTAGAACGCCGCTTCGGAGGAATGGGCTCAATATCGATTGCTTTACGAATCGTGCCGTACCCATCGCGAAAGAATTCAATGAACGTATCATCCAAGACTGCTTGTTCATATTGTGCAGTTGCCAACGCCGAGCGCCGAAGAGACTCAAGGAAGCTAAAGGTGACTATCGCATCGACGATACTGTCCCGCCCAATACGGAGCAGGATCGGTTGAAGCGCCGCTCTAGGCAAGGGAGAGGCCTCATCGAAGTCAAAGGCATAGCAGATGCTGAGCAAGCTGGCACAAAGACCTTTTGTCGTTGCATCCAATTGCTCACTCTGTAACTCTGCCAAGAGCGCTTGCAAGGTGCTACCTTCCTCCAAGAAATTGCTGATGGACTCTTTCGAGTCAAACAACCAACAGCACAAGAGCTGAAGGTACGCAGCTGCGCTTCGTCGACGTTCACGCTGTAGACTCGCAACGAGATTGCCTGAGATGGTCTGAATGAACGATAGCTCTTCTTCGCCTGCAGCAGCGTCGCCAATAGTCAGCTCGGTAAACATGGCTTGTGCCTCTTCATCATCGCGCGTGAGCCGCAGCAATGCACAGCAGGCGAACCAGGTACGATATTCATCGACCTCAGCAGGCGCAACAACCGCTTCGAGAAGAGAGCCCTCGCTGCCGCTCAGGTAAGAGTCAATCACTTTTTGTAGGATGCCTAGCTGCCGTGTGTGATTGCCAGCCGTGAATGCTTCGACGCAGAGGAGCGCCGCATATCGCATCTTGAACGTTTCTTCGCCGCCCTGCAGCAGAATTTGAAAGAGAGAGTCCATATCGTTTGGATCGCGCTCGTGTCCCGCCAAGGGATCCATGGCAAGTGCAGACGCTTGTGAAAAGTACTCTTGCAAGGCTTGATTACCATGCATCAAGTCGGCCAACGTCGATAGCGCAGCAGCACGAATGTCGAGCGATGCAGCCGGTTGAAAGGCAAATGCCACTGCCTGTGTCACGATACCTGCTTTCATGGCTGCATCTTGCTGTGTTGCCTTGTTTGCTGACTTCCTCGGTACGAACAGCCTGCAAATTTCGAAGAGAGCCGTCAGGTTCTTCCGCAAGGCTGGTGGCATCGTGGCTTCCTTGTCAATCGCTTGGAAGAGCTGTGTGATCTTTTGCAGGAAGCCAGTCTCTCTAAACCAGTTTTGGTTGGAGACATTGTTTGCGAGCAAGTTGCTCAACAAGGCAAAGCAGTCAGACGTGACAATACCGCCTTCAAGGCCACCTTCTTCGTCTAGAATGGCAAAGCACTTTTCAAAGATGTTTTCAAAGGCAGCGCGTTTTTGAAGCTCCGTGTGGCTCTTGACCAGCTTGACGAGGAGTAAAAGGACCTCGTTCCTGATTTGCTCGCGTTGATCGTTCAGAATCTCGACAAGCGTAGAGATGCCAGTTGCACTGCTCATGATACACTCTTGCAATGGCACCTGGCGGCACTCCAAAATGCATGACAAGATCTGGAGAGCATGCAGCCTAGTGTAAAAGTTGGTTTCAGCTACAATGTCGAGCAAGTTGAGGACATTGTCAAATTTCTGTTGTCAGCCATGCTTCAGCAGCATATGCTGCTTACCAAGGTGAATTCATCCGCGATCCATAGCGCTGTATCGTCGACAGTAACACCGTCTTCAACGACAAACAGCTGCAAGAGGCATTCAAGCGTGGCCTTGAGCGTCTCACTATCTTCCTTGTCCAATGATAGACTTTTGAGAAGACCTCTGAGCCCCTCAGCGGCAACAGCTTCTTTGTGCTCGCGTGAAAAGCCCTTGAGAGAGAGCACAGCTGCGCGCCTATCTTCTAGCAAGGTGGCATGCTCGAGCCTGTCGCACACGACGCTGATGGCTGCATCGACCTTTTGCTTCTCTGGCTGTATCGATGCAAACAGCTCCATCTCTGCTTCTCTGTCCTAGCACTCCACCATCCCTGCTACACGCTGGCAGTCCTTGTTGTAGCTGGTCTCTGCGTGTGTTTGTGGTCGAGCGCGCTTTGGCCAGCAAAACAAGACAACACACTGGTCAGCTACCTGTCCAGCTCATTTCTTGCTCCTACATACCAGGGCCATGGCTGCGCATTCGTAGAGACGAACGAGGTACACAGAAGAAGAGTCTCCCTTTATGGCCCATGATCGCGCATCCATGTCCGATTCTGTACCTGCCATTGAGCAGATTAACAGCTTACCCTTCCACGATGCGCGCATCCGATCAGCGGCCGTATCCAACGCGACATCAGCAGCACCATCGCCCAACGTCATTCAAGGCGCTCATTTGGACTGGCCCGCTGGAGTCGCATTCTATGGAGCACTAGAAACGGAGGTCCTGTTTCGCAACTCACCTCGTGTGCCGCAGAGCCCCTCCAGCGTCGGCTCGCCCTTGCTGCTACAGCTCCAGCGGCCCTTCCCAAAGCATGCAAGGCCCGCGGATTCAGATCACCTACATTATACACACAGGGCTGAGTCTGCAGCGTTGGCGCCTTTACCTACAGATTCGCTGGCTCCGACGACAATCTCATCATCCAGATCATCCACCACGACACGTGAGCCCATCGAAGACTATGAGGGCATTCAGGCTGATCAAGTCGATCGGTATGGGTTCTTTGCCGATGCGAATTCCGCGCGGAGACGACTGTCCAGCGCATCGATGATGGAATTGCACAAAAAGTCCTCGCAACACAAGCTCTCACGAAAGAGCAGCCTTTGGAAGAGGCCTTCGCTCTTGCCCATCCGTACACCACGAACAGGCCTTGCTCCTGAAAGCCAGATGTCACAAGCTGTCAACAAGGTTTCTGCGATCAAGGAAGCTGAACGTGCCGAAAAGTGGCGACGCATGGCAACAAGACGTGCAAATACAGCCGATTTCGACTTCAAGCAGACGAGCAAGCTGGTTGAGCGTACATTCAAGGGTATTCCAGACAGCTGGCGTGCGCAAGTTTGGTCTTCACTGCTTCGCGAGAGCGCTGCAGGTGCTCCAGCAGAAAGTCGCCTGGATGAGCAAGCGTTGCTAGACCGCTACCAACATCTTTTGGATAAGTCATGCGAGAGCGACTCGCAAATTTCACTCGATGTTCCTCGCACTATTTCCGGACACGTTCTCTTTCGCAATCGCAATGCCGGCGGACAGCGATTCCTATTTAATATCTTGCATGCACTCACGCTGCAATTCCCTGAAAGCGGCTACGTACAAGGCATGCCTAGCATAGCAGCGACTTTACTGTGCTTCTACGCAGAGGAAAGGGCCTTTGCTGTGATGTGCTGGCTTTGGACAGAACGTCGAATGCAGGATCTGTATAAGCCAGGCTTTTCACTCATGCTCGACGCTTTTCAGACGCTAGAGGAGCGTATGCGTGGACTACCTGCGGGTAGACATCTCATTCAGCTTGGCATTCTGCCAATAACCTTTGCAACGCGCTGGTACTTGACGCTGTTTCACATCACACTTCCCTTTCGCACCCAACTTCGAGTCTGGGACGTGTTCATTCTACAACCCAAGGACAGCTCCTTGCAAGTGCTAGAGGCGGTCACGTTGGCCTTACTCGACACGCTGGAAAAGATGATTCTGCTCTGCGATTTTGATACAGCAATGCGGGTGTTGACCCTGCCACTTCCCATCACCGACGACGAGGTCCTCCTCAAACATATTCGAAAGCGACTGCGCTGATTGTAATTCCATCTGCATACATAGCTAATTTATCTCTACAGGATTGCCATAATCTACTGTTAGCGAGAGTTCCATGACAGGGTGAACCTACGTTTGGCGGTGTCGCCACTCCGCCAGGGACATTGAGGGGAGAGCTGCTCACAAAGAAGGACCATCGACCTTCTTGCTTGCATAGCTCACTGAGCCGTTCAAGGTAAAACATTTCGCCAATGGGCATACCCCATCCAGCAAGGAAGACTTCATGCAACAACTTACCAAAAGCAGACAAATCACCGGGCCAAGACTCAAAAGCAGGTGCATCCCCGGCAACAGCAGCAAACTTGTTATTGTAGACCCATTCTGCAAACTTGATGTCTTGCTTAATACCAGCAAATTGTGGCGGGATCTGCTTGGACTTGGCAAGAATTTCGTCATCCGTCTTTTTCTCATAGGCAGTATGGTAGCCTGTGCGGAATATAAGGATATCGCCCTTTTGGAATGTTGTGCCTTGCGCTTTGGCCACGTCGTGGATGAGACTCAAAGAGACGCCATGTGTCGTCCAAGGATCATATTGCAGCTCTGGCTTATCTTGAATATAGGCCCAGACATCAATAAGGACTGCACGGCCAGCAATGCCCTTTTGAGCCCAGCTTGCCATGCCACAGCCTTCATGCTTCTCTCCCTTCAGAACGTCATCCATCGTCTCGCCATTGTAAAATACTGCTTCCTTTTGATAGCCAAAGTGGCGATGTCCATCCCATTGCGATGAGTGTTGGGTGTTGAAGTGCACAGTGTCATCAAAGACCACTCTATTGGGCTTTGCGAGGATCTCATGCTGGAATGCTTGTCTGCCAAATCCAGGATGTGTCGGGTGCTGCAGATTCCAGTTCAGGCAGACACGCTTGCCAGTCTTGATACAGCTTGCTGCTGCGTCGCGAACACGGGCATCTGTCAGGTAATTGAGTGTACCAAGTGTGTCGTCCTTGCCCCAGACCCAGGCACTGTATGGAGGCTCTTTTGGGTTTCCTGCGACGGTTGGCAGCTCGTCGAAGGAGACATCCCGCATGATGGTTTCCACTAGTTCGTCGGATGCCATGGCTGCTTGTCTCTACCAGGTATACTTTGCTAGACAATGCTAGTACGTTGCTAATACTTGCTATGTTGCTGGTCTTTACCCCACACTTGCTTCCGGCTCCACAGATGTCGTCCATTTCTCTCACGCTCCTCGGCGTCTTCTACCGCCGAGATCCCCACACTACAAAGGCGACTGACTCCCTGAGCTCACTGACTTGCAATCCATCCATAAGCATGTCCCAGAACGTAGACTTTGCAAAGGCCGTAGGCCACAAGTTTGAGCCAGTCCCGCAAACCTGGACGAAGCGGGATGTCCTGCTCTTTGCCAACTCCATTGGCGTGAAGCATGACGAGCTGCACCTCCTGTATGAGCTGCACCCGGATTTCGCTCCTTTCCCAACATACCCAGTCTTGCTACCATTCCGGCATGCAGATGATAAGGGCGAAGTCACTGACTTTATCGCTCGCAACAAGTCTGGCAAGTCTGCGCCCGGTGCACCAAAACTCGATCCTGCACGCATTGTCGATGGTGAGCGTTACATTGAGGTGCTCAAGCCATTGCCTGCTAGCTCAGAAGGCCATGACTTTGTCTGTGAGACAAAATTGCTTGGACTTTACGATAAAGGCAAAGCTGGTCTCGTGACGGAAGTAGAGACACTCCTCATTGACCGCAAGACGGGTGAAGCCTACACCAAGATTGTTGCTTCGTCGTTTGCTATTGGACAAGGCGGTTACAGCGACCAGCCCAAGCAAGTGCAAAAGACACGCGTCAACAAGCCACCCAAGGAAAAGGCAAACTCCCCCGACAAGACGGATGAGACCAAAACGACCCTTGAGCAGGCTTTGTTGTATCGTCTCAATGCAGACTACAATCCATTGCACGCTGACCCAAAAGTCGGCAAGACAATGGGCTTCCCAGGTGTCATTCTCCATGGTCTTTGCTCATGGAACATTGCCGCTGTACACGTCTTGCGCGCCTATGGTCAATCTCAACCAGGGGCACTCGTCTCGTTTGAGGCTCGATTCGCAGCACCCGTTTTGCCAGGCCAGACGCTGCGTACGGAGATGTGGCTTGCCAAGGACAGTAACGGTATCAAGGAAGTCGTCTTCCACGTCAAGTGCAAGGATACCGGCAAAGTGGTCTTATCCAACGGACGTGCTCAAATCAAATCATCTCCAAAGTCAAAGATTTAAGTCAATTGATCGGTTTGTAGCAATGATTATGCCTACTTCTTAATAAGCCCTATTCTTCTTTTGCTATATCTTGACTCAAGGCTTGGGCGACTCGCATGCTAGGCACTTGCTAGCGTCTGCCGGATTGCTCACCATACACACATCGCATGACCACCCTGCCGTCTTGGGCGCCGTCATACCCGCCGCAGCCCAATTGAAACCACCCGAACTCTTTACTGGTGGTGCTGGTGCAGTAGCGCTCGTACCTGCTGGCTTTGACGATTCGCAAGAAACACAGGTCGTCTTGTCTGTTGAGTTCGAGACCATGCATACATCACAGGTCCAACCAGAAGCCACAGGCGCCTTCATGCCTGCAGCAGCCCAATTGAAACCACCAGTTTGTGGTTTTGGTGGTGCTGTGGTGGTCTGTTGCGTAGTGGTAGTGAAGTGGTATGCAATCAATTCAGCACGACCAGCACGTTCTTTGAGCTCCTGCTTGCCAGGCGTTGTTGGTGCGTCTAGCGAGAAGATGAAGGCCTCAAGTTGCGATGCAGGTACTCTAGCAGCGCGTGTCCTGTCGTCGTCCTTGATAGCTTGGACGGTTGCAGGTTTGGGCGCAACAAGCGGTTTTGCGAGTGGTTCAGCCTTCTTTGTTGGATCAAATGTAAACGACATTTTGGCAGGTGCAGGCGTTGTATCGCTCGATTGACTTTGCCCAAAACTGAAAGCAGACGTCGTCTTTGCAGCACTTGGCTTGAACACAAATCCACTCGGCGCAGAAGTTTCCTGCTCCGTGTGCTTCTTTGATGGAGAGATATACTCCGTCCCATCGCGTAATTTGTGCACATTAGCAGGTGAATCCACCGGCTCTTCAGAAGTAGATTTGGTTGGTGGGTTGAAGACAAAGCCGCCATGTGATTGATGTTCCGCCGTGTCTGATTTTTTATCGCCACTTGAAAACGCTGGCGCTGCCTTTGCAGTGTCTGTAGACCGGACAGCTTCGAAGCCACCATGAGCGGCATGTTCTTGGGCACCTGAATCAACAGCGCCAGACATCTCCTCATCGTCACTGTGCAGACCAAATCCACGTCGCTTGCCAGGCGTATTTGCACTCTGCTGGGATTCGCGTGATGGGACTGAGCGCGTGTCATTTTGTCCCTCATCCACATCTGTTGTTGCAAAAGATTGTTTGAAGGTCGCTGATGCATTCCCTGGTGCCAAACTGCTTTGACTTGCAGTGAGTGAAAATGCAGAGGACTGCGAGTGTGTCTTAGTCTTTGGTGTTTGTGAGAAGCTGCTTTCCGCTTGGAGCGTCTGTCCACCACGCGGAGGAAAGAGTGATCCGCTCGAAAGAGGCAATAACCCCTTCTTTTGCGGTACCAAGGCGCCGTCTGGTGTATAGGTCAAGCTTTGCTTCTCTTTTGCAGGCGTCCCCCGCATCACAGCCAATACACTCAACCCTCTTTCTGCGCGCGCCGGAGACTGTCTGACTCTTCTCGGTGACGGCGCAACACTAGATCGCGCATACGGATTGAGCATTGCTTGAATCTGTTTTTGTTTTTGCTCCTCCGACACGGTCTCCTCAGATGCAGGCAAATCACCCTTTCCATCCTCCAAAATCGCTAGCATCGATGCAGCCGTCGCGCGACCCGTCTGTGAGTCTTCCACATGACTCATTTTTGTACGCTTTGCAAGCGGTGCAGCGACATCTTCAAGGCCACGTTTCCCAGCACCAGACGCTTCTGTCGGTGGCAAGGCTGCCATTTCCATCGATTCTTGTGGTCTGCGTTGTGGCGAATCAGGTTGTTGTGGTGCAAAACTCGTTCTTGCAAGACTACTACGCCGTTTAAAGGGCGATTGCGCCAAAGCAGAGGTAAAAGAAGGTGGTCGCTTACGATTTGCTGATGCGAGAAGACTGCCTTGTCGAACGACACTGTTGCTTGTACCGGGATGAAAGCCTGGAGCGGTGCCTGTGGTGGTTTGAATCGCCGCTGGTGTGAAAATCGGGGTATACGCCGGTCTTGCAGGTGTCACGTTGACGGGTGATGGTGGTTGCATAGCTGTAGCGGGTGACCCTGCACGACTGACGAGTGCAAGAATGCCTTCACGCTCGACCTCGGTGAAGGGCGCATCGCCTCGGTTCTTGAAGAATTCAGCAAGGACTGCTTGTGGGCTTGCAGAAGACGGTGGTGCCGCATACGGTGACGGGGTCCCTGATGCGTTTTGTGCACGAACGGGTGTGAAGCTAAATGGGAACGGTGCCGTGGCAGGGGTCGTTGGTCTGGCAGTAGTCGATGCCTGGCCTTGTCGTTGAGGTGGAGGTGGTATGTGCTCCTGTAAGCCTACTCGGCCTTCCTCGTCATCATACTCGTCGTCGTTGTCGGTACCACCCGCCTCTTCATCCTCTTGATACGTTTGAGCCTTGGACGCAGCTTGCTCAATCCGCGCTTGCTTTTTGGATTGTGTAGAATGACGGCCAAAGAATGATACAGCTGGCGAGAAGATGGACTTGAGGATACTGCCGCCTGATGAGGATGGCCGCTGTGGATTGCGCGGTGTTTGCGGGTGCGTGAATGCGCTTCCTTGCCTGGAGTCTTTGGGCATGTTTAGAGGTCTCTTCTCTCCTTGACTACCAGTCGCAGCAACAGCAATAGCTATAGAAGTAGCAGACCAGCAGCAACAGCAATAGCAATAGCTATAGAAGTAGAAGTAGAAGTAGTGGAAGCAGTGAAAGAAAAGACAGTCACAAGCAGTTCAAAAATCGGTCTATAACAAGTACTTATGGGGGACATGGCCACGTATCAGCATCATCTCATCTCATCACATCTGCACTCCCCTCTCAATCGCAATCTCAGTCTCTGGTCTCAGTATCTCTCTCAATGTCTCCGTGTTCTCAGATAGGGATGGCATCCTTGTTCTGCACACTCTCAGCAGGCTTCACATAGTCATCGTGCGAAGCCGAGTCCTTGACGTGCTCCTCAACAGGTGGCGAAACGGTGGTCTTTGGAATCGGGGCAGCATCGGCACCACCAACAGAAGGAGCAGACTCGGGCACTTTACTCGTGAAAGCAGAAATAGCCTCAGTTGGTGCCGTTGTCATCTTGTTCTCCGAAGGACTCTGCTTCTTGCTTGCTTCCTTGGGCTGCTTAGCAAGCTCAGCGTGCACAGACTCAGACATCACGGGTCCAGGTCCACCGATATACTGGTGAACATTGACACCCACCTTATTCCCCAAATCAATTGCCACGGAGCGCGCACGGTCAGAGGCGACACCAGCTTGCTTCGATGCAGCAGACTTGACTTGTTCGTAGTGCTGCGTAGAAACTTCCTGTGCTTTTGCAAGTTGTGCATCAATCACTTGTCTGTGACGAAGGTACACCGGTGGCATGCTGAATGCCAAGAGGATAGCAATGCCAATGAGGGCAGACAAGGGCAAGAACTTGATCAAGTTGTATGCAACAAACGATAACACAAAAGCAACCGTTGTGTGCTTTGCATTCTTGACAAACAACAATCGCTGAGCCTCAGTCAGGAAGAAGTTTGTGAGGGAGAAGAGCTCATCAAAGACTGGATCGACACGGGCGCGATCGAGGGTGATGAGTTGTTTGGGGGCAAACTTGGCAACGAGGCCTTCATTGCTGCGAAAGACGAATTGTCCAGCAAGCTCGAGGCTCGTGGTGGATGCCAGCACAACCCAAAGCGCACGGAAGGCGAGCTTAGGGAGGTTGACAGACTTGCTGACAATGAGGGTCGTCAGGAGGGTAGCCAGGATGAGGCCGGAAGCGCGTGGGTACTTCCACGTCAGCATGTCATAGCTGAATACATTGTCAGCATTGGCTCATGAGAAGATGGGCTTTCATTGCCATGAAGCATGACAAGGAAGAACCTGTGAGGACTTACAAGAAGCTGTGGTAGCGTCCGATGGGGTGGTCTCCCTCGATCTTGCTGCCGAGTGCTTGGAACTCTTCAACAACCCTGTCTGCTTCCTTGACAGCAGCAGGCGGAGTGATTCCTGGGCTCGTTCGCTGTAGGAACTCGTTAGCATCTTCGTCTCTGTGGCGCGATGACGTGTTCTCTGGGAAGAAAACCTTTTACTCGACGACATACCTTGGGCGCTGCGTTTGCCTGTGCATTGAGGTTGTTGTCTGTGGTCATGCCACTCTCTGGGATGAATGTTGTCCCTGCCATTGCTATGTCTTGTGCTTGGGCCGTGCAGTAGACTTGGTGCTGAGTGGGCAGAGTGTGTTGGTTGTGTGTCGTGTGCAGTTTTGTCCTTGGACACTCAAGAAATACTCAGGAAAGAGACTACAGAGACTACAGAACAAGATAGCAAGAGGCCTACTCATGTTCAAGGCACGGCCACTGGCAAGTCTCCTCGCACAGACACTCGCATCCTCCAGCCAGACAGGCGCAACAGCAGCCATCCTATTCACCGCATCCGGCGCATTACTAGCACAAGCATCACACGAAGGAGGTCCTGCAAAGGCGCGCGTCATGGCTGCGCTTGCTGCGGGGATCTGGTCGCATCGGCAATCAAGGTCTTCATCAGCTGTTGATGTTACAGCGACGGGCGAGCCAGAGGTGGACGAGGGTCAGGAACACAAGCAAGAGGATCCAGATGCTGCGATAGAAGTCGCGCTCGAGGTATGTCTCTTCGCCAAGCGAGTCTAGCAGGATGCTCATGACTACATGTGCATTGTGCATACTCTGAAAGACGGTTGCAACGGCTATTCATCCAAGACCAACGGCTAACATGCATGCTCTAGCACGGACAACTCATCCTCCAACCGATCGAGACACAGCGGGAACTCGGCTTCAGTGAGGGGGACAGGCTGCTTGTTGCATTGCAAGGTGATCCTGCTGCGTCCATGGCGATGCTCAGACAGCGGGCACTCGCAGTCAAGGTGTATATTGAGGAAGAAGCAGCGCAGGTCGCAGCACAGACGCCAGAATTGCAATGACAGAGCCTGTATGCCCATGAATGATGATGTACTGCGTAAATACGTAAACTAGATGATCTATAATCCTTATTAGTCAAAAGGCCTCCATCCAGGTCCAAGATTCCGCTTCAAATGCTCAACGTCGCAACTTCAAAGACTCAAGACAACACTTCAAGACACAGACAACACGATAGAGACTGCAGGATGGAGGGCCTTTCAGAGATGGAGATGCTTGCCATCCGCCTCAAAGACCGCCTCGACAAACACTCCGACGCAAGCGACAGCGACAGCAGCATCCACGCTCAACCCCACACAAACCGATTCAACAAGCTCAAACGCAAAGCACGCTACGTCGCTCGTGGCAAGCTCGATACAGGCGCTGGGATCCATGCAGAGTCCTCTGCGACGCATGCGTATGGATCAAAACGAAGACGCGTGGTCGCAAAGTCACATACAACACCCTTCACCGATCCTGCTACAAGTACAGGCGGCGGGGGCGGCGTTGTCTCTGCAGAAAGCGATGATGAGGCAGACGCATACCATGATATTCACCTCGATCAGATCCTAGCGCAAGTCGATGAACCAGCCGATGTCGTGCATCATCCACAAGCACGCGCCGTCTTTCAACGAAAAGCACTCGGTGTGCTCTCTGCACAGGCACTCAGGACACTCTCCACGGAACATGCACATCGTGTGGAGCTGGCACGTCTATTGACGGCTTTCCTGGGAGACGATGCTGTGCTAGTCATGCGCGCATATCAGGAAGAGACGCAGGGTGGTCCACTGCGTCCTGGGTCACCCTTACAAGCTACAGCACCCGATGGCGACACATCAACGGCGTCAACAGCTGTAGCAGCAATCGATCAACCTGTCGTCAAGGCCAAAACGCGCGGCCAAACAGCAGAGGGAGTCATGCAAGCTCTTTCACAAGACTTCAAGTGTCCCACGTATGATCGTAACCTCGGCCTTCCACCAGACTCGGCAGAGGAAGCAAGGAGGTTACTACAGGCAGCACTGGACAGGAGTGAAGAGTACCTGCGATGCATGCAGAAGGTACGGGCGGGTTTGCTCAAGGCGGATCGGTATAGAGGCAAGATTTATGGGTGGTGCAAGGATAGCGATGAGGCGAGGCGGTGGTAGCTTGGCCGGGTCTTGTCTGCTCTGTGTAGCTCTAGTCCAGCCAGCATACAAAGCATATAATACATATATATATATAATATATATATATATATATATATATATATATATATATATATATATATATATATATATATACTTTTATCTGTTCCCGACGACGCGTCATTTTCACTGCGAGACACCACACACAAGACAACGCACTTCCATTGCAGCTGCTGCATATTGGAGAAAGCACAGGATGTCGGCAGAGAGGCTAGCAGAAGGTCAGGCAAAGCTGCAACAAGCAAATGACGCAGCAACAGAGAAAGACTATGCACAGGCAGAATCCCTGTACAGACAAATCCTCACACAACCCTTTGACAACGATGCAGAACTACGTCTCCATGAAGCAGGCCTCACGGGACTCGCGAAAGTACTGCAACACACAAACAATGCAGACGCGCTCGTGACACTCATCAAGGAGTCGCGCGGATTTTTGGCTCGTTTTGCTAAATCCAAGACGGCAAAGCTGATGCGCACATTGATGGATGCACTTGCTGCCATTCCAGACTCAACGGCATTGCAGATTGATGTCACGCGTGACTCCATCCATTGGGCTCAACAAGAGAAGCGTGTCTTTTTACGACAATCGCTTGAGACGCGGCTCGTATCGCTGCTGCTGACATCGGCACAGTATCAAGACGCACTGGACTTGATTGCTTCATTGCTCACTGAACTCAAGAAACTCGATGATAAGCTCCAGCTCGTTGAAGTGCACTTGCTAGAATCACGCGTTCATCACCTCCTTCGCAACTTGGCAAAGAGTAGAGCTGCGCTGACGTCTGCTAAGACCGCAGGAAATAGCGTATATTGCCCTCCAGGCCTGCAAGCACAAATGGACCTGCAATCTGGTATCTTGCATGCTGAAGAGCACGACTATGAAACAGCCTACTCGTACTTCTTTGAAGCACTTGAAGGGTTCTCCGCACAGGAACATCATACACAAGCACAACAGACTCTCAAATACATGCTGCTTGCAAAAATTATGCTCAATCAGGGAGACGACGTTCAGCAGCTGCTCAAAGGGAAATGGGCTACTCAGTACGCTGGTCGTGATCTTGACGCCATCAAAGCCGTCGCTCAAGCGCATGGCAATCGATCCCTTGCAGAGTTTGAAGGTGCTTTATCGACGTTTCAACAAGAACTCGCCTCGGATGCCATTGTGAGACAGCATTTCGCTGCTTTGTACGATACACTCCTCGAGTCCAATCTCGTCAAGGTCATTGAACCCTTTTCGACAGTGGAAATTCCACACGTTGCAAAACAGGTTGGCTTGAGTCCTGCACAAGTCGAAGCAAAACTCTCACAAATGGTCTTGGATAAAGTCATTTTTGGCGTGATTGATCAAGGCACCGGGTGTCTTGTCTTGCACGACGAACCTGAACTCGATCAATCGTATGAAGCGGCACTGGAGACAATCAAGCAGATGAGTACGGTGGTGGATTTGCTGTATGAAAAGGCAGTCAGGGAAGCAAGCGAGCAGGATAAGCGTGAAGCAGAAAGAGACAAGCAGCTGAAGCTGGATGCTGCTGCCTTGGCTCCACAAACAGATGCAGAAGTACCAGCTTAGTTCTAGATTTACCATTCCTAACACGGCGCTTCTTATGCATTCGGGTCTGTCCTCTCTTGAAACATGTAGCCAGTAACGTGGCGGTGCTCCTTCAGCATAGCCATGTAACCTGCAAGTCAGCCTTCATACCAAGTCATCCACGGCACGTACGGTCAGCAAGATGCTTGCAAGTGACATAGTGATTCACGCCCTCGGATTTATAGCACCGCGCAAGTTCATCGCGAACAAGCCGCTGCTCCATCGTCTTGATCCACTGCTCTCGAATCATGGTATTGCGCGCAGCAACCACTTGTTTGCGGTCATTGAAGTCGATTGTGTCGTAGGTGATGCTCGGATCATGTGAACTGAGCGAGCTGGCGGGTGCGGAACTCACTGATTGTATTAGATGCTGCATTACATACGAGACTCAGCTTACCTGCCATCCTGCCTGAAGGGTTTCTTGCAAGGTACAGAAGCAGACGTCTGATGGTCTTGATCGCCGTCGCCGTCGTATTCTTGGGTTAGGCAATGAAAAGGTGAGTTGAGTTGCAAAAGTAAAATTGTGAAATGCAATAGATAGATGTAGATTGTAACAAGGATGAGCCGGTATAGACAGCACAACTACTTCTTCTCCTTCTTGGCCTTCTTCTCAGCCTTCCGTCTCGCTTTGCGCTCCTCCTCAGTCTCCTCAACAGCCTTCTCAGCCTCATCCACGACCTTGGCCTTCTTACTCTTCTTCTCCTTCTTGGCTGCCTTTTCCTGCTCTTTGCGCAGCTTGCGAGCCTCTTTGCTCTCTTCTGCACCAGCAGTAGCAACATCCTCCATGACGGCATCTTCTGTCTCCTCCATCTCAATCTCCTTGCGCTTCTTCGATTTGGTCACAGGATCCGTTGGAGCAGTGACAGACACAGCATCCGTACTGGTACTGTAGCCAGGTCCAGCAGCAATTGCGTGTTTCCCTTGCTGCTTCGACCTGCCAATCTGTCCATTCTCCGCAATGGAACCCTTGATGCCATCCAACGTCCGCAACCGGCTCTCCACTTTACTGCGAAGCTCAAGACCAAGCTCACAGCCATCTGTTTCAGCGAGTGCATCGACACGAAGTCCGAGTGCCGCTTTTGTAGCAAGCATCCGAGCAATCTTACCTTTGGACTTTGTGCTCGCTTGGCCAATGAGGGAGGCATGGTAAATCAAACCATACTTGGGTGTATCGTGCTTTGTCTTCAATGCACGGAACAGTGCCTTTTCAGCACCGAGAATCTGAATGGTGGAGGCGGGGTGTTTCGCGAGGTTCATGAGGGATCCTGCATGGGAAATAAGACGTGCACCCACCAACTCACCCACAAGAACCGTCAAGTTGGGAGCAATGGCGTTCATGCGATTCTTCAAGTACTCGCTGAGCTGAATGCGGTACTCGCTCAAGGACAAGACTTGATCAGCCAGCATGGCAATATTCTCCAAATCTTCCTCTGTGATTTCCGTACCCATGGAGATCTCAGCTGCTACTTTGAGTTGCTGCTCAAGCTCTTCTGGTAGCGTATCGCTGAAATCTGTTGCACCACACGATGTACGCATACCCATCTTGAGAATGACACGGGCATATGCCATATTGTCCTGGATGATGCGTGCCATTTCCGGGAAATGCCAACCATACCACTCCTTGACACGCATTGCATACGTGTTGAGCTCCTTGTCCAAGTCATCCAGCAACGCAATCGCTTGTACAATCATGGTATCGACCTTGTCTGGTGAGAATTTGAGCTTGTGCCTCGACAATGAATGTGAAAGACCCAGTGACATGGTGTTCAAGTCTTGGCTCGACAGACCCGTCACAAGGGACGACATGTGCTCTCGAATGGCACGATAAAGGTCTGCCGAGTTGCTGTCTGCAATCAAGTTGAACTGCAGACCCTCCATCTTATTGATGGCATTACCGAGCTTCGCATCGGCCACAACGAGGGAAGTCTTGCTATCGCTCACTTCCGACAGCATCGCGGCCAACGCAGGCGTCACTTTACCCTCAACGATCGCACTGACGTTGTCCAACGCATCAGCCGTGTTTTCAAACTTCTTAAAGGCCTGCAATTTCAAGTGCTCCGCCGTCTTGGTGGCCGTTGAGAGTTCGGCCTTGATGTCCTTTTTGAGGAGCTTGTCCTTGGCCTGGAACAAGGCATAGCCTGCTGCTGTCTCTGTGAGGATGAGCATGGCTACGTCTCTTCTCTGTAGATGCTGCTACTACTTCTTTCCTTCTATTTTTTTTGTTTCTCGTCGCAAAAAGTTGGATCACGTGTCTCGGGGCGTGGGAAGTATCCGGAAGAAGCAAAATTGCCGGAACTAAATTTGTTCCTGACCTTCTACAATTGCTTCATCAGCTAGCTTGGGCCCTAGCTGATAATAACGAGAGATGAGCAGCATCAAAGAGCTAGATGAAAAGGTCAAGATCATTGCATTGGAAGACCCTCTACCGAAGAAAAAAGCTGGGCCAGAGTTGCCTGATGCCATCAAAGATGTACAAGAAAGGAGCTTCGATGAACGCTTTGAGGAGCTCAACCGTGTCCCGCTCTTCATGCGTAATCTAGACGAGACAGATGGGGCAGGCGGTGAGAACTTACAGCTTGAAGCACTTAAATCACTTGCCTATGAAGGCGAGCCGTGGGAAGTCGCCACCTCTTTCAAGGAGAATGGCAACGAGTCCTTTGGCAAGAAGCAGTACAAGGATGCTATAGAATTCTACACAAAGGCTCTGCAGCTGAAGTGTGGTAAACCAGAGGTTGATGAGGCTTGTTACGTGAATCGCGCTGCGTGCAATCTCCAGCTCGAAAACTATGGCAAAGTCCTTGAAGACTGTGCTCGTGCGTTGCGCATCAACCCAAGTAACATGAAGGCACTGTACCGCTCTACAAGAGCTTGCATGATGGTCGACAGGCTAGAAGAAGCGCAGGATCTCATCAAGCGCGCACTTCTTCTTGACCCTCAAAATACGGAAATGCTGGCACAACTCTCTGTACTAGAGAAACGGCTAAAAATGGTCCTTCAATCGCAGCAGAGTCGCGAGTTGCGAGAAGCAAGAGAGGCGTTGGAGAAAAAGACACTGGCAAACGCTATTGCGATGCGAAGAATAGTCCTCCGCTACTCGCCACGGCCGCCAGACATGGGCTCCTGTGCCATTCAGCTCACGGAGCCGACTGACGCCACATCGTCGCTGCTCTACCCAGTCTTGGTCATCTATCCAATCATGTATCAGTCTGATCTCATCGCACAATTCGCAGAAGTCGATACGTTTGGCGATCAAATCGACAAGGTCTTGAACGAATCTCCTCCTTGGGATACAAAAGGTGACTATGCCGCTTCACAGGTTGACATGTTTATTGAGACCAAAACCGAGACTGTTTTGCAACTTGGACGCAAAGTGACGCTTGCTACTGTGCTTGCAACAGGCAAGGTTGAGATTTGGGACTCGCTTGTGCGCATCTACGTCGTGCCAAAGAAGGAAGCAAAAGCTTGGGTTGAGCAATTCAAAGCAGATGCACCGAAACGGCGGCGGTTCAATCCATTTTGAGTAGTGAGCATGCAAAGATGCATTGAATAATGAAGACATGAGCAAACGCTACAAATGGCAATAACGCATGCTTTCAGGGACCCACATAGAACCTCTTTTAATTCTTATAGCCCATGACCTTGGCATACTCACAGACCTCCTCCTGCGTCAACTGGTCCCCCATGGTCGTCCAATTGGCACTACTACTGCGTGGTCTGAATCGAGCCAAGGCACGCTCTTTGCCCTTGAAGATTTCCTCCATTTGCAGTGGTTGGACGGGACCAAAGACCGCATCTGGATCAAGCCTTTGCTGACGATGCAACAGCTTGCGCAACTCTGGCGATTCCGCCCAGCCAGGCGCAGTGAAACCGCTGTGCTTATTGTCTGGTTCATCATCTTCGCTATCAGAGTAATCACTCGCAATGGCAGGCAACTCGATGAGCTCGGAAGGCGGATACTGAGTCGCTGAGGTGGATGTGCTCTGAACAGTTTGAACAATACTGCCACTCGCTTCAGCTTGGGCAAACCTCACTGTTTCCGTGCTGAATTTGACGGTATCGAGCGGTCCAGCAGGTTTGTAAGCACCAGGCTTTTTGTATCCTGGCTCTCCTGGCTGACCAAACGCATGAAGTGACTTTTTCTGCAACGACACACGGACAGGTCGAGCGTCTTGACCAGAGGCCCCAGTCTGAGGTTGTTGCTCATTGGTACATCGTCGCTTTGGTTCCATTGCTGCAGCATGACTAGACTTTTCGTCTGAATCACCGAGTGGGCGCTTGACTGAAGGTCTGCCGCTCTGCGACGCATCTCTGTGTGAAGCACTCGGCGGAATCAAAGGAGCCATGACTTTTTTGAGTGGTTTCACCTTATGCGCTTCAGCTGCAAGTCTCGCCTTTCGAGCTTCTGCCTCATCCGCGAGTCTGCGACGATGATTATCCTCTTCAGCTTGTTGTCGACGTCTAGCTTGTTCCTCTTCTTCTTTCGCTTTGCGCACAGCGTCATCTGCCTCACGCGCAACTTCTTGCCGCTTACGCTCAATCTCACGTTTCTGCAATTCCCTGCGTTCACGCTCCTTTTCAGCTCTTTCTTTTGCTTGGCTTGCCGCTGCAAGGGATTTGATTTGTCGACCAACACCTGCTGGTTTGCTGAGTGATGGCATTCTCGATGGTTGTGGTGCACTTGCTCCACTGCTACTGCTACTCTGTCCATTTCTGTTGGTTGCATCGGTCATGGGTGCAGCAGCGGCCGTCTTGCGCTCTTTATTACCCTCTGCTTCTCGTTGTGATGCCGTGGCAATACGAAACATGTTGACGGGTCGCATTTTGCCGGTTTGTGAGAGGATGGCAGCGCTTGGCACACCAGCAACCAATTTCGGCAAGACTCTTGCCATTTTGCGTGGTGACGGTGGCCGAATATTAGAAGGTTGCATTGTGTTGGACGCAGCTGACGATGCCTTTGACGTAGCAGGACCGGCTACAACTTCACTGGATTGTATGCGACGTGGGGATGTACGGCGTGGGGACGGCGGCTTCTCCTTAGCCATCGATGCACTCTTTGGCTTTGTCGGGCTCTGTTGTGCTTTCGTTGGCACTGCTGAGGGCAATTGCACCGGTACGGCTGATAGCGTCATGATGGCAGGCGCAACAGCTGATAAATCAGGGTACAAGCTCGGCGTTTGAGGTTCTGCCTTTGCAAGCATAATTTTTGGTGGCGACATGGTTGGCGTTGTGGTAAATACACGCCCTTGATTCATGGCCGGTGATCCAAATGCTGTACGTGCTTGCTGTAGGTATGCATTTGCCTTGGCTGAGGCCGCTTGCATGGCCGCACGAATAGCGCCGGGTGGTGTTGTTTGTCTTTCAGAAACGGCAGTAGGTTCAATTTCTCTCGAGGGTGTCCGGGCGTGACGAAGTCGAGGGCTCTGTCGTGTATCAGCAACAAGCTGTAATACTGCTGTTTCAACAGGAGTCGGTCTGGCCTGTACGGGTAAGGCCTTCGTCTTGCCAAACCTCGGCAGCCATTCATTATCATCTTCCATGGTCGTGGGTGATCCAGACGGATCTGAAGCATTGCTGAGCGTTGCTCTCGGTAAAATGGGCTTTGTGGCTGGTCCACGAGAGGGTTGGATGACACTCGCTTGGCTAGACGCCTGCTTGTCAATTGTCTTTTGCGTCTCAAACACGGTGGGTGCAATGATCGTCGCGGGAACAGGTGGAACAGACGCCATGAGCATACTAAAGCGTTCTTGCTTCAACGATGGCGTCTCCAACTCAGCCTTCATCAAAGCAGCCTGTGCATCCAGACTTGAAACTTGTGCGAATAGTTGAGGTGTTGAGAGTGGTTCAGGCTTGACTCGCTGGTGCATAGACTCATTCGCTGGCGTCTTCGCTAGAGACTTTGTACCATCGAAAACACTGCTGCGGCTTTGACTTGATCGATGACCCAAACTCTTCTTTGCAAATGGTTGTCGTGGCGGTAGAGAAGCAAAAGCAACAGACTGCCTCGGGGATCGTGAAGGCGCCGCAGTGCTGATCGTTGTGTTTGGTGAGGAAGCTGAACCCAGTGAGCGTTTTGGCGGTGATGCTAGGTGTACTGGTTCGAGATAGTCCTGCGCTTGTTGCGGCGGCAACGATGCGACCAATGCTGGAGTTGTCGTTGTAGTACTTGCGGCGTCGGAGGCTTCTAGCTGGCCTTCAGCAGCAGCTTCAACGTGCAAGTCCGATGCTTCTTCAGTAGGGGAGAGTAATGCAGGCTCCTCAGTCTCGCTCATGTCCATTGCCATGCTGGCATCTTCCAGCTCTTCCACCACAAGCACCTCTTCCGCTGCAGGCACCGGTGAAATCGGCATGTTCGCAGAACTGGCCATCACGCTCGCCCTGTGCTTGGCTGGACTAGGCATTATTTTGACTGGCGACGGCGCACGGCTTGTCGCTTTTGGTATCTGCTTGTCAGCAATCGTATTTCGCATGGATCTACTCACATTCGTCAATTCTCTGAATGGTGTCCGTGACGCAAGAGTCTTCGTCTTTCCCGGCGTCTTGACCATATCGTAAAGAGACGCCTGCTGCCTGTCCAAGACACTGCGTGTGTAATCGTTAAGCCAGTCTACATCCTCTGCGACATAAAAAGCAAATTCTTCGAGCCTTTCATTGGCCTGGCCGTGGAGATAGTCCAGCTCGGTCTGAAACCATGCGGGCGTTGCCTTTGCGGCCATATTGAGCCTGTTCCTGCTGCTAGCCCCCCTTTACCTAGTGTTCCTGTTGTGCTTGTTGTCTCTTTTTGTTTTTGAAAGTCGCGACAGAAATGCACGTGCACGGCAACCACTTTTTCAGATGGACGCTACAGGTCGGCGAACATGCCTCCACTCACAACCATGTCCCGGCCTCCTTCACTGCCGCTCTCTCCTTCGTCTTCTCCTTCTCCCTGCTGCTCGTCTGTCTCCCTCTCTATCCGCTTCGCTGCATTCCGCATCTTCTTCTCCCGTCTCAACTCCTTCCAGTCAGCCTCAGCCTCACTGTCAGAGCTGTCCACAGTCTTAGCAGCAACAGGCAACGCTGCAGCATTCGTAGCAGACTCAGCATCTCTCTTCCGCTTCTTCTTATCACGCCTTGCTTCTTTTCGTGCCACCGCATCCATTTTGTTTGACCACGCCGGTGCTTCCACTTTCGGTTTCCGCTTGACAGCTACTTCCCCTGCTTCCACCTTCCTAGCGTGTTCCGCATCCGCTTTTGTGAGTGCCTCAAGACGTGCAGTTTCTCTGATCTTATCGGCATAGGCAAATGTCCGCATATCCACACGCTCACCTTCATACACCACATCCTGTGCCTTGAGTTCCGGCATGCTCGGCAATCGCAGTAAACCATAACTTGCCGCACACCCAGCCAAATCAAGATCTGCGAGCCTGAAGATATATGCAGCTTGATGTTTTGTGTAGAAACGGATATAAGACACAAAGGCCTTGATACCACGTTCATACAAATCCCGATCTTTCCTCACAATCTGCTTCAATCGCTCATTGAGTGTCTTACAGCCCTCATCGACTGTATCAGACATACTCGCATCCACTTGATTGTCTGGAGTAAGTCGAGGTAACGGCAACACGGGTGTCTTCCGGACTTGTAGGAACTCAACATACTCCTCCTCACGACCCCAATTCAAAAATAAAACTGCTTTACCCGGACGACCCGCACGTCCTGCACGACCACAACGATGGGAAAAGGCACTTGGATCTTGTGGTGGATCCAGTTGTATGACGAGATCGACGTCTGGAATGTCTAACCCGCGCGCAGCGAGATCTGTGGTGAGGAGGACACTCGGCGTTCCTGAACCCAGCGAGATGAAGCGTTTAAAGTGTTTTTGTCGAATGGAAGGTGCTTGCTTGCCGTGTAGGGGAATCAGCGTGAATGCCTTGAGCTGCGATAGCTGTGAGAGTAACGGTGTAAAATAGTCCACTGCTGCACAGGTCGGCAAGTATACAATACTCTTTGTCAAGTTATCCACAGCCAATGAATAATGCAGCACACGTATCAATTGGGCAATCTTTTCAGCTGGATGGAGCACCATGTAGCCCATCTGCAGACTCGTTGGTGTTCGCTTGTCATCGCCGAGATGCGCCTTGACTTTAACGATGATCTTGACGGGGTTGCGAAGACCGGTGCGAACGAGTTGTGAGACGGCATCTGTCATGGTGGCAGAGAATAAGCCTGTTCGCCTTTGTTTGGGGAGCTTGTTGATGATACTGGCTAGAGTATCGTGGAAACCCATATCAAGCAGCCTATCTGCTTCATCCATGATGAGCACTTCAAGCTCTTTTGTCTTGACCACGCGTGAAGTATTGAAAAAGTCGTTGATCCGGCCTGGCGTACCAATCAGTACATGCGGACTGGATGCATTAAAGGCGACTAGATCCTGTTGGACAGAGGTTCGGCCTCCAATGAGTAACTGCGAGATGAGCACCGGTTCTGGCTCTGGCTCTTGTACTGTATCCTCATCCACTTGTCCATGCTCATCCATTAGAAGTTCTGGCTCGTCTCTTTCGGGCACAGACAAGGCTAGAATACTGGTGAATACAGTTTGTATCTGAATGGCCAGCTCTCTTGTTGGGCAGATGACAAGGGCGCCAATATGATGCCGCGAGAAGGGTTCATCCCGTTGAATAAGCCTTTCAATCAAGGGCAGTAGAAATGCAAGCGTCTTGCCGGAGCCTGTGACTGCCTCGACAACGACATCCTTGTGTTTCATAAAGAGCGGGATTGTGCTGGACTGAACGGGCGTCATTTGTTGGAAGCCCATGGTTGCGACTGCCTCGCGTCTTTTGGCTGATTAGCATTTGTGTGGAGTGACGTGACAAGAACATACATCCATGGGGTCAAGGGCACCTCTAGCTTGTCCCATTCCCTCGACATGACCCTGCACTCCGAGTATTGCTACAGTCAGTATAGTCTGTACTAGTCAAGTTTTCTATTTTGTTTTTTGTCGCAACTCGGCGCCACATCCCAGCCACATCAGAAGCCAGTCACAAAGAGGCTGTCGGAGAGACGGATTCGTTCCTTGGACATATGTCCACTCTGATCACATACACAGCACATCTGCTATACCATCTTGTGCATATATAAGGGATGCCGGGTGGCCGGCTGTGCTTGTGTGTGAGGGCAAAGATCAGCCGGCGAGATCTGAATGAAAGCCGAGGAGGGATATCCACCATCTTGACCATCGACTCTGAAGATATTAGACAGACAGATACTGGTCCAGATGAAGCCTGTTGGCTGGATCTACAGACTGCGTTGAGTGCGCTGGACTGTGTCACTTCGACTCACTCGTCGGCCAACGCCTAAAAGCACTTGATGGCCATGGCCCGCCTGCAATTTGAGGCGAAGGGTCGGGCCAAAAGAAGCGAGAACTCACGTCATCTGCAGCGACAGAGACAAGGCCTCAACTTCAGCTTCAGAGTCATGCAGTATCAGGCCTGCAAAATACATCCCGTGTATAAAGTCAGAGACAGGCGCACCCAAACATGGCCTTCACTACACTTCCCCCTCCACCTGCACACCCTTCACATCATCTTCCCTGCTCGGCGTTCATCAATTTAGCTTCGCTTGACCATGTCCGGTTTTGCACAGCGTACAACGGCACGAGAGACCGTCAAAGATGAAGAAGCCCTCCCATACACCGGCCTCCAACTCGGCCGCTACCACTCATCGTCACAAGATACAGACCTGACGAGAGATGGCTTGCCGATAGACAACGATACACCTCAGAAATTGGAGGATCCTCGGGGCGATGTCCTTGGCAACCCAAATGGTATGACTTGGATTCAAGTCGCTGCCCTACTTGGCGCAGAATACATATCCCTCGCCATTCTATCATTTCCCTGGAGTTTCAGCTATCTCGGCATTGTCGGCGGCATTCTCGTCACCTTGGTCGTTCAAGGTATTGTCATCTACACATCCATGATTCTCTTTCGCTTCTGCGAGCAAAATCCAGGTGTCAAGCATATCTGTGATATTGGCCAAATCTTGTTTGGCGGTCACAAGATCTTTTATGAACTCACCATGGTGGGTCTGTTGCTAAACAACCTCTTCATTCAAGCGCTACACTGTCTGACAGGTTCCATCATGCTCAATACTTTGAGTGGACATACAATGTGCACAATTGCCTTTTCTGGGCTGATCGCGATTGCTTGTGCTATTGCTACATTACCACGTACATTTGCACAAATTAGCTGGCTCGGCTGGGCATCTGCCCTATCCATCTTGGTTTCCGTTATTTGTTCAATGGTCTTTGTCGGTATTCAAGGCGAGCCTAATGGTTATACGGCTGCACGCGGTCCTGTTCACTGGTCTGCCAGCGCAACCACAACCGATTTCATCTCTGTCTTCAACGCAGTCTTGAATATTAGCTACACCCTCATTGGTCAAATATGTCTGCCAAGCTTCATTGCTGATATGAAGAAGCCCAAAGACTTTCCCAAAGCGCTCTACTCCGTGGCTGTGGTTGAGATGATACTGATGCTGACGTGCGGTATTTACTTTTACACACAAGCAGGACAATTCACAAAAGCACCAGCCATCGGCTCACTCAAGGGGAACTATGCCAAGATTGCCTATGGTCTTGGATTCCCTGCTGTGATTGTCATTGGTGTCTTGTATGCGAGTGTCTTGTGTCAGTTCCTGTACATGCGATTCACAAAAAACACACGACACGCACTCGATGCCTCTGCCAAGGGAAACACTAAAAAGGGGTGGATGATCTGGACGGGTCTCGTGTTTGCCAGTTGGGCTGTGGGTTTTATTATTGCTGAATGTATTCCCTTCTTCAGCGACTTGCTCTCCGTCATGTCGAGCTTGTTTGACAGTTTCTTTGGCTTCATTTTTTGGGGTGTCGCATACTTCCACATTACACCACGGCATCGTTGGTTCAAGGGCAAACGCGGCTGGCTCGAGGGACTCTTCAATATCTTGATTATTGCGATTGGTGTGTTTATCTTGGTCGTTGGGACATGGGCGTCTGTGGCGAGTATCATTCGCAGTTACTCAAGTGGCGCTGTGGGTTCGCCCTTTAGCTGTGCGGATAACGGTGTTGCAGTCTAATTTCACCCAGTGCCGGCTTGCTAGACTACTGTTCATTGCATGTACACATTGTACAGTATAGCAGCTACTATAGCTCCATATATTTTCCTGTCATCTGAATTCTCCGTCACAACCAAAATTCACTGAGACGCGACCATAACAAACACAACCATCACAATCCAACATCAATGCAGTCCCTCAGGGCACGAGAGCTGACTTTCGACCAGGGCTGGTCACATGCATGCCTGCAACCCTCCATTGTACTTTCCTACATTTTCATAAATCACAGAATGCTAATACCGCAAAAGCTAGCAGAGGCCGGGTTCCACTTTACACCACTCAACCCAGGCGACGACACAACCACCTGTTTTGCCTGTGAGAAATCGCTCGGCGGGTGGGAAGCAGGCGATGATCCACTACTTGAACATGTTAAGCACAGCAGTGCGTGTTGGTGGGCATTACTTATGATGCAACAACGCACACCGACTTTAGCACCACAAGGTCCACAAATGACGGCTGCGCGTGAAGCGTCTTTTATGGGATGGCCGTATGAGAAGAAACGGGGATGGCTTATCAAAGCAAAGAAGGTAAGCTGACAATCTTCACGTACGATCCACTGTGACTAATCTGGTAGATGGCCAAAGCAGGCTGGCACTATGCACCGTCAGAAGAGAGCCAAGATGCAGTCGCGTGTTTATACTGTTCTACGGAACTAGATGGATGGGAACCAAAAGATGATCCACTCAAGGAACATGAAAAGCGCGCTCGAGACTTACAGTGCGCCTTTTTCACGGGTCTCGTTGACACGGCTGCTGTCGTCCAAGATACGGCAGCTGTTAAAGGACCTGTCGTTGCAGACAAAGTGTCAACGACGCGACGCGGTCGTAACAACTCGGTGACGACGATCCAGTCAGACACAACAGACGTCTCTACCATTGCTTCCATCGCAATCGCCGAAGCATCCGTCAAGCGACAAAAGGGCGGAAAGCGCAAACTCCTCAAGAGTAAAACAAGACTAGACCAAGACATCGTCCCTGAGCCAGTGATTGAAGTGGATGACGAGGCTGTCAGTGCTGCTGCCAAGGCGGCCATACCTATCGTCTTACAATCTGCTCGCAAGAAACGAAAAAGTGATGTTGCCTTTTTGTCGTCAGATAAAGCAGCAGTCAATGGTGATGCGGAAACGCATTCACCGTCAGCAAAACGACAATGCAACCAAGCGGGCCCGGTGAGACGATCAAGGCGAAGCGGAAGTACGTCAGGCTTGTCATTGTTTGCACAAGCGCTTCTATCACCGGAACCGGAGTTGTCCGTTGTTTCTCAACCTTCGTCGACTAGGAAACGCGCTGTTCGCTCGAGCTCCAAGACGCGTGGTCGTACGGGACGCAAGGCACTGGAAGATTTGGAGGAGGACGTTGCCGGCCCCATCATCGTCGATGCAATTGAAGAGCATGTTGAAGAAGAACCAGTCATGGCGAAATCACAAGGCAAGAAGAAGAAGAAGATCATCGAAGAAGATGCTTTTAATCCTGTCCTGGCAGAAGTGGCACCTTTGAAGCCGGCTACGAGCTTGCCTGAGCGACGACGCTCGACAAGGAGAAGCTCCGTCAATGCTACTCAGCAGGCGAGTATCTCGATCAAACAAGAAACATCCTTTTCTGCAGCAACCCTGCCAGCACTCGAGGAAGAAGCAGTCCAATCCCCCAAAAAGTCTCAGCAGACTCAACGCCGTCAATCAAGATCGTCGACGCGCCAATCCTTGACTGCTGAACCCGTCGCTTCTCTTACTTCTCTAGGACCATCCAAGCGATCTAGTAGTGCACAACGACGCTCTTCTACGCGACGCGGATCTGGTGCGACGATGGGCAGTTTGTTCCTCGAAGACATCCTTTCCTCAACGCGTCACGGTGGATTCAGCTCCCAACCCATTGCCCAGCCGGTCGTCTTGGAGGAAGAAAAAGAAGTCGGAGACATGAGTGAGATGCCCCTTGCTCCGTCCAGATTGACTACGAAACCTGCACGAAAACGTACGTCTCGCATGGTTGCATCGTCTGTGGTACTACAAGAGGAAGACCTCGATAGCGGCAACAGCAGTTTCGCAAGTGCCTACTCATCATTGAGCACTCAGCCTGCTTTCGTCGACCAGACGAGTGCTCCGCCAGCAGCAGCCAAACGGCGTCCGTCACGCGGTGCCTCTCAAGTTGCCAAGAAGATCATTGAGCAACTTTCGGATGAGGAGGAGGAGAGGAAGAAGCCTGTTCAGACTGCCGTTGAGCGTGTTCGACGACGTGCTTCTCGCGCCTCTTCAACAGTCCCGCAAGTCTTTGTCGATGCAAGTTCTCAATTCCCACCACAAGAGACTGTTCCTACTGCATCCGAGACGGTCATTGAAGTCATTGCTGAAGAATGTGAAGACGTTGTTGCGAAAAAGGCTCCGGTTGCACGAAAAGTCAAGGGCGCTGCAAAAGTCAAAGTGCCGAAGAAACGTTCCTCTGTGCCGACTGCTCCATTGCAGGTCGTTGAAGCGGATGCAATCCGCGAGCCTGCGGATCCTGTGTCTCTGCCTAGTCTCGCGGAGGCAGAGCTGGAGCCATTGGCCGTGACCTCACCAGCGCCAGTCATCCCAGAGACTATCTCTCCAACGCATCCTCTATCACAACTTGCACAGTCAAATGTCAAGATTGTATATGGTACGCCTGAACCGGGAAGTAGCCTGCCCTCTGAAGAAGTCATCTTACCAGCCAAACAACCCGCCAAGCGTCGTAAAGGCCGCGTCATCCAATCACTTTCAACAACAGAGGAAGTTGGTTTACCCCTGCAAGAACCCGTTGATGAAATCATACCAGCGCCTGTCTGTGCACCCAAAACAAAACGCGGATCAGGCATTAGTAAAGGAGCACCGATTGTTCGACGGACTTCGTCGAGGCGTGGATCAAGCAATGCGGGTGGTACTACGCTTGAAGAGATTGTCGGTGCTGTCATGTTGGATTCGAAGGGTAAGTCACGCTTACAACGGATCAAGAAGAAGCCTGTTGTTGCTGAGCCTGTGATGCTGGAGGAAGTTGTGCCGGAAGAGTTGGAAGCCAGGCAGCCTGACAAGGAAGAAGCCTCGCTCGCGGTACTCGTGCCGGACGTTGAAGCGACTGCGACCACTGAACCCGCTGAGGAGGTTGTCAAGGAAGTCTCACCAGTTTGCGAAGATATTGCGTTATCCTCCGTCGCAGCAGACATCATCATGGAGGAAGAAGAGGAACAGGAGGTGCCCACGACCCCTGTCAAGCCAACGCCTACCATGATCCAAGGCACACCCATTCAACCCAGTGCATGGACAGATATTCCACGCGATCTCTACGACGCATCCACCATGCTACAACCTGAACAGATCTGTCAACTTGGCGACTTATCTGCCACGGAACGCGACATGACGGTCGAGCACTGGATTCGATTCATTGCTAGACGTGAAGCGGATAAATTGACGGATGCATGTGAAGCGATGGTGACTCGTCTTGCTGAGGGTGGCAGGCTTGCTCGACTTGCGATTGAAGCCATGCCGTAGGTAGTAGGCTATGTCGCCCAGATATCCTAGCAGTCTAGTAGCAGATGAGTACCCTTGTACGCCATCTGAAGCTACATTGCGTCTTCGATGATGTCACAGCAGCCAAAGTACAAGAAGCCAGAACGGGGGAGAAGCGACTTGCTCCAGAACAAAGAAGAAACATGAGTTACACCGAGAAGAGTATCGTTCAGCTATATAGAAACAACAAGCTAACAATGACCAGATTCTGCACCAGCGAATGAGTCCACAGCGTCTCAAATCGCCACCTACACAGACTTTGTCGATGCCCACAAAGTAGGCATGCTGACAACGGTCAACACGTCCGGTCTGCTCGTGTCTCGCTGCATGGCTGTAGCAGACCGAGAAAATACGGTGGATCTGATTTTCCACACACATGCCGAGTCTGGCAAGACGGATGATATTGACAACAACAGCAATGTGAGTGTTTCCTTCTACAAGGATTCCACCGGTGAATGGTTATCGGTGTCGGGAAAGGCGGAATTGGTCACAGATCGTAACGTGGTGGAGAAGTATTACTCAAAGTCACTCAAGGCTTGGATTGGTGACAAGGGGGATGGCGTGCATGATGGAGGTCCTGGTGACCCTCGCATTGGCATCATTCGTGTCAAGACGAGCACGGTGACGTATGCAGTGCAGACGGCAACGACTATCGGCAAGTACATTGGTATTGCCAAGGGTATTGTTACGGGCGAGGTGCCGAGCATCAACAGCATTGTTGAAATGGCCGAGAAGGACATTGCCGCTGCACGCAAATAGTGTGTAGAACAAAAGATAGTGAAAGATCATTCTCTCATTTTGACTACGTCGATGTTGGGGTTCCCTATGTAAAAGAGGCTTCTTGAATCGCCGAAGAGCAATGAAAGCGGTAGAGCAAAAAAGGAAACGGAAGCCAAATTTCTCTAGAAGCACTTGCGGTAGACAATAGCAGGACCTGCCTCATCGTACTCGAGCTTCGAGATCCACATCTGCTGGAATGTCGAGAGGGAAGCGAGAATCGATCCACCGATCCAGACAGAGTACTTGCGCTCAGGAGGAGCCACAATCTTGACCTTCATGGAGGAAGGTGCCAAAGCAGTAATCTCCTTTTGCATACGGTCAGCCATACCTGGGTACATGGTGGTACCACCGGAGCAGACAATGTTGCCATAGAGGTCCTTTCGGATATCAACATCACACTTCATGATGGAGTTGAAGGTCGTCTCGTGAACACCGGCCGTTTCAAGGCCCAACACGGAAGGCTGGAAGAGTGCCTCGGGTGCACGGAATCGCTCATTACCAATGGTAATGACTTGTCCATCTGGCAACTCGTACGACTTCTCAAGCGAAGACGACTGTGCTGCAGTCTGAATCTCTTGCTCAAAGTCAAGGGCAATGTAACAGAGCTTCTCCTTGATGTCACGCACAATCTCGCGCTCAGCAGTCGTAGAGAAGGTGTAGCCACGCTCCATGAGGATCTTCATGAGGTAGTCGGTCAAATCACGACCAGCCAAGTCGATACGCAAGATGGCGTGGGGGAGGGCGTAACCTTCGTAGATGGGCACAGTGTGGGAGACACCATCACCAGAGTCGAGCACGATACCCGTGGTACGTCCCGAAGCGTACAGCGAGAGGACGGCTTGGATAGAGACGTAGAATGCAGGTGCATTGAATGTCTCAAAGATAATCTGTGTCATCTTCTCCCTGTTGGATTTTGGGTTGAGGGGAGCTTCAGTGAGGAGGACTGGGTGTTCCTCTGGAGCGACACGTAGCTCGTTGTAGAAGGTGTGGTGCCAGATCTTCTCCATGTCATCCCAGTTGTTGACGATACCGTGCTCGATTGGGTACTTGAGGGTGAGGATACCACGCTTTGACTGTGCCTCATCACCGACATATGAGTCCTTCTGGCCCATACCGACCATGACACCCTGGTGACGCGGTCGTCCTACGATCGAAGGGAACACGGCACGAGGTGCGTCGTCTCCTGCGAAACCGGCCTTGACCATACCTGATCCCTTTGTGGGTGTTAGCAAGAGATTGATGGATGTGTGGGAGCAAAGAGAAGCCTGTAGAAGCAGGAATGGGCGGTTCTTTGTGCCGTGGTGGATGCTTGCTTACATTGTCGACAACGATTGCTGCGATTTCGTCCTGGAAAAGTGAGTTAGCAGATGGATACACCGACGAAGCATTGGGCAAGGGTGACTTACTTCCATAACTGCCTGTTGAATGAGAAGATGAACGGGTGGTTGATGAGGTGTGTGGGTTGTTTGTGGTTGAGTTCCTTCCGCCTCGCCGTCGTCACAGGGACAGCAGTCAAGTCACAGCTGCAATCCTGTCTCAGCACTGGCGCCAAGAGGAGAGCTGGGTATGTAATGACTGGGTAGGTACTGACTGGGTAGGCAGCTACTGGGTCGAGTCTGTTGCTGGTCTGTCTAGAGGAGCTATGGGAGAGGAGACTGGAGTGCTATAGACGACCGAGTGCCAGAGGGAGACGACCACAGTGCCAGGGACAGTGCCAGGGACACTCCAGCTGCTGCTCTACCAGACTCAACATGCTGCCATGCCCATCACAAAGCTCCCAGACACAGACATCAAGCTCCTCTCCGCCGCTCAAGTCTGCACAGATCCAGCTGCAGCACTCAAAGAACTCCTCGAGAACAGCCTCGATGCACACGCTACGTCCATCTCCATCCTCATCGATGGACATGGACTCGATCTCCTCACAGTCAGGGACAATGGACACGGCATCCCATCTGCTGACAGGAACAAGCTTGCTTGCAGGCACTATACCTCCAAACTGACAAGTCTTGAGGATCTCTCGCACGTAGCCACCTACGGCTTTCGTGGAGAAGCACTTGCTAGTCTAGCTGATATTGCTGCTACCTTTGTCGTAACCACTCGGACTGCCCAAGATGCAGTTGCAACGAGCTACGAGCGCAACTCGCGTGGTACCTGCAAGCCAACAAAGACATCAGGTGAGCCTGTAGGCACAACCGTCACGGCTACAAAGCTCTTCAAGAATGTGCCCGTTCGACGGGAAAAGCTCAAGCGAGATGGCAATAAGAGTGTCGCTGCAATCAAGGAACTCGTACTGTCGTATGCGCTCGTTCATCCCAACGTACGCTTCCATGTCTCCATCAAGTCTGGCAAACGAGGAGAAACGCCGATAGTCGTCGTACATGCACCTGCCACATCGCTCGAGGCTGCTCTGAGTCGGTCCTTTGGCGCAACGACCATGTCTGCCTGCCTCATTAAACATGCACGGCTCCCTCTCATGGATGTCACGCTCGTCATGCCAAGACGCGATGCACCGGCAGCTGCAGTGGCGAATAAAGGTCATTTCATTTATATCGACCACAGACCACTGACCACAATCCGCGGATTACCAAAGCAGTTGCTCTCTCTGCTAAATACCTATGCTACGAAAGCAACAAGTGCCAGTAAGCCATTGATTCTCCTCAGCTTGACAAATCTCACAGGTGAGTATGACGTGAATGTCGAGCCAAGCAAGAATATGGTGTATGCCGCCAATGCGGATGCGATCCTCACTGCGCTCACAGAATTGCTCGATTCTGTCTATGCTGATACGAATGACGACCAGGCTTCTACATGTCAGCCATCGTCTACAGATCTCCAGCCATCTTCATCGATGCCACCACCACGTTCACAGCGTCGTTCAAGTTGGTTGACGAGCATGGATGATGTACCATCAGACTCTGATGATCAAGAAGAACTGCAAACGCAAGAAGCTGATGGCGAGGAGCAAGGAGCAAATCAACAGGAAGATTACGTGCCTGACCGGCCGGCTCTGACCAGTCCATGGACGATCGCTGCGTTGTCTGCGAAATCTACATCATCAAACCCTCAAGCTCAGCGAACACAGTCCTCACAGACTCCAGCGACCCGATCAATCAGCCCGACAGCTCCTCATCTGCAACCCCCTGCCAAACGTCAGCGTACGACAGAGCCCAGAACCACGATCGAGAGACCGACCAACACCAAGCAAAAGAAGCAGACGAATGATCTCTACACATACTGGCGCCCACAACCCACTCAATCACTGATTCACGATGATGCAGACTTAGCGGATCGTAGGGGTCAAGTGAGCGCTTCCTCACCGGTTCGAGCGTCTCGCACAGTCTATCCACCCGCGTCTCCCATCATCAGCCCGGCAGCAGAGGCCAATAGCAAGTCAAATCCGTTTTCTGGAGCGTCACCTACAAGAGCTTCCCTTGTGCGCGCTTCAAGAGGCTCAGAAGATCGCATGCGAAAGCGAGTCATGCTAGAGCGTTCAGAGCCAGAAGATCAGTGTCATGATCGAGAACTCGTTCTATCCACTACTGGCATGCTAGTCACAAGGACGACTGTCAAGGATAATGGACTCAATGATGGTCTATTTCTAGGGATCGCAGCAATGGGAGATGCCGTGGACAACATGACAGACCTGTCACCGCTTGCCAAGCTAGATGGTGGATTATGTTTGCTCGTGGCGTCTAGCCATGTCTCAACACTCGGACTCTTTGTCACGCCACTGTCAGAAGTCTCTTCAACAATTCCAAAGCTGCAAGAGACTAGGTTTACAGAGCTGAAGCGGATGGGTGATGCTGATAGAGTGGTGCGAGTTTGGTAGATCTTTGTTTGCTTTGCTCTGTTTCGAGGTTGACAGGTGTCAAGTCGTTTCAAGACCTGGCATGAAGCGTATGGGCAGTGATTCAATTCCATATAGCAGACATTACATACTTGGCCATGTAGCATTTCTTCTACTTGAGTATCAGCCAATTGCATGACTTTGCCAGATTGTTGTATCCTTGCTTCCATCTGAACAGATCACACTGTGAAACGGTGACGGTTGCAGATCTCCTCGACCGCCGCTCACTTTATCACCTCATCAAAGTGAAGCTTTGCAGCCATGAGACATGTCGGAAGGCCGACAATTCATTTGTTGTCATCATCCTGGCTTGGCATATACAAAAGACCTTGAGACGTTTCTCTTTTTGCGTACCTTCTTTTCAGCTTTCCCCTGAAGCTAGACGCACAACGTCAAATCAGCCCCATCAACAGTCTCAAGCTCGCAAAGAGGCCAAGCTCAAGTGCATAGACGACCAGTATAAAGAGAGTGCATCTGTCAATCTTTCATTGTCAACCAACAAGAAGCAGCTATGCGGATCTCAAACATCGCCCATGCAGCAAGTACCCTTGCCATCGCATCAGCACTCGCATTGCCAAATCAAGAAGCAGACATCAAACTCTTACCAGCAACAGAGGCGAACCCTGGCGGTCTTGCCAAAATCATGGCTTTCCTCTTCGCCAATGACAAGGGCACCTTCAACAACAACATGCCAGAGACTGTCGGTCAAGCCACCAAACCCACATCCACATCGTCTTCAGGACCTGCTCCACAGCCTGGCGCTATAGCGCAAGTCATGCCAGTCAATATGACCATGATGGGTTCTGGTACAGGGATGACAGGGTCGAGTGTTTCCACATCCAGCAATACGGTTACAACGCCAAAAACGCCAAACTCAGCTTCAGGCCCACCCACACCTGCAGCACCCATGCCTGCAGCGGGTCCTGTCGTGCCTCCCACTGGTGCAACCATCAATACCAATGCTACCACAAAGCCAGTGACGGCAAGTCCTGTGACAAGCAATACGACTCGTGAGACGAGCGAAATGCTTGGCACCATGCCACCCATCACCAACACCACCACCACCGGTAGTACTTTGACAAAACGTGCTTTTCCCAATGGTCCTAATGGTCCCAATGGAGGTCCAGCAAAAGGTTTCACTGGCGCCAAGCCCCGTCCAAACATGAATCTCCCACCTGGTATGGTTGGGATGGTGGCTTCCAACCCGTACAATCATCCACTTCAACAAGTAAGGAAGCGCGATGTGCCTGATCTTTCTCGTGAAGAGAGTCAAGATTTCGGCATGGAGTCTTTGGAAGCAGCCAGTGCAACGCCACCTGAGGAGCTTCAGCCCGTCTTGACGTCTCCAGCCATGGACGACGACGAAGAGGATCAGCAAATGACAACCGAGACGTCCGGTAATGGTAGCGATTCTCAAGCGGTAGCAGCTCAAGGCACTTCTCTGGATGATCCTGCCCAGCAAGTGGCTGAACAGGTGTACGGTGATGCTCCAGCATCAAGCGATCGCGCGACTGCCAACTCGAACGACTATCCGACGACCTCATCGATTGGCTCACAGTCAAATGGAACTTCTGGTTCTGGAGCTACACCTGCATCTGCAAGTGGCACATACAACTTGCAACGTGCAGTGACTGATCCCTCGTATGGCTCTGGCGCTAGTCCTGCATACCCTAGTCCAGCGAGCTCGCCAACAGGTGCTAGCAATGGCAATGCACAAAATGGAACAGCTTCGAGCGCAAATGCATATCCAGCGCTGCACTCCAACGACGATGACACCGATTCGACGATCGACATAACCGCAGGCGGTGCATATGCCGGTATCAACAGGAGCAGTCACATCAAGCCAAATGGCACCGTGAATGGAACGCCGTATGCGACAACTTCGACTGGCGGTGTGGCGTCTACCACAACAACGACGCCTACCGGTGTGATGAGCTCAATTGTCGCAAATGGCACCACCATCAAGAAGTCTGGCGGTGGGCAAGTTACCCTCCGCGGTAGTACGCTGGCCTTGTGCATCTTGGCTGGACTGCTTTTCTTCTAGTTTGCTTAGATAGCGCTCATCACTTCAATTCTGAGATGCAAGCCCATAGCTTGATGCTCTTCTCTAGAACCGGATCGTTTTTAGGACGCTGAGGCGGCTGTTGTTCGTCTGCCATCAACGTGTCGCCTTGTTCGTAGATAGACAGCAATCTCTTTGCCTTTACATTCAGTGCCTCAACATGTGCAATCTCCTCCTGTCTCCTTTGAATTTGCTGCTCCATCATGAGTGCAAGGGTTTCACGGGCTTGATGGGGCCTATAGCCATTGATGAGATGATGCATATTGAGCAGCAGTACACGCATATGTTCAAGTCCACCGGGAAACGACTCTGGGTCGTGACTCATCCCTTTGACAAGTTCAAGAAAGGTCATGAAGATACTCCTTGCCAATTTCTGTAGCTCAGGTACAGGATTCCCTGTGCCAGCATCGAGACTTTCTGGGTATAGCTGCTTGACACCAGCTTCTTTCAATGTCTGTAGCTTTTCTTGCAGATGCCAAGTCTGGCCGAAGACTGTGTATGACTCTGTAGGCACCTCAGGAGGCTCTAGAGCTTGCCGCACCTCGTCGGGCAATTGAGCTGGATCTTGAGCAAGCTGAGCTAGATTTTCTTCAGTGAAGAGCTTGTATGACTCTGGAGGTGGAGGAAAGGCAGAGGAGATGCCAGCACTGTCTGCCATCGAGCCTTTGACTGGTCGGTATTGAGTTGAGCTGTTGCACGTCGCCGTCTGTCGTCTCTGCACGTGAGTCTGTGGATCTCTTCCCCAGCTTTCAACCAAGACCAAGACTCGACCCGCTACTCCTCGGCGCCCTCTCCTCCACAAGCATGTCAGGCAAGGCAGATGCAAGCAGACGACCGAGTAAGACGGCCAGCACCGGCTCCGGCTTTTCGCTCTTGAAAGCAGCCGCAATCGGTGTCATGCTCGCACTCGGCGTTTCGCGCTACCGTCATGGCGACTATAAGTATGGCTGTAAGTGTTCTGGACCTCGCTCTCTCAAGGAAGATGACTGACATGTATCTAGATAGCAATCAGTACACAAATGTCAATGCATGGCTACAGATGCTTAAGCCTGATATTGTCATCACTGAAGCTGAACTCGCAGCGAGTGATGGTACCAATGGCAAACCCATCTACGTCGCAGTCAACGGAACCGTGTACGATGTCTCTGCTGAGCCACGCCTGTACGGTCCAGGTGGCTCATACAGCTTCTTCACGGGTAAAGATGGTGCACGCGCCTACATCACAGGTTGTTTCGCCACAGACATGACGCACGACCTGCGCGGTGTCCCTGAAGAATCGCTGATTGAGTTGGATGCATGGAAGAAGTTTTACGAAACGCATGGGAAGTACTATCGTGTAGGGACTGTCATTCATCCGCCGATTGATCCATCTATTCCACCGCCAGCACCCTGCGATGCGCAAAAGATGCCATCTTCGTAGTAGTGCTCGTACATATACATTTCATTTGTACAACCCAAAGTTCTATGGTGATACAAAAGAAGTTATTACGCATCCAAGGGTGACCCTTCATGAACTTCGAATTCTTCAATAGGAGCACTCGCCATTTGGAGATGCCTCATGCCAGTATTGCAACTCCCAAGGCGTGGGCCAGTGGTCAGACCTTTGCCGAGGTACGGGAACCCGAGATCCTCGAGCAGTTGTTCACGCACACCAAGCTGGCTGTGAGGCGTCGTCATCATGGTTGCTTGAGCAGTGATGAATGCCTGTGCCACTTCGAGAAGCTGAATATTCTGCGAGGAAAGAAGGATAGTCTGTAGCGGTTCGGCCAACGCAGGGTACAGCAGCGATGCGATCTCCGGTAGCGCATGCGCAGCCTCAGACAAGATACGATAGAGCATGATTTGTCGAGTCTGGGAGGCATGTCTGAGCAAAACAAGCAGGAATGACAATAGCAACAAAGCTTGAGTATTGTCGCCACTCTCAGCGAAGGAGAAGAGCAGCAAGGGCAGGTCGTCATCAGCCGTGTTGCTGACCACTTCCTCTGGCGCTCCAAACGAGAGATAGCGAGTTCGCATCTCTTCAGGCGTCTTTGCAATGGTCAGCAAAAAGGCAAGCGCAGGCACCGCAAAGAAACCAATGACTGCGCCCGTCTCGCCAGCTGATCGACGACCTTTTTGCATGAGCATCAAGAGACATTCCTTAATTACTTCCTCGTTTGTGCTGCGAGTCCAGGCATCGTGAAGCAGACAAGCCAGGCCGTAGGCTGCATGTTGAGTCAAACTAACGCCAAGGTCATTTTCAAGGGATGCAAAAGTTCGAGGTGTCGCTAGGCGAGCCTCGTCCATAAATGCCTCCCCAGCAAACTGCTCACCGAGCGAAGTCAAGAGCTTGACACCGAGAGCAGAGACGAGTGGTTGGTCAACGAGAAGAGCCGCAACAGCAATGCTGGCAAGTGATGGTTGAGGCATGTCGAGTGTTCTCTGCAAAGCATGCAAACAAGCTGCAATGTCAAGCATGCAGTCTTCTTCTTGCGAAGCCCAGTGAATATGCGAGACAAGCTCGTTGACTGGAGGTTCCTGTACATCGCGAATAATGCGACCAGCCGCCATGATTGCTCGATAGCGGAACTGCTTGAATTCTCGATCGAAACCAATTTTCTGGATGTTGCCATAGAAACGTCTTTGCATAATCATACTCGTTTCCGAATCCGCTGCAAGATAGCGGGCACCAGCCAGCAACACTTCCAAGAGTGCATTGATTCGCTCAATGTCTCGTTGGAAGCCAGCCCATGTAGTGATCTTTGCGATGTCTTCTTCTCTCGCCATAAACTCTTGTCCCAAATTTTGATACCAATTGTCTGTCAACTGCATAGCAGTACTACCATCGCGCTCATACACAATGTGAAAAGCAGATGGGGAGAAGTTCCGGAGGATTTCCTGGTTGTAGAGTTGCATGGCGTTGTTGCGAATGCCAGAAAGCGCAAAGACGGCAGGACTCGCCGGGGTGTAGTCCGAAAGACCCATGAGATGCGAAGCACCACAACACAAGTGCAGCTGCACAAGCAGCTTCTTGTCCATGTCACTCTCCTCGATACTCCCAGGTACTTGCTTGTGGCGCAGCGTAGCCATCTTGTTGAGGCTCTCAAAGCAGGCATTCTTGACAGCAGGTGCACGCAAGGATCTGATGATATCAGAGACAACACTGACTTGACGAGAATTGTGGCCATATGCATGTGCAAATTTGGTCAGCGACTCGTACAGAATCCCAGATAAGTCCGTCGCCGGTGCGAGGCATCTCCATGCATGAAGCGCCAGACTGCGAAGGACCTTGGTCTCACAAGCCATGCGCATAAAGCAAACGAGAAGCTGCGATAAAGCTGTGGCATGCTGAGGATTGACCAAAACTTCCACTTTGCGGACAAGAACCTCTAGCCAAGACTGAATCGTCATAAAGATATTGATTTGTTGGTTCGGGTTGCAGCTGGGGAGCCATAACAAGCATTCCTTGAAAAATGTCAACATGAGCGCAATCAGCTCGTTGTTGGCGACGTTGCTGACAAACATCATGCTGAGATTTCCAATATCGCGCAGAGAAGGTGTGTTTGTACATGTGTGCTCGGAGATGTAAGTCGGCAGCGGCACATCAAAGCATACTTTCCCTAGTTTGTTGATCAGCTGGTTAGCAGCAAGACGGGTGCTTGGTTCAGGAGAAGCAATATTGATCACTCCAGCGCAAAACAAGACAGCAGGAGCTTCAAAAGCAGACATGCGATCGTTATCGATATCAAAACGAGGCCCGTGGTCAGCTGTGAGCATGTCCACCAAAACACTTGCGCCTGGGCTTGCAAATGTGTAAAGCCTGTGGTCTGTCCGGGTCCTGAATTCGAAGGCACCACCACCAGACTTCAGCACAACATCCTCGATATTGGAGAAAGGAAAGAACATGGCAGTTGGAAATGAGAATTCACCCATGGAGACGCTTGGACACACCACAAAGAGGCTCTGGATGCTGGGTGCCACTCGAAACGATGCTTCCACCGCAATGGGCTCACCAAGAATGCGTCCTGGTTGAAATTTGGCAAGGAGAGCAGGATCGACACCGACGTTGGGCGGTAGAGTCATCTGTGCGAGGCTGAAGTATTCGCCGAGATTCTCACCAATCGCTAAAAAGCGGCACGGAATATTGACCTTCCTCACATTCGGCCCAATGTGCAGAGCAAATGCTTCTTGAAGATTTGGCTCAATGTTATACCAGTAGGTCGCGACGCACTTGTCAGTTGCGTTGGGCGGCAGATGAGCAATCAGTTGTGTGATCCAGTCACCATTCTTCTCAAACAGCATCGTCTTGTGCCCCGTCATATCACTAAACACTTCATACGGTGCGCTCCAGTATGGTTCCAAAACGCTGAGTGCATAGAAGGTCCATAGCTGACTGCTCACATGCATCATGGCCGCACGACGAGGAGCATAGCACAAGACTGGGTGACCAGCCCGACTCGTTCCAGCAAAGTAAAAAATCCTTGCTTTGTGCAGGGCCGAGATATTCTCCATGACATCTGATCCGAGTGTATCGCCAAATTGACTAGCAAGCGACGTGAGCTTGAGTGGTTTGGCAGGCACACCAGCGTGCGTGAGGAGATTCTGATACGTAGCCAACTGACTCCGTAAATCATCATCGCCTCTATCTGGTCGACCAGCCACAAATTTGAGCTTGGTGAGCTCTTCGCAAACGCGGTAGGTGTTTCCGTAAAGATGCCGATGCAAATTGAGACGGGCGGTGTAAGATAGAGAAGAGCGATCGCCAATAATATTGGCAGTCTCAATAGACCTCGAAATGGCGTGCAGAAACCTCGTGACGGGTCGGATAAAGTCGTTCAAGAAATCATTCGCAACGTCCATGAAAGGTTCCTTGAAAAAGACGTTGTTGGCGAGATTCTGTATCACCTTGCAAATCAAGATCAGCTTGCGCTTCACTTCTGGACCAAGATCGGATCTGGTGGTCAAGGGTGCAATGATGGCAGGTGAGATGAATCTCAAAATGATGAATGCGCCCACCGCAGTATACTCGGAAGAGGGATACTTTAACGCAGTTTGCTTCGCAACGTGCCGAGCAATACCTCGCAATTCGGCTGGTAAGTTACTCACGGACTTGCAAATGGCATCCACAAAGACTGAAATGGCTGCCTTGAGGTTCTCCGCATTCTGCGCGACTTGTCCTTGCTCAGCGGCTGGAACCTTGGATGGATCAAGCTCATAGCTGATATCATCGCCTTGCTGGAACACAAATTCAAGTGGACTTGCAAGGGTCTCCTGAAGATAGGCTGACCCATGTCGCTTCACAAAGATGGAGTAAATTTTGGTCATTGTGCAATTCCTCCTGAATAAATCGCCTTCAGAGTCGGTTGCTTGAATTTCATGATCAATCATCAAATACGCCAAATCAGATTCTCGCCCGGCGGCTCTGTAAATTTCCAAAAGAAGCTCTGATAGGGCATCAATCTGGGCAGTGGGACACGCTTCGCAAATGGCAATAGTCAAGTTTGGTTCGCGCAGGATGAGATCAGCCATGGCAGCGAGAGGGTCGGTTGAATGGTCATAGATGATGGCATCAGTACATTCCGCCACAATCTTGAAGAAGGAAGATCGAATGAGTGGATCGCTGTCATACACCATCGTCATGAATTTGGTCAAGCCATTCCGAACATTCGCCGTAAGGATCGTTCGCAGTACTGAACAAACGACTTCATGCTGAGCACTATCTGCAGGGAATCGCTTCAAGCAATCAACGAAGAAGGTGAGAAACCATTCGAGCGTTGCATCACCAGCTATGCCGTCTGCTTTCGAGGGAAGGGGTAAGTTGGAGAACATGTTGAGCATGACGCGCCAACTGCTCGACTCAATATCAGTGATGAGCTTGGCTTCTTGTCGGGTTTTGGTTGTGTTGGCATAATCAAATAAATGCTGTGCTAGCAAGAAGACTTGCTCACGTATGCTTTCCTGCTGTCCCTGAAGATTGATGAAGGAGAGCTTGTTGGAGAAGGTGACAAGTGCTTGTACAGAGCGTAGGCGTAATTTCAAGCTTTCCAAGCTTCGTGGCATCGAGTAGGCATACGTCTCACATGCACGCAGCATAAAGCGCGTCTCCATCGTCACTGCCATATTGGTGGTGAGCCGATCAAACAATGCTCGAATCAGGTAAAAGCAGCAATCGGCAAAACGTAACGAATCAGCCAAGGCCGTAGACAAGAGACCGCTTGAATTGCAACGCAGCCTGTACTGAGCGTGCAGCATATCGGTTATTTGCGGAAACACGGAGGGAGAGCAGTCACCAGCGACACTTTCCAATGCGAGTTCCCTAATGATTGGATCTTCGGCGAACAAGAAGCGTGGCAAGAGAGCCATGAAATCGGATACGGGTGGTGCCAGATCGGGAACGGTTTGCAGAGAGTGTATTAGAGAGAGTAAGATACCGAGCAAAGTCTGCCACTCTATCCGCTGATTGGCTTCTAGAGATCCAAGTTGACGCGTTTCCGTTGCAAATGGCGATTCAGGGGAGAGCACGATATCCCCAACACGTTTAAATCGATCTACCGTAACGCTCCACACATGTTTTGTTGCCGGCGTTACCTGACATGTCCGTAATATCTTCTTGATGACTCGCTGGACAGCATTCCGACCTTGTGTTACAAACTGGGTGCGAGCAAGCTCTTGAAACATGAGTTCATTGTTGGGTTGCGTCTGACCATCGCTCGTCTTCTGAGCTGCCGCATCTTCTACAGGGATCTTCTTGTAAAGTTCCTTTTCGCGCAAAACCCACAAGGTTGCCTTGGTGGCTAGAATTTGAATTTCAAGATCATAGTGGCATAGTAAGACAAACACCATTAGCTTCAAGCTAAGTTGAATGGCACGAAACTCTGCGAGATCTTGTTCGCGACCTAGGTGTGTTTGAACGGACGACAAGGCTTCATACCGACCATCCAAGGAAGCCTTGAGCAAAGCGAGCAATTTGCGTGATTCATCCGGTTGGTGTTTTCGACCAGTCAACATTTTCGACATCCAGAGTAAGATGGCCATTGACAATTTGCCCCATCGATGAATCGCCTCTTCAGGACCCAGAATCGCTACAAGACGTTGAAGACAGTCTTTTGTTTGCAAGCTCGTCAGTAGTGCACACGAGAGTGCTGAAATATCGGCATCATTGCTGTAAATAAAACACGCAAGTGCTGCCGTGGCCGCATCGGGTAATTGTTCAGAAGCTGTATACAAGCAAATCATTGTAGGAAATTGTCTTAAAAACCCAACAATCGTTACACAGAGTTGTCGTTCATGCCATTGCTGGTCTTCTGATTTGCGAGCGGCTCGTACAGCGGTTGGGTTGAATTCACTGGCATAATCGGCGGTACAGCGAATGTAAAAGTAAGGAATCCGAAAAAGTGCCGCTTGATGACCCATTGGCATGAGATTGTCGCTTTGTGCCAGTTCAGCAATGGTTGAAATACCAGCCACCGTCAATCGAGTGATTTGGTCAGAGGCAAGCCAGTCAGCGACAAGATCCAGCGCCGCGCTTTCATTCTTCATGCGATACAGCGCCGTCAGTAGTCGCGCAGGCTCGACAAACGTGCCTTGTGCAACGGCTTCAGTGATGGCTTGCTTGCGCTGCAACAAGTTGGCAATGCGGTCATTTGAAAATCCTGACAAAAACTGACGGTGCTCCAAGCGGACATTGTCGAGGGCATGTAGAATATTGGTCCAACTCGCAATGGCTGCTGGTAGCAGCTTGCTATTCTTGTCGTGTGTTTTGCGAATAGCTTCAAGGAATTGTGCTTTTCGTGAGACTCTGTTGGTCATGGCAGCCAGAATTGAATCTGGTGACAGCATGAGCACGGTGGCCATCACTGGCCATAATTGTTCTTTCCGCCTCGTTGTATCGGCAAGCTCAAAGGCATGATTGAAGATGAGCTCTGCACCTTGACAAACAGTTTGCCGAGCTTGATAGAGTTTTGAGAATTCTCGTGGACGATGGCTGATCCAATTGCAAATGGCAGCGTGTACATGAATAAGTAAAGGAACGCGAGTGCTGCGTGAGAATCGTGGTAAGGAACGAGCAACGGCCTCCAGTGCACTTGCAAGGTCATGGAGCCTGAAGGACATGTGAGCAATTGTCTGTAAAACTTCCACAGGTGATCGTTGCGTCTCCACTAGCTGTAGCAACGATTCAATTCGGTCGAGTGCCGCTTTGCCATGACGGCAGGTAGCCAATGAAATGAGCATAGAGACAAGCTCAACCTGTTCTTGTTGATATACAAAGGAGTCTTCACGCGCATCCCGACTCAGGATTGATCTGCGATCGTGCTCTGAACGCAGCGACTTGTCTGGCGACCAAGACTTGTGGGACAATGAGCTCTCCGGCCGGTCGTCGTCCACGGGTAGTAGCGCAATGGCGACATCAAGCATGGAGGATGCTGTCGCTTCTGATATCCTGAATGAGTGGCTCTTGTGTTCGTGTATTCGCGCGAGATGTTCAGCCTGCTTGACGTAGCGATCTAGCGGTTCTGACGAGTCTGTCTCTTGCACTGGGAAGAAGTGACGAAGGCAGCAGCGTACGAGAAGTCGTAGAAGTAGGACTTGCGAATAGATGATGTTCGCAGTGCGTGTCGCACTCGTCGGTATTGCTGAGACGAGTGCCGCATCCTGTGACTTGTTAGCTTGCTCAATGCACCTTGCTTTTTGGGTGTTGTTTAGCGTACCTGCTGCACCTGCTTCAAATGGACGAGCATCTGCTCAAGGACGAGTTCGGCATTGGTCGCTGCGATCTTTGTGATTGTGTTGCAGGACTGGATGAAGATGGGATCCTCGACTGGATCGTCGCCGAGAGCATTGTTGCTGGGTAGCGCTCGGACGATGCGCGTCAGGAGTGCCTTGACGACTACCATGCGATGCGGATGGGTATAATGATGCGCTTCGAGTGACTAGCACGCCATGCTTGCGCTGTAGAGAGACAAGAGAACAGAGAGGGTGGGCAAGGACGAGTCAGAGGGAGCGCACGGACGCAGAGCTGGTCGGGTGTGTGGTGAATACGTGAGCGAAGGATGTAAGCAGTGACAGGAGCAGCCTATACACCCGGTGCTCTATCTAGGCACTTCATCACTGCGCTGGATGTCTGACACGGGCCCCCGCTGATGGTCTGCTACTCTGCTACTCTGCTACTCTGCTTGCTTGCTTGCTGCTGGCTGCTTGCTTGCTGCTGAGTCGAGGCCTCCACTCTGAAACAGCGGAAGCCAATCAGCGAGAGACGGCAACAAATACGACCACCAGGGCAACGGGCACCCAGCTCCGTGGATTCATGCTCAGTCAGTCAGTCAGGCAGCCAGGCAGTCAGTCAGTCACTCAGTCAGGCGTCAGCATTAATCTGCCTGGCACGGCTGCTGACTCATGGCCTCTCACATCTCCAATTTCTATACAATTTCAATCCAGAGCCTGAAGGGCCGGAGGCTGATTGCAGCTCATGTAGCGCACAGTGCAAAGGCCGCAGTCATTATAGGACTATGCGGCCGCGCTCATGCACACAATCAAAGCCAGCTAAACCTGCATACGCAGTATTTCGCACACGCACGGACTCATATGCATCGCCAATTTGCAAGCGCTTGACTATCAGACGAATTCAGCGAGAAGATAGACCTGTGTCAATGATCTGCTGATGCGTATGCAAGGCCAGGAAATCCAAAAAGTCGGGAGCATGGTCCAAGTTGGTGGTCACTTGATAGCGTGTTTGATCGCTTCGGACTTCCCGTACAACGTTTTTCATGTTTCATTCACTCCCGTGGATTTGGCATGCCCAGCAATCATGCATGAACACTTTGATTACGACTCATCTGGCAGCAATCATGCATGAACACTTTGAACAGCATGACTCACGACTCATGAGTCATGACCCGTGACGCCCTGGCTATAGGCCTCCGTAACCATGGTCAAGGCGAAACCTTGAAAGTTGGAGCAGCACACATGAAACATATCGAAATTAAATGATGGGCACCGTCTATGTGATCATGGGATTCATGGCGCTACAGACTTAAGCGAATATTGACCTCGATCTCTTTTCCAATACAAGGCCTAGACTTCCTCTTTGAAAATTTCAGGAGCAAAAAGCGCAATTAGCCGGCACTCGTCGTCTTTTCACTGTTCATGCCGTCACGCATTTCATTTGGCGCAAGCAATTGGTCCTCTTTATGGCTTGTTTGGGACTGTGTGTACGTGAGCTTCCTCGACAGTGTTGACAGTTGACACTGATACTATGGCAGTATGCTTAGCAGCTTGGCAGATGACAAATTAGCCGGCTTCATCTCTGTCACATGAGCCAATGATCAAATCGTTGGCATTAACGGAAAATATCGAATGCTAGCTACGCAGTACAAGGAGAGACACAGACGGATCTAAGCAGAGACACTGAGATCTTGCAAGACGTCAAAGGCGCCCGTACCAACACCGGCCAACTTACCCATGACAATCTTGGAACTTGGATTATCGAGCGTATCGATATCTCCATGAAGACTCGCTTGCGTTAAGAACGTACACGTCGTCTCATAAGTCATCTTGAGGAAGGGCGATGGGTTGGACTCAATCCCCATACGGTTGAAGGGCTTGTAACCACCTTCAAATGTCATGTAGTCTGCAATGAGCGACAAGTGACGACGATCAACGCCGATACCGTAGACCGCAAACACACCAGACACCTCCTTGATGATGGCATTTCGCATCGCTTCAACACCATACGTAGCACCAATCGCAGCAATGTCGTTTGAGTACATGTCGTTGTGTGAGATGACGCCCTCTGCATTCCAAAAGGCCTTAAAGTTGACACCTTCCGTCGCAAGCAGTCGAGACTCATCGAGTCCCTCTGATGGCATGCGGAAACAGCGACGAATACCAGAAAGCTCCTGAACAACCGTCATATTGGCGGCTTCCTCAACCAAGTTCACCATGAGCAATTTGGCTGTTGCTGTGGGGTAGTCCAGCTCAATGCGACAGACCGCACCTGTCTGTTCATTGAAATCAAACTTGGCCAGGTTTTCGTTTGCATTGCGAGCCATCTCCTTGCGTAGCTTCTTCTGTTCTGCCGCTTGCGATTCCATAGCCTTGCGCACCTCGTAAGAATCCTTATCTTCGCCATCTTGCACATCCATAGCCTCCTCGTCAGAATTCATGTCAATGTCGATCGAGTCTTCCAGATCCGAATCATCAGCCGTATTCGCTTCCTTTCGAATTGCCTCTTCATCATCATCAGGCTTCTCATAAGAGACCATCATCTTGGCGCGTTCATGCATCTTGGCATCTGTTGCATCACCATCCTCACCCTCCTCATCATTGATGCCAGCTTCATGCGCTACATTCTCATCAAAGTCTTGAGACGCCTTCGTCTTGCCAGAGGTCTTGCCAACATCATCCACGGTAGGCACCTTGCCTCCAGCTTTCCGAATCTGCCTCAGCGTACAATCCTTGAGAGCTCTAAGGAATCGCTTGGCAATGACAATCTCGACTTGATCCTTGTTGACATTGTACTCATCCATGTACTCCTTCTCAGAGAATAAGTTGAGTTGAATGATATAACGCTTTGATTCGCCCGCAGAAGTCACCTTGAGTCGCTCAATCACCTCGACAGACTCGATCAGCTGCGATAAGAGCACACGAGATTGATCCTTCGCAAAGAGTGAAGCATCCTCTTCAGACACTGATGGTAAAAGCTTCATTGACATGGTTGGCGTCTTGATGGATGCACTCGCCGTCATGATAATTTCACGCAATCGTGGAATACCAAGCGTGACATTCCTGGCACCAAATCCTGCAAAGTGGAAAGTATTGAGCGTCATTTGTGTAGAAGGCTCACCAACTGACTGACTTGCCAAAATACCAACTGCCTCGCCTGGCTCCACCAGTGACATTTGATAGCGCAGGTGCATGAGGGAACGGAAAACCTCGCCACTGAGTCTGGACCGGTCTTCCTTGGATGTCTTGCGGTCCACAAGAATGTTCTCTGGATTCTCGCTGATGTAGCTCTCCAGACGCTCGTGGTACGCTTCAGAAATCACACCCACAGCTCGCGTTGGATTCGAGATGGACAGGACAGGATCATACTTTTCAGGCTTCTTGAGGGCCTTCTTCATTGCTTTGTAGCCAGAACTCGTTACATCCAACATGGGATGAGATGCCACTTCCTCAACGCGATACTTACGCTTGAGAGCCCTAAAGTTGGACGCGGAAAAGCCAAATTCAAAGAGATGCTTCTGCTTAATCACATCAAGCGAATCTTCGCCGTAATTCATCTGAATCAGTGATCCGTCCGCATCACGCACAGTGGAATCGTAATTGACCTTGATACCCTCCAAATGCTTGATGAGACAACGCTGCAAGTAACCTGAACGAGAGGTCTTGACGGCAGTATCAATCAGACCCTCACGACCAGCCATACAATGAAAGTAGTACTCTTGCGGTTTAATGCCAGTTAGGAAACGGCCTGCAATAAAGCCTCCTGCCATGGCTTGCGAGTCAAATGCCTTGAACGAAGGAAGTGTCTTGCCCGATACCATGATGGGGACACGGCGACCTTCAAGTTCTTGTTGTCCAAGAAGACATGAAATCTGCGACACATTGACATTGGAGCCCTTGGCACCCGAGACCGTCATTGTTTGCATGTGATTGTGTGGGAATTCTCTCAGCAACCCACCAGGAATACACTGATCAATGATGGAACTCGTCAGTTTATTCATCTTGCCCTTCATCGCAGCGTCGAGTCCCTGCAGTTTCTCGTCATCACGCAGTACCTCCTCAAGACGATCGCGGAGATCTTTTGCATTGCCATCGGCGGTCTTGAGGCCAACATATTGAGAAGATGCTTCTGTGCCGGCATTGCGGCCTTTTTGGAGTAGATCGCGACGCCAAGAGTCACCCTCGGGATTCAACCGCAAGTCATCCATTCGACAGGTAAAGGCACGCATTTGAGAGTACTTGGTGAATAATCTGCCAAGCATCGACAGCAGTCTACCAGCATATTCTGGCCCGTAAATCTCATAGATAGAATGGACCATACCATATGCACTTGCTCCAAATTGAGACTTGTCCAGAATACCAGTCATCAGGGCACCGTCTTTGAAGATGACTTTACCCTCCTCTGAATCAGGCGACCAGTACTTGCCGGCCACTTTGCACTTTGACTCAAGATTGAGGCCATATTGTTCCACAGGCTTCAAGTTGGTGAGCAGTGTCGTGATGACCTGCTTGCCCGTCCAGAGTTGTCTTGGCTTTTGAATGGCAGCAGGAACCGTGATGATTCGCGGATCCACATGCGGATCTGTTTCTTCCTCAGGGCGTAGCGTGCCATATAGCAACTGATGATACTCTTGACGAGTGAAAAATGTATCCCTATTTGTCATCCAGACAGCGATGACAACATGATCTTGAATCAGACCACGCAGCGGATCACCAGAAGTCGGCACCAAGTATTGATTGTCCGTATTCGCAATCAGCGCCGCTTCCGCCCGTGCGTTCTCATTCTGTGGCAAGTGCATGTTCATCTCGTCTCCATCAAAGTCGGCATTGTAGGTATTACAATTCGCGTAGTGCATGCGAATCGTCTTTTCGCCCGTCAAAACACGCACTTTATGCGCCATGATGGAAGGCTTGTGCAGCGTCGGCTGCCTATTCATGAGAACCAAATCGCCATCACGCAAATGCCGCAACACTTTTTTGTTGGTTGCTCGAATGCGCGACCCGTCAAAGCCTGTGCCATTGGCGTTTTGTGGCGTCAAAAGTTGATTTGCAAGCGCTGTACGTGAATCTTGTGGCATGTTGAGCAATGATACGAGAGCACCATCTTCGTTCTGAATATGTGTTGCTCCGGGATGGTTGAAGGGGCCATTGATGACGGCAGCGCGCATCTGCGCATAGTTGTGAGCTGTGACTGGCTCTGGATATGTCAACTTCTTAGCGAACACTGGAGGAACGCCAATCTCGCTCGTCTCGATATTTGGGTCTGGTGAGATGACTGAGCGAGCAGCATAGTTGACACGCTTGCCCATCATGTGCTTTCGGAAAAGACCTTCCTTCTTCTCAAGCACCTGCTTTATACCAGGTGGATGCTCACGATTTTGACCGATAGGGTCTGGATTCCGGTTGGAGTCGATTAGAGAGTTGACATTGTGCTGGAGAAGCACAAAGGACTGAGTGAGTTGGTCTTCAAGCTGCAATCTCGAAGCTGTTGAAAGACGCTCTTCCTTGTCGCCTAGACTGACACTGATTTCTCGGATGCGATTGGAAGCTGCCAAGACCTTGGACAGAAGCTCGTTCTGGATATTTTCATGCACTTGATCACCGAGCTTTGCCGCTGGTCGGAACTTTACGGGCGGGACCAAAACAGCTCTTAGGAAGAAGATGTCAGGACTCGCTTTGCGCTCGCCACGATAGAGCAAATTTGTGATGCGCGGCTCATGCTCGAACAGCTGCTGAATGATGCGATGCACCTCGAAGCTGAAGACGTACTTGGGCGTTCGCCTCTTATCTGCCTTTGTTGCTTGCATCTCCTCTTCCTCAGACTCATCCTCGGAGAGTTCCAAGTCTTCTGATTCTGCGTTCTCTAGCTCACCGTTGGCCGCAGCCGCCTTTGCATTCTCCTTTGACAATCGCATTAGATCTGGCTTGACTCTGCCATGCTGGTCCATATATTGCTTTGCCTTCCCAGCCAAGGGCACTTCGAAAATCTTGGCATAGCCATCCTTCTTGAATGCCGGTGAAAAGGCTTGGCAATTGTCGCAACGAGGACGGGATGCAATGCGAGAGAGGAAGTCTTTGATGAGTAGACGACGTGCATTGGAAACGGCTGCATCGGATGTAGGTCGGTCTTTGTGCGAGGCAGCCTTGACTCTGAGAGCCATCCATCGCTCACGACGCTTGATGAGAGCCGAGACGTTCTTCTTGTCCGCCTCATCTTCTTCCTCTTCTGACTCCTCCGCCTCAAGGAAGTCCTCTTCGTCCTTTGAAAAGTCCATGTCTGCAAAATCTTGCGACTCGAGCAAGAGGCCATGTTCAAGCAGGGTCAGCCTGCACACATACTTGTGTACTTCTGCCCTAGACAATCGCAAGCTATAGCAGTAGAGACAGGTGCCTCTGAGCAACGCAAACAGCTGTAGGAAGAAGAGCGGGTGGTACACTGGCTGCGGCAATTGGATATGGCCAAAGTGTCCTGGACAGAATCGCTCGTCAAGGTGACATGTGGAGCAGGAAACACCGCGCATCAGCGGGCCCATCGCTGGATCATAAAGTCCTCCATGTGTCGGATGCTACTAGTCAGCCAGATATTCTCAAAGCAGAGCGCTTTACTTGTAGGTTGTCAAAGATCTTTTCTGTCGTCACTTGAATGACACTGAGTTTGTGTACATCCTCCTCGGTAAAAGTACCAAAGGACACACTTTGTACTGAAGTAGCACTGGGCGTCGCAATGTTCATGACTGGCTGTTGCTAGCACATTCACCAGGCCCAACGCAGCCTTCGCTTGTTCTTTGCTGCTCGATCGGTGTCTGTCGCTTTCGTCAAATTTTTGGTCGCTTCGATTTCTCACGGCGTCGTCAGTCCGTGTACTCTGCCGCTGTACAACTAGTTCTAGCTCAGGTATCAGGCATAGCTCGGTCTAAGGCAGCTGACATGTCGTCAAACAAAAGACCGCATCCAGATACTGAGGATGTGGTCGCTCGTGCTCGAGCAGCAGTCGCTGCCAAGATTGCAAAGCTCAATGCTGCTCAGACATCTCCGAAAGCTGCTCCCTCAAACGCTTCTCAATCGTCAACACAGAGTCAGCCCGGTCAAGCAGCTTCAAAGATGAATCCGGCACTAGCGGCTCGTATCGCAGCTGCGAAAGCTGCTGTTGTCGCGCGTACGAATGCAAAAGCGGGCAATGACCACCTGCCTTCCTCGTCAGAGGCATCTGCGAGAGGTGGCCTGGCTACGGCACTACATCCAGCATTGCAAGATGATTCTCTCTTGCTTGCGAGCAAGAAGCGAAGTGCCAAGTCACGCTTTGCTACAACTATGGCGAATCAGAAACCGCAGGAGCCTACACAGGTCCCGAAACGCAAGCAGCTTGAGCTGCTCAATGGGGTAGAAGGCTTCAGCGACACGACAAAGAATCCTTATTATGATGCGAAGCTTGGTGGCAGAGATCTCAGCCGACCCGTGAATCGACGTGCCAAAGTGCTCCAGTTCAACCCGCATGGCAAGTTCATTGAGCAGGCGAATGAAATCAGGCGTGAGCAGGAGCTCAAGGCCATACGTGCTCAACAGGCTGCTGAAGCGCGTAAAGCTGGTTTGGAAGACGACTTTGATATGTCGAGCAGACTCATTAAGAAGCCTGAACCACCCGTGGTCGAGTGGTGGGATAAGCCTTTCCTACAGGAAGCCACGGATCAATCGACAGAGCCACTGCTGAATGAGAGTGCCGTTACTAACATGGTACAACACCCCATTCCAATTCCAGCACCGGTAGACTTGAATGCGCCTGAGCCAAAGGGCATCATGTATACGAAGCGCGAGCACAAGAAGATGCGTAATCAGGATCGTACTGCGAAGCGAAAGGATACGCAGGACAAGCAACGTCTAGGTCTCATTCCGCCTGAGCCACCAAAAGTGAAGCTCAGCAACATGATGACTCTGTATGCTGAAGAAGCAGCACTCGATCCCACCAAGATGGAGCAAAAGGTGCGGGCGCAGATGGCAGAGCGCAGAGATCGTCATGAACGGGATAACATCGAGCGTATGTTGACGAAGGAGGAAAAAGCAGAAAAGGCGCGCATCAAGCTTGAGGAGGATGCAGCTCGCGGTATCCACGGATGTGCATGGCGTGTTGAGACACTTGCGAGCCGCTATGTGCGTAAGCGGATTGACGACAACGCACACCAGTGCGCCTTGACGGGCGTGGTGGTGCTAAACCCGAGATTCAACCTGGTGTACATCGAAGGCGGCCAGAAGAGTGTTAAGTTTTTCCAAAAGCTTATGGAGAACCGAATTGCATGGACAGAGCCACCGCGGAATGCGATGCAAGTCGATGACAATGAGGACGATCCCGAACGCCCGGACTATGAGAACAATCGATGCACAAGGATCTGGGAGGGCGAACTGAAGACACGAACACGTCGGGCGTTTCTGTACAAAAAGTGTCCGACTGATGTCGAGGTGAAGGATGCACTGCGAGATAGTTTCCCACTCTGGCAAGTCGCCAAGCAGCACAAGGAGGAGATATAGGCACACTGAGCTTGGAAGAGCACCACCATCTCAAGGATTCGTGCGAATTTCAAAATTGTTGGCACCAGAAGACGAATGAGCGCGACGACGTTGGGCTTTGAGGCATCGCATGCTCATAGCATCGACAGGGCTTCGCCAATTGATTTGTAGATTCGCAAGTAATAGGCGTGGGATGGCAGAGTACTCGTCCGCGTCTCGTGCAGATCTCCTGCAGCGTATCATCGATCTCGAGGGCCAGCTGGCAAGACACAACCAGAGTGCGACAGCCCCTGCACCTGCACCTGCACCTGCACCTGAGAGCACAGACAGTTTGGTCAAGGGCTCGAGATCCACCAAGATACGTCTGACTAGAAGGGAGATTCTTGAGCAAAAACCGCTTCGGCAGCTAGACTTTTCGCGCTACGTGCACAAGTATGTCGCCTTCAAGTATGCCTACTTGGGCTGGCACTACAATGGTCTCGTGACGCAAAATATGCCGACAGAGTTCCCGACTGTTGAAGAAGAGATCTTCAAGGCATTGTTAAAGACGAAGATGATTCAACATCCGGATGAATGCAACTTCTCGCGGTGCGGAAGAACCGATAAAGGTGTGTCTGCTATGGGTCAAGTGATGGCGCTACGTGTGCGAACAAACGTTTTGCTCGAAGATGCAGAGACTAGCACAGTGGCGCCCAAGTACATTGAGCAACTCAACGGCTGTCTCCCGCGGACAATTCGCATCTTGGCGTATGATGATCGGATAGCAGACGATTTCTCAGCCCGTTTCAGCTGCGTCAAACGACACTACAAGTATCTCATTCATCCTGCCGTGATTGGCAGTACACCTCTTGATATAAAGGCTATGAATGAAGCATGTAAGCTGCTGGAAGGCGACCATGACTTTCGCAATTTCTGCAAGCTCGACACGTCCAAGCAAATCACCAACTTTAAGCGCATCATTCTGCGCTGCAGCATCACGCCTCTTGAGCCTGCATGCGGTGACCCTCTCAAGGACTTGATGGTGTTGGATCTAGAGGGCACTGCGTTCTTGTGGCACCAAGTACGTTGCATCACTGCAACATTACTGGCAATCGGTCGTGGGCATGAACAGCCTTCCCTCATTACACAATTGCTCAATGTTGAACAAGTACCTACAAAGCCGAGCTATGAAATGGCGAATGACCTGCCTTTGACTCTGTATGATACCGATTTTGGAGATAAGGTAAAGTGGCAGTATGGCCAATATGCAGATCGCTTTGCTGCCATTTCCTTCGCCACATATCATGAGAGTTTGTTACAGGAAACGATCTCGAGCTGGCTGGTCCGTGCGGCGCTTGATAGTGCAGCTGGCTATGCAGCACAGCATCCAGGCGCCAAAGGAACCAATGATGATGGGCTTGATACTCTGAGACAGACGTTAATGAATGGCATTGATATTGGTGATGGACACATCAAGCCGTGGCGGGAGTATACGCCCGTCATGAAGCGGAAGCGAGGAGACTTGCCAGAGGAGGTGAATGCTAGGTACGCTGCTCGAATGGAACGACGTGATGAACTCAGAAAGACTCAAGATACAGATATGGCCGATTGAGGTTAAAACTAGGTAGCCTACAAAAGATATACACAAAGAAAGTTTATTCAAGTACACTCTCAGCAAGACCGTTGTAAAGATACACCTGTGCCCACTCCTTCCAGTTACGCATACCAATCAACATGTTCATCTTTTCAGGACACACCAAGAATCGGCTCTCGTACTCCATCACAGTCCTCACAATCATTCGAGCAACATCCTCAGGAGGCTGAGCAGAAGTCACGAGCTTGCTGCTTTGCTTGCCAAAGTCATCATTCTTGAGGAGTGCTGTAGCCGTGTACAATGGGTGAATGGTCGACGTGCGAACACCGGGCGTCTTGTGGATGTACTGCAATTCACACTGCAAAGTCTCCGTGAAGGAGGTGGCAGCGGCCTTGGACATATTGTAGTCACCAATCTTCGGTGCACTGAGGAATGCAGCGCCAGAAGAAATCGTGATGACATGACCACGATTAGCGGCAATCATGGAAGGTACGAATGCTTGTGTTGTCCAATAGTGGGAAATGGCATTCACTTGCATTGTTCGGTTGATGTTGTCCTCCGTCGATTCCATGATTGCTTGCTTTCGAACGATACCTGCATTGTTGATCAAGATCGTAGGTGAGCCCATAGCAGCCTTGACATCTTGTGCAACACGCATCACTTGCTCGCGATCAGTAATGTCGCATTCGAAGAACTTGACTCGACTGTTGCCCGTCACAGGTGATGTAGTAGGCAATGGGTTGCGGTCCAGGATAGCAACACGCAATCCTTTTGCAGCAAGCATTCCAACAGTCACGAGACCAATGCCACTGCAACCGCCCGTGATGACAACCACGTCCTGTGTGGTATCAATCCTGCGCACAGTCCAACCATTACGCATGCCTTTTGCATAACGCCTGCTGAGCCAGGCAAGGACACTGGCAGCGAGTGCGATGTGTGCAGACCTAAGCCATGAACGCGCTCGCAGGTTACCGCGACGCGAAGAACGGTGTAGTCCTGCGACTATCAGTGCGACGATGAGAGGCTGGTCGAATGTGACGCCCTTGAGCCTGGACACGATACCCATGATTCTGATTTTTCTGGTAGCTTCTTGCTATAGACTCTCGAAAGAGGCCGAGTGTGGGTAGTTATAGCTTATTAGCAGAGACGACACAGCTGCTGAGTAGATTGAGCTTGGCTGTGTAGCTCGAGGTCTGTGAGCGTGGGGTCGGACTGCGGGTGAAGTGAGATCCGAGACGCGGGGAAGCGAAGGGAGATTAAGTGCAGTCACACAAACAGCCTGGCAATAGCACATGTGCATGATAGCACATAGGCGCAGCATGTACTGTCGAGGTCCAGTCTCCTCTGGACTGTCCCTTTCACCCTCCTGCTCAGACACATGTGACTGCTCCGTGAACGAGGAAGTACGTCATGGCAAACTCCCGGAGACGTCACTTTGGCCCGTGAATCATCATGAGGCTTGAGCTTGATATAAGAGAGGCTGCCAGACCATCTAGCCTCGCTCCAATACAGTCTCTAAAATCATGTACACTCGCACAGCCCTCCGTACCACGCGCAACTTGCGTATTCTCAAGCAGGTCCGTCACAACAGTGCCGGTGCAAGGCCTGCTACCGCCGGTGGACAGTCTGGTGCTGTCGCCGGTGGTATTGCCGGGGCGGTCGCTGCCCTGACTGTTGGTTATGCAGCATACCACTTCTCAGGCGCTCGGGCTGCCGTTAAGATGGCATCGGAGACCAAAGCAACCATGGACTCGATGAAGCAAAAAGTACTGGATGCCACACCAGAGCCAAAGGAGGCGCTGAGGTTTTTGAGGCAAACGACACAGTCTTATGCTGCCATGATTCCAGGCGCTAAGCCAATCTTGGATAGTGCCTTTGATGACTTGGACAAGTTGTCTGCCAAGCATGGCGACAAGGTTGACAAGCTCGTCACAGAGACTTACAATGAGCTGAAGGGTGTTGCTACAAAGGGCTCGCTTGATCTCGAAACTGCCAACAAGGCTTGGGGCATCATGCAGTCCAAGATTGCGCAGATCAAGGAGCTCGCAGCAGCAGCAGGCGGCGATCTCGTTGACCAGCACCCGGAACTCAAGAAACAAGCTGGTGCACGCTTCAACGACTTGAAGAGGCTCGCAGAGCAGTACGGTCCTGAGGCGCAAAAGGAAGTGGATGAAATGTACAACAAGGTACAAGAGCTTGCAAGCAAAGGTCTGAACGCTGGATCCATTGGCGAGATCACCAAGCTTGCAAATGACAAATTTGCCGAATTGAAGCAAAAGGGTGAGGACGCATACAACCAGGGCTTCGAGAAGAGCATCAAGCCATTGCTTGCCAAGTCTCCGGAAGTGTCCAAGTTCTTCGAGGACAACCAAGATGCCATCAAGTCTGGCGATATCAAGAAGCTGATCCCAGCCGTCAAGAAGGCTATCGACCAGCAGGACTTTGGCTCTTTGCAGCAATACGTGGACCAGGCGAAATCATACGCCAACAACTCTGGTCTCGGCAGCTACCTCGATGCCATTCCCTCTGGCAGTGAGATTATGGGCCACTTCAAGGACATTCACGCCATTGCAGACAAGCACGGCGAAGAGGCCAAGAAGTTGAGTGAAGACACCTTGGCTGAGGTCAAGCAGATTCTGACCAAGCGGGCTGAACAGGCGCGAAAGATTGCCGAGCAAGCCAAGAAGGATCTCTAGATCAGTAGCATTAGTCTCAGCATAGGGAGACTGTGTAAAAGTATGAACCCAACGAGAAAATCGGAGCTGTGTAGAGGAAGTATATTTTATACGTATGCTTCTCTGGTTGTGAATTTTGACTCCAGCAGATGACGTTCAGCATGACTACCACAATGCGGAGAGAATGAGACGGACAAGCACTCATCTTCTAGGCTATCGCCAGCATGCAAGGCTCTTTTCCCAGTCTATTGCTCTGCGTGAGGTGTCCACCAGTCCAAACAACGAGATCATCGAACAAGTGGACGTAGGGCATGACGAACTCACGCAACAGCTTCGCCAAGTCCTTTGGCAATTCAAGGCACCCATTCGCTTTGCATTTGCCTATGGCTCTGGCGTATTTCCTCAACGCGGCTATGCGAAAACGCCCACGACAAAGCCCATGGTCGACTACATCTTTGGCGTCTCACATGCTCAACACTTTCATTCTCTCAATTTGACAGATCATGCGGACCACTACTCTTTTCTGCGACGGCTCGGGTCAGGCACGATTTCACATGTTCAAGAACGATACGGTGCAGGCGTCTACTTCAATCCCTACGTTACTGTAAATGGCATTGCCATCAAATATGGTGTCGTCAACCTCGATACACTTTGCGAAGATTTAGACGACTGGCGGACATTATACCTTGCTGGACGTATGCAAAAGCCCATCAAAGTTCTCCGAGACCATCCTCAAGTTCAACTGGCGTATCAACGAACGCTCAACGCCGCGCTACGTGCTGCGCTGTTGCTTCTACCACAGACGTTTACTGAACGCCAACTATTCACGACAATAGCGAGTCTCTCGTATCTCGGAGACCCACGCATGTCTGTTGGTGGTGAGAACCCCAAAAAGGTAGAAAATATCGTCTCTGCGCAACAGCAACATTTCCGAAGTCTCTATGGCCCTTTGATGGCAGATCTACCAAATATCCAATACATGGGCACCGAGCATTCAGGTCAAGATATGGCTGGTTTGACGCAAGACTTGAACCCACAAACGCGTGGAAATATGGTCAGACGACTACCGAAGACATTTCAAGCGAAACTTTACAATGCTTATCGGCATAAGCTCGGTGAACAGCATGCGATCCACATTCAAACATCAGAAAAGGAAGGTGTGCCTTCCACTTTTGGCAGCCCCTTTGATGTGGCTATTGCGGCGTCGTCCACTCTGAATGCCGAAGTAATGAAAGCTATTAGCGCAACGGTAGCATGGCCGTCGACTGTGCAAACCATCAAGGGTATCTTAACGGCTGGCCCTTTCAAGAGCTGGAATTACGTTGCCGAAAAGCTCAAGAAAGCCAAGGTGATCTCGTCCAAAAAGAACGAGACGCCTCAAGCTCGGTCAGAAAAGACTGTCACGTTGGCAGGTACCTCCACAGCAGCGGCCATTCGTGATTCTGTACGGCAAGAAGGCATGAAATCGCCTGTGCAGAAGAGTACTGATAAGCAGGACGTGTAAATAGAGTCATGTAAAGAAACGTCATACAGCCGAAAGGTCTATCCTCGTTTCAACTTCTCAAATCGTGACATGAGCGCGTCAAAGCTCTGATCATCAACGCCACTCGTTCCTTGCGTCCCACTCGCGCCTGGCGGCTTTGCAAGGGGCGGTGCAGCGTCCTTTGGTACCACAAGTCGCGGCCTTGGATTCTCCGTACTAGGTGAGGGTAGCGATACGCTCGCCACTGCTTTACCACCTGGCGTAGACGGCAATCCCGGCAGGTCGCCATCATCCACCGTAAGTCCTGGACTCGCCACAGGAACACGCTCTGCATTGCCCGTTCCAGGCTCGTCGTCGCCATCGTGTACGGACCCAGGCGGGGTATCTCCATTGTGGAAGTCGACACCATACGCTCTCGCAATCTCTCGTAGATAGCTGGTGACCAACTGCGCATCTGGCACAGCGAAGCGTAATTTGCCCAGTACTTTTTCACTCACTTTACTCTCTGAACCAGGTCCACCGCCCATTGTCTCCGCTGCTGTCGCTGAAGCCGTCAGCTCTTGGTCGAATGCTTTGCCATATCGCTGGATCAGTAATCTCCGCAACTCCGTGAGTTCTTTGACATCGACACGCGGCGCTGCGTACATGAGTGAGTAGAGTGCTTCCTCCAAACCACCATGCGCACCACCACTACTCTCTACCACCCCTGAGACACTCGCAGGCGTACCACCTTTAACCCCACCAAGTTGTAGCGCATCGAGCAGACCGATACGGGCAAGTAACAACTCACAGTACAATTCAAGTACTTCCAACAACTCAACATAAATATCATCCGCAATGATATTCTCAACACGAATACGTGCACTTTGAATTTTACCCTGCGGTATCAATTGAAGTGCCAGCTCGCGTCGTGCTTGTTTAGAAAGTGCGACTTTCTTTTGTTGCAGCAAGCGAAGGCGGCTGACGCTGAGTTTGAGGTTGACTTTGATCTTGGCGAGGTCTGCAGGCGCTGGCATTCGTGCAGCTAGTTTCAAATGTGATAGAATGTGAGCCGCAGAAGCTACAGGACTCTTTAGAATACTCTAGCTAGAGACCAGTTGATGAAGTCACGCGCGATTGTAGCAGCTTGGCAGACTGCACGTGAGTTCATGTTCAGATGACACCGAAATGGTCGATATCCTATCATGCTTGGTACCGTGGGCTGGAGAGGACATCTCTTGGTAATCAGACGCTCGACACTTAGCAGGCGATATTTGATCAGTCCTGCATACAAGTTTGTCTAAGCCGTTCACTTTACGGGTTATTTACCATGTTGCAGGATGCTCACGGCGATGTTCTCTCTTCGTTGATCAGTCAAGCAATCGCAAGCTGAAGCCTGCCTTTCGATCAAGCTTCATAGGGAATCATAGCAACATGACTACATCTCCAGGGGTCTATTTGTTCGTGGCACAGAAGGACAAGCGAAGTAGTTCTATGCCTGTGATTGGCTGGCGATAAGAAATTCTGGAGGTTGCCACTTGCGCACGAAGCCGAAGAAGACAACACCCAGCACCCAACACTCATATAGACCCTCGGGCTGCCGCGGCATCATCTCCACCATTCCTATAGCAGCTGTAGCTACTGGGACAAGCAGCAGTGACAAGGGCCGACAGAGACTGCAAATTCATCTATCGTGAGCCTAATACACATCCTACTGCAAACGACTGACCATCAGATGCCCAACGACGCAGTCCTCGTGCCGTCCGTTTCTGTCGCGAGCGAAACGAGCGTCCAACAAGTCCTCCTCAAGCTTGCCAAGCATGAAGCCTGGTCTTCAGAGCTCTTCTTCTACCTCAATGGCAACAGAGTAGTCTTGCAGAATCCAGATCCAGAAGCCACCGTGCTAGAATATATCCGCGCAATCGGCCTAACAGGGACGAAACGCGGTTGCGAGGAAGGCGGCTGTGGCAGTTGTACAGTCATCGTCGCTGAATATGACAAAGATACAAAGAAAGTCTATCATGCGAGTATCAATGCGTGTATCGCACCGCTTGTCTTCCTCGATGGCAAACATCTCATCACCGTCGAAGCACTCGGCACACACAAGAACCCACATCCAGCGCAAGAACGCATTGCCAAACTTCACGGCAGTCAATGTGGTTTCTGTACACCAGGATTCGTCATGTCATTGTATGCGACATTGAGAAATAACCCTGAGCCATCGGAGCATGAGCTCGAAGAAGCCTTTGACGGCAACTTGTGTCGATGTACTGGATACAGACCCATTCTCGATGCTGCGCGGACATTCGCTAAAGGCGCCGACAAGGGTTGTGCTATGGGCGACAAGTGCTGCAAGATGGGAGGTACACAAGATGCGTGTGGCTCATCACTCGAGACCAACCCACCTACGGCACGCAACTTCCCACCCGTTGATTTCAAGCCCTACGACCCAACCACTGAACTGCTCTTCCCACCTGCCCTCAAGAAGTATGAACCAAGAGCCCTGTACTTTGGCAATGAACGCAAGTACTGGTTCAGACCCGTCACGGTGGATACTTTGCTCGACATCAAAGCTATTGCTGGCGCTGACGCCAAAATCACCGGTGGCAGCTCAGAGATCCAAATTGAAATCAAGTTCAAGAACCTCAACTACAACCTATCCGTCTATGCTGGCGAAATCAAAGCGCTCAAGCAAATTGAGTTTCACGACAATCACATCACTGTTGGTGCCAATGCGACCCTCACTGATGTCGAATACCAACTCGATGAGCCCGCTACAAAACGCTACGGAGAAACACGCGCACAGTCTTTCGCTGCAATTGTCAAGCAACTCAAATACTTTGCCGGTCGACAAATTCGAAACGTCGGCACGCCCGCAGGTGCACTTGCAACAGCATCACCCATTAGTGATCTCAATCCACTCTTGATGGCATTGGGCGCCAAGATCTTTTATCGCTGCGCTGGTCAACCTGAACGAGCGCTTGATGTGCTTTCTTTCTTTACTGGTTATCGACGGACTGCTTTACCGGCTGATGGTGTCCTGACACGCATCGAGATTCCTGTCCTGAAGGAGCAAGAGTTTGCACGCAGTTACAAGCAGTCGAAGCGCAAGGATGATGATATTGCCATTGTCACGAGCGGTATGCGAGTGAGACTCGCTGCCGACAATACAGTCGAGGAAATTGGTCTTGCATATGGTGGCATGGCAGCAACGACCGTCATGGCTCTCAAGACACAGGCTTTCCTGATGGGCAAGCGTTGGACTGATAAAGATGTCCTTGAACAGGCACTGAACACGCTGGGTGAAGAATTTGACTTGCCATTCGGTGTGCCTGGAGGTATGGCCACCTTCAGAAAGTCACTTGCCATTGGCTTCTTCTACCGGTTCCATGCAGATGTTTGCCAGCAGCTCGGCACAGAACTCGATGCTCAGGCAGTAGCGCCCATTGAACGTGGCTTGATGAAAAGCTGGCGTGATCATGAAGTACCAGTGCAAAACACCCGGATTGTCGGTAAGCCACTGCCGCATGTTGCAGCGATGCGACAAGTGACGGGTCAAGCTCAGTATACGGATGATTTCCCAGCGTTTGCAAATCAGCTGTATGGTTGTATGGTTTGGTCCACAAAAGCACACGCCAAGGTACTTGCTGTGGATGCATCCGCGGCACTGGCACTTCCTGGTGTCACCCGATGGATTTCCGCCTCAGATATCCGAGAAGGCGGTAATCTTTGGGGTGATGTTATTCAAGATGAGCCGTATCTTGCTGAAGCGGAAGTCTTTTGTCATGGTCAACCCATCGGTATGATCCTTGCTGATACCTATGCTCAAGCGCGTTTGGGAGCGCAAGCGGTCGGTGTCAAGTATACTGAACTTCCAGCGATCCTGACGTGCGATGAGGCTATTGCAGCAGACAGCTTCCACCCCTACCAAAAGTTCATGCGATGCGGTCTAGATATGGACGAAGCATTCGCTCAGTGTGACCATGTCATTGAAGGAGAGGCGCGGATGGGTGGACAAGAGCAATTCTACCTCGAAACACAAGCATGTGTTACTGTGCCCCGGGGTGATGATGAGTTTGAGATTTTCACTGGCACGCAGAATCCAACTTTTACGCAGTTGGCCGTGGCTGAGTTACTGGGGCTCGGTGCATCGCGTGTCAATGTGCGTGTCAATCGCATGGGTGGCGCGTTTGGTGGTAAGGAATCACGAAGTGTTCAATTGGCAGCCATCACGTCTTTGGCTGCAAGTGTCACGCAGCGTCCTGTTCGATGCATGCTTGATCGTGATTCTGACATGATTTCAACGGGTCAGCGTAACCCGTACCAAGCAAAGTGGAAGGCTGGCATTAAAGACGGCAAGGTGTTTGCACTCGATGGAGATATCACCAATAATGCAGGCTGGTCACTTGACCTGTCAGGTGCCACCATGGATCGTTGTCTATCGCATATCGAGAATTGTTACACCATTCCGAATGTCCACGTTCGCGGCCGGTGCGCAAAGACCAACATTCATTCCAATACAGCCTTCCGAGGCTTTGGCGCTCCGCAAGGCTCGTTCATTGCAGAAACGATTATGGAAACCATTGCTGATAAGCTCAAGATGGATGTGCATCAGCTTCGATGTGATAATTTGTCATGGGAAGGTCATCGCACGCCGTATGGCCAAGAGCTCATCGACTGGCACATGCCACGACTCTGGACTGAAGTACTGAAGGAAGCAGAGTACGAGAAGCGCAAGCAGGCGATTGAAGAGTTCAACAAGTCGTCTAAATGGAAGAAGCGTGGTATTGCGATCGTGCCTGTCAAGCATGGCATTTCATTCGGCGCAATGCATTACAACCAGGCAGGTGCGCTCGTCCATGTTTACAAAGATGGTAATGTCCTTTTGGCTCATGGTGGAACAGAGATGGGCCAAGGTCTGAACACAAAGATGATTCAGGTGTGTGCAGAAGAGCTTGGCATTCCATTTGACCAAGTCTTTGTTTCGGAAACATCCACCAACACGGTGGCCAATACATCCCCGACTGCTGCCTCTGCTGGATCTGACTTGAATGGCGCTGCCATTAAGAACGCATGCGATCAGATTATGGAGCGGCTGAAACCTTTCTTTGAAGCAGACCCAGAAGCGTCCTTTAAGCAGATTGTCAAGACTGCATATTACGCCAGAGTCAACTTGAGTGCAAACGGACACTACAAGACACCAGACATTGCCTATGTATGGGGCTCAAAGAGCGACGAAGCAAAACCCCTTTATTCTTACTTCACCCAAGCTGTGGGCTGCTCCGAGGTTGAGATTGACTGTTTGACAGGCGACTGGACTCTGCTGCGGACAGATCTCAAGATGGATATTGGCCGGAGTATCAATCCTGCCATTGACTATGGTCAGGTGGAAGGTGCGTTTGTGCAAGGTACTGGTCTCTTCACAATCGAAGAGTCTCTTTGGACTCGCCACAATGGTCAACTATTCACGAAAGGACCAGGAGCATACAAGATTCCTGGAGCACGCGATATTCCACAAGACTTCCGAGTAAGCTTCTTGAAGAAGGCTGATTGGGCCAATCTCAAGACTATTCAGTCAAGTAAAGGTATTGGCGAGCCAGGCCTCGCTTTAGGCTTGGCACCATTCTTCGCACTCAGAGATGCAGTCAAGCGTGCTCGTCTCGACTCGGGAGACGACACGTTTCTGGAGTGGCGTTCACCGGCGACGACTGAGCGCATCCGCTGCTCACTCAGTGACGATATCATCAAAGCTGCCAGAGTGCTTCCCAAGGATGGGGAGCAGGACTTTTTCGTGTCATTGCCGTAGATAATCGACAAGTACATATGTCATTCTTGAGCTTCTGTCTTCCAACGAAATTCCTTTGGTCTTCCTTGCCGTTTCTGCTCTGTATCACAGAAATGAGCATTGCCGCATTCACACTCAATGCCGTCGCCTCGCAGCCAACGATAGGTGATGCTCCACCTTTCTTGTCGTTCACGACGCGCTCTTTCGGTCGCCCCGTCATTCACGGGCCATGGATCCGAACGACGCTTCTTGATGCCATGCTCAAACTCATAGCGAGATGCTCCAGACATGCGAATCATTGAACCAGGTACAAGATCTACAGGGACTTCGAATCTGCCCTCTGGACGAGGTTGTCGAAAGTCCATCGTCACTGGGTTGCCAAGTGACAACCCGAACAGATGAGTATATGTGCTGTGTGTATCACAGTGTGGAGGAATGCCTGAGCCAGGCGGATAGTACTGGATTGTGACTTGATCCGGATCCTGATATCCATTGACGAGTGCTTCATCCTCATTCAATGACAAGTCCCGACTTCCGACTGGGAAGGTCTCTCTGAGCCAATCTGGGTATGGTTTGAATGGGATCTGCTGATCTACGCCCATTGTCTTGTAGTCAAACGTATAGCCATAATGCAATGCCTTTCTCGTCAGAGGATTGCCGACCCCAGTGGTCTTGTGGTGCGACACAGGCCAGGGAAGAGCTTTGATGATGGCAAGCAACTTATCGTGCTCATCTTTGGACAAATAGCAAGGAGCAATCAATAGCCCTGGCACATCAGGATGCTCATGCAAGCTCTGCATGTCAACACATATATTGAAGCTCGTGTGGTCATGGTACAGGTTTGTGAACTCATTAAAAATTAAATGCCTAAGAAAGAGAAGCAGTCCCACGCTCAGAAGCCTATGCGACTCCGCCGCTTCTGCTTTTGCTCTGCTCCATTGCCAATAACACCATGCGTACCAGCAGCAGACGCAGCAAGATTCTTCCCACTCATATTGCTAGATGATGAGCGAGGCGGTTGATTCGCCATGGCGGCCGCTGCAGCTGCTGCTGGCCCACTGCCAGCTTGATGTGCTAGACGAGCGGCCACACGACCATTCGCCTCTTTGATGCTCTCTACCCAATCGTAGCTCCGTGTCGCTGGATCTTCAAAGAGATATGACTTTTGCGGTGTCTCCAAAAGAAAGCTCTTGCCAATCTCATCTGCAAGGCGTGTCACAGTTGTTGTGCCCGACAAGGTGATCTCGCCCTTAACCTTCTTGCTGTCTCCCGATACTTCAATGTAAAGACAACGGCCTGTCGAGGTAACAAGTAGAGTCCTATGCTTCTTCCTTGAAAGCATCTTGTTAAATTTGCGAGGTACATCGCCAGATGTAGATGACAGCACATTGACCTGACCTAGCCGCAAGATGCGCTCTCCAGGCAAGTTCAATATTTGTGAAAATTGCAAATCGAGTTCAGAGGGAGATGACTCAATTCGTGAGCGAGGCCGTGTTGTTGCAGTGGTAGAGGCACCGTTCACTGTAGCATGTTGTGGCGCGCGATGTGATTGTACGGCGCCATACGAGCCTGGCCCCGATATCGGCGAATTTTTCTGCGATGAGGACATGGGCGACTGCGCGACGGATTCATGATCATAATGTGCAGAGGTTGGTGCAATTGCAAATTTGGCGTGCGGAGAACCATGGTGCGCATGCTGATGCGCAAAGTCGAGGCGAGTACCTGAATGGGTGGGCAATTGGACGCTGCTCTGAGGCATGGCAAGTTGTTGCTGTTCAATTGTCATGCCTGGCTGCGGCCTGTAGGGTCGTAATTTTGGTGCTTTGACTTTCCATAGGGTCGACCAATCGACTGATTGGAAGAATGCATGTTGCCGTATTTGCGGTACGGTCAAGCGATCAACTGGATTCGCGACAAGGAGCTGTCGAATGAGGTCTGCAGCAGTCGCTGGAAATGCTGGTGGGAAGGTGTAATCGAGATGCACAATTTTTTGAAAGGTTTGATACTCATTGTTTGCTTTGAATGGAGGCTTGCCCGCGAGCAGTTGATAGAGGATACAGCCCAACGCCCAAAGATCTGATGACTTGCATGTGGACTTTTCAGTCAACAATTCGGGTGAGACGTACTCTGCAGTGCCAACGAACGAGTTTGCGCGATCAGATTGCTCCATACCTTCAAGCTCGCTGCCGTTGGTCGAACTGCCATTCGCGCTGCCATCGTGATCTAGCAATTTTGCTGTTCCAAAGTCGGCAATCTTGACGCGCATCTTGTCGTCGAGCAACACATTCTCTGGCTTCAAGTCGCGATGAATGACACCTTTTGAATGCATGTAATCAATAGCGTCCAGTATTTGCGCAGTATAGTACCGCGAGCATTCTTCGTCAAACGTCGTGAGCTTTTTGAGTACGCCGAGTAATTCGCCATTCGTGGCCAAATCAAGTACAAAGTACAAGCTCGCTTCGTCTTGGAATGTGTAGTACAGCCGCACCACACCAGGATGATCACCAAGCCTGAAGAGCGTGTTCTTTTCAATGTTGACGTACTTGACCTTCTTCTCCTTGATGATGTGCCGCTTATCAAGCACTTTGATGGCATACTCCTTGAGCGTTTGTCTGTCCGTCGCTAATACCACAGTCGAATACGAGCCTTCTCCAAGCGTCTCGCCAAAGGTGAAGTCCTTGACACCCTTCTTCACAACGACTTTTGTCTTGATGCCATTAACAACTGTGTGCTCTACCCGGCGACTTGCTCCACGATCTGCCCAGTCTTCGCCATTCTTATGAGGTTGGCCGGGATGGGCAGGCGGTTCCATCGCGTGTCGCGTGCCTGGATAAGGTGCATGACTGCTGTTGGTTGCAAAAGGCGACTGCTGCGCATGTCCATAATGTACTGCATTACCACCCGTAGATGCCGAGCCATTCACACCTGATGCGACGCTCCTCTCTGAATGTGTTGAATTGCGTACACCTGCACTACTTTGCCCAGATGCCATATTGAAGCCCGGATCTGCAGCGGACGGTAAACGACTACTGCTTGACGAGACAGACAAGGAGCTTGTGCTGTTCTTGCGTGATGTGGGACGCATACGGGCGACGTTATCGATTGCATGATCAAGCCGTGTCGGTCGCGGCTGCATCACCTGCGCATGGTTTGAAGGCGCAGCATCAGAGATACCATTGCTTGGTGTATACGATGTCGTATGACTTGCTGATGGCTGTGCAGATGCCTGAGGAAGGCTAGAGTTCAGCATTTACATGCAGTGGGGGGAGCAGGTGTCTAGCCCGCGAAATGGCGGAGTGCTCTGGTATTTGTCGCGGGGCTTCGTAGTTGCGCAGTATCGATCGGACTGTTCTTAGTTCGAGGTCTCGGGGGCCCTGGAGGCTGAGTAGAGGGCAGTCTGCTGCTACGAGCGCTTGTGTCGTGTTTTGGGTTGATGCTGGTGTGCTTTGTTCGTGGTCGCTTCCTTGTTTTTTGGTCACTTCTGTCACTTGCGAAGGATATTGACTATATAGTATGTACAGAGACGGGAGCAGCTAGGCCTGCTTCGTGTCAGAGATGATCCGCATCGCAGCACCAACAACAGCTCCATAGCTGAACTTGATGAGCGAGTCGCCCGTAATGGAACCAATGCACAGCATATCCTCCAACACAACCAATGCAGCGCCCTGAGGCCTGATGTGTGCACGTAGGCCTACCTTCTCCATCCATCCATCCTTCTCGTGAATGTCCAACTGCTGCAATGCTTTGGGACCGAGAAATTCAAGCGAGGTGCGACGTCCCGTCAGTACGACCATTTCGCTCACCGCAACACATGACTCGGTGCCATCTCGATGGCGTACTGTCACTTGTAAACGCTGACGAGCATGCTTGCCATCAAAAGCAGTATCGTGGACATCAATGATAGCCACATCTGCAAAGGCTTGGTACTGCTTGTCCCCTGGGAATGCACCACTGCTTTGCTTGGCACCCAGTTTCATGCGCTTATAAATGTTTGCGTACTCGGGGTATGACGATCTGTGGCAGTGCTTGAGCGGTGACGTGTACGTCGCTGTGTCCCATTTGTAAACGTGGATGATGGGCCGTCGTTCCATATTCTCAATCACTGCATCGGCAGCACTGAAGCCAGATCCAATAACAAGGAGTGGGCCACGCTGCAGCGAAGTCTCATCCTCTGACGATTCACTGTCAACGGGCGATGGCCAGCGAGTGTATGGCGATAGCAAGGCAGGCGGTTCAATCAAGCTGCTGTACAGCCCACACGCCAGCACCACATGCCTACAGGTGACCTCGAAGGCAACACCACGGCCATCGATGCCCTGAACTCTGTATCGTATCCGCTTGCTTGTATCTTCTGGTAGCCTTTCAACAGCCGTGATGCGTGTGCCATTATAGATCGCTGAACATAGTCCAACGAAATGCGGATAGGCTGCATAATACGCTGAGACGAGCGGTCTTCTTGGTCTCTCATACGCAGGAAATGCACAACCCTGTGTTTCCAGGTGCCATTGCGCAAAGCTATAGCCAGGCAGAGATAATTGTTCAGCATAGCTCAGCGTGCGTGCCGTATCGCCCGAATTGCCACCATAACCGAATGGTGCCTCTTGTCCGTGTGTCGCATCTTCTGCCCACTGACCACCAGCTTCTATCGCTGAGCCGAGGACAATGTGGTCTCGCGCATAAGCTGCGTTATACTCAAAGGACAGCGTGCTGGGCACATCACCTGCGCCTAGCGACGCGTTGGGCCATAGCAGCGCATCGAGCAGAACATTCGCTGGCCATGCATCCTGTGAGTAATAGCCAGCTGCTTCGAAATGTTCCACTAGTGTATCCAAGCTGCTATCGAGTGCCTTATATAACGGCTGACCCTTGAACTCTGGTCTCGAGAGTTTTGCATGCAAAATAGAGTCCGGATGCGGCGTAGTGCCAGTTTTATTGTAGAATGGAACATTGCCGTGTAAGAGAAAGGAGATCGCAAGACTGGATGGGCCATTGCCGATGATGAGCGTGTCTGTTGTGGCGGGCACAACACGTCCACCCTCAGTCTTGAAGCTGTTGGGCCGACTCGTATGGACCATGGCGCCCGGCTCGGCGGTGATTTGGTATTAAGATGCCTGTCGTGCTACTACGACCCTGGGCCCTAGCTGGACATGCTACTCGAGGGTGGTACAAGTATGGAAGGTTGCGCTTGTGTCTCTTGGGCGCTGAATAATAAAATTTGAGGACGAGATTGATCGCAGCAACAAGACGTCACCGATCCTCGAAAATCTCCTCAATGGCCCGCTGGAACTGCTGCACATTGTACTCCAGCAGACCAGGACTTTTGTGGCTCTCATCGCGCATCAGGCAGATCAAGGCGAGGTACTGGTTGATTTCCCGTAAGTATAAGGTCATGCCATTGTTGAGCTGGATCATGCTCGACGCCTCGGAATTCTCTTGCGCTTTTGAGACTCTTTGCGCAGTCTGCATGTCTCCGTTTGTTTGCTCTGGTCGCCGGTATCCATAGATCTCCGAGATGTCCAAAATCACGTCAATGTAGTCTGAGCAAATCTCATACGACTGCACATCCACTGGCGAACTGTCGGTTGCAATGTAGATCTTTGACATGACATCGAACAAGAAAGCCTTTTCGATGATACTGTTGGCACAGAACACGTTGAGCAGGTTCTCTAGTGTCGGTAGCTGTGGAATCAGCTTCTGAATGACTTTGGAGAAGGCCTCAAAGATGGAGTGGTCGAAGATGGATGTCAGATGGAAACTGAGGACCACGTTTTCCATGCCGATATCGGTCAGTTCATCCATTGTTCGTTGCTGTACATCCCTCTGCGCGTCAATCTTATAATCGTCTGACAGGCCGTCAATCTTGTGCACAAATACTTCGATGTTGATGCCAGGATTCACCGACACAGCCTTGGTGATGGTCATGTGTAGTTTCTGCAGTGCTTCTTGATACTCATCCTGTGCATCAATTACAAAGATAAGAGCACCGACGTCTCCAAAGATGGCCTCTGCATCAAAGCTCGCTTCAAAGAAGTCAATCTGCCCAGGAAAATCCCAAACCTGGAAGTCGATAAAGGAGCTGACATTCTCCTTGATGATCTCACCAGTAGATTCGAGGAAAAGCGTTTCATTGGGAGCCATCTTATGGAAGACCACCTGTTGCATGAGTAGTCGTCCCTTGCAAGCATGTGAACAACCATACCTTTTGTATACTAGACTTGCCCGACCGTCTCAAACCAAGAAGCAGTAGCTTCACTTTACTCCGCGGACCCGGCGGCTGGTCGTTAGCTTGCTTGAACAGTGTAGCGCCACCCGGCGCATCCAATCCACCTCCAAAATAAGAGTCGCTTGAATTGATTCGATGCGCAAAAGGCCAAGGACACTCACGTCGCCCATCATCTCCATTGATGACATGGCCCTCCCTGGCTCGCTCTGGTCCACACAATTGCGAGCTGGCTATCGGGTTGCTGAGCAGATATAGCGCTGGAGGCGCGAGGGTGTGGGCGTGTGTGAGGCCTGAGACGCTCGCACCAACGACGTCAAAAAGCTTAAGAAGCTTGTGCAGCACCACGTTGACGAGCAGAATTTTCGCGATGGAAGAACCCCCTGCGAAGCGGGCCAAGGTCGAGGAGGAGGAGGCTGCGGAAGTAGTGGATGTTGAGAAGACTGCAGCTGCTGATGGTAAAGGAGAAGGAGAGACTGCTAATGATTTTGGAAAAAGCCATCGGCTCAAGGAGGCAGATGTCGGTATCACCGTCCTCATCAACGACAAGATCCCTCGATTCGAGTGTGTGCTGAAGCACAAGCTTTCCGACTTTCAAGTTTTCGAAGTCGATGAGCAAGGCCAAGTTGTTCGCCTCAAAAACGTCCCCTCCCAAGCAGACCTCACTCAAGAGATGCAGCAGAAGCAAGAGGAGAGCAAGATGAAAAAGGAGATCATCGAGACGCAATCATTTGACTTTGATACGGCAGATGCTAAAGCACTTGCTGAGATTCTTGGCGAGGTAACGTTTGCTAAGCTCAAGACATTTCCACAAGAGGCGGCAGAACGCTCATTTTTGACTGGAGAGAATCAACCGGCCATCGTCACGCCAGTGTTGGAAGATAAAGCACTACGCACTGCTATACACAAAGGTGTCCGTGCGGTCTTTGTCGGTGCACTCGACAGCAAGGCAACCGACGATAGTCGTGTCAAGATCACAGCTGCACCAAAACGATCAAAAGGTAGTGGCAGGGGTCGACCTGGTGCATCAGCTGGAACTATACGCTCAACATGGCCAGAAAGTGGCGATTACTGTCAATTCCACGTTTATAAGGAAGGAAAAGACACGATGGAGGTTGCTAATATGCTGTCAAGGGTTTTACAAAAGCCTCCGAAGACATTTGGCTATGCTGGTACAAAAGACAGGCGGGGATGCACTGTACAACGCTTCACTGCGTACAGAGTGGCCACTGCACGCCTCGCCAACCTCAATCGAACGCTCAAAGATATTGTCCTGGGCGACTTTAGCTACACCAAGAATGGATTAACTCTGGGCGATCTGTCCGGCAACCGATTTCTTCTCACATTGCGCAGCGTGACGGGTGCCTCTAAAGATGAGATTGAAACAGCTTTGACGAGACTCCGAGAGGTAGGTTTCATCAATTACTACGGCATGCAACGATTTGGCACATCATCCACAGGCACACATGAAGTGGGCGCACACGTTCTCAAGCATGAGTTCGAGAAAGCTGTACGCCTTATCTTGAGTGAGCATGCCGGTGCACAAGGCGAGACTCGAGCCGCAAAACTTCACTGGATAGCAACCTCGAATGCCGTAGAGACACTCGAGCGTATGCCATCTCGATGTATTGCCGAAGTGGCCATGTTGCGACAAATGGTCAAGGCCAAGTCATTGACGGACTGGAATGCGAGTTTCCATGCTGTGCCGCGCAACCTGCGACTCATGTACATGCATGCGTACCAATCGTACGTGTGGAACTTTGCAGCATCACAGCGGATACAACAGTTTGGGATGCAACCTGTTGCAGGTGATCTGGTATTGACTGAGCAAAGCGCAGAGGGAGAGAAGACTGGTGCTTCTGGCCGCGAAGTCATACGCGCCAAGCTCCTGACAGAGGACGACTTGGCAAATTACACCATCTACGATGTAGTGTTGCCGTGTCCTGGCTGCGATGTGCTATATCCCGGACACAGCATCAAGGAGGTGTATGTCGAGGTGATGAAACAGCACGGCCTCGATCCATTTAACATGGTGACGACTGTCAAAGAATCGACCCTAATGGGAGCCTACCGAAAATTGCTCTCGAAGCCCATCACTTTGTCTTGGGAAGTGTTGCAGTACGAGGATGAGGATCAGCAAATCGCCGCGACAAATCTTGATGAGCTAGAGGGGCGAACGATCACGCTGCCAACGGATGGCAGCAAGACTGCAGTGAAGCTCGAGTTTCAACTCGAAACGGCAGCGTACGCAACCATGTTGCTCAGAGAGGTCGTGTCCACCTTACCCATCAGCGTTTAGTACGTAATTCAGCATCAGCATATAAACAACTAGCCTTCAAGCACCGGAATCGCATCTTCCTCTGGCTCTCCATCCTGGTTCTTTTCAGCTCTAGCCCGGTCCACAAGCGTCTTCATCAAATCGATCGCTTGTTGCACGCCCATCTGATCCTTCGAACTGAGAGGCACGACGAGGGGCATAGGCTGGTCGATGCCTTTTGCTTGTGCGCTTTGCCAGGCCTCTGCCACTGCTTCCTTCAGTGCCTTCAATGACCCTTCTGTTCCTGAAATATCTGCCTTGTTGGCAATCACCAAACATGTTCGACAGTCCAAGCCTTCGCGATATGCTGCCAGCTCTGAGCGCAAGGTACGAAAATCACCCGCCGGATCGGCACCAGCGAGATCAATCACAAAGGCGAGGACACTCGCACGTTCAATATGTCGTAAAAAGCCATGCCCCAGGCCACGGTTTTGAGAGGCACCAGAGATGATACCAGGAATGTCCGCAACAGTGAATCGATCGCCTGAAGGGAAACTCAAGGTACCAAGATGTGGCGAGAGCGTTGTGAATGCCCATGCAGCGACGCGCGGTCTAGCATTGGAGATGGCTGAGAGGAAGGTCGATTTACCTGCATTAGGAAGCCCAACGAGGCCGACATCTGCAAGTGTTCGCAATTCAAGCTCAAAGTAGCGCTCTTGTCCCGGCAAGCCTCTTGACGCAAAGCGCGGCGCACGATTGTCTGCAGTCAAGAAGAATGTATTCCCGAAGCCACCTAGGCCACCACGACATAGCAGAATCGGATTGTTGAGTGGTGTCGGCTTGTCGAGATCGAAGAACAACTTCGGTACAGGTAGATGACGAAGCTTGCCTTTACGCGGACGCATCTCGCGTGGTGTCAAGCTCAGCGTCGCCCTCTTGAGAATCTTTTCTGCCTCCTGCAAGCGATCACTGCCGAGGTTGTCTTCTTCATAGCGAGGATAATGGACCCATGGACCTTTTGAGTCATGTGAGCCTGATAGCAAATCATTTTCTGCATTCGCAGCACGCATGCGTAGCTCATGTGCAGGCAGTTCCAGCTCCCTGACAATCGTACCAACGGGGACTTTGATGACAACATCGTCACCTTTGCGTCCATTCATACTTGAGCCACGGCCATGCATGCCTTGCACGGCCTTCACACGTGTGGGCACATTGAGGCTTGTTTCGCCGTCAACAGCCATGATGTAGACATCTCCACCAGGTCCGCCAGATCCGCCATTTGGTGGACCTTTGGGAAGATACTTTTCTCTTAGAAAGGAGACACAGCCATTGCCGCCGTTTCCCGCTTCAGTCTTGACGAATGCTTGATCATTGAAGGTTGTTTGAAATTTGTGCGATACGTCACGAGGCGATGCTGCCGCGACGTTGGCTGCTGCAGGTGCAGATGCGTACGAGCGTACAAGACAACGTGTACAACGGGCCTGGCCTACACTGAGCCAACGGAAGGCAACCGGTCTCATGGTGGTAAGAATTCTGAATACACGCGCAGAAATGCATCTCCAGAAACTCGCGACGGCCTCGACTACACCACACTCCGTTAGTGCTAGAAGGCATAGTCTCTCTGATCGCTCCTAGCTTGAGTTCTACTACAACCATGTCTCTCGAAAAGCAAGATAGAGTGTTCATTGATGGATGCATGGACATGCTTCACCATGGCCACTCTGGCGCTATTCGCCAAGCCAAGCTCCTCGCTCGCCATCTCGTGGTGGGCGTCCATTCTGACGAGGAGATCAGCTTTAATAAGGGCATCCCGGTCATGAATATGGATGAACGGTGCACAGCTGCTGCTGCCGTCAAATGGACAGATGAGGTCGCTCGCGATGCGCCGTATGCTATTTCTCTTGATTTCATCGATGACCAAGGTTGTCACTATGTGGTCCATGGCGATGATATCACAACGGACGCGAACGGTGTAGACTGCTATCAAGAAGTTAAGGATAAAGGTCGTTTCATGGTTTGCAAGAGGACACCAGCCATCAGTACGACTGACTTGGTGGGCCGCATGCTGCTGCATTCGCGCGAACATCATTATGGTCCGAGGTCAGAGATACCATACAGTGCTGAACATTTGGAACTGTACAAGAATTATGCGACAGGTCCCGATGCTGAGACACCCATGACCCAAGTTTACAGGTACCGTGATGGTCAGGCACAGATGCTCGTAGACGGCCAAGGGCCCTCAGCGTCGCAAGAAGTGGTGTACGTTGATGGCGGCTGGGACTTGTTCAGTGCAGGTCATATCGAGGTGCTCAAAGCTGTCAAGGATCAAAATCGTTTCGTTGTGGTTGGCATTCACGAAGACCGGACAATCAATCAGCACAAAGGCTTCAATTATCCTATCATGAATCTCAAGGAACGCACACTCACAGTCTTGGCATGCAGAGTAAGGTTACAGTATCAATCAATCGACGGGCTAACCATCAGTACGTGGACGCAGTCGTCATGTCTGTGCCATTTGAGACAACAAAAGCGTTTCTTGCCACGCTTCCGTTCACGGTGCAGGGTGTATTCCATGGACCGCTGCCACTTCCTGCCGAACAGCATGGCTATGAGGATGTCATGGACATGCTTCAGATAGTGGAGCATCACCGCTTTGAGGAGCTGAATGCAGGAACCATTGTCAAGCGTATCATTGCACGCAGCGATGAGTACCTCGAGCGGCAACGGAAGAAGGGCATCAAGGCAACGAATGAAGCAGTCCTTCGAGCAGCAGAAGTGGGAGAAGCGTCGAAAGCGTGAAGCAAAGTAGATTGAACGAGTCATGAATAGATGTATGCAGTAGTAAAAACATTGGCCGGTGGCTCTACCAGGAGGCCTTTTTGACGCCAGGCAACTCGCCATCGAGGGCTTTGAGTCGAAATTGATACTAAAACGTCAGCAAGCGGCATGAATACAGTAAGGGGCCTTACTCTGCACAGCCTGAAATCCCGAAAGACGCCACGCCCTCTTGATGTCTCAACACATCGGTTCTTGACCTGATTGATACGTGTATTGGAAGGCATGTTGCTGAGTTGGATTTGCGCCTGAGCGCGCGCCCGAGGAGCGAGGGATGTGTTTCGCGAGATGTAGCGTAGGGCCTGGCGCATAGGCTCCGCGTCTGCTGCGGCTATCCGCTTGGCCATGTCTCTTATGCTGCGGGCCTTCATTGTGCTTAGCTCTATCGGCCTATAGGTGTCTCTATACGCTTGAGCTTCGTCCTCTGAGCTTCCTTGTGGTTTCTCGTGCGATCAATTTCCTTCAGATGGGCTCCATTTCTTATCTGCCCGAACCTCGAAAGCGCGTATTCACCATATCACAAAACTTAGACGCAAGGCAGGCCTCGTCCTTCGCAATGAAGGTCCTTGCACGGATGGCTGTGTCGACCAGACCCGCACGAGTCTGTCGATTGTCTTGGACTCCCGCGCCGAATCGATGCAGAACAGCGAGATCGCATACCTCCGCATCGCATGCTCGCTACACCGCAGATGCGCCCATACAGTCGATGGACCTGCCGAGGGCACAGCAAAGTGCGAGGATCAAGTCATATCAACCATTTTCAGATTTTTTGACCGATACGCATGCACGGCAGCATGACTATCTGCGCATCTCGATTACTGAAAAGTGTAATCTGCGCTGTACTTACTGTATGCCCGAAGAAGGCGTTGAATTACAGCCTGAAGAGAAGCTCCTGTCAACAGACGAGATTCTTCGAGTTGCGCGCGTCTTTGTGTCACAGGGCGTCACTAAGATCCGTCTGACGGGCGGTGAACCGACGGTACGCAAGGATATTATTCAACTAGTCGAGCGCTTAGGTGAACTGCGATCACTCGGCCTCAAAGAAATTGCTATGACTAGCAACGGCATTGCGTTGAAGCGCAAATTGCCTGCATTGGTCGCAGCTGGTCTGACACATCTCAATCTAAGCCTCGACACGCTTGATCCTTTGCAATATGAGCTTCTCGCTAGACGACGCGGTCTCGATGCAGTGCTTTCTTGCATAGATCAAGCGATTGCTCTTGGTATACAGCCGCTCAAAGTCAATTGCGTCGTCATCAATCGCATCAATGACCGCGAAATCACCGACTTTGTGGAATTTACAAGAACGCGACCTATTGAGGTGCGTTTCATTGAGTATATGCCATTCGACGGCAATCGTTGGAATAAAGAAAAGATGGTACCATACGCAGACATGCTTGCACGTATTCGCATGCAATTTCCAACCTTTAGCAAAGTGCAAGACGCCAAGAACGACACGGCGAAAGTATGGCAAGTCCCTGGATTTTTGGGTAAAGTAGGTTTCATCACCAGTATGACGAATCACTTTTGTGGGTCTTGCAACCGTTTGCGCATCACATCCGATGGCAATCTGAAAGTGTGCCTCTTTGGCAATACGGAAGTGTCATTACGCGACATGATGCGTTCAACAAACGACGATGCAGCTTTATTGGAAGTCATTGGTGCAGCAGTCAAGCGAAAGAAAAAGCAACATGCTGGCCTCACGGAACTCGAAACAATGAAGAACAGGCCGATGATTTTGATAGGTGGATAAGCCCCCCTTTATTTCAATGTACACACCATTCTGACAGCTTTTGCGAGTAGACAGGAAAGTCTTGTGGACATCGATGTCTGCGAGTATGCCGTGGTTGGCAGGAAAGTATACTACAAAGCAAGCTCGTTATTACAGCAGCAAGACACCAAAGCTGACACATGTGGATGAACTGGGTGCAGCACACATGGTCGATGTCGGACAGAAGACTGCAACGCGTCGTGTCGCTCGTGTGGTCGCACAGGTCCAGACCTCGGCCGAAGCGATTCAGCTTATCGTCAGCAACATGGTCAAAAAGGGAGATGTCTTGGCAACTGCACGCATTGCAGGAATTATGGCCGCAAAGCAGACGAGTGCACTGATTCCGCTTTGCCACAATATCAATCTCAGCAAGGTCAAAGTCCATCTTCAAGTGGATGAAGCAACGTCTCGTGTCTTGATCGACACAGAGGCCATTTGTGATGGCGTGACGGGTGTGGAAATGGAAGCGTTGACGGCCTGCAGCGTGGCGGCATTGACTGTATACGATATGCTCAAGGCTGTCGACAAGAGAATGGTCATTTCAGGGCTTCGCGTCGTTGAGAAGCAGGGCGGTAAGTCTGGTGATTGGTCCATATAGCATAGATACAGAGTACTTGTGACTGCCCATGCTTTCTCACGCTTCGACCACACACATGCGACAATGAGCTATACAACACTTCTACAGAACGCGGCTGTCGCGCAGTTTCATTGATCTACGACTGTAGCATGAGTCGGCAAGCGCAAATAGAGGAGATTGACGATGACGGGTCCTTGACTGCTCAAGCAAGTCGCTTCGAGGAGGTCGACGAATTTGACGATGACACTGAGTTTGAGCTCCCCGATCAACCAGCCATCACGCCGCGCGCTCATCTTGCTCCAGAGAACTTTCGCCAGGGACCTTTGCAGACGCGCGATGTGCTGAATCCAGGCGGTATCAAATATGTCAATGACGATACGCAATTCAAAAAATGGAGTTGCCTTTATCCCATCTACTTTGATGCCTCCAGGTCCGCGAAGCATGGCAGAAAGCTGAGTAAAGAGCTGTGCGTACAAAATCCACTTGCCAAGGCAATTGCAGATTCGTGCAAAGTCATTGGCTTCAGCTGCGTGCTGGAATTGCACAAATGTCATCCAGCGGATTGGGCAAATCCTGGACGCGTGAGAGTGCTCCTGAAGGAAAATGGCAAACCGCAGCATCCATTCATCAAGACAAAACAAGCTCTGTACCTCGCAGTTGCCAAGTACTTGAGAGATCACCCGACAAAACCTGAAGATGTCCTCAAAGTGCCTGTCGATGGCATCCCGAGTGACAAGGTGCCTGCAAAGGCTGCTATTCCGAAGGGAATGGAAATTAATGCTATCTTGCCCCTACATTCACCAGCCTTGTCTGGCGGCGGCATCAACAGCGACATGTTCAAGGGGATGCTTGGCGGTGGGCTTGACAAAATGATGGGTTCGCTGGACGCTGCTGCACCTGCACCACAAGAACCAAAAGCTACTGCTCCTCCAAAGAAGCCAAAGATGAAGCGGCAGATTATACGCTAGTCTACTATATAGCTTGGCTATTGCCGATCATCACATGCTCCTGACTTACGTAATTCGGGTCTTCCGGGCAGAAAAAGTTGAACAATCAAAAAGTGTACGTGTTAACACAGAGTTGCGACTCGACTTCATCTACAAGAGTTCAACGCTGCATCTGACGCTACTTGTGCTCCCTGCTATGATATCTGAGCTATGAATATCTTGCTTGTTGACTCGTACGACAGCTACACATACAACCTCTATCAGTTACTGCTGGACGTCGCTCCCGATGCCAATATCGTTATTCTCCGCAATGACCACTACTCAACTGAGCAAGATCTTGGGAAGATTCTCATTCGTTTCGACTTTGTAGTCATTGGGCCAGGTCCAGGCGATCCGCGCAATCCAAAAGACATCGGGTTCCTTGCCAGCCTATTTGATTACAAAGTGCCCATCCTCGGTGTTTGTCTAGGCTTCCAGATCATGTGCATGCACAGCGGTGGTAAGATCGATCGTCTTGGTGTACCCAAGCATGGTCAGATATCACCCTTGGAGCTCGCTGCAAATACACAGGTCTTTGAAGGTGTCGCGGTACCGATGAAGGTCACCAGATACCATTCACTTTGTGCAACACTGCCTAAGGCGTCTTCAACTAATCGCCTCCAAGAGATCGCTTGGGCATTAGACGAAGATAACGGCCGTGTTGTCATGGCTGTACAACACCTGGATGAGCCCTGGGTTGGCGTACAATTCCACCCAGAGTCCATTTGCTCAAGTGATGGGCCTACCTTGATTCGCAACTTCATCAAGCTCGCAAATGCCTACAATAAAAGCAACACTGAAAGAGGAATACGCAACATTGAGCCTTTGGGGGATATGAAAATTGCAAGCGTCGTGCCACGGCCCTTGTTGGCGAACAACGCTGTAATTCGGCCAGATCCCCAGTACAAGGTCCTATTCGATAAGTTGCCCTTTGCATTGTCAACGAAGGAGGTCATGGAGATCGTCAATGTCGACGCCTGGCTTAAAGAACAGCGTCGATTTATTGTCCTAGACTCGGCAGCCGCACCGAGTCGTTACAGCATTCTGGGACGTGCTGACCTCGACGATGATAGTTACTTGTCATACTATGTTGGCGACGATTTCTACGTAGCTGGCAAGAACGAACACGCTCTGAACGGACAATCAATTTGGGAGGCCATCGCCGAGCTCATGGCAGAAAGACGTTGCACTATTGGTTCTTCTGGGTCGCCATTCTGGGGAGGCCTAGCTGGCTATATCTCTTACGAAGCTGGCGTCGAGACGCTTGATGTCCCTACCATAATGAGGGGGAAGGCTGCTGATATTAACCTCGTCATGATCAAACACAGCGTGGTGGTGGATCATATTGACAAGGTCACGTACGTGCAGAGCGTTGTCCCCGCAAGTCAAGCCGAAGACATGTACATTCCCTGGGTTGTGAAGCTCCTCAAGGAGAATCAACCCTGTCTCACCAATGAAGTTAATCTCGAGCAGCGTCATCGGCCGACTACGGTTACTTTGCCAAACAAGGAAGAGTATATTGCCAAGGTCAAGCAGTGTCAAGAGTATTTGGCGGAAGGTCAGTCGTACGAGCTGTGCCTTACAGCACTGACACATATACAGTGCAAGTCCAAGGATCCATTGGACCTCTACTTGCAACTTCGCCAAAACAACCCAGCACCTTATGCGGCCTTGATCTCATTGCCTGGGGTCGACCTGATTTCCTCGTCGCCTGAGAGATTCCTCTCCTGGACTCGCGATGGTCGATGCGAACTGCGCCCTATCAAGGGCACGATTCGCAAGAGCAATGGCTTGACACTCGAAGAAGCAACACGGGAACTGAACAATCCCAAAGATTATGCCGAAAATCTCATGATTGTGGATCTCATTCGACACGACCTGCATCAAATAGCCAAGAATGTCAGCGTTCCGTCTCTGATGCAGGTGGAAGAGTACAAGTCTGTGTACCAGCTCGTATCTGTGATTCAAGGTCAAGTCGGCCCTTCAGTGTCGGCCCCGGGTGAGCAAAGCTTTACAGGCCTGGACGTCTTAGCACACGCCCTGCCTCCCGGTTCCATGACAGGAGCACCGAAAAAGCGGTCTGTTGAACTCTTGCAAACAATTGAAGGCCATAATCGTGGCATCTACTCTGGTGTCTGCGGCTACTTTAGTGTTTGTGGCGGCGGCGATTGGAGCGTCATCATTCGTACTGCATTTCGACACCGCTCAGAAAGCAGGAATCGCGATGGATGTATCCACGAAGATTGGTGGGTTGGTGCTGGTGGTGCGATCACCGCACTGAGTGATCCAGAGGCAGAGTGGGAAGAGATGCTGACCAAGGCTCAAACAACCTTGCCCAGTTTTGGGAACAATGTGGAAATCAAGCAGAAAGGTAAGAGACGGTAGCGTAGACACTATTTATTGCCTTGAGCTATGCGCTTTCGTCAATTGATTATTCCCTACATAGGAACACCATTGAGTGTTCCAGGGTCGGAGTCAAGGTGGGCTAGAGACCAGCTCGAAAACAGCCTCCATCTGAAGAGAGATCTGACTTCAGATGGCGCCCTAGAGCTGTGCGCCATTCTATGAGTATCCGGCTTGTAGCAAAGCGGCGACTCTCGCCGATGGTTGCTATCATCTCGGAAGCAGACAAAGGCAGAGATGAAGAGGGCGTAGTGCGATGGCGACATGGAACGGGCGGCTGATCTAGTTTGACGCCGGTAGCGGCAGCGGAGAGCTCAACTTCTCAAGGCTTCAATGATCATGCCGGCTCACGGACAAGAGCCATGTTCAAAGTGACGACGCTGCCCTGTCCATGCATGACGTGGTCTGGGATAACAAAGCTTGGAGGCGCCGGTGCAGGACCAGCAAGTCAAGTATGTAATCATGCAAACGGCAAGCTGAGATCCGTTCTGGTGTCCGGCAGCGGTCTTGACTCAGATATGCTCGACGCTGAGCGGAAAGAACTGAATGATTATACCGAATGCTCGATATCTGACCTTGGCGCGATTAGCCTTCGGTGTGACCTGACCATCATCCACGATCCAACGCGCATCTAATTGTGTTCCGCATGATTCGGATCTAGATCTCAAATTCTCAATCTCTCAGGCTCAGGCTCTCAGCTCATGATCAGATTCGCAACGGTGCAGATGTCATTGTAGAAGCTTAAGCAGAAATTAGACTGTAAATTCAGCGTAGACCTGAAGTTGCGACTAGTCAAGTCGTAATCGGAAGTTCCAGAACCCGGCGGAGTAAGGTCCGAGATTTGAATCTACCCGGCGTACCCCAGATGTGACCTGTAACTTGGCGAAAGTTGCCAATAAAGGGGGCTGTGCATCGAACGGGCATCCACAGCCGGCCACTCAGGTCAGTCAAAGCGAGCATTTTACTGTCTGGCTCTGACCAACTTATCCATGGACCTGATACCACCATGAATCCATGATGCCATCATGATCAAAGCCTGAGGCAGACATGACAAGCTGACACCGTCTGAGATCCTGGATGGTGGACCTGGTCCTGACTGGGCAGGACTGAGTCGACTGGCGTCTGGCCTGGCATCGCGGCCACAGCAGCAGCGCAGTGATAGTGCGTATTGAATCTATGGATGCCATAGTGGGCCGTGACCCGTGGGCCGTGGCTCTTTGGCCATCGGCTTTCTTGACCGATCGCAACGATGCCTCACAGGCATAGCCTAGACTCTGCACTTGAAGTCTAAAGCCTTGAACCTCCCGAGCGGGCTTGAGTCCACGGAAGTTGCAAAGACTTCAAGACTACATTGATTCATCTAAGCAGACAGTGACTGCAGACTTAGCTTGACTGACATGACAAGTAAATCTTGCAAGCGCGAAATCGCATGATCTAGGTCCGAGACACGACCGAGCATACGACGCTGTTATCTCACGATGTTCCTGCAGCGGGTATGCAAGTGGGTAGCAAAAAAGGGAGGGTCGCATTGAGCCATAACGTGATCGATGCTGCCATGACTCATGAGCACTCGTGTGCTTGTACTATCAGACTGTTTGTCGAAGCAATCTAGCATCTCATCTTGGCAATACGAGATCTAGACCGGCAGTCGACGCAAGAGCACCTTGCCCAGGAAGTTGACCTTCGGATTTTGACAGTCAATGAATGACTGCATGATTCCGGCGCCCGAGACTTTGAGGATAGGCTAGAAATTGTTGGCGACATGGGGGCGGCCAGAACTTTTCATCTGGGCGAGCGGAATCTGGGAGTCGGCATTCAGGGGAGCTGTCAGACTGGTGGCGTTTTTATGGGGTAACGGAGCCGGCTGGAAGGCAAGCGCGAGCGACATCCACGCTTTTAAGATTTGTCAAAAATATTGCGACATGGACGAGCAGACGAGCAGATGCAGGCCCGGCTATGAGCGTCTCTAGGTCTCATTGTCACTTTCTGGGGTAACTTCTGCGGCAGAGCGCTACGCGTCTGTCTGATGTTAAAAAGGGCAGCGTTCCCCCTTTCTGTGCTCCCTCCTCAAACCACCACATATACAAGATGGCTCCCCTCACTCACACTGAGTCTGGCAAAGGCGCCACAGAGTATGTTGAGAACGTCTCTGAGGAGAAACTCAGCTCTGTGGAAGAGGATGCTGATATTCAATACTACAAGACTTATGATATCAGCTCCATCATTCGCAAGATGGACTTGCGTATTCTTCCCATCATGAGTGCGCTCTACCTTATGTCCTTCCTCGACAGAACCAACATTGGTAACGCGAAAGTCGCAGGTCTCGCGGATGATCTCAAGCTTCGTCCCGCTCTTTACAACTGGAGTGTCACCTCGTTCTTCTTCACATACTGCATCATTGAGGCCCCCTCAAACCTGATGCTCAAGAAATTTGGTGCCAAACTCTGGCTTCCCTTCATCATGGTTCTTTGGTCTGCGTGCTGCGTTGGTCTCGGATTCGTTACCGACTTCAAGACTCTTCTCATCACTCGTCTCGCTCTGGGTCTCGCTGAGGGTGGTCTCTTCCCCGGGGTTGCATTCTACCTCACCACATGGTACCCTCGTTCCCTCATCGCTTTCCGCATTGCCATTTTCTTCAGTGCTGCCACCATTGCAGGCGGTTTCGGTGGTCTTCTTGCATATGGTTTCCAGCACATGGACGGTATTGCTGGTCTCGCCGGATGGCAGTGGATCTTGTAAGTCTCATCTTTTTTCTGGCGTTGTTTGCTAATAAAACAGTATCCTCGAGGGTGTGCTTACTTTCATCGTTGCAGTGATTGCAGTCTTTGTCATTCCCAACAACCCACAAGATGCGCCATGGCTCAAGGCTGAAGAGCGCCAAATCATGGCTTGGCGCATTGCCCACGATGGTGACCTCCGCGTGCCCATGGACGACGCCTTCAAGTGGCAATATGTTCGTGATGCCTTGACCGACTGGAAGCTTTGGCTCAACTTGGTCACCTACTGGGGTGCCGCTGTACCTCTCTACAGCGTTGCGCTCACACTTCCTTCCATTGTCAAGGGTCTCGGTTACACCACCATTGACAGTGCACAACTTCACACTGTCCCAGTCTACATTGTTGGTTGTGTGTTTGTTGTTCTTGCTGCTTGGGTTTCTGACAGGTGGATGCGTTCACCCGTTGTCATCATCATGCTCAGCATTGCCGTTCTCGGTTGGGGTCTTGCCCTTGGCCTCCCAGTCAAGAGCAACGGTGCCCGTTATGCATCCATGTTCTTGGCTTGCATTGGCTCATACGGTGCCTTTGTCCCTCAGTTGGTGACATTGACCTCCAACGTCGGTGGCAAGACCAAGCGAGCTGTTGCTATTGGTATTCAAGTCGGTGTTGGTGGTCTTGCCGGTGGTGTGCCACCTTGGCTCTTCAAGGCCACTGAGGCCAAGAAGGGATACCCATTCGGTTTCCGATCTGCCATGATCTTTGCCATCCTGGGTATCTGTTCGACCTCTGTCAACTGGTTCCTCTTGACACGCGCCAACAAGGCAAAGGAGGAGATGATCTCTTCTGGCCGCGCTGCTGCTATGTCTGACGAGGAGCTCGCTGCTATGGGCGACAGGTCGCCTTACTTCAAGTACAGCTACTAGACGGTATTGCTTGTGCACATTTCTTGTATCATTATATAGTCATTGAACAATTACCCTTTGTACGCTGCTGTTCTTTCTCTCCTTGGTAGAGTGACCTTTCCATCTGAAGCCAACCCACGGAAGAATCAAATCCGCGACGACTCCAGCAGCCAGGAAGCATCGGCAACAGGCACAGATCACAAGGCCTATCCCGACGAAAGCCCTCGAGCATAGACGAGGGCTTCATAACGACCATGGCAACTGCACTGAGCAAAAGTGAACGAGCGAGGCGGCACAGTCTGAGTACTGCAGATGCCAGGACACTCAATCCAGTCGTCGGTACGTCGCCACTCTTTTCAACGTGTCTTGATAAGGCTAACGCGCTTCTGGCAGGCTCGGAGAATGTCTATCTCTTCATACCAAACATTATCGGTTTGTAAACAGAAAGCGCTCGGCGGTGCTAATACTAGGGTTCTCGAGGATTATTCTGGCATTCGTGTCTCTTTACTACATGCCCTTTCATCCCAAGTACTGCACCATCACCTATTCCATTTCGTGTTTGCTCGATGCATTTGACGGCTGGGCAGCGCGCAAGTTCCATCAATCCACCAAATTTGGTGCAGTCTTGGATATGGTGACAGACCGATGCACGACTGGATGTTTGCTGTGCTTCCTAAGTGCAGCATACCCGGCCTATACCTTTGTGTTTCAACTCCTCGTCACGCTCGATCTGGCGAGTCATTACATTCACATGTACTCCACCCTCAATCAAGGTGTAACGAGTCACAAGAAGATCCCAGCAGACCAGGCGTGGATCCTGCGTCTCTACTATGGCAACAATGTGGTGCTCTTCCTATTTTGTGCCTTCAATGAGCTCTTCTTTGTTGCGCTCTACCTGCTACACTTCCCACCACGGGCAGACTCACCGCCTTTCTTCGGTAAGGACTTCTGGCCATGTCGCTCTTGTGCTTGACTAACAAAATCCAGGACGTCATTGGAATATTGACTTTTCATGGCCGATGGCGATTGCACTCGTGAGTGCAGGCCCATGCTTTATTAAGCAGTGGATCTCACTCGTTCAACTGATCAATGCATCCAATGCGCTTGTAGAGTTGGATGTGGAGGAGCGAGCAGAGGCGAGACGTTTGGCTGGTGGCAAGAAGCAATGAATGAGAGACTGGCAAACAGCATCAGCACGGAGGAAGGGCCTATGGTTGAGTTGAAGAATTGGAACAAGGAAACGGGGGATATGTAGCCTGGCTGTGACTACCGTAGATAGAGCCCAGAAAGTATAGCCAGTGCAAGAGGGCTCCGAGCTCGAGGTGACGTGAGAGAAGGCAAAGGGCTCTTGAATTTAACGACCACGGCTCAAAGCGCGGCGGCACAAAGTACCCAAGAACGACTGCGCAAAGGGACTGGAGGCCCGGAACACCTCAGAGATCGCAAGACTAGCTCCCAGCTTCGTGTCGCGCATCCAGATCAAGCGCGCCTTGGCCTTGATCCTTCATCAGACAGGCTACTTGGCTCTGCATGCATTGAGTTATCGACACGTCCTCCACAGCCGCCAAGAATCGTACAATCGCCGCGTTCAATCCCTCAAATAGCTCCAAGGTGACGCTCAGCCGGCCAGTCAAGTCCAGAGTGATTAGACGCAGATGTCTTCTGGCAGATACTCGACGCGGTCGAAGCCCACACGCCCAGATTCGATGGTTGAGGCAGCGTGGAACCCAGAGGCGCAAGAGGTCATCGTTATTGAGGACTCACCTACCCCGGCCGCCTCTTCATCAACGACGAGTGGTGCTGCATTCAGTCATCAGACTAGCAGACCGTCAACCGTCAGCATGAGCCAGCAAAATAGCATGCAAGGACCCGTGCCACCGCTGATAGATGGATCTACCCACGGACTGGCGCATTACACGCGTGGTGCAGCGGCACAAGCCTCAAAACGCATCAGAGCAGAGGCTGGGCATATACCTGCGTTCTTTGATGAACGGCTGTATCAACGTGCAGGCTTGCCTCAATCCATGGGTACCTATGCAAAGCCAACCTATGACATGCCTGCCATGCCACTTGCCTTGGAACACTACGCGCATTCTCAGGATCAGATGAGACCCGTCTCCAACATGTCACAGCCAAGTAGTCGTCCTGTGACGGCCGCGACATGGCGTCCCTGGGGACCAGACGCGACGCCGAGTTCACCGGCAACAGGCACACCTTACTCATACTCACAACAAGCCTTGACGGCTAGTTCTGCAGGGAAGCGGAAACGTGATGAGACGCACCTATTACAGCCCGCTCAACGGACGTATCCACAACAAGCTGTGCCTGCTGTCACTCGGCGGCTAGCGACGCCTCCAGCTGTGCAGGAAGAGCCGACTCGCTTTGTCGACATCAATAAGGGCAGACCTGTTGCACTGCGGAAAGAATACTCGGCGCAATGGGAAGCGCTTGGTGCTAGCAGCTTTGACGATCCAGAGGGCCATTATGTCATTGTGCCTAATGCACCACTCACGAAACGATACAAGATTATACGACTTCTTGGTCAGGGTACCTTTGGCAAAGTTGTACAAGCGTACGACCATGTCAATCGGATATTCGTCGCCATCAAAATCATTCGCGCTGTCCAAAAATACAGAGATGCAAGTATGATTGAATTGCGCGTCTTGCGAACACTCTATCAACGGGATCCAAATAATTGGAACAATTGTATACACCTACGCGATTGCTTCGATTATCGGAATCATGTGTGCATCGTCACCGATCTACTTGGCGAGTCCATCTTTGATTTTCTCAAGGGTAATGACTTTGCCCCCTTTCCACGACAGCATATTCAAGACTTTGCTCGTCAACTCTTCAAGTCTGTTATGTTTCTGCATTTTGCGAATCTGATACACACAGACTTGAAGCCGGAGAATATACTGCTCGTGAGTAATGAGTATCATCTGGAGCCCTGGCGTGGCAGGACAGCCAATATTGTGACGCGCAAAGTATTGGAGAATAGCGATATTCGGCTGATTGATTTTGGCAGTGCGACGTTTGAGGATGAGTACCATTCAACTGTTGTGAGTACGCGGCATTATCGAGCGCCAGAGATCATTCTTGGGATGGGCTGGTCCTATCCTTGTGATATCTGGTCGATTGGTTGCATCCTGCTTGAACTTTTCACTGGTGATGCATTGTTCCAGACACATGATAATCTGGAACACCTCGCCATGATGGATATTGTGTGTGGACCCATGGATGGTCGGATCGTACGGCAAAGTTCCAAGCTTGCACAAAAGATGTTTCGCAGCAATGGCAGACTCGACTATCCCAACAAGGAAACCACAAAGGACTCTCGCAAGTTTGTCAAACAAATGAAACCTCTGGCGGAGATGCTACCACGCAGGTCTTCCATCTTTTGCGAACAGTTTGGTAAGTTGCTACAAGAGATTTTTGTGTATGATCCAGCAAGACGCATCACGGCGAAGAAGGCCCTTGCGCATCCGTTCTTCCAGATCGACCCAAACATGTAATGAGCATGGTCGCGCGACTCGGCACTTATGATGGGCTGCGTAGCAATGCATTGGCGAAACAGGATGTGCTCGTAGAAGCCTCTTATTGACATACTTCTTGACGATGTTCATCGTAACGAAATTGTTCTGTAATATGAAGGGATGGTCCCCCTTCGCTGGCATATATACACGACTGAGCTCTCATGCTCGGACGATTCGACAGGGGTAGAAGTAGTAACTTAGTAGTTTCAGACTTGCTTTCAATTCTCGGCTCAAAAAGTGGCGACGACACCGAGGCGACAAATCACACAACACCCCGCGATCCGCTCACCGACGCTGTGAAAGAGGTGTCTCAATGGACTCATGCGGCCCTAGTAATGGCGCTAAATCACTGCAACGTCATTTCGCACAAGATCGTTCACTTCAACAAGACACAGCGCGTAGCAAACACGCAAGTACATCTACCTGCCCCGCTGGCTTTCGACAACATGAGGAACAGACATTGCATCAAGCGGATGCTGCGATGCAGGCGTTTCAACAGGGGAGGGAAGTAGGGCCTTTGGTGAGACGTATGCCGATGATGGGACAGAGTGCGCCTTTGCCTGTTATGCAGCAGCAGCAGCAGCAGCAGCATGCTCAATCACATGCTTGGACTGGTGATTTTGAGAGACAGCAGCAGCAAGGGAAGAGTCAGAATGGACCTGGTGCACAAATAACAGGCGCTTGGGGTGCTGACTTTCTGGCATTCCAGCAACAGCAACAGCAAAGTCAACAGAGTCAATGGCAAGGCGTACAGCCGATGATGGGTATGGGAACGGGTATGATGAGTCATGTCATGCATCCACCAAGCATGATGCAGTCTTCGGGTATGCTACAAAATGGTCCAGCACGGACCATGGATCTCAGACCACAAGAAGATCAAGCCTTCACGGATGCTTTTGCACAAGCTGAACGATCTGTCGCTGGACTTGCACTAGACCAACAAGATGCGCATGCAGCCATGCATCAACAAGGTCACGAGGAAGGGCTCGTCTTTGCAAATCAAAATGAAGCAGTGGACCACATGACGCGGCAAGAAGGCCCCGTTTCCGCGGAAGAACACAGAGCAGTTGAGCAAAGTATGGAGAATGCGGCACTCTCACGCATTGCAGGTGATCTCATCAATGCCGTCGCTGCAGATCAAGAGCAGCGCGGTGAGGTCGCTAGTGGTGGTGGCGAGCGACAGCTCTCTGCCGCCATGACTGACAAGTTTCGCAATTCAAATTTCATGAAGTTGATGCATGCACTCAGAGATGGTCAGGTTGCACTCACGCAGGACGGTCAGGGATTGGCTGATACAGTGACAGGGGAAGAAGTGTCTGTGGCAGAGCCAGCGGTACAAGTGCCTGCGCTAACGGAGGAGGATCATAAGCAAATTGAAGAGCAACGGCGGCGGCGTGGCGAGCCAATTTACGGGAGCAAGTATACTTTTGACGATTCCCTCGAGGCAATGAATGACGAATTGGCATTGTCAATGTAGATGCAGCATTTATAAGAGCAGACACAGCATTCAACACAAGATCACATAGGCATCGTTGGAGTTTTTGATTTGTTTTCAGCTTGCAATGGCTATGCACATGATGTCGACGTGAAAAGAGTGCTACTTCTCAAAGGAGAGAAGCATTTGATGTGACAAGATTGTGCGCATTTAAGCAGCAACCTCGGGATCAAGTGCACGGGTGTAGATCTTCTGCTTAGATGAGATCGACACCTCCTTGATAATACCCTTCTCAGCGAGCTCAACAAGCGCACGGCGCGCAAGAGAGCCGTTGATCTTGAGACGGTCGACGAGCACAGAGACCGAGACGAGACGGTATGAACCGACCTCCTTGAAGAGTTTGTCGTACTGGTTCTTGTCGAGCATGATGGCGTTGTTTCTGAGATGAGGTTAGTAAAGCGTCTTTCCTTGCGAGCGAGCACTGAAGGAGTGTGGAATGAAGCATAGGGCCAAGCCAAACGCAACGCGGTCTCCATGTAAGACACGAGAAAGTCGCGCACAATGGCCAACATGGACCATCAAATTCCACAGCTGCAATCAAGCTCGTCCCGCCTGTCGTGCTGCTTACGCCTTGTCCTTGACCTTTCCCTTGGACCACTTCTTCTTTGCTTGTGCCATCTTTGCTGAGTTTGTGATGTAGAGGACCACTTGCTGCTGTCGCTTTCCTGCTGCTGCTGCACCGAGAACAATTTGGCCTAACCCCAGAAATTGCAGCGAATTGACCGAGTTGTGACTGCGATACGGGTCAGATGGGAAGGCAGCTATTGACTGGATGTACCAGGCTTCTATGCAGTCTCAGCCATTTCCGCGCGGTATGCATCCATCTTCCCCTTCTCAGTGATATGTGCAGCACAGGCAGATTTATGTCCACGCTTCCAATCAGCGACCTGGCACTCGCGGCTGCAGTAAACCACATTGCGGCATCGCCCACACTGCATCTGCACCAGCATAGCCTTCTCGTCCTTGCGTTTCGGACAAGTAGATGAAACGCAACCAGTCACATCATTGTCATACTGATCACGCACCTTTCTGAGCGCCCGACAGTACGCTGAGTCTGCGCCATATTTCCAAACGGCAGGGTTGTAGAATCTTTTGATGAGCTCCAATACCTCCTTGCCCTTGACACCTGGCTGCACAAGCCCACTCGTGCGATCAAATAGAGCGGAGATGGCACCGATCATCAGAGAAGTCTGGTTGATCTGCAAGCCTTCTGTGAGCCAACTTGCAAAGCTTTGTGCCTCCACTTTGTACGCTGCGCTTGGTAGTCTTCCCTCGGCACCCATCTCAATAGCAATGATGCGTAGCAACTGTACGATGAAGTGTGATGGGCTCAGCTCAGCTGTAGCCTTTTTGATATCAGCAAGAATACCGGAAGCTGTCAGAGCTGAAGTGTCAGCGTCCAGCGTATTCCAACGATTCATCCATTTGGTCTCTAGTGCCACAATCTCATCTGCCTGTTCTGTCGTAGCATTCGTAGAGCATTGACTGCAACGAAACACTTGCGTCATTGATGACTCTCCTGAGCATCCAGAACCCGTCATTGTATGCGCACCACAATTGGGACAACGAACTTGTCGAGATGAGTCGTGATCTGTGCTGTCGCATCTGGTACAACGGCAAATAAAACCCTTGCTGCTGAGCAACTGCTTTCGACGCAGATACGTCGGGAGTAACAAGTCTAACGCACCGAGGTATGATGAGGTGACTTCTTCGCCAGCCAGCAGATGCCCAAATGCTGTGAAGCGAATGCTACCAGGCTCGGGCATCGAATAGATTGCATTTGGTTGGCATGAATGGTTGACCATGGCTCCCTGGGGGAAGAAACTGATGACGCCTGTAGGTTCCGCATGGGCATTTAGATGAGCACGCATGAAGAGATTGATGAGTTCATCTGCAGATCGTCCCTTCGTGACCTCAAGAGGAAATGAAGCTATCCGATCTCGCCAGCTTTTTATCATTGCCAGATGATGGTCATTGATAGAGAATATTGCATCAGTGAGCGACATGATACGATCTTTTTCAAGCTTGGTTGCACTATCAAAGGCCATGAGTATGGCAAGTAGCTCATCTGGAGCACTCTCAGACCACGAACAAGCAGCATAATCAACTAGCACCTCCTCTCCAGGTTCAAGCTTACGTTTCAGAACGACAGATCTTCCCTTGTAGGAGTGTTCTGTGATCTGATATACAGCATTCATGAAGCCGCCCAAGACGGGAGATAGAATCGTCTCTGTAGCTGCTCTGAAGGAGTCAGAAGGACAGAGCTAGCGCTCGAGGCCAAATCAAGTCGAATTTCCCACGCTGTTTCATCGCCATCTGAACAGAAGCGACCTCAACGGCAAGCTGTACTAGCTGCTGCTGTACGTATTCTTGGGTTTGTCATTAATTGCTACGAATGCTCGCTAGGCTCTAACTATTAGTAGCTCATCAATAAGCTAAAGCCCTCGCTCTTTGAGGCTGCTGTAGGCTCATGACCCATGCGGCCATGCCCCTGGAGTTGATTCAGGGGCAAGTCTCGGCCTGGCCATTTTAGCAAGAGGCTGAGCAAAGACGACATTGCCATATGCAAAGAGGCGCTACATCATTTCGCGGGCTGGAAGCAAGCTCCTCTGCAGCAGATGACCATCAGCTGGCTTAGAGGTGGATATGTTGGTCGTTGTAAGGAATGAGGAAGGGACACTACAGCTTCAATTACAGACCGGGTTTGGAGCAGGAACAGTTGTGGCACTCCTGTGCTGAATACAGGACAGCAAGTGAGGAGGAGAGACAGCGAGAAAATGTCACCATCACAAACAGATCACAAGGATCTCGAAATATCTGGACTGCATTATGTCCATTCTGATGATATTCCACACGCCGGGTGTCCATGCATCCGTACCCCTGATCACCCTTGTGCACATTGTCGTATGGCACCGGGCCGAGTTGATGCGTCCAGTGTTTGGAGAGTCCTGACCTCGGGCTACGACACTGTAATGACAGCCGTGGGCCCATGACAGTCTGGACTCTGGATGTCCTGACTTGCCTTCAAAAGGAGGTCATCGCCCATCGCAACTTGCTTCAGCTGACAACAATCACAGCTGCAACAGGCAAGCGCTGAGATCACACCTGCTTCATACCATTCAGTGCGTCAGCAGTCCACATCTGGAGAACAAGCTCGAGGTAAGTTGCTTTGAATGGGTATTTCTAGACTTCGCTAACGCGTGATTTAGATCTGCAATGCTCTCCAAGCACTTATCGCTGATAGCGTTACTCTCTCCTGTCTGCTGCGAGACAATAGTTGGATCCCTCTTCTCTTTCAAGTTTAAAACAACAGACCTCTTGTATTGCCTGAATGACCCAAAAGCAAAATTGCTTGACTTTGGAGTCAATGACAAGCTCGGGTATCTCACCAGCGAACAGCTGGCGCAGCTGGCACTCTACACGGACCACTCCTGGAAGATTGACAAAGACAAGCTGCCGAATGATCGGAAGCAAGCTGTTCAAGAAGTTTTCCGAAAGCGCTCGGGCAAGTTTTTGCCAGCCGACCAGCAAGTGTTTCTTGCATGTCCCACAACCGCGAACACAGAAGCGTCCAATGAATATTTGAGTGGCTCCGGGATGGGTGTACGATTGAAAAGGCTGCAGGCTCACTGTGTGCAAGCTAGAGAAGAGACATCCGATAAAGGCAAGATCTACTTCGAGTGCTTTCAATGGATTTGACATCGTAGCCCATGATGCAGTGTCAATGCATAGCTCTAGATTTGCATACTTGATGAACAGAGCTGCACTGTTTTCCAAGGCGTTTTTCCTACAGCAATAGTCCACGGGCGCCAGGATGTCCCGGAGTAGGCTGCCACCCTCCTGCCCTGCGAACACCTAGCACCCCTTTTGCAAGGGTTTCCACAACTAAGACCTTGTAAATGCTTAAGCTTGACCTCGAAACGACATACTCGCTACGACGGTTTCCAACTAATCGCACGCCTAACCGCCATCTGAACAGCGATACTCCCCCGATACCGCTCTGTACGAAGCTCGCTTGACTGTGCAAACGCGATAGCAGAGTCTAAAGGCCTCGAGCACTATTGGGACACGTCGGCTGGTCTCAACTGTTGTCTCTTGCACAGTATGCCCGAGATCCCCGAAACACTCGTTGACGACGAGCGACCACCGGAAGCAGATGACAGTGGTGAAGATGGCGCGCCTATCAAGCCTTGTCCGCATCTCAAAAAGTCATGTCGCATGGGTCGCATCTCTCCTCGTATCCGCGCTTTGAAGGATCCGGCGCTTCGAGTCTGTAAGACGTGTACGAAGGAGAAACTAGTTCGAGGCGAGGAAGACGGCGCGGCTCAACTGTGGCTTTGTCTGTGCTGTGGGCATCTATTCTGCGGACGGTATGATCGAGCACATGCGGCGGCACATCATGAGCGAATGGGCGATTCAGATTGTCTTATGTGGAACATTGAATCCTTCAGCTGTTGGTGCTATATATGCGATGACAGTATTCGACCAGACAAGCACAAGAATGAAGTCTTGGTTCAGGTGCAGAAATACTGGATGAAGCATGCTGAAGTTGCAACACCCGTTGAAGATGAGCCCGTGGCGACTGCGGCGGTTGATGTCAAGTATACGGCTCTGGCAGCTGGCTTGCAAAATCTCGGCAACACCTGCTATTTCAACAGCGTAATGCAGGTTCTGGCTGCTGTCGATCCTCTACATGAGATTGTCTCGCCTCATCCATTCGAAGAGCGGTCAACATTGGAAATCAAGTCTCAAACTGGACTGACCAGTGCATTTGTAAAGCTCCTTGGTGAGATGTATGCGAATGGGAAAGAAAAGGCTGTGCTCAAACCAGGTGCACTCTTTGGCGAGCTGAGTCGGCGATTCCCAAAGTTCACACGAGGCCAACAGCAAGATGCGCAAGAGTTGCTACACTATTTACTCGATGGTCTCAAGACGGATGAGACAAATCCAGAAGCAGGAGCACCTTTGCGCAGATTGCGATCACGACGAAAGACAGTCTCCCAAGAATCAGAAGATATTGAAATGACTGATCGGCCTGTAATAAAGCAGCCTGGTGCTGCTGATACTTGGCAACCATCTGGCTACATCGAATCAATCTTTGAAGGACGGCTTGCCTCGATTGTCATCTGTTCAGCTTGCAAAAGTGTTTCGACGACCTACGACCAGTTCGAGGAACTCTCACTCTCTGTACTTCGTCAAGACAAAAAGGGACGCATCGGCGATGCCAAGAATGGCGGTGAACGCAAAAGCCGTTTCAGGGCTGCCTTTGATGATATTCGTCGGTCTCGCAACTTATCACTGACACGCGCAAACTTATCGCCTGGGGAACGGAAGCACAAGTCACGCGATGCAGCGCCTGCATCTTATTTTTCTGCTCTTGAGGCTGCCGATACTCCACGCGGACCATTATCGCCTCGTACACAGCGCAGCGAGTTCCTTGGTATTGGCGCAGGAACATCCATGTCTGAAGCGGTCAGTGAGGAAGATGAGCCGGATGTGAACGGATCTTCGACTGCGACCAATGAAGAAAAGGCTCAGGCACGCGGCGCGTTCAGTATTTCAGAGGCCAAGAAGCGGCTTGAAAGGCTCTCCTTTGCATTTAGTTCTGCAGCAAGCAAGACTGGTTCGGGAAGCACAAAACAAGTGAGTGCAGGCTCTCTCAGTGGCGGCGAGGAGATCAGCAGTACCATGAGCCAAACGAGTGACGCATCAACTGTTCCAGCTGGCGCTTCGAGCATGCCTGCTCCTTCTGCACAGCGTGTTCAGCATATACAACGGCTCTTGAGGGAGGTTGAGCCTACGGAAGCGATGCTGGGGACCATCGAAGATTGTTTGCGAGATTTTGCTGCTGTCGAGGTCATGGAAGGTCCAAATGCCTTTGCCTGTGAAGAGTGTGCAAAGCTCATGTATGCTCCCAAATCCCCAAAGCAACAAGGCGAAGATGAAGAAATGGATGGCGCGTCACTCAGATCGTCTGGCGCCGGGTCTGGCGCCTCGCAGATGAATGTTGATGTTCCAGAGTCTGATGCAGCAAAAGTGTCTGCTCCAAAATACATTCTGCGCAAGGCCTTCAAGCGTTTCCTTTTGGCTGATTTGCCACAAGTGCTCATATTGCATCTCAAGCGATTTCAACAGTCTGGCAAGAGCATGTATTCGAGCTTGAAAAAGGTCGATGATATCGTTCGATTTGAGGAGTATCTCGATGTCAGCGGATACATGCTGCCTCGAAAGGATGGCAACGAGGATGACTCGAGCAAGTTGTATCAGTGCATCGGATGCGTTGTTCACATTGGCAATATACACAGCGGTCACTGTAAGTCCCTCCCTTCCTCAGATACCACTAATACGGTAGATGTCGCTTATGTCTTGTCTAGAAAAACGTCGAGTGCAGCACAGGAGGAGATGAGTAACGAGGCTGGGTCAAAGGAGAAGCAATGGATCTTTGCTAGCGACAGTATGGTCCGGCCTGCGACATGGGATGAAGTATCGCGGTCGCGAGCATATATGGTGTTTTACCAACGAGTGGAGTAGTCGTCGTGCATCTGTGCGGTACATTACAGCTTGGCTTCGGTCGTACTACCGACAAGCCTATTTGCGAGTTCTTTCAAGTCTGCAACCTCGTTGGCTGTGCCTGCAGCCTGGCAAAAGACCAGCTTTCCAGTAGCATCCGTTGCAAATTGACCAGATTGCTGCCATCGCGTGCCTTTGGTCGTTCGATTTCTGATTCCTTGCTGCGTGGCGAGCGTCCAGACGCTGCTTAGGGAGTTGTATCCGAGCCAATGAAGTAATGATGTCTGGCCCAGTCCCCACTGGCCGTACAACTCTCTAGATGTGTCAATCACAATCTTGATCTGCTTGCCGTGCGCCAAATTTAGCGAGTCGATCCATACTTGGGTTTCTTCTGCGGTGGCATGAGAGATGGCGTAGCAGTTGATCTTGTTGCTGTATTGACCAACGACCTTGTCTAGGGATCGAAAGGCGACTTCAGAGAATGGACAGCCGCAATGCCGTAGAAAGACAATCAGGCTCGGTGAGCCGGTCAGTGTATGCGGGAAAGCAGGCGCCTTCTGGCCAGTTTGAGGGAGCTGCGACACGGGCACTTGAGCTACAGGTAGAATTGAGCGTAGATCATCCATGACTAAGGTGATGAGAGCTTAAGCTAGGCAGATGCAAACTTGGAAGTTGGCATTGAAAGTGGATATCTAGGCGTGAGACAAAATAGCGGCCCCGCATCTATGCTCTGGCTCCGCACTTTAAACAGTTCGGAAGAAGTGCCCGAGGACTTCCTCTTCTTGCTACAACACATTTACGCCCTTCAGTATGGACTTCTCGGCAGCTGCGTTTGATCCTAAAGCTATCGATCCTGAGGTCAATGCCCTCAATGATAAATTGATTCAGCTTTGCCAACGAGAATTTGACGAGAAACAGAAATGGTGGGACATTGGTGCTCAGGAGTACCGAGACAAACGCGCCGCTGGGCTCACTGCGTTTCCCAAGCCGGTCATTTTGGAGCATCGCGAGGTACAGGTGCAGTCGAGAGACTCTGGCAGGACCATTCCTGTTCGTGTCATCTCTCCTGGCGACGAGGCAGCAGCCAAGGGCATCTTCATTCACATTCATGGAGGTGGTTGGGTTCTATCTTCCTCAGAGAGTCAAGATCCGTACTTGACACGACTCGCAAAGGGGACGTCTTGCTTGGTGCTATCAATTGAGTACAGGCTTGCACCAGAGCACCCTAGCCCGAGTCCTGAGAATGACTGCTATGATGTGTACGAAGCAATTCTCAATGGAACTGATGGCATCCTACCTTCAGATAGTGCGGCGAGGAAGCGGATCTTTGCTGGTGGAGAGTCTGCTGGAGGACATTTGACTATGGTGACGGCACTGGCCATTAAAGCAAAGCTTGGAAAGTCGTTGAATGGGCTAGTCCTCAACTACGGTGCTTTTGATCTTTCGTTCGTTATCCTTTGATTGTCTCCTTGCTAACATGAAAGAGGCACGCCATCCGTTAAGAACTCTACTGTGCCTCTCGTGCTCAATAACGACGACATCACTGCCTTTGCCAAAGCGTACCTGCCAAATGCCAAGACCACACAGGATTTTCAGGATCCCGCCATCTCGCCACTCTATGCAAAACTTGATGCTGACCTACCTCCTGCTTTGTTCCAGTGCGGTACAGTTGACTGCTTGCTAGATGACACAACTTTTATGGCAGCTCGGTACACAGCTGCTGGTAATCGTGCCGTCACCAAGATTTACCCGGGAGCTCCACACGTATGCGTACTTCGTTCGTTGACCAAAGCTAACAGACCAGGGAGTGACGACCATCTTCAACAAACAAGGCCAGGAGTCTGTAGATGCGATGATAGTGTTTATCAAGGAATTGCTTTAGAAAGGCGCCAAATTCCGTATGTACTACTATGTAGTGCCCATTAGGAGTAGGAGACCATAACAATCAGGGGCATACAAGGAGCACAAAAGAGGGTGACGTGTCTTCTTTGTCTCTCTCGTTGACGGTCTCAACCTCTGTGAATCAACTTGTTGACTCGAAGACGAACATTGCCTAGTCTACTCCAGCAAAACGCACAGCCACGACTATCAGCTGCAGGTATGGACTTTTCGGCAGCTGCGTTTGATCCTGAACTCATCGATCCTGAGGTCAATGCACTCAACCAATATCTGATTCAGGTCTGCCAGAAGGAAGCCGACGAGAAGCTGAAATGGTGGGATATCGGTGCCCAGGAGTATCGAGACAGATTTGCTGCTGGACTCTGTGCCGTTCCCAAGCCTGTTATTTTGGAGCATCGCGATGTGCAGATACAGTCGAGAGACGCTGGCCGGACCATCCCCGTTCGTGTAATGTCTCCTGGAGACGAGGCAGCGGCCAAGGGCATCTTCATCCACATTCATGGTGGTGGCTGGGTCCTCTTTTCTGCAGCAAGTCAAGACCCGTACTTGACACGCCTAGCAAAAGGAACTGGATGTGTGGTGTTGTCCATTGAGTACAGGCTTGCACCAGAGTACCCTAGCCCGAGCCCTGAGAATGACTGCTTTGATGTGTGTGAAGCAATTCTCAATGGGACAGATGGTATTCTGCCTACCAACAGCCCAGCAAGGAAGCGAATTTTTGCTGGTGGTGAGTCTGCAGGTGGTCATTTGACCATGCTGACAGCCCTGGCCATCAAGGCGAAACTTGGCAAGTCGTTGAATGGACTAGTCCTCAACTATGGTGTTTTTGATCTTTCGTCCGTTTCTACTGAAGCTATCCTCGCAGCTGCTAACTTGACAGTGTTACGCCATCTGCAATGCAGTCGACAGTTCCTCTGGTTTTGTGCAGAGACGATATCCCTGCCTATTTGAAAGCGTACCTGCCGGATGCCAAGACGACTGAGGATTTCCGGGATCCGGCCATCTCGCCACTCTATGCCAAGCTCGACGCTGACTTGCCTCCTGCTTTGTTCCAATGCGGCACGCTCGATTGTTTCTTGGACGACACACTGTTTATGGCTGCAAGATACACAGCTGCCGGCAACCGTACCATTACCAAAATCTATCCGGGTGCCTCACATGTATGCTTCTTTAGCCTTGAGTTGCGCTAACATGCCAGGGTGTGACGACCATCTTTCAAAAACAGGGACAGGCAACTGTAGATGCCATGATTGCTTTTGTCAGCGAGTTGCTTTAGTAGTCATCTAGCCGTCACCCTGCATTAGAAAAGTCAGGGGATTGCGTCTCGCCCATCTGAAGTGAAGCATGCACGTGTTTCTTGGCTGGCCAGGGGTCGACGACTGCGCCACAGCTGTCATTCCTGGCGGTTGATGAGTCAATGATGGGTCCTAGCAGCAGCTGGAGAGTAGATGGTCTTGTGTAACTGTGTGCTGTGTTTGTGTAGAGAGGATGGAGGTGCCTGCCTACTGAACAGCCATTACCAGTACAAGATACAGCAGTATACTCAGTATATTCAGTATTCTGCTGCTGATCTGTCTTGCTCGAAATAGCACTCCGGAGGCTGGCCCGCAGACAAAGCAGAAAATACAAATACAAGTACAAAGGCACACTCACTCCATCCCTACATACTCCATTTTGGCTACAGGACAGATGCTTCTCAACATCCTCCTCGCAGCAGCACTCGCGGCAGCATGCGATCCACGCACCACCTCCTGCGCATCCATCCCTGCCATGCCAGCAAGCATCACCTATGACCTCTCAACAACCAACACAGCCCAATTCAACTTCATCATACCAAACCGCATCACACAGAACGGCAATGGCCTTGATTTCTCCACCGTACAGCAAGGCGACGCGCCGACCCTTGTAACGCGCGACTATTTGCTGTATGGTAATGTGAAAGCGGCCATCAAAACAGCGCCGGGCGTGGGTATGGTGTCTGCCTTTATCCTCATGTCAGATGTACTGGATGAGATTGACTTTGAGTGGCTCGGCAATGACCAAGTACAAGTCCAAACAAACTACTTCTCGCGCGGTGTCACGGCCAATTACGATCGTGGTGGGTTTAGCAGTAACCCAGGCAACCAAGCTTCTGTGCACACCTACGAGATTGATTGGACAGAGACGACGTTGCGCTGGATCATCGATGGTGTTACTGTCAGGACGTTGAATAAAGCAGACACGGGGTCGTATGGATACCCGTCCACACCCTCTCAGATCAAGATTGGCGTCTGGGCTTCCGGAGACCCTTCGAACGAGCCAGGCACGATTCAATGGGGCGGTGGGCTCTTGGACTACAGCAAAGGTCCTTACACCATGACCTTGCAGTCTCTCACCGTCACCTCGTATTCACCGAACGCCAAGTCCTTCTCCTACGCACCCGGTGGCTTGACTTTTACCTCCTCCAACCAACAGCTCGCACAATCCGCCGTATCGGCAGCAGCAACGCAACAAGCAGCTGCAAAGCCAACCATGGCAGGACAAGCAATCGGTGTCGTTGCAGGCGCTAGTGCTTCTACTGCAAAAATATCTTCTGCGCCAATCACGGCAGTGACGACCCGTCCACAAACCTCTGCAGCAGCCAATACACTCCGTACATCAACAGCCGTTGTTGCTGTTGCAGCTACGGGAACGGGTGTTCGAACAGTCACAGCAGCTTCTGCTACGGCGAGTACACGACCTACTGTCTCTGCGAGTTTGGCAACATCTCTGGATGTACGGTGGGTGCTTGCTACTCTGGCGAGTCTATGCACGTTTGCATTGCTGTAAAGCAAACATTTGTTCCACTACATTAGAAGAGAAGAGCCAGGTAGCATTTCAAGGTTGTAATTCATGCATTCATCATCTGTACGTTCGTTGCGCTAGCGTTTCCCCATCTTGAGCCATTTCGGCACCTTCTTCGCACCATGACTTGATGGCTCTTTCGTTGACGTATCCTTTGTTGTCTTTGTAGAAGCCATCGATTCTGCTTCTTTTGCATCCTCAAGTTCCTCCTGTACACGTCGTTTCTCTACATGCTCCCTCGCCTCCACTGCCTGCGACAGAACCTCTTCCCTCAATGTCAATGGACTTGCGCCAGCCGGCACAACTTGTAGCGCCGTCGCTGCACCGAAACCCAGGAGACGCAACGAACCTGGTGCATAGCGCGGCAAGAGGCGACGATCAGGGTATCCCGTCTCAAGCCCAAACGCATTCTCCTGCCCTTCCAGCAACAATGAAGCAATAAAATCATAAAGCGAAGCAGTGACTTCACCTGGTGAAAACTCCGCCAAAACCTGTACGCCACCTGCAACCTGACTACTGAAGCGGAATTTGAATTTCAGGATGGTTGGGAGAGTTGTGCGTTGTGTGACGAGTGCTGCTGCTGCTTCTCGTTGTGCTCGTGTCATGAGCGGTTCTTGGGATGCTTTGTTGGGTTGTTGGAGGAGGGATAGGTAGCGTTTTGCTTGATCGATGCTTGGTGTATGTGGATCTTCATCAGGTGTGTTCGCATAGACTGGTTGTGCATCTTGCGAGGGTCGTAGAATGACCATTTGGCGGTCGATGGGTTGTTCTGATGGTATTGATGCAGTGGCTTGAAGTGAAGCTGGCAATGTCGCAGGAGTTTGCATGATGCCGGGTACCGCTATGGCAGCCTGTTGCATCACTGGCTCAGCCAAGGGAGCATCTCGTATCCGCTCTGGCAACAGTTCCTGTGTATCTCTAAACGCCACCTTGATAACGGCGCTTCCTTGCTGAATACCCAATGCAGCCAGCGTTGTCTCCCTAAGCACCGCATCACTCTCAAACATCCTGTTGTTGATTGTCAAGATTGGCTGAGCACGGCGATACGCATCAGTCTGAGCAGCACGCTCAATCAACCTCACACCTTGCTGTTCAAAAGTACAGAGAACATCCCAGAGTGTGCTACTTGCCAAACAAGAGGCTTTGAGACGTATCGCACCGGCAACATCGAGTGCAATATTGACAAATGCGATTCTCTTGGATGCAACAACAAGATCCAGTTTTGCACCTGCAGGAAGGCCAGCTAGCCGTATAGTGAGTGAGCAATCCAGTAAATGCTTGCCATGCTTGAGTGTATGCTGTGTAGCATCCACTTCGGCGCGTTTACAGACTTCTTGGAGGATCTCTGTCAGTGGTTTTGCGGGCGTGGTTTGGATCTTGTACTGCCTGTTCCTTGCGTCTGTGACGATGACAAAGGATGACATGAGTAGCTTTCAAGTAGCGAGCGATAGCATATAGCAGCAGTAGTAGTAGTGTACTGAGTGTAGCGTGTCTGCGTAGGTTTGGTTCGTCGCGCCCAAATTGAGGAGGACGCGCAATGCCATCACGACCGCCCACCCCTTCACACAACAACCTCCAGTAGCAGCCAGGATGAGTATCATGGAGTACTCTGGCGGTACATGCGTAGCCATGGTCGGTAAAGACTGTGTTGCTATTGCCTCTGACCTGCGACTCGGCCAGCAAGCGCTCACCATTGCAAACAACTTTCCCAAAATCTTCCCAGCAACAGAGAAGACACTCCTTGGCTTGACGGGCCTTGCGACAGATGTCATCACCTTGTCGGAATTGTTCAGGTACAAGATCAACATGTACAAGCTAAAAGAAGAGCGTACGATTGAACCAAAGACGTTTGCGCATCTCATCAGTTCTACCCTCTATGAACGCCGCTTTTCACCCTACTTCACGTACCCAGTCGTGGCAGGCCTCAACAGTAAGACGAATAAACCCTACATCTGCGGCTTTGACTCGATCGGCTGCATTGATTTCGCACGCGATTTTGTCGTTTCTGGAACAGCAACGGATCAGTTATATGGTATGTGTGAGTCACTGTGGGAGCCGAATCTCGAGCCGGAGGATTTGTTTGAGGTGATTTCACAAGCGTTGCTCAATGCGCAGGATAGAGATGCCTTGTCTGGTTGGGGTGCGGTGGTCTACATTGTTACAAAGGACAGCATCTCGAAACGCCTGCTCAAGGGGCGGCAGGACTAGGAGGAGTTACTTTGCCTGGTAGATTGCCTGGTAGAATATCAAATCAAGATGATGCGCTTCCTGTAGCTACCCCCGTGAAAGTTGCGGATAGCCATATGTTGTCTCGATGGCACCTGTAGCCGTCTAAAGGCCTCTTCAATGTGCTTCACGGCAAGCGGTGTTCTTCCTTCTTCAGGGCCATCAAAGAGCGTTCGTTCTGACGCGAGTTTACGCCGTTTACGCGCTTGCCCTTCTGCTTCGTCATCCACCTCGAGCGCCTTGACTTTGAGTGCTTCTTCCGTGATGCTCGCAACAATCTCAAAACTGAGGAAGCCAAGGATATCCACAATATCATCACCTGGTCGTGATTCCGTCCACGTCGTCATCTGTGTCCACTCCCTGAATCGCTTTGACTTGCGATAGGTAAAGGAGGCTTGTCTGCACTCACTCCAATGAACATACTCGTCTTTACTCATAGAGCGTGTCCGTTCATCTGCATTCTTGAGTCGTTGCATCGTGACATAGTTGGCCTCCATTTCCTCATCATCCTCTTCATCCTCGCGCTCGGGCACTTGCTCAGAGAATAAGCTATTCAAGTCCCAAGGTAAACCGACTTTAGCCTTTTTATACTTGAGCTTTGCATCAGCTTGTGCGCCATCATCCAACAACTCAGTAGCATCAGCACCACCATCCGTCTCTTTCGCATTCTTCCGTACATCCTTCCAAGAGAGATACGTCCGTAGCCTGCTCACCTTGGCACGATCATGACGAATCAAGAAAATCAAATCATCCACCGAAATACTCTTACTGCCACGTTTTGATGCTTGCGCCGTTGCTTGCGTCAACATTTCAACGATTTGACTGCGCACAATCTCTTCAACGAGGCCTGTTGTTTCAGGAGCAGGTTCAGAGTCACCAATGACGAACATCATTTGACTGATTTCAGCCCTGTAGATGGCAGACTTGTCCTTTTCCGGCATCTCTCGTGTCCTTTGGTCGGTTGTTGTACGGTCGCGTGTCGTTGAAAAGATGCACAAAGACTTTGATACTACGACAACAACGCAATGCTGTATGTGGTAGGTCTAGGCCTAGCGGATGAAAAGGACATCACAGTGCGTGGTCTCGAAGCAGTTCAACAATGCGACCGTATCTACCTCGAAGCCTATACCTCCATCCTCCTGTGTGAACGGGAAAAACTCGAACAATTCTACGGTAAGGCTGTGGTGATTGCAGATAGGGAACTCGTTGAGAGTGGGAGTGATGATATCTTGGAAGGAGCAGAGACGCTGAATATTGCCTTTCTCGTTGTTGGCGATCCGTTCGGGTATGACACACTTTGATTCCTTGCTGTGTGCTGCATGGCTGACATGGTGCTAGTGCAACGACCCATACAGACCTCATCATTCGCGCACGAGACCGCAATATCCCCGTGGAAGTCATTCACAACGCCAGTATCATGAATGCCATCGGTGCATGCGGCCTACAACTCTACAATTTCGGTCAATGCGTCTCGCTCGTCTTCTTCACTGATACCTGGCGACCTGCGAGTTTCTATGATCGTGTGGCTGAGAATCGAGCAATTGGTTTGCATACACTCATGTTGCTGGATATCAAAGTGAAGGAACAATCGATTGAGAACATGGCGCGTGGTAGACGGATTTATGAGCCACCACGGTATATGACCGTCAAGACTGCTTGTGAACAAATGCTCGAGATTGCAGATGCTAAAATAGCGGCTGGAGAGACACCGTGTTATACGCAGGATACACTCGCAGTGGGTGTGGGTCGTGTTGGGTCTCGTGAGCAGGTGATTGTTGCGGGGACGTTACGGTCGTTGATGGAGGCGGAGATGGGTCCGCCTTTGCATTCGATGGTGGTGTTGGGGGATCGTGTGCATCCGCTTGAATTGGAGTATATGAAGTACTATGCTACGGATCCTGCAGCCATCCAAGCGCTGATTGATGAGAAGGAGGGGCGGTAGTACTCAGCTGTAGCGCGTCCTCGCGAATTCGTAAAGACGCGACCGAGTCAATACCAAGACTCATCCTGCTACCAGATCAAAAGAGAAGATGGCACAGGACTCGGGTTACGTCTATAAAATTGGCACATCCTTTCCCGAGGGACTTGATGGCAGGGCCTTTCCATTGTCTGACTTGGACAAGGTAGCACAAGCTTGACTAGTTAGGATATGTAACTGACGTTTAAGAATGACGGCTTCATCCATCTGTCTACGAAAGCACAAGTGCCTGGCACTGTAGGGCGCTTCTTCAAGGATATCAACGAGGTATAAGCTATAATCTTTGGGGTATATGATGACAGGATGACTGACAGGCTAGATTGTGCTGCTCAAGATCCCAGTTGCGCGGATCCAGGACAAGACCAAATGGGAGGCTTCTTCCTCGCATGGCATCTTTCCTCACATGTATGCATATATTCCTGGATGAGAGCTTGAAGATACTTTGCTGACACGCTGATGGCTAGATACGGTGACTTGTTGGAAAGTGATGTGCAGGAGCGCAAGACATTCAAGACGGAGGATGCGTCAAAGTGGGAAGCCATGCTCAACGAGTCTGCTTGGTTGGAGTAAGTAGCAGAGAGTCCCAAGCCATTGCCTGTAGACTATTATTACACTGCCCGCTTCATGTCTCGTCTGGTTCGCTTCGGGTGGCGCTTCTGGATGTGTCAAATCTCACCGAAGCACGCCCAGGAACCGGTACTCCGGGAGGGAGATTGAGTCGTATATAGACTCCCTCTTGCCCGAGGCCCTCTCTCTTTGCGTGTCGCTGGGATCACCTGACATGCGTCTATCTATCTTCTACTCTGTGTCTATGTTGAACATAGGGGCTGTGTGTTGGAAGAAGGAAGAGGACACCTGACAAGGCATAAGGCGGTACGCTTGTCGGAGGATGCACGGGAGAGGAGGATGAGGGCGATGCCGTGTGTATATGAGAGGGTGAGTATGTATGGGTATGGGTGATGATGATCGGGGGCCTGGGCGTGATGCGTGATGACATGCTCTGCTCTCCCATAGGCCCCGTCTCTTCTCTTCTGATTCCCTTCTCTTCTCTCTTCTCTCTCTCTCTCTCTCTTGCTGCTGCCTTTGTCTCCCGTGTCCACACATCTCCCTACGCTGCTCCTGCTCTCTATCCTAGCCAGCTATACATACTCTCTCCTCTCCATGCTCCTGCTCTCCTGCTCATCCTCATCCTCATCCTCATGCTCCTCCTCACAATGCACAATCCCACGTGCATCTTCCCGACCCAACCCCCCAACTTGATCCTCCCTCTCCTGCACCCGCATTGAAAGGGCAGCGCTAGCTCAGCTACTCCAAAGACGCGCCTTGCTTACTACACAACGCGTCCCTCGTCGCTTCAATCACACAGCAATCTGCTTCCCTCGCTCGATGCACCCAGTCTGCAAATAAACAACGACGCATCACTGCTAGGCAACGACAGCAGGGCCTTCTCACATTTTATCATACGACAGAACAGCGACTCTTTACAAACCCCCCTTGTTCCATCCCTGGCGTTTTGCTCTTTGCTATCTATATCTCGCGAACGAGCAGCAAGCCCTTTGCAACACTGCCACATTGAACCAGGAGGTAAAGGGCGCCCTTTGTCGCAAACCAAAGAAGAAAATCCTCATTCACGACCCGTCCATTCTGTCTAATCTCATTTGGCTGCATCGCACCTTTCTCGCGTGTAAAACGGACTGCCTGGAAGGCGCAATCGTCGTGTGGTAAATAAGGGCGACCAAGAAAATCCACCTTTCTAATGATGATGCAACGACCGGAGCGCTCATCAGCAAGTCCATACCCGATACCGCAACCAGGTCCCTCTCTGCAAAAGTCGAGACAACCAGTCCTCTCTTCACATACATCAGGCGCGGGTTCTTCACATTCAAGATCACCAACCCCGAGAACACCGGGATCACCACATGCCTTGACACCTGTGAGTTTACTACTTGAAATCAATGCATTGCTGCTCCAACACATTCTACGACTTGCAGCGGATTCAGAGGACTGTGAGGATGAGCAGGACGATGCCACACAACAACAAGTCAGTAAATATCGCAAAGCAGCCATGACGGCACTTCAAGATGCGTGTGTCCAACGCCTTCAGGTGAATTTGACCTATCTCGCTCAAATTGCAGAGAAACGCACATCCCGTCACTTGGCCGTCCCTAAAATCCTAACAGCCCCTGCAGGCTTAGCGGATCTTGTGGAACCGTATGCGCGATTAGCTGCTCGTTTTCCAACACAACAAGCGAGCAATCATCCACAACCTGCCGCTGCTACTGCTGCTGCTGTTGCGATGGCGAAAGCGAGAGGATCTGCGATACCGAGTCCGAGGACTTCAACGATGGGATCGATGTATCCGCATAATATTCAACAACCACCACTCCCTGCTACGACTGCGCCTATAGGTGTTAGTGGAGGTGGTGTGACGACACCTGGGTCGGTGAGTGGTGGGACAATGGCGAGTCCTGCTGGGATTGGTGGGAGGACACTCACATACTCACCTATGGCTGCTGCGCAACAACAGCAACATCTTGGACAGCAAGGGAAACCGCAGCAGCCGCAGCAGCAACAGCCTGTGCATGCAGGGCAAGGTACACATCCACATCATCTACAGATCCAAGCAGCGCAACAACAAGCACTTCGTCAAGCGACATTAGCTAGAACGACCATGAGTCCACCAGCGAGTGTGTTGAATCATGGTGGTGCAACACTGCAGCAGCAACAGCAACAACAAGCATTTTCAGCCATGTCGCAACAGCAGCAACAGCAGTTATTGCAGCAACAACGGAATCGTGGTGGTACGCCACAGCAAGGACCAGGTCAAGTACAAGGGCAGCATGTGAATCCACAACAACAGCAGCAGCAGTTACAAATGGCACAGCAATTGGCATTACAGCAGCAACGCATGCATCAGCAACAACAACAACAGCAACAGCAGCAGCAGCAGCAGCCAGGTGGTCAGCAGGCGTTTGGGAATGCGTATGGTAATATGATGCAACAGCAGCAGCAGCAGCAACAGCAACAAATGGCACTACTTGCAGCGCATCAACAACAACAGCAACAGCATCAGTATGGTAACATGCAGCAGCAAGGGAATCATGGAATGTCTAATAGCATGATGCTGGCCATGCAACAGCAACAGCAGCAGCAACAACAACGGCTTGGTGGGCTTAACGGTGGCAAGATGAATGGTATGGAACAAGCGTATGCGCAACAACAACATTTCCAACAATTCCAACAACAGCAACATCTAGCGGGTCTCAGTGGACTTGAAACGGTGGGTGCACAAGCTGTGAATGGACAACAAGCACCGGGTGGGTATCAACAGATGCAGGCACAGTTGATGATGCACCAACAACGCGTCTTGATGCAGAATCAGCAACAAGCTCAAGCTCAAGCTGCCGCTGCTGCAGCTGCTGGTGCGAATGGTAGCGGTGGTGGTCATGGCCAGTCTCATGTGTATCCGTACAAGCAGTGAGTGATGACCCTCCTGTAGGCTTTTCTTGTCCAATTCTTTTTTCCTTTTTTTCCCAATTTGGAGGGCGCTTCCCTCTTTGGGCCCGGCAGCGTGGGGGAGCCCAAATTAAGGGGAGGAGAGACACGGGCAATCTATGCTTAGGCCCATACTGGACTCTAGTCTGTAGCCATCACTTAGTACTATACTAACTGTAGTCTCTCCTGAATGGCTACCTGGGTATGCATACCTCCTGAGAGAGCCCCTGCATGCAAGATAGATTAGCCTTTTTCCGGACTGTAAAACAGATAGTTTGGTCCAGTGGTAGACAAAGTCCGTGCCAGGTATCGCGTATATCCACGCGAGCAAGACGAGCAAGATCAAGCTGAGTGCGGGCCTGCTTGCTTTCAGTCTCAGAGCCTCAGACATTCGCTGCCCTTCTCCTCCCAATCTACGTAAATCTGCCCACCGCCGCCCCCCTGCATCGTTCTATCGTTCCAACGGCCCAGGGACTCAGGGAGCAAGAAAGCCTAAACGGCCCTTGTTGGACAGTGAAGAAGGAAAAAAAGGGCGCTGCTGGCCTGTCAGCCCTTCATCACACTCAAACCAACTCCAAAAGCGACCGCGCAAAAAGGTCTTCCCTCTCCGCTCCCTTCACCTGGAACCATATCGCCTTCTCCTCGCTCGCTCTCTCTCATCGCAAGTGTACATTATACCAGAAGCTCTGTCAAGGAAAAAAGGCCTCAAAAACCTCCACCCCCTTATCCCAGCCGACTTGAATCACACACGGCGCGCTCTTCCTCTTCCTCGACACTCGTTGCGGCTTTGTTCTACACGCGTGCACCATTCACAGTTTGTATCTGTGATTAGCGATGCAACGATTGCCGCTACCTGGTCCAAGTGCGCTTGGTCACGGTGCTCCTCAACCGTCACAACCTGCGCCTGACTTTATGCTCCGCGTAATCATCTCCAAAACCAACACCATTTCTGGCGCTAATACAGGTAGGATATCCTTGAACGATGGGCAGGATCAGACGATACACTACGGATCGTTATGCTTGCCAAAACGGAAGAAGATAAGCTCAAGCAAGAAGTCATGCGCCTTGAAATCAGACGCACAGAGATGGAAATGCTCAAGGAAGCGCTACGTGGAGGCATTCAACCTTCCCTTGTTCCACAAATCTTTCTAGGCAGTGGTCATGTTTCTGCGTATTACGCGAGTCAAGCGCATTTACAGCAACAAGCAACGGCTGCGCAACAGCAACAGCAGATGCATGCTGCGGGTCAACAACCCGGGGGGTCACCCACGCAACGTTCCTTCCCACAGGGACCTCCTCCACCAGGCCCTATGCCAGCTTTTAAACACAGAGCTACGCAAAGCCTTGCCAATGCCTCTCCACGCAGTCTCCCAAAACAAGAAGCCTATACACCCACTACGTCACGCGAACGAAACGACGTTGCGGGAGCTGCTGGACCACAAGCAGGTTCTGGACCAACAGGGACTATTCATCAAGATCAGGAACTGACTCAAGAACGTGCACCATCGTTGTACTTTCATCACTGGCAACCACCACAGCAAAGTCCGAGTCATGCAGCCGAGACGGGTGAGCAAGCGGCGTCTGCTGCAGTGGCAGCCGTTCAGGGCGGTTCCGTTTCCGGTGGTACACCTCAACCAGGCTCTCCGACGCCTCGAAAGAAACGGTTGACTTCACAACAAGTTCTCAACCCAATTCAACCAAGTAATGCACCTTCACAACCTGGTAGACGATCACCCAGTCGTGGAGGAAGTACGAGTGGACATTCGAGACATCGCTCAGAAGCGAGTATCTTGCATACCCGATTTTCAGAATACCTGCCACCGGCCGTCCCACTACCCACACCGACAGCCGGCAGCGCAACCAATACACCAGCCCTGCAACAACGTGGACAATCGGCAACGTTTGGCCCAACGGGTTCTTCAGGCGGTCCATTATTAGCACCAAGTCAACAAGGTGGACAACATCAATCTGGATTCATGCGCAGTAGTGAGCGGGATCTACCACCACCCCAACAACAACAACAGGGGTCTGCACCAGTGAGTGCGCAAGAACTGGATCAAGCGCGGAAACGTAAACGTGGTGCTGATGCGACGCCATCAAGGTCTGCTCTACCTGCTGTAGAGGAACAATCCAATGCATCACCAAAAGGTTGATGAAACAAGTTGACAATGCTACGAAAGGAAATATAATACAAAGAAAGGCTCAATCTTATGCTTGAGCAGCCTTTTCCTTCTCATCTTGTAATTCCCTCGCTGCCTCCTCAGCCGCTTCTTCCTGCTCTGAACGTTCCCTAAGACACGTCGCTTGTGAGACTTCCTGTACACGCTGCAACAACGCCTCACTCGAATTATCCAACAAGCGTGGCAAGAAGCGTTTTGGCATTTGCACACGATTGAATTTTTCCTCCAACTTGCCAAGCACATCCGCTGGATTCAAGTGTCGTGTGAGTGCTTTGCGTGGTTGTACGGAAATGCAATGTTTTGCATCAAGTGAGATATCGAGTGGATCAGCGGCATAACAACCAGGCGATAAAGTGATACGCACAGAATACTCCTTCCCTGCAAGTGCACCCTCCGTCATGGGTTGTCGTTCAAATAACTCCATATTAATCTGCGTCAAGTAGTCCAATTCTGGAATCTCATTGCGTGCGAGTTTCGTTGGGATTTTACTCTCAAAGATGCAGTTGAGCAGCGTGTAGATGTGTGATTCTTTTGTAAAGTAAATGAAACACCCTGCATGCTCAGATGTCTGTGATGCACGCGTATCGGAGATCATTTGCTTCAAAAGAGGCATGCTTGTAAGGAGTCCAATGTCCAACTTTTCCGCATCTTCAATACCATACTCTTGGGGAGAGACAAAATCAAATAGCACTTTTGCAAGGCGATACAGTTCGCGCAGCTTGGTAAGTCCGGGTTTGCGAGATTGTTCAGTGCCGCTGTTCCCCTTTTCACTCGTCGATACGGCACGAGACGGACCACGACCACTCGACATGCCAGCGCTGGAAGATTGGATGGATGCAGTATCTGGGCGATCAGAGGAGATGCTTGAGCGTTTGCTGTTGAGGTTTTCGTCTTCGCGGTAAACGTCCGGATCGCAAAAGATGGTATCCAGAAACATGCGATTATGCAACGCATCATACTTCATCGTATCATACAGCTCAGAGACTTTTGAAGGGTCGACCTTATCGACATCACAAAATTCACCAAAGAGCTTCTCCCAGCGTTCCTTGAACAATAACGGGTCTTCATTGCAGCACCAGCGAATCTGGACTTTATCCACCTCGGCGCCCAAGTCTGTCCAATTTTGTCGCATAACGGCACGGTGATACTTCATGAGTTCAATCACATTCTGCATAACAAGCCATGGCTCTGGCTGATCTTTTGGCCATGTGAATTGTGGCGGTGCACGCTCACCGGTCCGCAAAAGTGTCTTGAGCTTCTTCTTGACCTTGTCCATCATATCCTTTGCCGCATTTGAGTCATCCAATAAATCCTTGCGTACTTCCATAAAGTTTTCCGGTAGCTTGTCTGTGTTGAGGAGTGCTTTTGCGTAAATCTCAGCTGACGCAGAGACACGACGTTCAGAGGAAGTGTAGATCTTGACGTGCTCCAGACACTCTGCATTGAGGATACTCAAATCATTGCGGACATTATCGCCAAGGTCTTTTGACTGATAGCGCGCAGAGTGCGTGAACTCACCACCCCACTTGACAATCAGCTGCAGCTTGACGAGTTGGGAATGGTCGTTGTAGGAGGGCTTGACTTGGACTTTTGTGCCGGGCAATTCCATCTTTTTACCGAGCGCTGTTCGTAGTTGTAGCAGCTTGTCTGGATCCTCCGACTTGAGCTCAATAGCACGCTCTGTGGCAGCCAGTACAATACGAAGCTGCTCGTTGCGCAGGATGACTTCCTCGGTATGACCTTGCAGCAAGGCAACAAATGGCTCACTCTTGAAGGAATACTTGAACTTGTTTTTCGGGGTTCGATCCGCATGTCGAACAACAGACACGAATGCTTTGAGTTGCCAAGTATTGTGCTCTGAAGCTGCAACGGCAGCAATACTAGGCTGCACCACACGTTCGCGCAACACAGACTTGAACATCTTGCGAAGAATGGTTGCTGCGCGATAGTAATAGTCATCGTTATCCTTAACAAATGACCAGCCATTCACATCAATCACATACGACCTGCCACCAGCACGTAGTAAATCAAAGCCACACACAGCTTGTTCGAAGTAGGTGCAAATCTTGGAAGCCATTTCAGCTTCTGCTTTCGTGAGTTCAGTGACGTATCGGATTTCCTTGCCGTGCGTATTGCGACGGACGAGTCCATCCACCACGGGAGATTTGCGCGTCTCTGCATGATAGTAGCCAGGACCCACTGTGTAGACCTTGACATCTTCTGCATTATCCACATCCATAAATTCTTCATACAGGTAAGAGCCATCTGTTCTGGGTGCGTTGAGTTCTGGATCAAATTCAGACGCCTTGTTGCCAATCTTGCGAAAGAGTCGACGACCACCACCGCCTTTGCCGCGGGGATAATATACATGGATGTTGTGGTCTTCACCAGAGACGGGTTTCTCAACATAGGGTTTTCTGATGAGTTTGCCGTTGATGCTGAGGGTGTCGTCATCCACCATCTTGACTTCTGGTTCGGGGACGTTTTGGTTGAGCTTGACTCCGAGTCGTTTTTGCATGATACGAGCCACCTCGGAAGAAACACGCGGTCCGCCATCTCTAGAGCACTCAAGACGGTATGGTGTAGGGATACCAATCGCTTCAAGTAGTTGCAGCACGAGTCGACGGTCAAAGAGTACTTTCTGGAACTGTAGGTTGTTGACACAAAAAGGTTTGCGCAGCGCAACATAGCGTAATGCCTTGTCTAGCGGGAAACCAGTAGAAAAGAATGAGATGAGGTAGTCGCAGTGCGGCCAGTTTTCAATATCCTCGTCTAAGATGACCTTATCACCAAAGACGATCGTTTCATAGTCGCCTTCTGCCATGAGTCGTTTGAGGATGTTGCGGCAGGGTTTGGAGCGTGCTTTTGCATCCATGGCGCAGACACCGACGACTTGCTTTTTAGGAGCATTGCGATCTCGCAGGGAGGGAGCTGGCGAGGCGGGAGGTTCAGGTGCGGACATGATGAGTTGGTGGTGGAGGAGTAGATGATGTGAGGATGTTTCGTCACAAACTATTTCAGCATACACAACGGACAACAAGCCAGATCTGACTGTATCACAAGGGCCCCCTGAGCTGGTGTCTGCTTCTACTGTCTTGTGTTCTATAGCGCAGAGAGATCTTCAGCTAAGATGATCCGCTCTTGGCCCCGTATCAGCCTGCCAAAACATGGGATCTGAGCGGCTACGTATGAAGCGCAAGGTAGTGTCTGTGCTATAAAATCTAGTCTAGCTCTACCTTGTACGCAAGCTCATTCTTTGAAGAACGAGCTGTCAGAGATATTCATGGCAGTATGGCATGGTTGCCACGAATGACAGCTACCCTTACACTCCGCGAACACTCAAGACTATAGGTCGGCATATGCCATGAATGCTTGTCCGCTTCTGGTCCGCACAGAAGACAAGTCCACATGGAAGGCTATCTTCATGCACATGCTCTCCTTGAAGCTGTATCGCATCGTCGCTTCTTCCGACAACTGACAGATTGCAATCAATCGAAACGCTACAAATGTCTACGTGCACGGCCATCTGCGCAATCTCGGAGGCTGAAGCCTTGTTACCGAGCCTGACTCCACTGTTAGTCTCTACTACCTGAGTCTACCTCACTGTCTTTGCTGCTGCTCAGCCTCGAGATCTGCTCGGGTCGTCCCGTGGGTGCGGGTCTGTGCAGATCCATCTGATCGCCAGCCAATCGCAGCGGCGCCTTTAATCTCGTGTCGCCTGTCAAGATCAAGTACACCACTGGCAAGGATCGCGGGGAGACTTGAGGTCAGACGTATAAAGGCTGCCTCGTCGTGCTTCTCTATACATCCCATCAAAAGACCTCAAGACCATAACAAAGACATGCAGTTCCAAATCCTCGCCCTTGTTGCTGCTGTCCTTGCTGCACCCGTCCCTGCCCCTGGCGGCATCCCTAGCGCCTCGACGGCTCAAACACAATTGAATGGCCTCACAGTCCGTGCTGTTGGTTCACAAGATGGCTATTCGCGAGACTTGTTTGATCACTGGATCACCATTTCAGGCGCCTGCAACACTCGAGAAACAGTCTTGAAGCGCGATGGAACGAATGTCGTGACTGATTCTGCGTGTGCGAGTACTTCGGGATCGTGGTTCTCGGCGTATGACGGTGCGACGTGGACACTTGCGTCCGATCTCGACATTGACCATGTCGTTCCTGTAAGTCATAACTGGACGGAAATACGAAGCTAACGTCTTAGTTGAGCAATGCATGGAAATCAGGTGCCAATACCTGGGATTCTACCAAGCGTCGCAACTTTGCCAACGACCTGTAAGCTTGTCTTTCCTAAGCGCAGCAAACTAACAATAGAACCCGACCTCAGCTCATTGCCGTGACAGACAACGTCAACCAGGCCAAGGGCGACCAAGGACCCGAGACGTGGAAGCCATCTCTCACGTCTTACCACTGCACCTACTCCAAGATGTGGATTTCCGTCAAGAGCTACTATGGCCTTTCCGTCAATTCTGCTGAAAAATCGGCTCTTCAATCGATGCTCAACACTTGCTAAGCATCTTCTTTCGTATATATATTCAGCAGCATCATAGAATCATATCTATCACAGCTTGTCAACCCCAAGTCAATCAGATTTGACCAACTCTGCAAGATACGTGCACCAATCCTCAGGCGTCCATGAACTACTGATTTTCCCTTCCACCAGTCCATTCACCAAGACAGTCGGTGAGACATGGATGCCTGTTTGCCTTCCAAGTTTGATTTGCTGCTTGAGCAAGTCTGTGACGCGATTACCACCATTCGTGGGAGTCTTTCCAGGTGCCGTCTTGTCAATCGATAGCAAGGACAATAACTCCTCACGCGTTATAGAACCATCTGATTCAGGGACGATGATGTCTGCCAAACGATTGTAGGTCTCTTGACGCGTCTCATGAGCAGTAGCTGTATCATAAAATTCCTTAGACTTCTGAAATAAAATACTTGCGACATGCCACCATACATGAGGAGCATGACGATTGATAACTGCTACTGCAAGCGATGCTTCATGAAGAAGCGTAGAACTTGGATGCCATGGTTGAACCTGGTTCCTAAACAAGAACTGAATCTTCTTTAGGAAGGGCTTTGGTCCGTGGTCAGCGTTCAACACGTGATGGAACAGCGTATAGAATAATTTCTCAGAAAAGGGGCAGACAAAGTCTAGGTAGAGCTCGATGACATGTGGATCTGATGCAGAACCGTAGCGCAGTGCAGACAGAGCCGGGTTGAGCGCCATGATTAGTACGTTGTCTACTCGAGCTTGAACTTCCTACAATCAATTCGCTAGGACACGTGGATCATTCATTCAGATGCCTTACAAGTCTACAGTAGCTCTACTTGTCTTCATCAGAGACTTCCCCTACATCGGCCGTCTCTTGATGGTTGGCAAGTGCATCGAGGTCCATATCAATATCCGCCATGTTTAAGTCCAACTCAAATCCAGCATGTCCATCTTGGCCTAATCCCAAGACATCACCCTGAGCGTCCTCATCCTCACGATCCAAGGCACCAAATGAATGCATCCCAGACTCATCCTCTCCCTTCTTCTTTGACTCATCAGACACTTCAGTAGCTTTAAAAGCTTGCAACAAAGCTTGCGCATGCGTTTGTGCCGCTTGTTTTTGTAGAATTTGAGATTGCTGTGCTCGCATGAGTTGTGCAGCTTGTTCACTTGCCTTGCTTGCCGCTGTTGCCGCTGCTGCTGCTTTCGTATACACACCAGGTCTTTTACCATTTGCAACATCACTTGTACTACCATGACTCGATTGACTGCCTTGACTCGTTGGCTTGTCTTTTTCCTTTTCATTCTTTGCAGGCTTGTTGAAGTCTGCTGCTGAGCGTTTCTTTTTTGATGCAGTCGTCGTGGTCGTGTCTTGTGTTGTCGTAGCTGAAGTATTTGGCATAGGTGGCATCCGTGTGACGATGTTTGCGAGCAAAGCAGCTGGACCTGTCGCTTTATGGAAGAGCGGCGCCAATTGACCCCAACAATCCGCCATTTCAAGGGTTCGCATATGACGCGCCGTGATGCCCTCTCGCATCACCATACGTTTCCGCAAGGGTAACTCTTGTCGTGTATTCTCAGAGTCAGTGCGAGCAAGGGTGCCGGGGATGGTGGCATCGAGTAAATCAGGTGAAGCTGCTGTATCCGCTGCAGAGATGAGTGGATTGGGTCGATCTTTGCCGGCTGCTGTTGATTGGATATTCTGATCCACTTCAGGTCCAGGAGAGGCATCATCAAACAAATCATCCGTACTCGAGCGATCTTCCAGTTTTGGTCGTTTTGCATTTGGCATGGTCATTGGCATGGCAGCATCTGTCACGCGCCGTTTCGCAATATTCGCCTCTTTATCCTCACTCGTTGGTGCAGATGGCAAATCCTTTTGAGCAAGGGGGTCTTGAATGCTCCGCCGACACAACCACTCATCCCAATCTTGACCGAAAAACTCCCAACTCTCAATCTTTAGGGGCCCTTGTAGACCATTTGTAAAGATGAGACGGAGTTTACCCACCACCTCGACTTTTGTTAGGTTTGGGAAGAAGTAGCAAAGTGTCGCTTGTGGGCATTCAACAACATGATTGCCTTCCTTTGTATAGTACTCGCGCGCATCGTGAAAGGTCAAGTTGAGTTTTGCTACTTCCTTGTGTAGGTCGTAGTAGTACCGCGGTAACAACGGGGTGGGCATCTCATAAATTGTTTGTTCACGATGCGGTATGGCGTAGGTACATACTGCGCCTTCCACGTAGAAATCTTGAACAAAGGCTCGCCATGCCTCCAGCGCATGCGGTTCTTCAAAGGTCGCAAGTTGTTCACAAAAGTTGAGGAGTCGCAGGATGGCTGTACCAAGACGTTGCTGTTGCGGTATCAATGGCAGAGGTTGTTGATGCAATTGCTGCTGTTGCTGCTGTTGAAGCATCATTTGCTGATGGAGCTGCATCATTTGTTGGTTTTGGTATTGCGCTGCAGCGGCCATCTGTTGTTGCTGTTGCTGTTGCGCTGGATTCAAGCGCTTTCCTTGCGGCAACATGCCTTGCGCTCCTTCAAAGCCAGGCCGCCCGCCAGTTTGTATCCTTGGCGGCTGCTGCTGCTGCTGCTGTTGCTGTTGCTGCTGTTGCTGTAAGGCGGCCATTTGCGTTTGCCTCTGCCGCAACATACCCCCAGCAGTATATGTCCCCTCTGCCGCCAAAACCTGAGCGATAATTTCCTCTGAGAGGTGATTGGGTCGCCTTGTATGTGCGGCTTGATTGTGCGCCTGTCCTCTGTCCGTCGTTGCTCCCTCCTCTGCGTCTATCCTGCTTGCTTGCTGTCTACTTGCCTTGTTGCTGTCGCGGGGGATTTTTCGGTTTGAGTGTCCTCTCCCTGACAGATGCAACTCACACACGCAACCAGGAACAAGATGCCAAATAGTTGAAATAGATGGACTTGCTACTGCTACTGCTGCTGCTAGACTTCAGCTCCTCATACTCCCTGCAATCCCGCGCGTGATTTGATCACGACGATTCGCCAACAATTCATCCTGGTCCAATAGATGCTTCGTCTCCCAGGGCCGATGTGCACCCTTCCCAGCTTCCCCTGCAAGAACACCACCTCCTCCACGCTTCTCAGTCCGACGAGGCTGAGCAGGTGTCATGACAGGCATCGACATACTGCTACTACTACTCGGTCGACTTCCAACTTGTCCTGCATCCATCTGTAAGGCTGCAAATGCAGGCGATGCAGGCTCACTCGCACTCCCACCCTCTTCATCTGGGTCGGCACCCGTGGTGAACATAATCTTCTGATCTGTTGAACGAGATCGTCGGATACGTTTCGAGAGTTGAAGGGCAACATCATCCTCCAAAATTTCCTCCATCCACGAACGACACCGAGCAATGGAATTTCGAGCTTCCGGTAGAATAGCACGCATCTGAAGGAATCCATGGGAAATACCACGGACGAGTGTCATTTCAACGTATTGTCGTTCATCGACGTTTGCTGTGGCAGAGGACATGGAGATATCACGACGACGTTGCGCAGCGGCTCTTTTGGCTTCTCGAATACGACCTGCCATGATGATTGTGTCATCTGCAAATGGATCAACCCTGTTGTTAGCATTTTCCTCTCAGGACAGAACCACGTACTCGCCACATAAAAAGAAGGTCTTTGGGAACTTTGCGAGAATATCGGTCGGTGCGCGAATGGGTGAGAGAAGATAGTCTGTCTCAAAGTCTGGCTTATTGTCCGGCCCGACATACAGCAAAGCCATAGCACGCATCATATCTGCTGAAATAATGCGATCTTGGAAAAACGACACGCGTGAAGTCATGACGAGTTTAGCGCCATTGGAAGATTTCCCGGCGTCTTGCACGCGTTCGTCCGGGAAGACTTGGAGGACACTCTTACGACGTTCGTGCTGTCGTTTTGAGGCCATGGCACCGAGTTCTCCATGAGATTCCTGTCTCAATAATCGCAAATGATCCGCCGTCATCCAACTTGTAATGTTAAAGTCAAGGAATGGGTAGATGAGGACCAATCCATCCGGCACTGGAATCTTATCTCTGTGCGCCGCATGCGCATTATGTTCCAGAATCAAGATTGTGACGGCAGAGACATAGTTGCCACCAGCAGAATCACCCACCAATGCACATTTCCGAACACGCGACATGCCAATACCCAATCCGGCACCTTTCGTACACATAATCGCCTTGTATGCATCCAAACATTCATGAATGGCGTATGGGTATCGCTTTTCAGGCGCTTTGCTGTAGTCAATAGAAATCAGGGGTACCTGCAACTTTTTGGCCCACGACATGTGTGCATCATCGTGTTCTCGAGGAGACATACTCACAAACCCACCACCAGGAAAGGAAATGACGACTTTTTCTTGAAGGCACAAGGCTTCCTCTGTGCCGTCAAAGTAGAGCCATGCCTTAACAGGTGCGCCGTGAGCGCGAGGAATCTCCAATTTTCGCACAATCTTGATACGTGGACGTAACAGTTTCAAGACTGTTCCTAGAATGGGCGTACTATTCTTTTCCCACGACACGCGCAATTGCTCCGTAGTGATGGTTGCTTTAATCTTGCGCACTTTTTCATCTGCTTTTTGTGCAAACAAGAGGTAGTAGAGTGAAAACAAGAGTGAAAATAGGTGACGCAGCCAAGCAGGTCGTAATGGCATGGCTGTCCAAAACCCAGCATCCAGCGCAGTCAAGAGCCATGTAGCGCGAAAGAAACTGGCAGAGTACATGTGCGCCAGGGGTTCCGGTGCTGCTAGACCTACAATTGCGTCGAGGTGACGTACAACGTAGCTGAGGTTGAGGATGATGAGGAGGAGTTGCCAGGGCGTGAGGGCGCGTTGGAGTCTTGCGCTGAGTGCGCGGATCATGGGTGGTCCATTTGGGTTTGAGCGGTTGGCGTAGATGAGCCAGAAGAGGGATGTGCCCAGGACTTGTGTCTTGCGCCAGGATGTGCTGGGTCTGCCTAGGAGGTGGTCCAGCATGCTTCCCTCTGTTCTGGCTGATGTTCCAGTGAATGGATGTGCTGGTGGTAGAAGTAGTAGTCGTAGTAGATGCAGTTGTCGCTTCTTTCTCTTCCCCAGAATCACATGCAAATCACGCAGCAGGACATATACATCTATATAAGCAGATAGAAGCAGCAGTGATGAGTGGAATGGGCCTTCATATACTCTTCTCTCCGTGTACTCTCTCTGTGTACTCCCAATGGATTTTGTCTTATGTGACTGCCACTTTCTCCACTCTGCCCACCCACAAGACAGACCAGCATCAACTGCACCAGCTGCATCCACTCCCATCGCATCCAGTCATGCCCGATAAACTCGGCCCGGCTGGCAAAGCCATGGCAGAAGTCTATGCCACGTACGCCCTCCCTTCCATGCACTTCCCATCTAACCCACAGCGCCAATGTCGACATCCAGCTCTGCGTATGCATGGTCGGACTACCCGCCCGTGGTAAAACCTATATCGCCGAAAAGGGTACGCCCGTTACTTGATGCTAGTTCTCATACTAACAACAAAGTACGACGATACCTCCAATGGCTCAGTGTACCCACCAAATCCTTCAATGTCGGCAACTATCGTCGCAAAACCAATATGCCCTTCCCCTCAGCCGAGTTCTTCAACCCCGCCAACCCTGAGGGCGAACGGGCGCGTCAGCAAGCAGCGCAAGCGGCCGTGGATGATATGATCAGTTGGTTCAAAGACGAGACTCACGTCGTTGGTGTTCTCGATGCAACCAATTCAACGAAGCAACGGCGGAAATGGCTCAAACAGACGTGTGACGCACATGGCATTGCCGTTCTCTTTGTTGAGAGTGTGTGTGATGATGAAGACTTGATTATGCGTAATATCCTCGAAGTCAAAGTGAGTAGCCCAGACTATGCAGGGCAGGATCCTGAGAAGGCTTCAGCGGATTTCCGTGAACGCATCAAGAATTATGAACGCGCATACGAGGCTATTGATGTCGATGGGGATGAACAAAGCTATACAAGTGTCAAGATGATTAATGGCGGTAATCAAGTCATGGTCAATCATGTCAAGCACTACCTCGAATCGCGTATTGTCCACTTCCTACAAAACCTACACATCAAGCCTCGCAGTATTTGGCTCTCGAGACACGGCGAGTCGCAATTCAATGTTGAGGGGAAACTCGGCGGTGATGCACTACTCAGTGATCGTGGCCGGCAATACTCAGAGATGCTTCCGGAGCTTGTGAAGAAGTCAACCGGTGGTCTACAGGATTTGAGTGTTTGGACCAGTACACTACGTCGCACCATTGCCACAGCGAAGCATTTGCCCTTCAAGAAGCTTGAATGGAAAGCGCTCGATGAGCTGGATGCCGGTATCTGCGATGGTCTCACTTACGACGACATTGAACGCCTCCACCCAGAAGAGACCAAACGCGACAATGACAAATTCAATTATCGGTATCGCGGCGGCGAATCTTACCGCGATGTGGTGATCCGACTCGAACCTATCATCATGGAGCTCGAACGCCAGGAGAATGTCATGATTGTCTGTCATCAAGCCGTCTTGCGCTGCATCTATGCGTATTACCACAATATCCCACAAGATGAACTGCCTTACATCAATATTCCGCTACACGAAGTCATCAAGTTCACGCCCAAACCGTACCATACAGCAGAAGAGCGGATTTCCTCAGGCATCTCAGCAGTCAGTACGCATCGGCCTAAACCGGCGAAAGTCAAGGCCCTTGAGATTGTGGAAAATCTCAAATAGAGCAGGGGTTTAATAGTCACCTCTGTGATTACTCTTGTACCATCTCCCACGAACACGTTCTTGTACCACTTCACTTGCATCACCAGCATCTTGCTCCCACGTTGCCATGTCCCATCGGCTCCATCCCCAAACGTGATTCTTGATGTCTGGTTTCTTATGCGGTGATATAATGAGCAACCACCGGCACTTTCGTGACAATGCATCAAGACATGTCCAGAGTTCACTGGACGTCGCAACGAGATGCAATGCAAATGATATGATGCATAGATCAAAGCCACTCTCGGGAATCTCCCCAGTTTGTTGAAAGTTGAGTGCATGAAAGGGAATGGTGGGATGCGCTTCTCTGAATGCCGGCTCTGTAAATGCATCCGTCGCTACAATCTCAGGCGGTGATAGTGTCGGATCAATCGGCGTCACTGTGAGCCTTCGACTTCCCTTGCGTTGCTGACACGCTGTGAACCATTCAAGCAAGACCGTCGACGCTTCTCCTGCACCGGCTGCCAAATCAAGAACTTTAAAGGGAGTTGGCTTTTCTCGCGCATAGAATTGAGTGAGTGCGTTCCATAGCATCGTTCTGATTGCGCCATAGCTTGGATTGCGATACTTGGTATTAGCACATTGATTGTAGTGGTGAAAGAGAAATGTACGGTGAGTGCGACTGCTTCGTAGTACTTGTCTACGCCGAAGGAATAGTTTTCGCGCATGCTATGGGACAAGTTGCCCTGAAACATGTGTCTGCGCTCTGGCTGCGACATGATGATAGCTGTACTGTAGAGATGCGATGGGCAGAGTGTAGAAGACGAGAAGCGCTGTAAACCTTTTTGGTGAGCTCTCCTCCATCCCCAAACTCCAAAACTGCCAACAGCAACGACTCAACACACACACACACCATGAGTGAGGGCAAGTCCATGATCACCGTCTCCCTCTCTGCAAAGGGCAAGAAGGTAGGGAAACTACCAGCATCCCTCAGCTCCTACAAAGGCGTTCCTGCCTCGGAGCTTGTCCAAATCATTGCCAAAAAGACGGGCCTCAACCCTAACCGTCTACGCCTCAAGCAAGACGACAAGACACTCGACAACAAGCAGATCATCTCGGATGATGTGCATCTCGTCGTCAAAGACCTCGGCCCACAGATCTCGTGGCGAACAGTCTTTGTGTGTGAGTATGCAGGACCCCTGCTCATCCACCCACTCATCTTCTTTGGGTTGTATGACAAGCACTCGTCTGCTCAGTACATCACCCTCGCCATGGTCATGCTGCATTTCTTGAAGCGAGAGTATGAGACAATGTTTGTTCACCGTTTCTCCGCAGAAACCATGCCCTTCTTCAACCTATTCAAGAACTGTGCACACTACTGGATTATTGGTGGTGCACTCCTCGCTTGGTTCACCTATGGCCCAGCTTATGCTGTTGAGACGTGGCAATTCCCAAAAATTGCAGTCTTCACTTTTGTCATGGGAGAAATGTGTAACCTCAAAACTCACAAGATTCTACGTGACTTGCGTCGACCTGGCTCAACGGAACGTCGTATCCCCTATGGCCTCGGCTTTGACTGGGTGTCGTGTCCCAACTACTTTTTCGAGATTTTATGTTGGGTTGGAATTTCTGCAACAACAGGATCACATGCCGCTTGGGCCTTTACGATTGTCTCTGCTGCACAAATGTGGCAGTGGAGTTTGAAGAAGCACCAGCGATACCTCAAGGAATTCCCAAAGGATTATCCAAAGGACAGAAAGATTTTGATTCCATTTGTGTTGTAGTTACAGATTACAATACAATCTTAAAAGCTCAATACACTGAGCAAGTTGCGCTTGACGGGGATTGCATTGTTTGGCATATCCGGTCCAGTCTCAAAGTAATCCTCATACACACCACCACAACCAAACGTATATGCATCCGTGCGATTGAAGAGCACTGTTGACAAGTTACGCTGACCAATGACAATCAAATCATTGCCCTCTGGGTCTGCAGTTGACCAGTTGTATGCGCGCTTGAGACCGTCTGATGGACTGTCTGCAAACACCGTCCATGCATCCTGCATCAGCTTGGACGTGGCAATTTGCTCGCGAGTCGCATTCGCCACTCTGCTCAAATTATACGTGCCAAATACCATGCTGATTTCAGATGAGTGGAATGAACCAAGTCGTGAGCCAGGAGGATTCAAATTAGGCCATTGACCTTGGTAGCGGTACTGCCAAAGTGGTACACTGGGTGTGACGTTGAATCGATCGCCTACAACTTCACCTGCTGGACAGGTAAATGCAACACGCGTAACAAGTGCCTCAGAACTCACACCATACGAACCGAGCGTCGTTCCTTCATTTTCGTTGGTACCAATCAATACTGGCAAAGGGGCAAACTCGCCGCGGTTGCCCTTGGCCAGGTACTGAGATTGGTTAAAGACATTAAAGTCATTGGGTGTAGGCAAAAAGTTGTTGGAACCGGAAAAGTTGCGTACAGCAGCATACAAGGTTGTAAAGTTGACTTGCTGCAAACATTTGAATTGGCTCTGCACATTGGCCGTGGTCGTGCCGTTTGGTGCACAACCAGTGCGGTTGGCAATCGTATCCCAGAGAACCTTGGCAGTTGTGGGATTCGTTGAGGAGATACTGCTCGTCAGGAATTCACTGCCAGATTGCATAATGAGTCCTCTTGCAATAGGGTCGAATTGGTAGGCGTACGGCCAAGCGCCAATAGATGCTGCACCAGCACTCTGACCAAACAAGGTAATTTTTTCAGGGTCACCGCCAAAGTTGGCAATGTTGTTGTATACCCACTCCACAGCAAGTCGCTGATCCTGCAATCCAGGATTGACATCGCGTAGCTCGACCCCTGAACCTGCAGTTGGGAAGCCAAACATGTTGATGCGGTAATTGACACCTACAATGATGGTGTTGTTTTGGTCACGTACCCAATTACTGCCATTGTACAGGGCAAGTGCATTGCTGCCTCCAGTGAAACCACCACCGTATATCCAAACAAGGACATTGGCGCCGCTGGAAGAAGTGTTGAGTCGGTCGACAGAAGGTGCCCAGATGTTGAGTGACAGACAGTCCTCGCCATACTCTCGCCTAGGACCACCCAAGTCTGAGCCATTTTGACCACCGAGCTCAGGACACGAGGGACTGTACTTGGTCGCATTAAAGACGGTTCCCTTGGGGATCGCCTGGGCTCGTCGAGGCGGCCTGAAACGAAGAGTACCGTTGGCAGGTGCACCGAAACGGATACCGAGCCAAGTACGAACGCTTGCAGTGGTGTTGAAGCCTCGGAACGTGCCAACATTGGTGGAGACAACTAGTGGGTCGCTGCTGTTGGCCTGGGCAGCAACTGCAGCGAGTGCCGTCAATAGAAGAGCACCTTGCATCTGCATTGCTTCTCGAAGTATCAATACCGAGAAGAAGAGACTGGCAAGAAGGATGCCGTTAAAGAAACTGGGTGAGTTGAAGGAGCAAGAGTTTCAGCTCCCAGGAAGGTGTTTATATGTCATTATTGCCCAAATGTCGTGTGACACTCCAGGTTCTCGGCAAGCACCGAATACGGACGGTCGCACGAAGACCAGCCAATCAGCAGTGGCATTCGTCGAACGGCCAGCCCGCTCCAAAATGCCAAGAATGGATCCATCATCGTCAATGGCTGATTCATCAATCATGTCAAGGACTCAAGAGTCAAGGTCGATGTGCAATTTACAGTGCAATTTACAGTGCAAGTTCAAAGTTGTCTGAAAGTGTCAAAGTTGGTCTGCAAGGTGTCTGCCAGTCAGCGGCGCCTTTTGATCAAGAATCACGATCGAACAACTGCAAATTGACCGGAGTGTAAAGCTGCAGGCTTCAATGTGCACGGGCTCTATGGAAGCTTGTTAGTCGTCACGATATAAGCAAAGAGAACCCTAACCCCAAAATTTTGAAAATTTGCGGTTGCTTTCATAAATGAGTAGCCTTGTTTGCGAGAACTGCGGTTCTATAGTCTAGCGGTTAGGACATTCGGTTCTGACTAAAAATTATTTCCGAATAGCCTGGGTTCGATTCCCAGTAGGACCTGATTTTTTGGCTGCCTTTCCCTACTACCCATGACACTTGTTGTCGATGCTCACGTCCATCTCTGGACAGCTAGTCGTCTACAGCATCTACGTTGGCTCACTTCTGACTCGTCCCTCAACAAGGCTTGCACGCTCGCTGACTATGCCAAGGAGTTTCCTGCTCAGGTTGCTGTATTTGTAGAGTGCGATGTCTTTGAATGCAAGGATGATAGCTATGCTCTTGCCGAAATTGAGGAAGCATTGGCCTTTGCAAAAGAAGAAGGACCCACCAAAGTAGGAGCCATTGTTGCATGGGCTCCGATGCTTGCGTCACAAGCAGAACTTGCTGCTTATCTAGACAAGGTCGATGCGACAACACACAGGGCAGGGCTCGCTATCGTACGAGGCTTCAGGTATCTATTGCAGCAAAAGCCTCGTTCCATCTCACAACATCCTCACTTACGCAGCAACCTTGTATTTCTCGAACGTCGATGGCCCAAGTGCGTCTTTGAGCTTGGCATTGACGTGCATCGAGATGGAGTGCAAGTGCTTGACGATGCACTAGTCTTGGTCCAGACTGCACCTGGCATCAGTTTTGTCATTGATCATCTCGCCAAAGCAGACTTGACGCAAGCAAGCATTTCAGAAGCTTACAAGCAGGGCATGAAAGCTCTATCCAAATTTCCAAATGTGCACGTCAAGATCTCTGGATGTTTGACGGAAGTAGAGGTGTCAGGGAGCTTTGAAGAGGTGCTGGAGCAAAGTCCCCTCGTTGCCCACCTTTCATTCCTTCTCAAGACATTTGGCTCCAGCAGACTCATTTGGGCGAGTGATTGGCCAGTCTTGACGCTCTCACCCATCACGTCCAAGCACCTCGTTCAACGTTGGTTTGACTACTGCAACACGCATCTACACTGTCGAGACATCTTTGGTGTCAACGCAGCACGCATCTATCAATTATAGCCCAGCTACCTTGGTCAATCCAAATCCAACCGTCGTGACAACGCCAAATGCTAAAAGACTCGCCGGCAAGCCACTCTTGAGAAAGTCCTTGACGGAGAGGTACCGAACACCCACTTCATTCTCCATCATAATGGCCGTCATGTTGGGAAAGCCCGAAGTGGGTAATCCCATTGCAGCAGAGGCCATCATGGCTGCACCCAACACAAGCAGTCGCGGGTGTGGGTCTTGCTCCATGGATGCACCAACTTGTGCCACAATGGGCAAGACAATCAATGCAGCGACGGTATGCGAGATGAAAGTCGCCACCACTAGAATCAACGCTGCAAACACTAAAAAGACGCCATAGAGTGACATGCCCTCCACGCCATGCCGTATGGCAAGAGCAATGGTTTGTAACAAGCCTGAAGAACTGACTGCCTTGCCGAGTGCAATGCCACCCATGGCCAAGATGATGACTGTCCATAGGAAATTGTTGAAATCTTCCTTCGTCAAGATTCCAGTACCGAAAAAGACAACGAGCGGAATGAGAGCCACGACGCCCATATCACCGAAGAAACCCTCCATAGAACGCTCTACACACCAGAGTGCAATAGTCAAAAGCGTAATGAAGCTGATAAAGTATTGCAACCGAGTAAATTCATCCTTGCTCGCACGAATCGGTTGAATAACTGTCCGCTCAGCCCCCTTTTTGCTTCGAAAGACAAATAGCAGCAAAGCCCATATAAGCAGAATTGATAAAGTGCATACTGGAATGGAGATAAAAAACCACTGGCCCCAGCTTGGTGGTGGCGACATGTTTTGTAGAGCGACAATATTCTGTGGACTTGCAATCGGTGAAGCCATGCCACCGACATTTGAGGCAAGTGCAATGCCGATGATGAGACACTTGGCGAATTCTGAACCATTCGGCAAGGTACGAAGAATAGGTTGAATGATGGAGAAGCAGAGAACAGGCGCAGCAACGTTAGAAATCCACATACTCGCGAATGCCGCAACGAACATGATGGCAAGCAAGACCATCCGTGGATTGGTCCCAACACGACTAAGAATCTTGGTAGCGAGCAATTTTGCGATATGGTATTTCGAGAGTGCTGCAGCAATGCTGAATCCGCCAAGGAGGAGCATGATGGTGGGCGTCCACATGGCACTAAAGATGTACTTTGTTGCGGCTGGGGCTCCGAGGCGGTGATGCTTGGCGTCGTCGCTTCTCACGACCCTGAGCAAGACGACAAGTAGCGGTACGAGCAACGACGTTGTAAAAAGAGGAATGACCTCGGTCGCCCAGAGCAGTGAAACAAAGATGAGCAATGCCAAGCAGTTGCTCTGCTCAACAGCTTCTAGTGTAGGCAAAAATAACAAAGCAATGAAAACGCCAAAAATGACGAGGAGCGTCCACAGCGTCGGATTGCGTAGCACGACAGAAAGCTTGTTGGTGGACTTTGCATTGCCAGTATCTTGGCCCAACAATGACCTGAATTGATTGACGGATGCTGCTTCAGCACGTCTCTCAATGTTGATCATTTCGCGCCAAACGGTATTGCGTTCCCAGACAACATGCTCTCTCAAGTACGTCTTGAGCTCTTTTTTTGCAGTCTCAAAGTCGTTGGATGTGACTTTTGCGTACATTTTAGTTGCTGCAATGATTTGGCTCGAGAGTTTGTTTTTGGTGTCTTCCTTGAATGGATAAGTGTCTGCCACCTTGGTGAGATAGCCGGACCGCAAATCGCGATTCAGGGTCTTGTCGAACTTTTTGAGGGCTTTTGCGAACCCAGTGCTGTTGAGACTGGAGAAGGAGCGTAACTCGCACAACTCGACATAAAGCGACACGACACGCTTTTTGAGCGCTATCTGTGTTTCATACTCGGCAAACGCATCAAAAGGATCTTCCTCATCCTCGTCGTATTCGTCTTCGATAGCAGACTCGCGTGGCGCGTTCGAATCAGACGACTGTGTTGAGATGTTGACGAGTCGGTTGTCTTCAGTTGACGAACGCCGCTTCGTCTGACTGCCAGACATGGTTCTTCTGCGGTGACTGCGCGCAACAGACGGCCGCTGCTTTCGATTTGCAGTATCATAAGGGCTTGCAAAATCGCCATAGTCATTCTCCGCTTCAAACGTCGATAGCTCTGCATCAATCTCTTTGAATTTGTCAAAGACTTCTTGCTCTTTCAATTGGTAGAAGCGGTCAATCTTGACAAGCTCTTTATCGAGTGCGCTCATGAAGCGCTGGTCGAGCTCTTCATCACTTGCACTCAACAACGTTTCCGCCTCTTCATCCGGCTGTACATCCCCAGACAAGTGCGCCTTTTCTAGCACGTAGATGAGCTTCTTGAGGTTGGAATAGGCAATGTAATTATCCGCCCACTCGGGGACTGCATTGAACTGCAGCGAATGCGAAAACTTCATGGATCTCTGCGCGCGCCAACGAACGTGCCTCTCTAGCGGCTGTAGCTCAATCTGCTCAATGATGCCGGCAGGGACTTGGTGTTTGTACACAGATGTGCGTCCAGAGTTTCACGACGCTCAAGCGTGTGAGTTTTGGGTGCGCTCACGTGTTTCTGCTGGGGAGATGAATCAGAATCTCGTAGCATCCTGGCTGCATTCATGCCAACGCTCCCTCGGTACTCGATGACAAGTTGACAACTCACTCTCGAGAGCCGGTGTAGTGCCAGGAGCCAAATAGAATACAAACCGAAATGGCATCTGTGAACTTAGTGCTTAGTGTAGAGTGGCGCAGATGTCAGACAGATACATGATGCATCATGTACGCTTCGACTGATGGAGGCACCGTCGGCTATTGGAGGTACCGTGGACATGGAGTCTGGGCCCCTGTCGTAAGTTGACTCGTAAGCTGTAATTCGTGTGCACGCATGCTTCAGACTACAGTCTACGTCAAACTTGTAGACTACTAGCTCGAATACCACCAGGGTGGGCGTCGGAGCATTTCCGTGCCTCGTGGAACTGGGACCGGGGCATGATGATCCGCTATTCCTGCCCTCATGCTTTAGGCTGCTTCGTCGTTTTTCTTCTTTTCCTTCCTTCAATGAGGCCTTAATTTGCAGCAATCTCTGCGCAGTCAATCTTATGCAGGAACACGCTGCATGATCCACGATATGAGACAGATATAGAGACAGCGAGAAGACCTCCAGGGAGCAGTAGATGGAGCAATAGATGGGACTAGCGACTCTGCTGGCTGTGTCCGTCCGTATGCCCTGCCCAATATGTCATGTACCAGCCTCTGCCTATGTGAGACCTCGACACATCCCCGGACGGAGGCGCGGGCGGATAGTCGAGCGAGCAGCGGGCCTTCCACCTGACATGACATCAGGCCTGATCCAGATTCTGCCAATTTGGACTCAGAACAGCCCACTTTGAGCAGGCGTAGCTCTCATCCACGGCCGCAGATCTGACGCTGACACGAAGATGGCACTGCCAGAGTCGCTAAGTTTACATGGTCCATGCGCTCCATGCTCAGCCCGGGATTTCCTACCAACCGGCCGGCGATGCATGGATGGATGGATGGAGTCTGAGGCTTCAGCATGGACTCAACATCTCTATATCGGCATCCGCTCTCCCACCTCTTACCTATCTACCATCCCCCTCGACACACTCTCCTTCCCGCCTACTTGACAACATACACTCTCATTCAAGCGACCCAATGTCCTTCGTGACCTCGCGCTCCACCCTCGACACCCTCATGGGCCCGGCCCTGCGAACCTCTGCACCCGGCGAAACGCTCAATACTCCAATAAACTCGCGACCTCTCCGTGACCTCCGTATGCGCTCAGAGTCCAATCTGCTGCGTACAGCGACATCGACATCAACTGCTACTGCTACAGCGACAGAGGAAAAGAGACTTCAACGGGCCTACCAGCAGCAGCTGAGAAATTTCAGTCGTCCACTTCCAGGTACCTACGTTACACCAACACCACAGCTACCTCAACGGAACCATAGCGGATGGCAGATGGAAGACTTGCATGCTGCGCAACCACGGCGCCGTTCCTCGCGACACAGCTTGAGTGGTGGTCGACGCAATCGATCGATGGTCGAGTTGTCTCGTCGCAGATCCTCCCTTGCGCCTGTCGTCGAAGTCGCTTCACCTTGTGATGAACGGCCTAGCTTTCTGATGGATGCAGATCTATGCACTGCGCTACCTGTTGGTCAAGCAATGACGCGCGAGGCAGCAGAAGATTTAGCTGGTCCTTTTCCTCATCGCATTCATCACCCGGAACCCCTGACGGCATTTACGAGAGTGCCACACCGGACAGCATCGAGCAGTACAGCTGAATGGCTTGTACGGCATCATGGTAGTGGCAAGAATTCTCCGCGAATCGCATCGCCGCCTCATACACTCGCCATGGATCGATCAGCTGCTCTGCACGCAGCAACTCTGTCACCTGAGGCATTGGCAGAGTGCTTGGATGCATTGACGGTTGAGACGCCACAACGACCAACAGACTGTGCGACACCGGGCTTAGTTGCGAGTGGCGGTGATTCAACAGATGACAATGACTCTCTTGCAGAAAGTACTGAGAGTGCTACTTCCTCCGTATTGCCAGCGACACCGACGCCTGCTGCCATCAAGAAGCATGTCCGACGAGCAAGTTTGACGGGTGATTTGTGGCGAGGCTTGAAGAAAGCCTTTTGATGTACATACTTTCATAAAAGTGTAAATTTATTATGATAATCATGAAAAGGAACTTCTTTCTACTTCTCTGGCTGAGCAGGACTGACTGCTTCAGCATCAACCTGTGCTTCCCTGACCTTCGCCTTAACAACCTCTGCAAACACCTCCGAGTGGCTCTTGAACTTGCGACCAACGCTATTCTTTCTAACATGACTCGTCCCACCGCTCGCACTGTTCGATGGCGCCAATAAGCGATCATCGATACTCATCTGCGAAACTGCCTGCGAGACGCTTTCTGCATCTGTTTGTTCGTTTGGACCCTCTTCCTCGTCACTGACTTCCATCGCCTTGAGTCGATTCGCTAAACGCACCATCTCAATAGCTTTACGGAATCGTTTCCTTGCATTGAAACCAGCACTGACGTTTGGTAGCAAGTCTGAAGTGGTGGCAGTCTTGCCAGTGAGCCAAACATGCTCTTTTGCTTGTTGTGCCGTTTTGCGCTTCTTTGGGTCTGGGTTGAGTAAGCCGAGGATGAAGTCTTTAGCATCTTCTGAGATATCCTTCCAGTACTTTGTATGAAAGACAATCTGGAATTAGCCGAGGACTTGTTTACTGAGAGACATACATCAGCACGACAGGTTTCTGCAATCAGCTCGTCACGGTCTTCAGCCCTGAATGGACTATACCCACACAAGATGGTATAGCAAATGACACCGAGTGACCATAAATCAGCAGGATACGAGTGTCCCGTACGTTTCAATATCTCCGGTGCTGCATAACCATAACTACCAGCCATAGCCTTGAGTGTTTCATTCTCCGTTTGCAATTCCTTTGCAATTCCAAAATCAGCCACAACGAGAGAAGAGTCAAATTCGGGTGTGAGATAGAGTAAATTCTCTGGCTTCAAGTCACGATGAACGATATGACGTTCATGCAGGTACAAGACTGCAGAGAGGACTTGGTTGATGAGTGTGCATGCATCGCGTTCTGTAAACTTGCCAAGTTCGCAAATACGATCGAATAGCTCGCCTCCAGTCGCCAAGCTCGTGACCACGTAGAATCTGATGGTTAGACAGCGTTGATTAGATGACAATTCATACTTTGTATTGGACTCAAAGTGCTCCTTCAAATGTATAATGTGAGGATGGTCGAGCGTTTCCAAGAGCTTAATTTCATCATGCACCATGTCCTCATGTCCTACTCGTCAGCGCTCCATGAATGCGCAAACTCGATACGTACCCTTGACGGTCTTCTTCTCGATGATCTTGACGGCAACTTGTCCAAACTTGTCATGCGTCGCTTCACGCACAATACCATACGTGCCTGCGCCTAATGTCCTTCCCATGCGATAGTGCTTCTTTTTACTGTAAGACTCTGGCTGCCCGATAGAGTGCAGCAGGCCCTTGAGCGGCATCTTGAGTCGAGTTTAAGGAAGGCTCAGCCTGGTCAAGCGATGCGTAGATGAGGGTCGCGTTGTCTTGTCCGTCGTCACTCGAATCGCGGGACAGAAAGTTGCCAATTGAGGCTGAGTCTGCTACAAACCAACACTCTGAAGAGAAGTCCACGGCAATAGTCTATAGAATATACCACACACAGGCTGAGAGAGAGAGGGAGCATCTAGACAAACAGCACTGAGCAGTCAGATTTACCCTCTGTGCTCGATGGAACCCGCCGTCTACGCTCATACGACGGCCTGTGTGCAGACTCAGGGGCACCAGTCTTCGTCGATGCTGCTGTCAAATTGGGTGATGCAGTTTGCGGCGATCTAGGCGTCGTGCAAACTGAAGAACGTGCCTTCTCAGGCGACACCGGAATAGGCTCATGAAATGAAGTCGAGGCCGTGTAGCAGCGTGCTTCAATCACAGTCGACTTGCGATTTCGCTGCCTGTCTTCTGAATTCTTGCGTACGCAACGACGAACTTGCAAGGGCGTCTTGTCTGCCTCAATACCGCTGCTGTCGAGCAATGTCTTGTCCTTTGGCTCCAGTGCAGGTGGCGGCAACACAAGATCGCTTGAAGGACGCTGCTGATGCCATGGAATACTAAAATTTGGCGGTGGAGGCTGCAGATGCGTCACTTGGTCAATCGTACCCCTCTGTCCGTCAACACCCGTGGTTGTTCGACCACCCACACATGTCAAAAATTCGGAGGGATAGTCTGTTGGCGACACGGATGTCTCTTCAGAACTGCGATACAAGTCTTTGTACGGCAGTGGCTTGCGCTTTCGTCGCTCTGCACTCATCCGACGGATAATGGCACTCTCCGTTTCTCGCTGAAACATGACCAACGACGTCAAGACACTGTCAAAGTCAGACGTGGATGTTTTGAGCGAAGTGATAAAGGCTGCCGTTTTAGTTCGCAATGCAGCGATATCCGGATCATCCAGTTGCGTCTCCATCTGCTTCAGCGATGGCGTGTCTGGCTCTCGCAAGTCTGTTGTGGATGGAGCCCCTGTCTGTAATCGCAGCAACTGCAGCAACGTATCAGACTCTCGCGCAGTAGGCGATGAGATGCGGTAAGAGGCCGGGGGAGGGTCAAGAGACAGGTACTCTCGTGCAGTGACAAAACTACCGTCTGATGTACGTGGCGGTTTGAAGAGGTTGCTGGTACTCAACGAAATCGGATCAGATCGGATGCGTTGGCCAGTATCGCCCCTAGATCTGGTGTCTAGCCTTGTAATGGGTAGCTGCGGTACTGATCCCAATGGGCTGATGGGGCCAGCGTCTTCCTTTAGGTTGGGCCTTGAGCGTGTTGTCAGGAATCGTTTGACTTTTTGCGCTAAGGATAGCGGACGACTCCCACTGTTTGTTGACGGTACGGAGAAAACTTGCCGGTCAGAGGCAGCCAGGTCATTGGATGTCCATGCGCTTTGGAAACTGTGCTGTCTGGGTTGTGGAAATCTGCTAGTAGGTGTACCCGTTACGGTCGCACTCCGACCGCGAAGTGAATGCTGTGGTGATTGGAGCGGCATGGCAAGAGCCTGTTTCCGGGATGCGGTCGATGGAGCTGTTGAGCTGTTGCTGGCCTTGGAGCCCGATGGACTGGTCATCCTGGGTAAAAGTGGTCTTTTCGTGTTTGTGCGCACGGCACTGTCTACTTATTGAAGGAAGGCATGGACAAGTCCGATGGCCCTGATGAGCGGGCAAGACTGTCTTGGCAGAAGAAAGTGCCCCCTCCCCTTCTAGACTCAGGAGCCTCTCTAAATGGTCTGCGACTGGTTCGTGTGTAGAGTAGGAAGCCCAATTGCGCGATGTGCGCGTGGGAAAGTCAGGGGTGAGTGACGTCGGGCCCCCTTCTCCCTCCCTCGACACACACCACAACTTGCCTAATACTGCGCTCATATGTATCCTGTGTCTTCTAGACCATGTGTACTGCTGGAAATGGCAAGATAGCTGTGCGCTGTATGCTGCGTGGTTGCAGCTTACTTGCTTCGCGGCAAACCCTCCAAAAGCAGCGCATCCGTTGAGCCCGCTGTGTCTGAATAGTCACTGCTCGCATACTTCACTGTGCACTTCTGTGTCCCTTATTCATGTGCCAAGGCCATGTGTCTGCGTCGATTTCCGAGACTTGCTGTGGGGCAAACCCATCGAGTCATCTCAAGACAGACTCTTTGTGCTGGATTCACGACCGGAGCAAGTGCTAGGCAAGTCTGGCAGCTTCAGAGTCAGTGTGCTGTTTACATGCTGAACTTGTAGACACCATACTGAGACTGACGTTGCCTGCCATTCTGATGTACTTGTCACTTGATGTAGTCGCGTACCTTTAGGTTCAAAAAGCCTTCAAACAAGCGCAGTAGCTTCTTACGGCACTGAAAAGCCCTGTAGCGCTGTGCTCTTCGAGACTTTGCCCTTGGAGATCTATTCTTTCGATGTATAAGCCCTGCATGCCTGCATGGAAGCTAAACTCCAACACAAGTCAAGCAGCAGAGCCGATGCATGCAGCAGAGGTCGTCAGCCGTCAGTAAAGGAGTTTCCCTGATGTCTGTTGCATACAGAGTGTCGAGCATGACAGATATCGCAGCCTTTTAGCTTTTGGCTAGATGCGGCCATTCATCCAGCAAAAGTGCTTTGCCCTTCACCATCTGATCAGTCAAGAGCCTGCATACCTAGGTATCTTGGCGCCGATGGAAGCAATGGCAAAGACAAGTAGAGCTGAGCTCTAGTCCAGCGAGGAGCGAGATTGTGCTGCGGTGCACACGAGCTTGCAATCGGCGTTCTGTTGTCAGACGGCAAAACCAGCTGACACTCCGCCAAGTTCCCATCTCGAGCCAGAGTGCCAATCTCGAATTTGGACCGAGGCATCTTCCCCAGACTGCCTCCCACACAAAGCGTCATACGCAGCCGCGCCGCAGGTGAGCCGACACAAAGTTTATATCTTGGCGGCACACTGCATCTTGGGCCAACGTTTCACATACTCAAGATGGCTTCTCGCAAGATATTCGGACACAGAGATGGATTCTCCCAAGACTCACTTATGGCCCTCAACGACTACACTGGCAACAATCCGCTGTTCACGGGAGGTGTGCTCCTCTACCTTCTCAATAAAGCACAGGCGCCTCTCTCAAGGGACCTGCTGAGCTGGTTCCGGATTCGTGAAAACAGGACTTGGCCCATCTCCATTGCTAGCGTCTTCTTTGGCTTGTCCATCTTGAAACAGGCGAGCGACTGGCTCTCGTGGAAGGCACGCAACAATGGCGTGACTGATCAATACGACTGGACGCGGGAAGTGGTTGTGATTACAGGCGCATCTTCTGGTATCGGTGCTCGCGTAGCAGAAATGCTGTGTGCCAAAGGCTGCAAAGTGGCCGGCTTGGATATCCAACAGCCACTGAAAACACCACCCGCCAATATGAAGTTTTACGTGGCAGATGTAACTTCACGCGAGTCTTTAAAGAAGGCCCATGTTCAGATCCAGAAGGACCTTGGAGCAGTCACAGTTCTCTGCAATAATGCAGGAATAGGAAATGGTGCTCCGATCCTCGAGCATACCGACAATCTGATCAACAAGGTCATGGCCATCAACTGTGTGAGTCATTACTACACAGTCCAAGAATTTATGCCTGGAATGGTGGAACGCAATCACGGTCACATTATCACTATTGCAAGCATGGCCTCTTTGGTTTCACCTGTTGGTTTATCCTCATACGGCATGTCCAAGGCCGCAGCCATGGCATTCCACGAGTCACTCACAATGGAAGTCAAGTACGTTCACAACACGCCCAAAATCCGCACATCCATCATTCACCCGCTGTGGACAAAGACGCCACTCATCGAAGGACACATGAATGAGAAGAACAAAGGACCCAAGGTGATGCACGTTGACACAGTAGCTGAGGCCATTGCCAATGTCATCCTCTCCGGAGAATCGCACACTGTGATGCTACCCCGGTCAGTCACAATCGGTGCAGCGCTGAGGGGTATGCCAGACTGGTTTAAGCTCGGCGTTCACTCCGCCACTGCGGCAGAGGTATCTCGCTTCGACACGGAAGGTGCCATGGCCGCGTCTGGACCACGTCTTCACATGTAGAGTAGTAACATTTGCCAAGTTGACAAACACGGATATCTGACTTCCGAAACGTGGCCTCTTGGCATTTACAAGCGGTGATACCCCTGAAAATTAGGGTATTTGAAGCCACGTCCGCGCTCAAACAAGTGACCATTCATCTACACCTGGTCTCACCATGTCGATGATGTCTGTCAAACTACTCTTGCAACTCCTTGCCCTCTTCGTATGAAACACTTCATGTTTCAGAAGGCCAAAGCTGACACCCAGTTGCCCGCATGGGCCTCCCCTATTCCTCAGGACGAGTGCAATGACGAGGCTCCTCCTTCTGGTGACGACGACAACGCTGGCAGCAGACTTGTTATCATGTACGAGCTTCACAGGTACCTCGTCACGCGCGTCTTTGAGTTTGCAGACCACACCAAGTTCGTTGTCCAGTATTTGGTCGTCACCATCCAGGAACACTGTGTGATGCGCATTCCGAACCCGCTCGCAAAGCACTTGCGCCCAATACCCTCTCAGCAAACCAATCACCCACTTAGCAAGGAAGGTACCCTCCCTTCGACGACTCTCCTCAAGACTTTCTCTCCTGTTGAGCGCGCAGCCGCCATTGTCATTGTGGTCTTTGCTGCACTCATGACCCTTGCCTCTCTCATCACTATCGGCATCTTTGTCTATCGCAAGCTTACTGGTGATGAGGCCAAGAAGGGTGCTGATGGTATGCTTGTCAAGTACGGCTTCAACGATGCCGAGAAGCAGGAATGCCAGCGTCTTATGGATGCATCCGCTGATGAGGAGGAGCCTGAAGTGGCTCCTGCTTACGAGTCGCGAGCACAGCAGACTGTTGCCGTGGTCTAAGCGCGATTGTGCAACTATAGAGAGAAAACCCAAGTCTGAGACTGCAAATCTATGTACCGTTCCTTTAGCCCTCAGAATTTACGAATTCCTTTTCAAAATCCGAGCTGAGCAAGCAATTTCGATAAACTCAGGGGATTAAAGCTCCCCGTCTGCTCAGCACGATCTGGCGTCCACAATATGCCATAATTGCCATCCATTCTCGCAAATGTTTCAAATTCCGAAAGCTTACTCGTTCTGCAGTAAGACCCGAAAGTAGTAAAAGCACCGTCCAAGCCCTCAAAGTTTGTAAAGTCGCGTGGATACTCAACAAAATTTCATCCTGACAAGCCCCTGGAATTTTGAAGCCTCAAACGACCTTCAACGAGCGGTATGAGCAGGCCTGGCAAACTAAAATTTATATAGCCCGAAGTATTTGAGAAGACATTGTAGTAGAGTATCTTTCTATCAAGGATTCAATAAATTGGCCGGTGCAAGCATTTGTACAAACACTTGGTCAGCCTCGTATATCATAACATTCAGGAGAAATTCAAATGATACTGCAAACAACTCAGCAGATTCAGCTGACTGCTGTGCTTATAGCCTCTGCAAAGACCTTTTGAAGCTTCATCTCAACTACGCCAATGGACACCGTTGATCCCGGGCCATCAGTTTACGTTGCACTCCTCGCCGCTGCGCTTTTCATCATGTCAGCGCTATGTGATTTGGTGGCGGACGGCGAAGACACACAGGGTGAAAAGACACCTTTGTTACCAGTCTGCGAAGAGACGGAAAAGCGACCAAGACCGTCGTCTGAGGGGCGATAATGGACATGGAGGACATCTTCAACAATGGTCACTTCAATACGCAGGAGGAAAGTGAAAAGATGATTTGGTACATGTGCTTTTTACATGCCGGCTGCAGCGACCACAGTCTCTAGTGTTGATATCCCTGCCATTGCCCTCCATTCTGACCACCATTACTGTAACCATTGCCCCCTTGATATTTGCTGTACGGATCCGCTCCGTTGCCAGGGTATTGCCGTTGCTGCTGACCATATTGTTGTTGACCGTACTGTTGCTGGCCATACGGTGCACCATAAGGCTGCTGCTGTCCTGGCAAAGGCACTGGCGGCATCGCTGGCACAGGCATACCCATTGGCATGAAGCCAGGAATAGGTACCGGCATCATATCTCTAGAAGGTGGCGGACCGGACCCAAAGGGCATCACAGGTGCAGGCTGATAGACTTGCTGTGGTTGCCCATACCCTTGCCAACCATCTTGCTGTTGACGACGTTGTTGGCGTTGCTGCCACGGTAGCCCGGAGTTTTGTCCATTTTGGCCAGAACCTGCTGGGGCGCGCTGATGCGCAGCAGGGTCTTGCGTGTCGCGTGAACGATTGTTGTTGCCGTATCGATCATTGTTATTTGAATAACTGCGTGGAGCGGTGCCATATCGGACATGGTCCAGGTCTCTGCGATCCAACACTCTAGGTGGTGGGGTCAAACCCTTGAGAAGCATGCTTTTATGCACATACTTGGACTTTGGGTAAAAGTAACGCACCGACATGCTTTTGTCCGATTCGATATCAGGCCACTTGTTCTCCACCTTGAGCGGGAATGGCACGGCAGCATTGGGAATGAACGCTTCATCCTTGTTGACTTTGCCTGCCAAGCCTCCTGAAGCGCGCATGTCGAGCTGCACCTTGTCCTTCTTGACTGCCTTTTTCGAAAAAAGCTTGTGGACCACTTGCGCATACAACGGCTCGTTATCTTCTGAAAAGTAGAGGACTTCGTAGCCACGGCTATTGCGAGCCGATTCTTCGGGCGAGAGAAGCTCATAGCCCTTAGCACACGCTTCTTTGAGCCGACCTTGATCAATAAAAGGCAACAAGACAACACCCTGCCATGCAAACTTCTTGCCATTCAAGTCGACAGGAAAGTCGAGTGGATAAAAGTCTTGGATGCCATACTTGGGATCTGTCATGAGATGCTGCAATGGCTCCGGTAGGACATGCTTCGACGCGACTGGCATGACACCAAGCAGTTGCTCATAAGGCCTTGCTGGCTCGCCTTTTGTGAAATTAATCTGCACATCCGCAATCTGATCAAAGTCAGACGCAAAAGGGGCGTAATGATGCGGGTAGAACCAAGTCCACGATGGACAACCCTGATAGTAGTACAAGAGCACCCATGCGAGTCCTTCGACGTAATCTCGTGCAATAGATCTGCGGAAAGCAATATTTTCTGGGTCCGCTTGGAATTTTTGCACGTAATAACGATCCTTGTAGCCCTCTTCCCAAAGCCTAACAGTATCTGCCATAGGATCAACGGTATCCGAGTCCACCTCATTCTCGGTAGCGACGGAGAGAGGTGTTGCCGTGCCGTCATCAGCAAACTCGCCGAAGCCGCGTTTCTTGGGAAGTTCAACCTCTTCAGATGTAGCCTCCTTTGCAGCTTCTGACAGTTTGGGCTTGAGCAAATCAGCCTTGAGTTTTGCTGCAGCAGACATGTTGGCTTCCGACGCATCTCCCATCCGTAGCGCTTTTCTGTTGGCAACAACATCTTTGTTGCTCATCTGTGGGCCATTGATAGGTTTCGACAAGTCATGCAAACCCAAAGGTTCCGGGACAGTTGCCTTGCCCTTATTTTTCGACGTTGCAGGGACTGGCGCGGTGGACGCAGCAGGTGTCGCTGCAGCAGGACTATTGATGGATACATTGTCTGCGCTGCCAAGATCCGCCATCACGCGTGGCTTTTTTGGCGCGCGCTCGTTGCGTTGTCGTGCACGATCGGCTTCGCGCACAACACGCCGTTCTTCCTCCGACTGCCTGCGTCGGAAGATGCTTTCTTCCTGCTCAGCAAGGCCGTCGAGCATGTGCTGGGCACGACTTAGATCAACGGTGCCGTCACATGTGATGTACCCGCCTTGCCGATCAAGGTTGCGCTTCCAGAGAGAGACAAGCGTATCGATGGCACCTTCGCGAATATCAAGACTTGGCAAGTGAGGCAAGAAGTCGTTGCCAACAAAGAAGATGATGAAGACCCAGTCGTCTATGGCGCGTTCAAGATCCATGGGAGTTTGTTGACCGGGTATGCTGAGTTCTGCTTCTAGATATTCTCGCAATATCGCCACATTGAGCCATATAAATGGCTTGGGAGGTGCAAGCTTGTCGGGCCCCTTCTTTTCCACCGTCACTGTACAATCTGCCGCAAAGTGACCACGTTCACCACAATTGCGGCAGCTGCCATTGTTTTGTTGAAAGAAGACGTCTTCTCGCAAGACACGAAAGTAAGGTTCATGTGTGGCGAGACCCAGCATGATGAGATCTGCATCCAGACCGTAGAGAACATGGCGCGTGTTGGGATCATGTGTAGGGTCCGATCGCTGGGAGCGGATGAATTCCATAATCTTGTGTTCGCCTTCTCCAGGGACAGATGCATCAGATATGATAACCTTGAGGTTCTTCCACCCTGGGTCGTTGTTCAGCTTGTATTGAATCCAGTAGCGTAAGGAAGCGGCAAGAATATCCATAAAAGGGGTACCAGGGGTGATGACGTTCGAGTCCCAAGGCTTAGGTCCCTCCTCAGGCGGCTGACCGCCACCAGCAATCACTTCTGCGATCGCCTCTTCCTTCTTTTTTTCCTTCTCCTCTGCCTCTTGCGCAGACCTGAAACGTCTTGAACGCTGCTGGTTCATCTTGGCCCGCGGTGCAACGCCATCCACTGCAATCATGAGCAGCTTGCGCGGGCGCACCATGCCAATTACACGATCTGTATAGCGAAACACCTCCATCATCATCTCATCTTCATTTCTCGGCGGCGGCCTGTCTTCTGGATGCGAACAAGGGTGTACAATACCATTCATATCGAGATAGAGGTTGTCAAACTCTTCACCATTGGGGTTTGGCTGTGTAATGTCGACTGGGATATCGTCGCCATTTGCGTCCTTTGTCGGGGATTCGATTACGGGGGCGACAATCTTGGGATACTTGCGCGAGAGCCATCGAAAGAATGCCGGCACTCCCATGCTGTCTTGTGTCTTGAGGACTGGACGAAGGAAAGTGTGGACTTGCTGCTGCTGGTTGCGTTGAGTTTGTGCTGAAGCGTGAGAAAGGCGACAATTGCTCATTTCCATAGCAGCTCCCTACTCTCTCTCTCTCTACTAGCATCGAGTCTATGGATGCCTTGACTGCATGTGATCCGCTACCTCTAGTCACAGCATTGCTCGAGACTCTACAAAAAGGCCAAGATGGCAGCGACGCCATCGCTGAACACGGTGTCAGGCTCAGGAACGTCTTCAAGCAGGCGCGTGTCGCTGCACAGGCGATCGAGCATGCAGACTTGAGTACCCAGGATCAAGCAGAGATTATTGAGGTATTGACGCTGCGTGTCAAGCGCAAAGAAGCTCTTGCGAAGCGTCTCTCGGATGCTGTCGTGGCGAGCCGTCAATCTGCAACTGCTGCCGACAGCGCGACAGCTACAAAGACTGAACCGCAAGATGTGGTCATGACTGGCGACTGAACCTTCAGGTATACCATCAAGGTAAGTATTGAGCAAGCTCGGACCCGGATATGATGAAATCAAGTGTGTCATTCTTGTCATGACAGGCCTTTCTTTAGGCCGCTATGATTAATCAAGCCTAATCTTCTCTCTGATCCTGTGGGCCAGGCAGAACAACTTTTAGGATTGGGAGCTGACGATAGAGACTTTTGCATGCACCTAAAGAGGAGCTCTATTGGCTTGTGGTCCATATCGTCCTGCGATGCCTTCGGTTGTACATACACTGTACGCCGTGAAAGAGGAAAGACAGCTGCGAGCTGCGTAGTGAAGGGGCTGGGTACTGCTAAACGTGCTACTGTCATTCACTACGGATTGTGCGATGCACCCATTCTGTTTGACGCGCCAGCGACGCCCCGAAATGTCAGGCAGGACGCAGATTGAAGGTCGCTCATTCAGTGTCCGTCTTCGTCTTCGTCATCTAGTCATCTTGCCCCATAGCACTCGCCCCAAGAGGCCAGCCCAGTCTAGTGCATGTCCAGATCTGCCCCCTGTCTCGATCGCGAACAAATTTTTGTTTTCCTTCCGCGGCTCGACGGCATCATCGCGATCTCCTCTTGTTGACGACATAGGATCGCCTTCCTGCCCAAGTTATATACTCAGACAATAGCCGGGCGAATGTCGCATTGCCTCAACCAACCTCTGACATTCAGCGATAGCAAAGTCCCCGACCCGGCACATCATGACACACGCGCATAACACAACACACCCCATCTTTGCGGATTGGACCACCTTCTCCACAGCAGACAAGCCTGCGAGTTACATCTTCCAGTCGGATGCGCGAGGCGTATTGATAGCTCATGTTTTGTGCATGCTTGCTGCGGCACTGCTGTTATTGCCACTTGTGCTGTTCCCACCTGCGACGAAGCGTTTGCCTAGTCGATGGCCGGCGCGCTTCCTGCGCCCGGCATTGCATATTGCTCTTTGTTTAAGCCTTATCATTGGCGTTGCTTTTGCGTCTATACATCGACAAGCGACAGAGGACTTGTACCAGCATGCGCTGCATCGTACTTTTGGTTTCGCGCTCGTTTTGTACGTGTTGGTTACATCAAGTTTGAGTTTTGTGCCGCAAGTCAAAGCCCTCCTGGACAAGCAAGCACCTGTTGATGCCGACTTTGTACCTCTGTCTCAACTTGACGACATGCAAGCTGGCGATGTGTCGCCTACGGGATCTTTTGCTTCAGGCCAGTCGCAAGAGACTTTGCCCTGTTTCGAGTCGGATGGTCCACAGGGCGATTGTCACGCTGCAGCTACTTACACGACTTTACAACAGAGAGCAGCAAGGCTAGTCGAAAACTTTCACAAGGTCTTTCTGGTTGTCACCTTTTATGCACAGATCCTTCTCGGCCTCGCCACCCTAGGCGGTCTCTTTCGAGGCCATGAGATCTACAATGGCCTTGCGCACTGGATCAAAGCATCCGTCTTCTTCATTTTTGGGTTATGGGTCTTTCTGCGCTACCTTGGCATCACTGCATCCTCGGGCATGGCTTGGAATGCACCGCACAATGGTACACGCCTTTTGACGGCTGAACAGATCGAATGTGGTCTCATTTTTACTTATGGCGTGCTCAATCTGTTTCTCGAACGCCTTGGTCATACGAAGGAACCTATCTCGCATACGGACATTCAGCATATGAGTATTGCTTTGCTCTATGCATGCGCAGGCGGTGTGGGCCTATTACTTGAATCGCAGCTGCTACGCCGTCTCACACTGTCACCGCATAGCAGTCGAGATACACGTCGGCCGGTGCTCAACATCATGCCACTACTTGTGACATTCTTCACTGGCCTATTGATGAGCCAACACCATCAAGACACAGAGCTCGCAAGCACCGTGCATGCCATATGGGGCTACTTCTTCTGTATCGCCTCGGTCTTCCGTCTCTTGACGTACTTGTCTATTTTTGCACGGCCTGATATAATGCAAGATACGATGCCCAGTCGGCCACCCACAGAAGCACTTGTGGCCTTTTCACTAGTGGCAGGGGCCTTGGTCTTCATGGCGAGCAGTCGCGATGCCGTTCAGTCCATTGAGTACTACGATGTGCATACGTTCTTTGTGGTCTCGCTGGCAGCAGCTGCTAGCCTGTGCGTTATTGTATGGACATGCTTCCTTACTGTTATCATGCATCTGAGTACCTAAGAAGCTCTTCTGAATGGGCCCAGGCTGCACTGTATGATATATGCTCAACATTCAATATAATTTAATGCAAGCGATCTTTGTCTCCGGCCTTCAAATCTTCACCTTCTTGTGCGAGATTGACATCATGCTTCATCGCACCTGCAATGACTTTTGCCTGGCCCTTGATCTTATCACCAAGGGAGACGTGTGGTTTATCAGAAGTGATGGAACGCGCTTGTTGTGTATGCGACAAGACTGCCGGGTTGTGCTGCGGATGTGAACCAACACTTGCTGGTGCTCCTGCTATATTGCCCTCGAGTTTGCCATTGCTAATGCGTTAGTCTATGCCTGTAGGAATTAGAGACAGGGAAAGGCATACTTTGCGCTGTTTGTCGGGGTAGATCTGCTGAGGCCACCGGGATGCAGGCCCTCTGAGCGCGCGAGGATCTCATCCTCCATCTGCAGCGGAGTCTGTTCGTTGCTCATGCTCTACTCCTTCGTACGATGATCTACACAATGCCGACTGGTATGTCTTGGGTATCCTTCACTTCTTTGCTGCACTCGGCGCGACGTCATTGCCAGCAGGAGGAAGAGCAGACGCTTGCTTCACCTGCTCGTCCTGGGCCGCCCGCTTCTCTGCCAAATCACGTACAGCAGTGTTGAAGAGCTTCTTGCCACCCGTCTCTGCTTCGACTGCCGCCTCTGCCGCTTTGATATCGCCACCGTGTTGTCTGCAGTCAGCCTTCCATGATGATGGACCTTTTAGTCTGTGGTGCGATCAAGACTCACTGAGCGACGACTTCTTCGACAATCATGGGTTGGAATGTGTAGTAGCCGCTTGCGACCCCGACGCCTATTGCCACGAGCAGGCCAGGCAGGACCCGGGACATGCTCATCGACTGCAGCTTTCGTTTTAGTTTGTGCCTACCGCTTGCGACTTTCCTTCAAATTTGCTACACGACGAAACAGAAGAAAACGCGTACACACAAACAGGACAAACGTACCAAGTATTCGCCCCTTCTGACTCTGACTGGCTCGCAGCAGCACATGTCCATGCAGCCAGCAACCAACGATGTCCTGGAGAAAGCGCGTCCGTACATGGACATCGCCCTCAAGCGCGCTAAAAAGCTGCCGCTCTTCACACAAGCCATTACAGCTGTCATGGTGCTCTTCTTCCTACTGAGCTTCGTCTCTGGTATCAATGATGCTTTTATGCTCTATCCAAGTGCCATTATACCAGACTGGGAACGTATGTTGTTTTGGTTTTGCTGCACATGACGACCCATTTGACTGACAATACTAGTATCGCGGTTGACCACCTACCCGCTCGTTCACCTCTCTTTCCTCCATCTACTACTCAATGTCATCGCCTTTGTTCCTCTTGCGGCGCGATTCGAATTGCGCTTTGGCACATTGCGCACGCTAGCTATGCTACTAGGCCCTTTCGAGTCTGTTCCTGGTCTCCTGTACTGCTTCTTCGAAGGTACCATCCTGCGCAGTGAACCAGGTCTCGCTGGTGCCAGTGGATTTGTCTTTACCCTGCTTGCCATTGAATCGATGGTCTCTCGTCAAGAAAGTTGGACGATTGCAGGCCGCAGTATACCCGCATGGACAGCACCTATCGTCGCGCTCTTCGTCAGTCTACTCCTCCTTCCTGGCTCTAGCTTCCTGGGCCACTTGTTCGCCATGGCAACAGGCTATGTCTTTGGTTCTGGCCATGTTGACTTCCTGCTGCTACCAAGTTGGGTCGTTGACTTTGTCGAACACCGCGGCAAGTTCTTGTTTGATAAGCTACCGAATTATGTCACTGCTGAACGGGCCGCTGAATCATCATTGGGACATGGTGGTTTGCCAACGACAGAACATCCTCTCAGTAACAGTGCAGGACTCGCGTCACCTGGTCTAGGACACCGGCTAGGTGGCCGAAATGAAGCGGATTCAGATGATGAGGAGATTGGTGCGCGGTTGCCCGGTGCTGACAAGCGTCCGGGTAGCTCACGACGCGTGACGGGTGCATAGACGCATCAAGATGACTATAGAGACTATTAGAGAGCTAATTTAGGTCTATTCTCCATATTGTTGTGTATCTTGCTGCACGATAGATGAATGCCGCCCGTCTCCGCACGGTAGGCGAATGTTGTATGAACGGCAAAGAAGGATCGTTGAGAGTTGAGCTGCTTGTGCAGCTAGAGTGTCATAGGCCTGGCCTATATGAAGTCTTGCGACCTGCTTTGAGTATCAGGAACCAGCCCTCTTGCGCAGTTTTCGCGCCCATCTGATCCCTGACGCGGCCTTTGCAATTGGGAGGATCCAGGCTAGACGCGACTATGCTTGGAGCTGGTGACCTTCGCTTACTCCCGGCACTTCTCCGTTGTCTGATAAATTGATAATGTGCTAGTCTAGCTATAGCATGTGCACGGCCGGTCGTTGAACGGCTGGCCGCTGGACTCCGGCCTGGAGCCTCCTCCGCTCTCTCACGCTTCTCCTCTGTCGGCTTCTTCGCTTGCGGGAGATTTTGTTTACCATTCCTCATCGAGATGCTCACAATCGACCTCAAGTCCCGGGCTTTTATCTGCTGCTGCCAACTTCTGCCAAGCTATCAAGTCAAGTCCAAGTGAAAGGCCCCCGCCTCTTGCTGCTCAAGAATCCGCTCAAACATCTCGTGGAAAGGGTTCGCCCGCTCGTCACCTTTTCCTGCTATTCCGCGTTGCCTGGCTCCCTCTTTCAGCCCACGACAACTTCATACACTCACTTTCACATTGGATTGAAGCTATCCTCGTTGCGCTATGGGTCGTAAGAAGATCCAGATCAAGCCCATCACAGATGAAAAGACACGCAAGGTAAGCCGCTTCCCTCTCTACCGCAACGACGAGCGACTGTGCAACGAGCTTTTGTGTTTGTTTTGATTTTTCGGCGCCATCACACTGCGCACTGGACATCACTTCAACACTCTTGCTGGCCCATCCTCGATTGATTGGTAGTAATCTGAAGTATTGCTAACAGCTAGGTGACCTTTACCAGACGTCGCAATGGAATCTTCAAAAAAGCGTATGAACTCGGCATTCTGTGCGACACAGAGGTCGTGGTCCTCATGTTTGACGGCAAACAAATGTGTCATGTCTACAGCTCCGTCGAGAGCACCGATGGACCACAGGAGCTGATGCAAAAATATATAACAAAGGATTTCGCAACCGTTGATCCGATTCGCAACTATGATACCTCACCGGCCATGCAAACAGATGATCCTGCACAGCCTGTCTGGCGCGTTGCTAGAGAACGCGTAGCTGTTGTCAATACCTACAATATTGTTCCTGCAACCAACACGCCGAATCCCAATGGCAACGCAAGCGGGGAGGAAGACGACGAAGCCGATCCAGATGGTTCTGAACAGCTGAGCGTCAAGTCGAAACGCACATACCACACCAAGACGGGCGAAGCGAAATTCAACGGTGCAGCTATGATGAACACGCCTGCGTTGACGGATGGACCCAATTCACCGGCTGGCAAGCGTAGTATGTCACCCGAATCGAGACAGCGACCATCACCGCATATCTCACAAGGCGCACACGCTGGACAACCACCTTATGGTATGCAGCAGGGCCTCGGTATCTCTGGCAGTGGCTTCACTCCATTGCTCAAGCCAGGTGAGCAATTTGGCTCATTGCTCTACCCACCGCAAGCTTCCGCTACCGGACGGATGCAACAGAGTTACTGGCCTACACCCAGCATGCTCTCTCCTGAGCAGCAATATTGGGTAGCTGCACAGGCTTCCCCCAAAGCAAATATGGGCCAACAGCAGCTACAATACTTTCCCAATCAGCAGGGCAATTATGGCTATACTGAACATCAGGGACCCATGCGGTACAGTGCCTATGATACACCGCAATTGTCGTCCTATGAACAAGCTCAGCAGGGTCCACTGCACCCAACGCTGCTTGCGTCGCCGCAGCCGCGAGCGCCTGTTGGACGACAGCCTGCGTCCTTCAATAACTTCACTTATCCACCTCCTGGTCAACAAGAACCACAGCAGCAAAAGCAAAGCACCAAAGGTCCAACGTCAGCGCCACGACAAGCACCTGGCGTACAACGTCTACGACCGAGACGACAGCCGTCTGAAGCGCAGAGCGAGACGAGTAGTGTTGGCGAAGAGCAAGAATATGCTCAGCAACAGCAACCGCAGCGCTATACATACGCGTCACCCAATCGAGCACAGCCTGTGACGTTCCAGCATGCAACACCCAGGTCTCTTGCCAATCAAAATGGCATGCAAGTGCGTCCTTCATACATTCAGCATGGTCACTCTGATGAATCTGTTGCAGAGATGTCGCGCACTGCTCCCATCTCACCCAAGAAGCAAAAGACATCTCGTACAGGCTCTGTTCCTGTATCACCGCAGAAATCAACTCGAGCTGCTGCAGCGTCGCCACAAAGGACCATCTCGTCAGAGTACATCCAGTCTGGACCTGCTTTATCACCCCCACGACGCGTCACGCGCAGTCAATCGCGCTCACCAGAACTCAAGGCGCGGACATTGCCTGCGCTTGCACGAACAACGAGTCAAGGAATGCGTCAAGTCAGCGACAAGGAGAATGCAGAACCCATGCAACATGCTGCGTCGCATCCTGGTAAAGAAGCTGCACCCTTCGGTGCGCATGGGTCCGCAGCGGCCAGTATCATGGCTGGATCGAGTAAACCCCGCAACATGCATTTACGTGGTCCAAGTCTATTGGATGATATCACGTTTGACCCAATCACAGGTGCACCCATGATGGATCCGACTGTGTTGAGTACCTGGCTCGGTGGTGCGAGTGGCCCAACGACGCCCGTCTTGGGCGCTGGTGGCCAATTGGGCGACGCAGCCGCGCAGACTGGCAAAGGATTGCTTGGCTTCAAGCAATCAGAGACGAGTCATGTGCGTGCTGAGAGCAATGTCAGCGTATCACAATGGATCCACATGCCAACCGTCAATGAGTGACAGGCCCATCATTCTCTGTCATTCTCTGTCATTCTCTTGTCCAGCGTCTTGCAGTCACTGCCAGTCAAGCCCATGTTTCTCTCATCTCTGGAGATGAATTGTACTGTAATTTCAACCGTTCGATATATTCTAATTTCAATGCTGTCTTTTCAATTATGCCCACTTGCTGTATCCATCCGGTGCGTATTCAGGAAATAACGTCCATTCCAAGATTCGCACAGACTGCATAATTGCCAATACTGAGTCCCAACGTGATATCGCCTGTGCTTTTTCTGCCTCCCTGACAGGCGATGTCGGTTTCTTTGTTGGTTGCTGGTCTGCCTCATCATCCGTCAATCCACCTTCGCCTGCGGTCTCATCAGCATCAAAGAGCGTAATGAGCAACTCTGTGCCTACTGCCTCGAGCCTCACGAGTGCCATGGCGACTCTCACCCTTTTGCGCGTTCCCTCATTGAACTTTTGTAGTCGATGCGTTCCTTGCAAGATAGCTGCTTGACGGATCGCTTCACCGCCATTGGGAACGGTGAAGGGTGTTTCCAAGCTGAATGTCTGATTACTTGCCGTTTCTACACTAACGGTATCTTCTGGGCCTTGAGCATCGTCGAGGGCTGCGAAATGCCGTCTGATGGAAGCTTTCAATATCTCCTCCACACCAGCATCTTTCGTAGGGATCACCCCTTCCTCATCGTCATTGATATCGAGCAGCTCGATAATGAGAGACTGATCTTTGTGTACAGGATGTACAAAGCACTCTTGATAGTCGGGTACTTGTCGCAGGTCTGATGCGTCAATCAGCTCTGCGGGAAGTTCTGCCGACATCGCCCCGCCATACAAGTCGACCTTGCGTCGCTTCGCTTGTCCAGTCATGGAGAGTCGAGCAAGACTCGCTGCATCAGGCTCTGTCATCTCTGTTTTCGTGTTTGTCGACCGAGCAATTGTAGGTCGTGGATGTCGGCTGTCGCCTGAGCTGGAGATCCAAAATCCCGGAAGCGAGATGGAGCCGAGGAGCTGGTCCCCCATCTGATCAAGTCCTTCTATGTTTCTTCTGCCTTTGCATCTACAAGATCCTATGGGATGGCTACTCGAGGCTGCAGTAGGGTCGACCTCTTGCAATATTTGCCTCACATAACCGACCTTCAAGCCAAAGACTCAAGCCCGCGGCACATAAAATCCCAAATGAGTCTGCAACTCCAATTACACCCATTGAAAACTCGCGCTCAGATTCTTGAATGGAGGGATCTTCGCTGACAGAGACGAAAGTATTGACGTACACAGCGCCTCCAGCAAGACCTTCGATGAAAATGAGCAGGAAGATCGGATAGATGTTTGGCAGAAAGTACCGAATGCTCTGAGTGATGCAGATTGCCAGGAGGCCACATTGGAAGAGTGAAGGGATGTAGAGGCGCCTGATGCGAATAAATGGCGATGAAGAACGAGAGATGAACACACCAATCTGATACAGCGTAGCATAAGTCGGATAGACGTCTCTGTAGCGCTCAAAAGGCATTTCTTTTATCGGAAAGAGAAGCGTCGGCGATACACCTTGATTGATGGTGTATTCTGCAAAGTAGACGAGGAAGAGTGGAGCCATGTATGGAATGAGCAGGGGCCTGGCGCTCTTCATCTTTTGCAAGATGCCGGAGACCTTTGCACTTCGTTCATTCTCACCAGAGACCAGCTCTTGTGACTCTTCCTCTGGCTGAGGCTCCAATACGGCGTATTTGACTGACTCTCTCGCAGGCAGAAGCACAAAGAAGCTCAGCGCCATGATGAGCGGTAGCAGACTAGCCATCAAGAGAGTCCACGAAGGGCTGATGCGCAGCCATGTTGTGCATGCAACATAGAGCACTCCTCCTAAAATGCCAGCTCCACCTGTGCCGCTAGACCATGCAGCAAGGGCTATGGGCGGATAGTGCGTGGATAATTGCAGGAAGGTGATTTCTCCAGCACCGGAAGCAGCGCTGGCCATAGCAATGCCCACCATACGAGGCGCTAGACTTGCACCGGTACCAACAATGAGCATTCCTGCGATATTGGTCAGGACAACGCCAATGACACGAAATCTGTGAGGTATGTGTTCGAAGATGTAAGGCGCGACAAGCTTGACTAGCACTGATGGCAAGATATTTGCCAGAAGAACGATAGCTTTGGGAGTCTTCGCGCCGACGAGATCAAGCGCAGCGCTCAGAATAATGACATATAGAACATTGTTGATGACGCCAAGCAAAAAGAAGGCAGCAAGAACACGTTTAGGCAGCTGCGCGAGGTTTCTCTGCCAGCGATCAAGCATTGAGCTTGTTTCATTGTCCATTCGACGCTAGTTGAGCAGATGCTAAGGTCGAACCAGCGACGGCATCTCTAAGATCGAGCTTGTGTGGTGTCGTGTTTGAGTGAAGTTGCCGTCGTGCTTGCAACTCACAGCTAGCCTGCAGATGGCAAATAAGCCTGAGCCTTCTGAAGCTGGCATGCAGACGGTTCGGATGTTACAAATGCAGCTGTATCTGATCATAGTACTTCATTGGACAAGGTCATGTTTGCTGCGAGGGATAAAGCGGCCTCTGATTGAACCGCTCTAGATATATATGTACTGCGTATATTGCATACGATGTCTGAAATAGTGCCACAGACATTGTCAATCAAGAGCTCGAACATTCAATTTGCTCGAGACATCCGCGTGCCGCTACATCAGCTACCCAAAGCTTCGTCTCATTGTATATCCATATCCGTCCCCGAGCAAAGTTGAAATTAGCGACACCGCCAGGCACTAGAATCTTGCCAATTAGCGTACCACGTTCAGGCTCAAAGACTTGAATGCCATCACCACAGCCAGTATATACATTGCCTTTGGTGTCACACTTGATGCCATCGGGAACGCCGTTTGCAATGTAGGCAAAAGTGCGTTTGTTGTGTAACGTACCATTGATGACATCGTACTTGTAAATGGTACTGGGACCAGTCTCGTCATAATAGACTTCGCCGGGCTTTTCGTGTGCAGCGATAGCTCCAGTGTCTGTGATGTACATGTGTTTGTAGTCGTGACTGAAGCAAAGTCCATTAGGCTTCTTTAGATCTGCCTCGACGACGCTGCACGCTTGTGTCGTCAGATCATAGCGATAGACGTGGTTCGGCAGCTGCGGCCTCGGTCTAAAGCCTTGCGCATACGCATAGTCTGGATCAGTAAACCATATGCAACCTGTCGGATGTTCGATGACAACATCGTTCAGGGAATTGAAAGGTTTACCGTGGAAATGGTCCAGCAAGACCACTTGCTCACCCGTACTAGGCACTACCAGAACAAGACCACCATTGTGCTCCATATCGCCTTGTGCACAAAACAAAATGGCATGTCCAAGCATACACGCACCGTTCGCATTAATTACCTTGTCAAAATTTTGCTCCGTCAGTTTGAGCGTCTCTGTGTGAACTGAGTGGATCTTGAGTGGATCTCGGGAGCTTTGCCAGTTCGCCGTAAAGTAGACAGATTTGGTAGCGTCGTCGTACACTCCAGCCTCATGTGCGAAAGCATAGCTTTTCTCGTGGAGCAAAGTCAGACCTGGCCAATCACTCTCCTTGGCGAAGCCGACAATCTCCTTAAAAGCAGGCTGTATGGTCATGAATGGATTCTTGGTCTGACTAGCACGAGCTTGCTGAACCGTGTAGTCCTCGAGGGTGTTTCTTTGCCAGCCAACTCTGACATGTTCCCTCTTGTTCTCCTCCATGTGTATGATGAATCCTGAACTTCCCCGCAGAGGCCTCGAGGTGTGCACAGCATCCTCAGAGGGTGTTGGGTTTAAAAGTAGTCGCTGATACTAAATCAAACTGCGGGGCGAAGAGTGCGGGATGGCGGGATGAACAGCGACGAGATGGAACCATATATCACAGACTTAGAGGACGCACTAAGAGCAGCCAGGGAATGCAGAGATGCTTCTACAATGATGCTTTGAATGCTATGTAAAGCTCAGAACTACTCGTCTTTCCATCCAAGCGACTGCAACTCTTTGAGAATTTCGTTGTACGAGTTGATCTTTTGAACTTGTGTCGTCTCAAGCTTTTCTCCGCCGGCCTGGCGCATGCGCAAGTCCTCAATCGCACGGAGCTTCTTTGCAAGGTTTCGAATCTTGCGATCCTCAATCGGGGCAGCGACAGCGGCAGCAATAGGCGCAGCATCATGTGCCAAGGGCGGTGCAAGTGCGGCAAAAGCAGAGGCATCAGCCGTTTGATCATTGGTTGCAGATCCATTGACAGTCGTGCCGTTCAACGCAGCAGCTTCTTCTTCTTCCTCCTTCTTCTTTGCAGCAGCTTCACGCTTCTTCTTGTTTTTGAGGGCATTCTTGCTGAGTGGCTCAGCTCCCGGTGGTAAATGGACACTAGTAAAGCTGCCCGCAGCACTGCCCATGCCAGGCGGTGCACCAGGAACAGTACGTGCAGCACCAGGAACGTAAGCAGGTGCCGGTGTCGTCGAAGCAAGAATATCATCGTGCTGGCGCAGGATATTACTGCCAACACCCTCAGGTCGTCCACGCGCATGGGGCGGCCGGTAAGCGCCCTTTGGCGCGGTCGCAACTTTGACAGGCACACCGGAAACACTGGAATGGGGTTCAGGACCTGGAGATGGCGAGCGTGAGGGGAAGGCTTCTGGCAACTGCGGTCGCATCGTCGCGTAGAATAGCTCCTGGTGATCTTCGTTGTACACGAGCTGGCCGCGGTAGTGAAAGATCTTAATGCCATTATCAACACGCAACCGAGGCGACGTCGTTGCGCATAGGATATGACGCGAATCGGGGCACCACTCACAGTGTGATGTGTTTGTTGCATCAATTGTGGCAACCTTCTTCATTCCAGCGCGTTCATACACATCCATTGCACCTTGCAAGTTACCGAACCCTGCGATAATCACATACTTGGAGTTTGGCGAGAACAAGATTGTGTTTCTCGATGCACTCGGAAGAGAATGCGTTATGCTGGCTCGTGCGTCAAACATGGTGATTTTTGCAGGCATGAATCCATAAGTACAGCCAAACTCTTTCGAGTCGGGAGACCAGGTAACATCGTGAATAGGGCCCTCCTTGTCGAGTGTCACACGGCAGTCGTAGTTGCCTGCAACGCCGAGCAAGTACAGATTGTTCTCGCCATAGTAAGACTTGTTGGATTTGTCGACATCAGTTGAAGTCATGCACAATAGAGACGTGCCGAGCGCGTTCCACTTGAGTTGCACGCGATCGGCCTTGAAAAATGTCTTTTGTGAGACAGGGGTCGCAAAGCTCGGAATGTTGTAGACACGCACAGCAGCCGGTTGGCCCTTACGCTCTGGCACAAATGCGGCCACAGCAGGATTCTTGCCTGGTGAAAGGGCAAAGTCTGTCACGCCCTCGCAGATGAGCCGGTGAACAGTTCCCGAGGCCATCTTTTGCGGATGGAAGAATTGTACCTCATTTGTGACCACGCGTGCACACAGTGCTTCATCTGCAGTGTATTGCAAATTCCAGCCGGTCTGTGACTTTTGTGTGAATGCACAGGTCTGCTCACCTGTAGCAACGTCCCAAACCCGCAAGTTCTTTGACCCATCGCCGTTCTCCAGCTTTGTGAACCGCTCCCAAGTGACAATGTACGTGCCCTTAGGTGAAAATCCAATCTCTAAGCAATTTGCAACTTGCAGAGATCTGAGATGTGAGCCTGTCTCCGTCTCTATGATTTCAACGGCGGAATTGGTGGCCCAAGCGAAGAGTTTGCCCGACGGGCCATAGGCACAGCATCTCAAATTGCCCTCTGGTTGCTGAAATCCTTTTGCAGCCTGGTAGACAGGATATGCATCTGTCAGACCGATGGTCTTGGCATTCCGATACGCAAATTGGGTCGCCATGTCAGATAATTGTGCAATTGTAGTCAAGTGCGCGTCGGGTATAGAGTTGCTTCCAAGTTGAGCGCTTCATGGCTGCACCGTCCACGGAAACATTCACACGGTTACTCAGATGGACAAGCCAAATTGGAGCGCATGCATCCTCGACTCTCGAGCGCGCTACAAACCTATGTACTTGAGCGACTCACTCATGGATGATGAAGGCCTTGTAGAGCCATTCTCAAGCCTCAATTGAATCTGCTCCCTCAACTGCCTGTTCTCTCGCTTTTGCTCGGCCAAGCGCTTCTTATCTGCACTGTGCTCTTCATGCTTGGACTCCTGCACACGCTTGAGTTCCTTTGCCATGGCTTCCAAGCGTAGTCTCAGTATAGCGACCGTCTCCATCTCTGTCCTGCTGCCTTCAGTCATGGTACTCGTGGGATAATGCGAAGTCACCGACGCAACCACGGAATCAGCACCAGTGCCGCTCGGGTTGCCTCGAGAAGCCGTTGCTGTGCGCACGCGTTTTCCTTTCATGTCATCATTATCCGCCTTGAGCTTCTCAGTCTGCTGCTTTGCCTCAAGTAGGCTGAGGTTCATGTCTTGTATTTTGGCCTCGGTCTTTGCCAGTGCAGCACTTTGTTCCCGCAATTGCGCTTCGAGTCTCGCACACTTCCTGCGCGCATCCGACTCTGCCTGTCGGTGGTCACCACGGGCAAGTTGCTTTTGCTGCTGTAGCGACTGAATGGCGGCAAACAAGCCTTCTTTGAACTTGGTAAAGTTCTGAGCAGGTTTCGGCGCCTCTGCAGTAGCAGGTGGGACCTGGCATTGATCAGCCTCCAGCACTGAGGCAAGCTTTGAGAGCATCGCTTCTAGCAAGGTGTCCCGCGCCTTCATCTGCTGGTCGTTCGACTGCTGCTGCTTGGCCTGACCGTCGAATTGCGTTCGCATGGCCTTATTGAGGTTGTCGAGCTCCTTTTCGCGCTGACGCAATGCTTGCTCTGCCTTCTCTGCATTCGCTTTGCTCAACTCTGCTTGCCTCTGCACAGCTGCCAGCTCCTTCTCTGCCTTTTCCGTTGAACGAGCTTGCGAGGCACGAGCGTAGGCATCAGTTTCCTTGGCTTCACGGAGTCGAGCCACTTCCTGCATAAGTCGGCCAGACTCTGCTCTTTGATTCGCAAAGACTGCATTCACAATTTCCGCGACAGACCCATCTGCTGTGAAGCCATCGAATTCTTGCAACGCGCGGCGAAGCTGAGCCAGCTCTGCGCGTGCTTGTCGAGCGTCCTTCTGGGCATCTTGCCATTGCGCGTTGGCCTTTTCCAAGTCTTTCAGAAGCGCTTGATTGGCTTCTTCAGCGTTCGCATCAGCTTGTGCACCATGCATGAGCTGGCGTCGTAAAAGCTCCGCATCGCGAGTTGCATCATCATGTGCGGCGTGGGCCTCAGCCAAATCAGTCTCATACGCCTGACATTTGATATCGAGTGCGGTAAAGCGCTCACGAGTATCAGCGAGCTGCTTTTGAAGTTCAGGCACTCGGCGTCGCGCCTCTTCCAAATCTTGCTGCAAGTTTCTCAGAAGCTCTCGTCGACTTTCAAGCTCCACCTCAAGAGCGCCATTTTTATCGCCAGTCTCCTGAACCTTGTTTTCAAGGGTGTGCTGGGCCATTCGCAGATCCTGACGCTCCTTCTCCAATGCAGCAACAGTTGTTCGCAGCGCATCCAACTCTTCATTCAAAAGTGCGCTTGGCAGACTTGCTGCTGTCGAGCGCAGAGCCAGCTCGTGGTCGACTTCCGCGTACTTGCCCTGTAGCGCGTGATGCGCCTCTTGCAGACGTGCCAACTCATCAGCCAACTCATCTCCCTCTTCCAATGCGTCTCGCTCGCGCTGCGTTGCCTCAGCTAAATCAGACTCGAGCCTGAATCGATCCTCATCATAGATACGCTGCTTGTCACGCAAGGCCATCTCCAAGGCACTACATTGTGCAGACAGTTCCCGCCACGCATCTTCATGTGGTTTGACGGCATCTGCAAGACGCGCATCGTATGAATCCTGATTATGCGACCGCATCTGTTGCTTGAGGTCGTCAATTTCGGCATGCCGGTCTTCAATGTACATTTCATATTCGCGCCGTTCCGTCTCGTAGAGTGTCCGGACATCAGCCACAGCGGCTTCGCGTAGACGATCGGCATCTTCCAATTGAGCGTCGTATTGTTGCAAGTCTTCAATCGCAATCTCAAGCTTCTCTCGACATTCTGCAAGCAGATCGGATTTATCGGCGAGTTCCTGTCAATTAGCGTAGTCCATACATCTGGCGATCTCACCTCTTCCATGAAGGCCATTTGTCTCTGGTGGCGTTGCTCCATGCTATCAAGCGCATCTTCCAGATCAAGGCAACGGTGCCGCAGGGCTTCACCGGAAGCTATGCCACGAGATCGGCTCGTCTGGGACCGTTCGTCGGCATCAAGATGCGCACGCAGCGTGTCAACCTCGGTCTTGAGCGCCTCGACATGCTCTCTCGCATCGGCCAGATCTTCCTTGAGGTCATGTATCTCTGCGTCCTCTTCGGCTTCAAGTCGATCGATATGCGCTTCTGCAGCCAGCAGCTTCTGCTGCGTATCCGTATCCGTATCGGTTGAGCCGTTCGCCTTGACCAAGGCAAAGTTGCCCTTGGCTTTTTCTAGCTCCAGTGCCGAGACTTGTTCCGTTGCTTGCTTCAAAGCTCGCTCAAGTGCACGGTTCTTGTTGACGAGATCTGTGGCAATAGTGCCAAGACGCACACTTTCATTTCGTAGAGCAGTTTTGTCTTGATCCACCTCCCCTGAAAAGTGCCGTTCGAGAAACATGACTTTGAGCTTGAGACCAAAATTTTCCTTTTGCAGGGAATCAATACGTGCAGAAGATTCCTTGACGGTCAGTCGATCCGCTGTTTGGCGATCCATGAGTGTTTCAGAGCGCAGTGCTTCAATACTTGGCTGAAGTGCTTGCAGCTGCTCTGCAGGTATTTGAAACTTCTCAACACGCTTTGCAATGGCGGTATCTGTGGGTGCTTCATTTGCATACTTCTTGGTTGCCGCCGGTGTCTCCCAGCGATGCGCCTGCGCTTTGCTGTCCGCTGATGAGTTTGGTGCAGGCGAGCGATACGCATTAGACTCATCTACCAGGTGATGCGCCATTGCACCTGATTTGCGGACTGGTCCAGGTGTACCATCGTCTGACAAGTCGCTCACGCCAGAGAGGGGCCGTCTGTGCATCTGAAGCCGGGATTCTGGACCCATGTCAGTCTTGCTCGGTGCTGGTGAGCTAGACTGGGCATGACGCGCTTGCAAAGCGGCAATGCGTTGTTGCACAGGGGTTTGAGTGCTTCCTGCTTCACGCACAGCATCGAGTCTAGGCATCTGTTTTGCTTCCATCGTTCCTGGCCGCGATTCAATTTCGGTGCCAATGAAAGACGGCTCAAAGGAGAATGAAATGTCGTTGGTTGGCTTCAGCTCTGATGCTGTCGTACGGTCAGCGGCCGAGTCAGCCGTGGATGGTCTAGATGCTTCCTTTCCTGCCTCTCTCGACTGCTTCACCTCCTTCTTGCGAATTGTGATGTTTTTGTTCATGGAAGGTGTAGCTGGACTGCTGGAATGACTCGAGACAGGGCATTTGTACGTCGCAGAACTGCTGTAGAATGCTTGTTGCTTTGCAGATGCATCTGGAAACTTTGCAGCTGGCTTCGTCGTTGTGCTCGTTAGCTCTTCCTCGACGGGTTCAGCGTCTGCTTGCTCAATTGTCTCTGGCTCTTCTGGTCGTTCGTCAGACATGGGCGCTTCCTCTTCATAGTCATGCTGGGGATTCAGCTGATCCACAAACGACGACAATTCGAGGAGACTCATATTGGCGTGACCTTCTGGCTTGGCATGTGTATCGCGCATAATGACAGGCGACATTGCCTCATACGACTCACCAGCATGAGACCCCGGTCGTCCATAAGACAAAGATTCACTGAGAATGTCCGGCACCTCAGTAGACGCTTCAAGCGACTCGTCGTGATCGCCAACAGATGTTTGATGTTCGATATCTTGATCGTCAATATCGAGTGATGGAATCGACAGCTCTGCAACATGTCGTGAATCATTGGATGCACCAAAATCGCTCTTCTCCGGGTCTTCGCCAGTCTTGGTGTCTTCTGCATTAATTGACTGATGCAGTTGGCTAGGCACAGTAGTGGGTCTTGGTGCATCGAAAAGCACATCCTGGTCAGAGACGACACGATTCCGCATGAACGGTAATGACATACCCATCGAGAGCCTATCTCTCCGCATTGGTGCACTCTTCTTTGCACTAGCCGGCGCAATTGCCGATACAACGGGCTGTCCCTCTGTTATATCACTCGCTGCATCTTCATGGACGGTCGAATCCTCCATTGCTTTCGCAGCCTTGATTTGCGCGATATCCATAGGCGGCTCTTGAACTTGTATCTGTCCGATACTCGGCAAACCAACACCCACATCGATCCCAAACTCATGAATAGACGAACTACTCGTATTCGCCCGATCCAAGGTCGCACGAGACGCGCCACTATTTTTCCTGTGGGAATGTGGTGGATGACTCGTTGTACTACTCACCGCACTCATAACACTTTCTGAAGAGCGTGACAATCGTGCTGGTGATGTGACGGGACGTGAGCTTGTCTCGTGTTGTGTCGAGACCGCAGTCTTACTTTCCGGTATCGCTACGCTTTCTGAACGAGTAGAGACGCGATCTGAGGCCGTGAGGGATGTATCGCTTTGCGTGGATGCGACAGGTACATCCAGCTCATCTCGTTGGCGCGATGCACGGACCGTTGTCGTGTCAGCGGACAGGCTCTTGCTCATGGCGGCATCGGGATCCATAGAGCAGCTGTCACCCTGGGCGCGATGTCTGGATGGTGTTTGAGAGCCAAAAGACTACCTGCCAGGCCTCTCTAGCGCTCCAGAAGAAGACTACGTGCTGATATGTTCCGTTGTGTGTGTTTTGTTGTGCTCAACCGTTCGTCGCGTAACCGAAAAAACAAAAAGAGGAGCACAAGATCACAAAGGGACAGAGGGAGGGACAACCTGATTCTATGTCAAGCTGCACATCTATCTATGTAATAAAGAAAGAAGAGACGCATCGAGTCATTGCTCGTTGATGCGCCTGAATGAAAAGGAAAACGCATGGACGGCTGCTTTGTTGACATCCTTTTGTTGAATTTTGGGGGTCATGAGAAATAGTCGTCATTTTCGTGATGTGCCATTTTGTAAAGCGCTGGGTTGATCCAGATCGATTGGGGTTGCATCAAGTTGAGATGCTACGTACACAGAGATGCGGAGAGACCGCAAATCTAGTAACGGTAGTGGTCGCTCTTGTAGGGACCAGCCTCAGGGAGACCAGTGTACTCTGCCTGGACACCAGTCATCTTCTGGAGCTTCACGCCGAGCTTGGCCAAGTGGAGCCTGGCGACTTCCTCGTCGAGAATCTTGGGCAGGACGTGCACACCGAGAGGGTACTCGCCCTCCTTGGCGTTCCAAAGAGCAATCTGGGCAAGGACCTGGTTGGTGAAGGACATGGACATGACGAACGAAGGGTGGCCAGTAGCACAACCCAAGTTGACGAGACGACCCTCAGCCAAGAGAATGATGTGGTTGCCGTTGGGCATGAGGAAACGGTCGACCTGAGGCTTGATGTTCACAACCGACTTGGCGTTCTTCTTGAGCCATGCAACGTCAATCTCAATGTCAAAGTGGCCAATGTTGCACACAATGGCATCGTCACGCATCACCTCAAACTCCTTCTGTGTGATAATGTCACGACATCCGGTGGTCGTCACAAAGATCTGAGCCTGAGGAGCAGCAGTGTCCATGTCAGTCACCTGGAATCCCTCAACAGCAGCCTGGAGGGCGTTGATGGGGTCGATTTCAGTGATAATAACACGAGCGCCCATGGAAGCCAAAGCACGCGCACAACCCTTGCCGACATCTCCGTAACCGGCAACAACAGCAACCTTACCGCCAATCATGACATCGGTGGCACGCTTGATACCGTCAATGAGAGACTCCTTGCAGCCAAACAAGTTGTCAAACTTGGACTTGGTGACAGAGTCGTTGACGTTGATGGCAGGCACCTTGAGTTTACCCTCACGCATCATCTTGTAGAGGTGGTGGACACCGGTGGTGGTCTCTTCAGACACACCGCGGCAGTCCTTGAGCATCTCTGGGTACTGCTCGTGGACAAGAGCAGTCAAGTCACCACCGTCATCGAGGATCATGTTGAGAGACTTGCCGTCCTTGAAGGACTTGAGCTGTTGGTGAATGCACCAGAGGTATTCCTCCTCAGACTCACCCTTCCAGGCAAAGACGGGAACGCCAGCAGCAGCGATAGCGGCAGCAGCGTGGTCCTGAGTGGAGAAGATGTTGCACGAAGACCAGGTAACTTCAGCACCGAGGTAGGTGAGTGTCTCAATGAGAACAGCAGTCTGGACAGTCATGTGAAGACATCCAGCAATGCGAGCACCCTTCAGTGGCTGTGTCTTGCCGTACTTTTCACGCTGGAGGGATTGTTAGCCATGTGAATGCTTCAATTGACGCGTCGTTTGAGAGTGTGGTCTGACAAAGACGCGGGGAGTGGCGATGAACATACAGTCATCATGAGACCGGGCATCTCGACCTCTGAGATTTCGATTTCCTTGCGGCCATAAGCGGCGAGGTTGATGTCTGCGACCTTGTATTGAGACATGGCTGATGTTGTGGTGTGTGTAGGGGAGTCGGTGGTGGTGGATGAGTTGCTGCTTCTCCTTCTCTTCCTCGCTCACTTTGTCTCACGCTCCTCCAGCCAATCACAGCCGCATGTGCACGTGTCGGCAAGGGGCAGTCACAGATATACGATGGCTAGATGGATCAGAGCAGTGCTAGCGGCTTATAGTGGTCAGCATTATGGTCATCCGTGGTATTAGTCACAGTAGCAGTGTGGGCGGGTGGTTAGCCATGCAAATATCTACAGACATCTACAGCACAAATTTCCCCTGAATACTGCTCTCAGCATGCCAGAAGCCATTCTCTATGTGTATTCTGCCGCCTCATCGCTTAAAGGTCGTCTGCTTCGTACCTTGCTGTTGCTTCGCTCGGACAATCTTCTTGTTTGGCTGATAATCGCCAAACTTGCGCTGCTTCTGCTTCTGCTCCTTGGGAGCATTCAATATCGGCTCAGCGCGAGAATAGTCAAACGGCGCGACAGTCGCTTCTGCCTCCTCTTCCTTCTCTCCAGCAGCAGCTTGTTCTCGCTCAAGCTGTTTCCGCTTCTTGGCTTCCTTCTTCTCTCGTTTCCGTACCTGTTTGGCATCCTCTGAAGTCTCCATTTCCCCTTCGCCAGATGCATGTTTAGCCTTCTTCGTCCTTGGCTCCTCATCATCGTCTCCATCCAGCGTGATGACCTCGGATGTTCTCTTCTTTGGCTTACCCAAGTCACGCACGACAAAGGGCGCATCAGTCTGTTTCGTCTTGACAGGCTCCACCACTTCCTGCATCTCCTGCTTCTCAGCAGCTTGATCAGCAGACTCAAACACATTGTTATCCAGAGGCGGTAGCGGCACACTCAGCACCAAAGGCAAGACAACGCTCACAGGACCCACAGGGCGTTGCTTCAACACATCTGCAGCTCCCCAAAATTTGCTTGCTTCAGAAATGAGTTCAGTGATTGTTGACAGTTGAATTTGACTTGCGTGCAAGGTCGTTACTTCTGTAGGCGCAGACTGATTGACATTTGTCATGACTGTAAGGCTCGCACTAGCAGCAACATGTTCTGCAATGCTGGTCGGTTGGGATGGAAGTGCTTCATCTGCATACCTGATAGCCGCAGCAATCACCTGCAATACATCCTCCATACGCCCTTGAACCGTTGATGACAATTTTTTGCAACACTGTTGCAAAGCCTTCTTATCCCTTGGTGTTGCCGCCGCGAGACTTACAAGTGCATTATTCGACATGACGAATCGCGTTGACTCATCCAGCTCACGAGCGACTTGATCACGCCACTGATGGAGCGCTTTAAGTGTTTCAAGTTGTTGCGGACCAAATGCTCGCGTCGCGTAATTCTTAAAAAGAACAAGTTGCCATCCATCAGCACCTTGTCCCTGCGCAGCATCATACGGTTCCTTTGAGTATTCCCGTAATGATACTTGTGCACTTGCTTGGAGAACACTCGCAAGCATGTTGTGTGTGCCGGGTGTTGATCTGTCCAGCAGTTCATTACGCAGGCAATCATACACGTAAAGCAAGAAATGCGTATCGCAGCGTGCATAAAAGAGCATTTCCTTGGGTAGTGGTCGTATTCGCCAATCTGCGAGCTGATAGCGTTTGTCTGCATCAAAATCAACGTATTTCTTTAGTAGAAAAGCGAGACCATGGCCGTCAAAGCCAAGAACTTTTGTGGCGTGGTAGGAATCAAAGAGATTAACAATGTAGAGGCCAAAGTCACGTTGCAGCCAGATAATGTCCATGGCTGCACCGTGCAAGACTTTGACAATCTTGCTATCCGCAAACACTTCATTGAGCACGGCAAGTTCATCACGTAGTGCCAGCGTATCCACAATCCAGTCTTGCTCCCGTGTTGATATCTGCATCAAGCAGACGAAGCCACGAAATGAGTGGAAATCATGGTGCTCCAAGTCCACGGCTATTTCAGTCGCTTTCCGCAATTCATTCAACATGGCGTCGAGGGTGTCTTGCGTCGAGACCCATCCAAGGGGTTGGCTGTCAATGTCCTTGTACATGATTGGTTCGTGCCGCTGAAACATGTGCGTTGGGTACTCAATGTGCTCAATCTCATGCGCATAGGGATGTGTTGCCCTTTCTGTTTGCCGAGCACTACCTCGTTCCTCATCCGTCAACAGCGGTACCATGGCATGCCGCTTGTCTGTAATGAGCGGTCGCCACGGCGCATCGTCATTATCTGGTTTCCGCGCAAATTTACGCTGTGGCGGCGTCAGATCTTGTGCATTCCGTAGACTCGCCGGTAAGGGTGGTAGTTGCGCTTGCTTCGCCTGTAGCTGTTCTTGCTCTGCTGCCTCCTTCACCTTCCGTTGACGCGTCTCTTCAAGAGCAGTATCGGTTTGTTCTAGCAAGTGATCCACCACATCAATGAGATCGCCCCACCGTGTCTCCACTGCTTTGATTTCCTGTAGTGCTTCAAAGCCACCTGGACTGACATAGTCGAGGATTGAAGAGGTCAGGGAGAGCAGCTGCGCGTGTGTGTCCTGCAAGCTATTGCTGAATTGTGTGTCGAGGGATGTATGGAAGGCCAAGTCGTTTTGTCCCAGCAATGTGGCTGCTTTGATGGCACCTTGCAAGGACACGGAGATGGCCTCTTCGATGCCCATCCTGCTTCTCTGTATCAAGTACAAGTAGTCCTCAAGAAGTCATTGTATCTGCTGGTTGTCGCTTCTTTTTTGGCATCTTCCCACGCCGCACAAGGCAGCAGAAGAAGGTACACAATGGGAGCAGGCCCAGTCGACGGCCCAGCGAGGGCATCATCCAGCTCTGGCCAGCAGTCAATGTAGTCGGAGGTGCATCATCTACGCAAGCTTGAATATCTTCGCCTCATTTTTGATCGACTGCCCGCCGCCTTCTCTTCCCAGTTTCCGTCTTGGCTCCATCTGAACCACGAGCAGCCAGCAGCACCAAGACGAGACAAGAGAACAGCCAGCCAGCCAGCCATACACCCAGGGAGATATCAAGCAGCCAGATCATGTCGGCCATCATCATCGCCATTGTCGTTCTAGTCGTAGCAGCAGTCATCGGATTCGTCGCCTTTGTCGTTCTTTACCACCTCAAGCAAAGAAGAAATGGAATGCCTACGAGTGGTATCTTGCCGCCTGTCGATGCATTCAAGTCAGCTTTCACAGGCAGAGGGACCGGTAGTAGAGGCAATCATAGTGCGGGCGGCGCTGGCATTGGGGGTGCCTTTGGATTGGGTCGTATGGGCGGCAACAGTGGTGAAGAGCGGTCGACCCGCTTCGCAGCGCTTGAGTATGCAACATGTTCCACCTCAGCTGTATCAGTATGCTAACCTGCGTCAGTGTCGATGAAGCGTGGGATACCCATGTTGATGAGGAAATGGGCTACGACCAGAGCCGATCAAAAGATCAACGCTTGCAAAGTGGTCGCGGCATGAGTGGTCGGCTGTCGCACGAAGAGTTGGATGACCGCTACGAGTCTGTCATGGATGGCGGTGACGACGATGAGAGAAATCCCTTCGGAAGGTGAGTTCTCTAGTGTCTCTCTCAGATTATGAAGCTAATGACAAAAGCGGTGCCTACGATGCTGGAGATGTGTCGCCTACAAATGATCATCGCAAGTCTGCCTTCAAGGAAGCAGGCATCTAGTCATGAGACTTGATGAGACGACGCCCAATCACTTCAATGGCCATGGAGCGGAAATTGTGATCATGGGCCACACCGTCCACACGATTCAATCAAAGTCGCGTTCGTCAATTGACAACACTCACCTCACGAGTGGAGTTTCTTTGTTCTGTGGCAGGCGCTGCTTGCACGCACGCTGTTCTGATGAATTAGCTCTGATGCTGGATCTTCGACCAGAAAGCTTGAGATGGACCATTACACCGTCTCGCGAGTAAGATTTCCTTCCAAGCATCGATCGGCTTGGGCTTATGACGGCTTGTTTCTCACTGGCGCGTCATGCTCAGCTACATGTTTCCAATGAAGTGACGGGCTACATGAATGATGCGTACGTAGAATCTCAGATGGCTTCACCTCAAATGTCTTCGTGAAGGATTCTACCGACGACGCTCTGGTGTCCTTGAGCGCCGCTTCTCCCTCTGAGAACGACTGTCATGCTTGCCACGATCGTATGTGCGTCTCTCGTCATGCCTTGATCGGTCTGAACGATGACTCTCGCGGTGTCTGCGAGGTGAGGGCGAGCGACGACGATGCGCATGCCCATCCCGGTGACTTCTCCTGTCACGAGATGATGACCGTCTACGGTCCTCCCTTGTGTCATCTCGCCTTCTCGGACTTCGTCTCCGTTCAGCGGGGCTCATGTCTCGTCGACCTCCTCCTTGACCTCCCATCGCTTGCCTCGTCTTTGCCACACTTTGAGAAAAGTCAACATGAATCCGTCGGTCATCAATGAGCACACCTTGCATCTTGAAGTAAGCGCGCTCCGCATCTTCCTTCTTGTCGTACTCAATGAATGCATACTGTAAAGAATCACCAGTTCTAGCATCACGAACAACCTGACAGCTCAAAATGGTACCAAAACGACCAAAGATGAGCTCAAGATCATCCGCAACAGTGATGGGATTCAACTTGCACACAAACAGGATATTCTCCGGTGGTCGAATATGTGCACTCGGTAAATCTCCCATTGTTTCCAAAGCAAGTGCAGCTGCTTCCGCTTCTCGTGCACGACGACGCTTGTCGAGGGTATCTGGATCAAGTGTGCTCTCATCTTCAACTTGCTCATCAAACGCTATCCGTACTGTCGCTAGTTGTGCATGAGATGGTGCGGGTGATTGATCAGGAACTGGCGGCATCTCTGGCGGATCATCAAAAGGATCCTCAAGAATGATAGAGTGCTGTATTCTGATATCTCGTAGTGGACGGAATACATTATCAACAGGCTGAGCGGCAATTTTGTCGAGAGTCTCTTCGCCTTCAGCAAGATGTCCAAAGATGGCATGCTTCTTATCAAATGAATCATTCGGACCAAGTGAGATGAAGAATTGCGATCCAGCAAGACCAGTCGGTAAGACTGCCATGGATATGGTTCCGCGACGATGCTTGTGAGCACTCAATATTTCTGGCTTGAAGAAGCGCTTCTCAGTATCTGCGAGGCCCCATACAGAGCTACCACCGTCTCCTGCAGGATAGAGAGGATCACCTGCTTGAAAGAAAGCTGGCGCTTGTAGATTGTAGACTGGCGCAAAATTGAAGTACTTGAGCTTGCAGAGCTTGAGAAAGTTGAGACAGCATTTTGGAGCTTCGTCGACAAGCAGGTCAATGACAAGGTCACCAGCAGATGTCTCTAGCAGGACACTCATGAATGCCTGTAAGATGGCTAGGAAATGTGGAGTTTGTAGTACTTGGTCGTCGTCGCGACAATGACACTTTCACGAGATGCAGTGTGGCTAGAAAAGTTGAAATATAATCGTATGTAGTGGGCGCAAGACGCAAAAGAAGAACAGGTTGCGGTAATAATGCAAGAACCGACTAGACGGCCTGGACAACCTTGTCATCACGCAAAGCAGATGCGATCGTGATCAAACCGCCCGAACGGGACTTTTGGTCTCCAAGATGTCCATTTCAACAGATGTTGTATTTTCAATCCTGAGAGCCAGTCTGCCCATAGTGCTCGTGACGCGTGCGCGTGGCTCAGAGCTTCTTTGTGAGGCTGAAGAGCATTCATCCAGGTCTTCCTCCTTTCGAAAAGCGTCCAAAATGACACGCAGATTAAAGCTTGGATCCACAAGCAGGAGCTCGATGCCAAGCACGAGTGCTGTCATAACAGCCCCTATGGCGATGATGAAGTGCAAACCTCCATTTTCTTTGTGCCCACCGTTTTGTGAAATCAATTGCTGATCTACAACCAGCTCGCATATCGTCAGAAGCAGGATAAAAAAGGTGTTGGTGATGGGGAAGAGGAGCACTTTGAGAATCATTCGACGGACTTTGGTTCGATTCGTCTCGCCATCAGCCAGAAAGAGCCTATTGATTTGACGATGCTTGCTGAGAAAGACGATGATCCAAATCGTACTGCCCACAGAGATGGTGGCGAAGATCCACGGCACCAGGAAGCCAGAGCACACTGTCACGAGTGTACGTTTGACGCCCGCCGGCAAAGAGATCCAACAATCATCACGCAAAGGGTCGTAGCCGTAGTGGCCCAGAAGAACAGAGGGCGTCGGTGCAATGATGGACAGCGTATAGATTGCGAGATAAATCCATTTTTCATACTCCATGGAGAGCCCAAAGATGAGGACACACACCAAGTTGATGCCAATGACGGATGAGAGGCCGCTGATCACCGTCATGAGCAGGACGACAAAGTATGGTCCTGGCAAAGTTAGCGAAAACAGCCAACGATTGAGCCAATTCACCAATTTGACATGCCAGGCCGGGCTTTGCATGCGTTGTTCCACGCATTAGCAAGAGAACGCTGAGCGGTATTGAGACCGCCTCTACTTGGAGCAAAATCCTGACTGAACTGCGCCTTATCAAGCTTCGCCCCCTGAATGTTAGCGAGGGTTTGAAGATGGATATACAAACTGTCTCATATACCACAAAGCCAGCGCTGTACTAAGGATAATGATTGAGAGAAAGAGAGAAGCCACAGCAAAGACCACAACCACAATTGTCTGGCTTCGTAACACGGCTGCGGCGTGCGCTGCGGTGCCTACCGAGCTGGCATTTGATGTGGGACCGACGCTGTCTATCCGTGAATCGTAGAGTTCGGTCGTTTCGCGGCTGAGAAATAGGCCGGACATGGGGCAAGTCAGAGGGTGTAAAGAGGGGATTGTCGTCACAGGCGGGCGAATAGCCTTAAGTCAACGAGAACGGCCCGGCAGACTTTCTTGGCAAGAACGGCGTGGTCGAACATCCAGGCCTTGCATGCTGAAGTTGCAGCAATTTCATCCAGCCAGGGAGGAATTTGATGATGTTGCTGCCTGTGTTCCACGCGGAATACCACCGTCTCCATCAGGGGTCATCCCGTTCATGGAGACTTCGATGAGGCTGAAGACGTGTAGCTTTCTGTTTCGGTGGCATCAATTTCGTTTGAGTCGGATTCGTCTTCATCGATCTCAAGGCTGTTTTCACTCACATTACCCTCTTCGTCGTCTAATCCCTCCTCGCTGTCAGGGATACTCGCCGCGTCTTCGTCTGCCTTTTCATCAATTTGTGAGAGCACAGGACCAGAGCCAGGCAGCTCTGCCCAAGGTCCAGCAGTCTTGATTATACTAGCACATCGTAAGCACGGCCACCCTTCTCCCTCAGATAAGCGCAACTGACTCATGATACAGCCGTAGCAGTAAATGTCACCACAATCCGCCTGGTAGGGGTTGACGACGTCGGCATCCTCAAGCCCTTCATTGTAACAGATGGCGCATACTTTTTGCGGCAAGAAGCTCAAAGATTGACTTTCTGTGCGTGGTAGGTAGCTTGTCAGCTTTTGCTTCAAGCGAGGCAAGTTGATGAGCGGCAGAAAGACGAGCAGGAATTCTGTGAATTGAGACCAGACAAGCTGACGATTGAGAAACTCAAATGAAACGGCCCTGTATGCGGCCGACTTGGGCTTGAGCTGCACTTTTAGGATGCGATGGAGGAGCGAGTCATACCGCGCACCAGCGATGTAGGAGACAAAGTTGAGCAATGCGCACAGCTCATACGCAGCTTCAAGTTGCGAGACAATCTTACGCCAGCGGCCATTCAGCTCTCCTCCAATCCTTTCCTGAAGCCATGGGCCAAAGATGGTGATTGCACCGAGGACAAGCTTTTTGTTTCGAGTCAGGTTCAGGTAGCGCAAGGATTGCATTTCGGAGCCGTATGTGGCTCCATGGTCCCAGATCCCAATTTTCCATATAAGAGCCCGTAGAGCGGTCTTGAAGACTGTATTATAGCGATCCTTTGATGGGAATAAGCTTGTGGCAGATTCGACATTGAGTGCTAGCAAGGAGAATAGCTCTTGATCGAGCAGCTGTGAGTCGAGTTGATTGACCCGCATCGTGATGAATATGTCAGATGAATGAGCAGAGTATAGCGGACTGCTAGCTTGATAGCTGCTATGGTTGATCGAAGACACTGTCTGTCTTGTGCTCTCGAGCTTGCCACAGCGTGCCAGGCTGCCAGCTGCAGACGCGTGGGTGCGGAGTTCGGCTATTTATCACTTCCACGCAGCTGAGCTGGGCACCTTGAGCTTGACCTATGCCTCCATCTACGTCCCGGCGGAGACCTGCTCTATAACGTCCAGTTGCATTGTTACGGAGATCTAGACTCTCTATGTCGCTCTCTCAAGTCTTCCAAAAGCTAGAAGCTGCACAGGCTCAACGCCTAGAAGTTGCTGCAGGCCACACTTCAACCTTCAGCTACAGAGATGCTCAGACTCGTCTCGCGAGGCACAAGAACCGCTATTCAGACATTGTACCGTTTGATCGGAACCGTATCAAACTGAGGGATGCGCCTAGTGAGCAGCATGCCGCTGACGACTATATCAATGCGAGTCTCATTGAATGCACAAGCAAGCGCCGATATATCGCCTGCCAGGGACCGCTTGACCACACAGCTGCGGACTTTTGGCAGATGGTCTGGCAAGATTCGTCACTCATTGTAATGCTATGCGATGTCATGGAGAATGGTCGGCCAAAGTGTGCACGCTACTGGCCGGATGTGCTAGATCAAGTGGCAACTTTTGAGAGTACACGGGATAAGCCAAGGCGTTCCTTCACGGTCAAGTGTCTGGGGACTCACTATGATGCGCCTGCAGATACTCAAGTTACTCGGCTCAGGTTAAGTCACAATGGTCTACAGAAGTCGAAGAATGTCACCCATCTGCGCTTCTGTTCCTGGCCAGATTATGGCGTGGCTGATATTGAGAAGCTGAAGGCCTTGGTCAAGGTTGTAGAGGTCCATCGGCTGGAGCAGGTAGGGAAGGAGCTCCCCATTGTCCACTGCTCAGCAGGCTGCGGGCGGACTGGGACGTTCATTGCGATGAGCATCTTGCAGTTGGACGCTCCTGAAACGCCCGTGTCCGAGCTCGTTGACATGCTCCGTCGGCAGCGGATATCCATGGTTCAATCATACAGCCAGTTTGAGCTGCTACACCAATACCAAGCACTTTGCAAGGCACACAGATAGAACCCTTCAACCTCGTATGACTGCTCCTTTTCGCGGTGACGTCCTTGAAAGTTGAATGTTGAACACGTCTCATTGAACTCATTGAACTTGACGCGACGCGACACCTGAGCTTGTTCATAGACGCAGATACCTACATCAAGGCTATGCCGCGAGGCAGAAAACGTACGCAGTATGCTCTGTCCTGTCTACTGCTGACGACCAGTGGGATCTAGTAATAAGCCTGTACAGCGCGGCCAATTTGATCGCTAGAGCTCGTAAACTGACGGACTATAGAAGAATCCAGACACCATCAAGCCACGCAAACCATACACATCTACGAGACGGCGTACTGCTCCTCCGAGGGAGAAGGAGGCATTGCTAGAGCGACTCAAGAAGGAAGTCTCTGACTGTGCCATATCCATCATACCCTGTGACAATATCGACTCGTGGCTAGCCAACTATGCGCAACACGAAGGCAATGAGTATGAACGGTGTCCGAGGCATGAACATACCTACAACAGTACGCATCACCGTGTCGTGACGTATGGCTGCAATTATCAGACAGAGGTCAGACATCCTCCAGCGATTGGAGAGGAGCAAAGCAGAGAGGCATCTGTGGAGTTGGTGCAATGTGAGGCCATCCTCGACATCTACTTCTTCTACGAGAGCAACATCTACCAGATTGTCCGGCTTGGTGAGCACAACCACGAGCCAAAGAATACACCCGGGATGCAAGCGCTGCCGGGGTCCATCGATCCGCGTCAGACTGAGGAAGACGAGGAAGACCTTGACGAAACATCTGAGGACGGGTCAACTCAATTATAAGGCACTGCATTGCCCATGGCCGGTTATTTCTCCAGCGAATGCGTTTATTCTTCTCCATAGCATTGCGAGTCCTTGGTTCATGCAGTTGGCATGAGCCGTCTCAGCTTCTTCGTCTGATCCTTATTTGAGATGGCAGATCCGCGCAGTATTGACAGGCGGCCACTTGATTTTGTAAAGAGGCCATGCCGATGCCCGCTGTGTCCACGCTTAAAGGCCCCATTCGCGAGTGGTGCCCATCGTTTCTTTGTACCCTGCGAGTCAGTTCACGCACAACATAGTAGCAAGACCATACTGAGTGAGTCTTGATCCCCCGGAATGGCATCACAGCTGATCGGACAGCAGGCAAGACAGCCTGTATACTCCGCATACTAGGAAACATGTTGACTGAGATGTGTCGCGAGTCGCGACGGCAACTTTGGGCTCAGCAGATCTGCCCATAAATTCGGCGTGCAGATGATGACCGCCAGTACAAAACCACAACGACATGTCAATCTGTACAGAGCTATGCGCGCTGAGCTGTAGATAGTGAGCCTAAGCTGTGCGCGAATATGAGTCCGAGTCAAGGCAGCTTCACACTATGACAAGATGAAAATGAGTCATACAGGCTCAAACACAGCCCGCCATCTTTTGTGTGCAAATGACTCACCAGCACCGGCCATTTTGGTGACACAGAAAACATATAAGGAATCCAATGTCTGCCCTTTTGCCATTCTCTTCTTCCCTATAACCACACCTTCAAAAGATCTTGATCTTCTACTTTGCCTATTCCCACAAGATGAACGCACTGTCTGAGATTGCTGTTAACCACGGCCTGGCTCGCGAGGACTCACCCTCCTCTCGTCGCCAGAAGCTCTTTGATACCGAAGGTGCGACTGCTAAAGGCCCGGGAGGAGCTCCCCAAAACATGGATTCACGCCTGCAAAGCAAGGCCATCCCTACCTTTCCATTCTACCGTCTGGCGTCGCCATCTGCCTTCTCTATCTCTTCCATCGCCTCTATTCAACCTGTTCAAGAGGATGTCCTGCCTTTCACTTTCACTTCCAGTTCCACTTCCACTAGCCCTACTACTACCACTACCACCACTACTTCTACTTCCGCTTCCACTCACCTCCCCGTGACGCCATACAACACTGACTTCCTCGGCGACAGCATGCTCTCATTTTATTCCTTGGCAAGTGGCAACGATTCTGCTCCATTTCAGTCTGCGATCACGCTGGTCGAAGAGCCGTCTCGCCGTCGTTCATGGGCTGAGAGTTTCCTTTCCTTGTTCCATATGAACGAGAAGCTGCCTGTCGAGCCCGAAGCGATCGTGAGTCCATACAACGGTTTCTGGCGCTCAACGTCCACCGTCGCCATTGTCACTGCCTCAGAGGAAGCTGAAGATGCGGACAATGATGACGACGACCTATCTGTCTACAATGACGACTTCCTACTCTATAGCGATGTGGATGATTCCACCACGATGAATAGCATCTCGGCACTTCCTGCCCATACTCTACGCACTCGGCCTTGGGTTGATAGCTACCTGTCGCTTCTCCAGCTATGCGAGCCATGCGAGCCATGCGTAACCCAAAAACATAGCACTACCAATGCCGCATCCACACAACAGCCCAGTGGTCCTGCCTTCCGCCACCCCGTGCCAGTCTGGCTTGGCCAATACATTGCAGTAGCCCGCATAGCCCAGCCAGATGTTGCACTGGATGAATTGATTGAGCTGTACGAGGCATCCAAGTCTATGCTCGATGAAAATGGGCATCCACTCATGATGCTTCCCGCAGAAGCATTGCCCGAGCCCAAGTCGAAAAGACGTGCCTGGAGGAGGGCACTGCAAAAGGCGCTTAGAAAGGTCTGCGCCAAAGGTAAACAGAAAAAAGATAAAACCACCAATGAATGCGTAGCCATCGGAGCATGTTACACGAATCGCTCGATAGGCAAGGCTCCCATAGCTGCGTCTGGAGTCGAGCAGAAGCATGAGCTCGATCTCCACCAGCCCAAGAGACGGACGAAATTGGCTTGCAAACTCGTATCGCTCTTCACGAGCAAAGCCAACCGGTCGACAAAGGCTTGAGCGTCGCAAGCTCGGGAAGTATCGCTCTCCGAGTGCGGCGCAGAGTGGTGAGTCCGATTGTTCAGATCCGCAATGGTTGGCAGCTGAGTTAGAGAAGAGAATCCGGTGGGAGACACATTTGTTGTTCATCAGTGCTTGTTGCTTGTGCTTCCTGTTGCAATCATCGCTATTTTGTTTCTGGCGTTTGTTTTAGTGTGTTTGTGCGTAGACAGTGCGTAGAGTGCGTGATATGCAAGACTATTGATTTCCCCTGCCAGTCCTTGATGTCCTCTCTCGGTCTGTAGCGATTGTGGCGTGTCAGCATTGTAGTGTGAGCAGTGCGTAACAGATTGCATCATTGTCGAGAGCGTAGTTCTATCGTTTCCCAAGATGACAGATGATCTTTGATCAAAGCCTTTGGGAGCGGCGTGTCAGCATTGTACTGTGAGCAGTGCGTAACAGATTGCATCATTTTCAAGAACGTATCGATTTCCAAGATGACAGATGATATGTGATGGAAGCCCTTGGGACTAAGCCCTTTGCGGCAACACGTCCTGGGACGACAGAGAAGGAGACGCGCACACTTTTGGCAGAGCCTTGATGCTTACAACATTGACACCAAATCTAGAGCATGAATCGAGCCTTCGAATCACTGTCGGCAGAGCCTTTTCCATGCTTGAGAGGGAATTGACTTGTAGCCAGAAAAGAGCTTCAACAGCCACATGCTTGTCATTCTTTCGAAGCAAGGCTTTGCTTGGGAACCTTAACTCTGCGACAGCATGTAGAGACCGTGATCTGAGCTTTGAAATTACAGCTACTCGAGCAAGACATAGCGACAAATTCTCAAGCTGCTTCCTGCCCGAGCACTCGACCTCTTGCGCTGTATCGCAAATGCGTGCGCCGCCAGCTGCTCATGAAGAGCGATATGACTTTGCGTGTCAGTTTTGTTCGTTTTTTCAGCTTGGCAGGAATCTGCTTTATCTCCTCTTAATGCTCCTGCTTAAGCTCGAGCGGGCCATTCGTGAAAGACACTTTGTCTGATGCACGCGTATCTGATATCATCTCCTTCTGAGTGACTTTGGCGCAGACCTTGAGCCACTCAAGATGCTTCCAGCAGAAGCGTTGACGGAGCCCACGTCAAAAAGACGTGCCTGGAAGAGGGCATTGAAGAAGGCGGCCAGTAAGGTCTGCGTCAAGCTTACCCAGAAGAAGATGAGACCAAACACGTCTGCAGCAGACAGAGTGTCTTTTACGAACGGTCCGCTCGAGCTTGAGCAGGAGCAGGAGCATGAAGAAGAGGTAGAGCATAATCCTGCCAAGCTGAAGAAGGGGGAACGAACAAAACTGGCGCACAAAGTTGTATCGCTCTTTAAGAGCAAAGCCAAACGATCGTCAAACGCTTGAGCGTCGTGATACTGCTGGGATTTTCGTCCAGACTAGTGGCAGATGCTTTCATTGTGGTACAGTTGTTGCATCTTATTCCTGTTGCGAGCGAAGATGTTTTGTTTTTAGTGTGTTCATCATCGTGTTTTAGCGTAGACAGTGCGTAGATTGCAAGAATATTGTTGTAACCTGCCGATCCTTGATGTACTCTCTCGGTTTGTCGCGAACGTGGCGTATCGTCAGCATTGTGTATGAGCAGTGCTATACAGATTGCATCATTGTCAAGAGCGTATCAATTGCCAAGATGCCAGCTGATCTGTGATGAAAGCTCCTGGGGAGTAAGCTCTCTGCGGCAATACGTCTTGTGTTAATAGAAAAGGAGACGCGCAATTAACGCAAGGCTTGGCTCAAGAAGCCAACCTCAACTCTGCAATCGCATGTAGAGGCCGTGATCTGAGCTTTGAAGTTACAGCTATTCGAGCAAAAGATAGTGTCAGATCTCCAAGCTGCTTCTCACTCGAGCTCTTAGCCTCTTGCGCTGTATCGCAAATGCATGGGGCGCCAGCAGCTGTGTAGACACAAGTTTGTCATCATCTTCGCAGCGCTCTAAAGCGACGGCCATGCAAAGTCACAAAGTTTAACGTCCCATCAGTAGCCTGATCACTGTTGAGCCTTCTGAGAACCTTCAACAGCTGCGCACTCACTTCTGCGCATCTTTCTACAGCTGAAGTGGTGTCGGGGTCAGTCAGTATCTAGGATCTGCCCATAAATTCGGCGTGCAGATGATGACCGCCAGTACAAAACCACAACGACATGTCAATCTGTACAGAGCTATGCGCGCTGAGCTGTAGATAGTGAGCCTAAGCTGTGCGCGAATATGAGTCCGAGTCAAGGCAGCTTCACACTATGACAAGATGAAAATGAGTCATACAGGCTCAAACACAGCCCGCCATCTTTTGTGTGCAAATGACTCACCAGCACCGGCCATTTTGGTGACACAGAAAACATATAAGGAATCCAATGTCTGCCCTTTTGCCATTCTCTTCTTCCCTATAACCACACCTTCAAAAGATCTTGATCTTCTACTTTGCCTATTCCCACAAGATGAACGCACTGTCTGAGATTGCTGTTAACCACGGCCTGGCTCGCGAGGACTCACCCTCCTCTCGTCGCCAGAAGCTCTTTGATACCGAAGGTGGGACTGCTAAAGGCCCGGGAGGAGCTCCCCAAAACATGGATTCACGCCTGCAAAGCAAGGCCATCCCTAGCTTTCCCTTCTACCAACTGGCATCGCCATCTGCCTTCTCTATCTCTTCCATCGCCTCTGTTCAACCTGTTCAAGAGGATGTCCTGCCTTTCACTTTCACTTCCACTTCCACTTGCACTAGCCCTACTACTACCACTACCACTACTACTTCCACCTCCACTTCCTCTCACTTCCCCGTGACGCCATACAACTCCAACTTCCTTGGCGACAGCATGCTCTCGTTTTATTCCTTGGCAAGTGGCAACGATGCTACTCCATTCCAATCTGCCATCACGCTGGTTGAAGAGCCGTCTCGCCGTCGTTCGTGGGCCGAGAGTTTCCTTTCTTTGTTCCATATGAACGAGAAGCTGCCTGTCGAGCCTGAGGCGATTGCGAATCCTTACACCGGTTTCTGGCGCTCAAGGTCCACCATCGCCATCGTCAATGCCTCAGAGGAAGCTGAAGATGAGGACGATGATGACGACGACCTATCTGTCTACAATGACGACTTCCTACTCTATAGCGATGTGGAGACTACACCACGATGACTAGCATCTCGGCACTTCCTGCCCCTGCCCTTGCTCTACGCACTCGGCCTTGGGTTGACAGCTACCTGTCGCTTCTCCAGCCATGCGAGCTCAGCGCAAACTCAGAATATAGTACTACCCATACCGCAATCGCCCAACAGCCCAGTGGCCCTGAATTCCGCTACCCCGTGCCAGTCTGGCTTGGGCAATACATTGCAGTAGCCCGCATAGCCCAGCCAGATGTTGCGATTGACGAATTGATTGAGCTGTACGAGGCATCCAAGTTCATGCTCGATGCGAACGGAAATCCACTCAAGATGCTTCCAGCAGAAGCGTTGCCCGAGCCCAGTACCAAGAAGCGTGCCTGGAAGAGGGCATTGAAGAAGGCGGCCAGTAAGGTCTGCGCCAGACATCTTCAGAAGGAGATGATATCAGATACGTGTGCAGCAGAAAGAGTGCCTTTCACGAATGGCCCGCTCGAGCTTGAGCAGGAGCATGAAGGAGAGGTAGAGCAGCTTCCTGCTAAGCTGAAGAAACGAACAAAATTGATACGCAAAATCATATCGCTCTTCAAGAGCAAGGCAAAGCGAGCGACAGACGCTTGAGTGTAGCAAGCTCGAGAAGTAGGCAAAATTGCCATGTAAGGTCGTATCGCTCTCCAAGTGCAACGCAAAGGTGATGAGCCGGATCAATTAGGTGTTGTTGTTGGCAGCCGCGCTAGAGACAACTTCATGGGAAATACTTTTTTTGTGCTTCAAGTACTGCTGCTTGCTCGCACTTTCTGTTGCAATAGATGCTGTTTTGTTTCTGGCGTTTGATTTAGTGTTTTTGTGCGTAGACAGTGCGTAGATTGCAAGAATATTGTTGTGACCTGCCAGTTCTTGATGTACTCTCTCGAATTGACGCGAATGTGGCGTATTGTCAGCATTGTAGTATGAGCGGTGTGATACAAATTGCATCATTGTCAAGAGCGTATCGATGACCAAGATGACAGATGATCTTTGATGAAAGCTCCTGGAGAGAAAGCTCTCGCGGCAACACGTCCCGGGATAACAGAAAAGAAGCCAAGCCAAGCCAAGCCAACCTCAACTCTGCAATCGCATGTAGAGGCCGTGATCTGAGCTTTGGGTTACAGCTATTCGAGCAAAACATAGTATCAGATCTTCAGGCTGCTTCTCACTCGAGCTCTTAGCCTCTTGCGCTGTATTGCAAATGCGTACGGCGCCAGCAGCTGTGTAGACACAAGTTTGTCATTATCTTCGCAGCGCTCTAACGCGACAGCCATGCAAAGTCACAAAGCCTAACGTCCCTTCAGTAGCCTGATCATTTTTGAGCATTCTGAGGACCTTTAATAGCTGCGCACTCACTTCTGCGCATCTTTCTGCAGCTGAAGTGGTGTCGGGGTCAGTCAGTATCCAGATCTGCCCATAAATTCGGCGTGCAGATGATGACCGCGAGAACAAAACCACAACGACATGTCAATCTGTACAGAGCTATGCGCGCTGAGCTGTAGATAGTGGGCCTAAGCTGTGTGCGAATATGAGTCCGAGCAGTGAGACAATCTGTTTCGCACCGCTCATGCTACAATGCTGACACGCCACAATCACTACAGATCGAGAGAGTATATCAAGGGCTGGCAAGGGAAATCAATATTCTTGCACCCTAGGCCCTGTCTACGCATAAGCACACTATATCAAGCGCCAGAAACAAAACAGCAACCGTTGCAACAGAAAGCGCAAGCAATCAGCAGTACCTCAGCACAAAGAAAGTGTCCCCACTCGGGTTGTCTCTAGCGCGGCTGCCAAAAACAAGACCTGATCGACCAAAAACAAAACATGCACGCTCGCATTAGAAACAACATGCAAAATCTGAACCACAAAAAAAGCATCTCCCACCGGTCTGGATGGAATGTTCCAGCAGCCATTCCCATCTGAAGCTTCTGTTGGTCGCTTGGCTTTGCTCTTGAAGAGCGATGCGACTTTACGTGCCAGCCTTGTTCGCCTCTTAAGCTGGCTAGGATCGTGCTCATACTTCTGCTCAACCTTAGACACAGCTATGGGAGCCTTGTCCATCGAGCAGTTCGTGGAATATGCTCTGTCAATCTTTTTATGACTCAATTTGGCGCAGACCTTACTGGCCGCCCTGTTCAATGCCCTCAGAAGCGTTGCCCGAGCCCAAGTCAAAAAGACGTGCCTGGAGGAGGGCACTGCAGAAGGCGCTTAGAAAGGTCTGAGCCAAAGGTAATCAGAAACACAAGAACACCGACGAATGCGCAGACAACCGAACATATTACACGAATCGCTCGATAGGCAAGGCTCACTTAGCTCTGTCTGACATCGAGCAGAAGCATGAGCACAATCCTAACCAGCCCAAGAGACGGACGAAATTGGCACGCAAACTCGTATCGCTCTTTACGAGCAAAGCCAACCGATCGACAAAGGCTTGAGCGTCGCAAGCGCGGGAAGTATCGCTCTCCAGGTGCGGCGCAGAGTGGTGAGTCCGGTTATTCAGATCCGCAATGGTTGGCAGCTGAATTAGAGAAGAAAATGCGGTGGGAGACACATTCGTTGTTCATCAGTGCTTGTTGCTTGTACTTCCTGTTGCAATCATCGCTATTTTGTTTCTGGCGTTTGTTTTAGTGTGTTTGTGCGTAGACAGTGCGTAGAGTGCTTGTGATGCAAGATTATAGACTTCCCCTGCCAGTCCTTGATGTCTCTCGATCTGTAGCGATTGTGGCGTGTCGGCATCGTAGTGTGAGCAGTGCGAAACAGATTGCATCATTGTCAAGAGCGTAATTCTATCGTTTCCCAAGATGACAGATGATCTTTGATGAAAGCTCCTGGAGAGAAAGCCCTCTGCGGCAACACGTCCTGGGGTAACAGAAAAGAAGCCAAGCCAAGCCAAGCCAAGCCAAGCCAAGCCAAGCCAAGCCAAGCCAAGCCAAGCCAAGCCAAGCCAAGCCAAGCCAAGCCAAGCCAAGCCAAGCCAAGCCAAGCCAAGCCAAGCCAAGCCAAGCCAACCTCAACTCTGCAATCGCATGTAAAGGCCGTGATCTGAGCTTTGGAGTTACAGCTATTCGAGCAAACCATAGTATCAGATCTTCAGGCTGCTTCTCACTCGAGCTCTTAGCCTCTTGCGCTGCTGTATCGCAAATGCGTGCGGCGCCAGCATCTGTATAGACACAAGTTGGTCATCATCTTCACAGCGCCCTAACGTGACGGCCATGCAAAGGTTGACATCCCTTCAGAAACCTGGAAACTGACCACTTCTGAGCCTTCTGAGAACCTTCAATAGCTGCGCACTTACTGCTGCGCATCTTTCTGCAGCTGAAGTGGTGTCGGGGTCAGTCAGTATCCAGATCTGCCCATAAATTCGGCGTGCAGACGACGACCGCGAGTAGAACTACAAAACCACAACGACATGTCAATCTGTACAGAGCTATGCGCGCTGAGCTGTAGATAGTGAGCCTAAGCTGTGCGCAAGTATGAGTCCTAGTCAAGGCAGCTTCACACTATGACAAGATGAAAATGAGTCATACAGGCTCAAACACAGCCCGCCATCTTTTGTGTGCAAATGACTCACCAGCACCGGCCATTCTGGTGACACAGAAAACATATAAGGAACCCAATGTCTGCCCGTTTCCCATTTCCTTCTTCCCTATAACCACACCTTCAAAAGATCTTGATCTTCTACTTTGCCTATTCCCACAAGATGAACGCACTGTCTGAGATTGCTGTTAACCACGGCCTGGCTCGCGAGGACTCACCCTCCTCTCGTCGCCAGAAGCTCTTTGATACCGAAGGTGGGACTGCTAAAGGCCCGGGAGGAGCTCCCCAAAACATGGATTCACGCCTGCAAAGCAAGGCCATCCCTACCTTTCCATTCTACCAACTGGCATCGCCATCTGCCTTCTCTATCTCTTCCATCGCCTCTGTTCAACCTGTTCAAGAGGATTTCCTGCCTTTCACCTCCACTACCACTACCACTTCTACTTCCGCTTTTACTCACTTTCCCGTGACGCCATACAACTCCAATTTTCTTGGTGACAGCATGCTCTCGTTTTATTCCTTGGCAAGTGGCAACGAATCTGCTCCATTTCAGTCTGCCATCACGCTGGTCGAAGAGCCAACTCGTCGTCGTTCGTGGGCTGAGAGCTTCCTTTCCTTGTTCCATATGAACGAGAAGCTGCCTGTCGAGCCTGAGGCGATCGTAAATCCTTACAACGGTTTCTGGCGCTCAACGTCCACCATAGCCATTGTCAATGCCTCAGAGGAAGCTGAAGATGAGGACGATGATGACGACGACCTATCTGTCTACAATGACGACTTCCTACTCTATAGCGATGTGGATGACTACACCACGATGACTAGCATCTCGGCACTTCCTGCCCCTGCCCTTGCTCTACGCACTCGGCCTTGGGTTGACAGCTACCTGTCGCTTCTCCAGCCATGCGAGCTCAGCGCAAACTCAGAATATAGTACTACCCATACCGCAATCGCCCAACAGCCCAGTGGCCCTGAATTCCGCTACCCCGTGCCAGTCTGGCTTGGGCAATACATTGCAGTAGCCCGCATAGCCAAGCCAGATGTTGCGATTGACGAATTGATTGAGCTGTACGAGGCATCCAAGTTCATGCTCGATGCGAACGGAGATCCACTCAAGATGCTTCCAGCAGAAGCGTTGCCCGAGCCCAGTTCCAAGAAGCGTGCCTGGAAGAGGGCATTGAAGAAGGCGGCCAGCAAGGTCTGCGCCAAATTCAAACAAACAACGATGGAGGCAAATAGATGCGCAGCAGACAGAGTGTCGGTCACGAATGGCCCGCTCGAGCAGGAGCAGGAACAGGAAGAAGAGGCAGAGCAGAAAGCTGCCAAGCTGAGAAGACGAACAAATTTAGCTCGCAAAGTTGTATCGCTCTTTAAGAGCAGAACCATCCGATCGACAAAGGCTTGAGCGTCGCAAGCTCGGGAACGCGGCAAATTTGCCAAGCACAGTCGTATCGCTCTCTGAGTGCAGCGCAGAGTGGTGAGTCCGATTGTTCAGTTCGTAATGGTTGGCAGCTGCGTTAGAGAAGAAAATCCGGTGGGAGACACATTCGTTGTTTATCAGTGCTTGTTGCTTGTGCTTCCTGTTGCAATCATCGCTATTTTGTTTCTGGCGTTTGTTTTAGTGTGTTTGTGCGTAGACAGTGCGTAGAGTGCGTGATATGCAAGACTATTGATTTCCCCTGCCAGTCCTTGATGTCCTCTCTCGATCTGTAGCGGTTTCAGCAGCCATTCCCATCTCAAGCTTCTGTTGGTCGCTTGGTTTTGCTCTTGAAGAGCGATGCGACTTTACGTGCTAGCCTTGTTCGCCTCTTGAGCTGGCTAGTATCGTCCTCATGCTTCTGCTCATCCTCAGACACAGCTATGGCAGCCTTTTCCACCTGGGCTCGGGCAACGCTTCTGAGGGCATTGAACAGGGCGGCCAGTAAGATCTGCACGAAACTTGGTCATCTAAAAAAGGACAGAGCAAATTCCACGAACTGCTCGGTGGACAAGGCTGCCATAGCTGTGTCTGAGGTTGAGCAGAAGTATGAGCACGATCCTAGCCAGCTCAAGAGGCGAACAAAAGTAGCACGTAAAGTCGCATCTCTCTTCAAGAGCAGAGCTAAGCGATCAACAGAAGCTTGAGATGGAAATGGCTGCTGGAACATTCCGTCCAGACCGGTGGGGGATGCCTTTTTTGTGGTTCAGTTGTTGCATGTGGTTCCTAATGCGAGCGTGCATGTTTTGTTTCCGGCGTTTTCATTATCGTGTTTTAGCGGAGACAGTGCGTAGACTGCAAAGATGTTGATTGGACTAGCCATTCCCGGACGTGTTCTCTCGCGGTTTTCATGGTGTGCGGACCGTGACTAGCGTGCATCGCCAGCGCTTTAGGCCAAGCAGTACAAAGACGATAACGTCACATTCAAGAACGTGATCACTTGCAAGACGGTAGAAAGCTGAGCACATCCTCTGCTAGTTTGCTGTAGCAGAACTGCTCGACAATACCTTCTCGAGCCGTTGGGTTGCCTCATATATGCGTGCCGCGCAGTCATCGATGCACAGCTGTGGCAAGACAATCGAACACGGCATATCTTCATGAGCCTGACTACCTTTGAGCCTTCTGAGTCCCTTCAACAGCTGCGCACTTACTTCTGCGCACCATTCTGCAGCTGAAGTGGTGTCGGGTAAGTGCGAAGGAACCTTTGGTTTTGGCAAGGCAAAAGGCTGAATATGTGGACAGAAGATATATTTAATGGTCAGCATTGCCAATATTAAAGGATGTCTCCCAGTGGAGGGTCTGCTGCCCATCTACGAATCAAGTCGTCTCGAAACGCGACTTCTTAGGGTACATGGCGACTCCTGCCCGACAAAGATTCTTCCTAGTTAGAAGAGCTCATATCAAAGAATACTTGACAGATACTGCTACGAGAATCACTTTGTAGTCATAAATTTGATCAGACTGCTGCAGTACCCGACAAGGTCACTGAGTCTTGTCCGCTCGCTCTCATGAGCCTTCTGCCACCTCACAAGCACCAGCTCCAGTCGCTCCTCGCTCGCAATATTCTCGGCAATCACGTCGCCGTGCACCTTGAGGAACGTGCCCATCCAAGCCTGAACAAGCTCATAGTCGCGTCGTTGCTCGAGACGCCACGTCATAGCTTCCACAAAGCAGCAAAATTCTGCGAGATGATTGTCCATGGAGAGAGATCTGAGCTCGAGGTCGATCGACGATGGGCCGAGCTGCTTGAAATGCGTGAAGAGAGTCTGATAATCGGATGATTCGCTTCCTTCGGCAAGCAACGTAGACACACGCGACTCGCTGAATGCTGCATGTCCAAGTCGCGCCAGGTGTCGTGAGCTGTCCTCTTCCCCTGCCTGGTTTGCAACGAGCCCTTCTCCTCTGTTGAGATCGCGCAGAGTACCTAGGTCAAATGGTAGACGCTCGGGTTGTTTCGGAGCTTCTTTGGGTTTATTGCGCTGCTTGATGAGATCCAAGTTGAGAAGATTCTGCCACTTTGACTTTGGCAGCATACTCAGGGTCAGCAGCTCCGAGGAAAGCTGGTCAACGGTCGTAAAGGTTCCATCGAGCGCAACGTCATTGTCTTGTTGCTTAGTCTGGAGTGCCACCTCGAGAATACCCTGACCACCATGACCGGATGCAAGCGGCACCTCGATGCGCTGAATTTCATCCTCACCCACATGCCTTGTTGATATAGCAGTAAATTGTGCCTTATTCGTCCACAGATGTATGCCAACGGAATTGACATGCGTCGTTGCCAAATACTCTCCCATGGGACTAAATGCAACACAGGTGCACACGGCATCTGTTCGAATAGCATCAATGGTGTGACCAGTCGGAAGATCCCATGTGCGAATAGTCGAGTCGAGTGCAGCCGTGACGAGCCAGCGTCCATCATCACTAAAGGCCATGGACGAGATTCTATTTTGATGACCCCAAAGCTCACGCACCACTTTCTTGGTCTCCACGTCGAGGATGCGAATGCAAAAGTCATCGCATGACAGTGCCACCAAGTCGGATGACTTATGTGCTTGAAGGCTCGTGAAACCAACGCCAATCACGAGAGTGTCTAGCAACGTTGCTTTGTGGAAGTCCCAGAACTTGACTGTGCCATCGAGCGACACCGAAAGCAGTGTTTGATTGAGTGCATCGGAGAGCAAGCCGGAGATGGCCTTAGTGTGAGGTGCGTCCGCAGATTTGTACGACTTCCTGTGTAGACCAGACTGCATATTATACGCATCGATACCGCCCATGTTTGATCCCACTAAGCCAAAGTTGCCGCACTGAGAAAGCGCAACAGCCTTGACGGCCGCTTTGTCGGCTGTCTTGAGCAAGAAACTGCCGAGCCTGCGTTTCTGCCAATGCCAAGATCGTGCAGCGGCGTCATTCTTATGCGCAGTCAAGACATTGTCCCAGTCTTTTTCACGCGTTGATTGAGACGCCATGGCAATGATTTCTGGGAGTTTCAGATCATCCACCCGCGCGTGTGTTTTATTGGCAAGGGACTGTACAGCGCCCTGAGACAATTCAGCTGTTTGTGCATCGCTGTAAAGACTGAAGCCACGCAGTGACCGATCTCGTGAGGCAGACAGTAGGAAATGCGAAGTTTCGCCATAGAATTGTATAGCTGTGGGTGGAGCATGATGACCAGAGCGCTCTCGAAGGATGCGTGGCACGCCATCCAGAGACTCAAAGATCCATTGTCGAAGGGCATTGTCAGCGCCTGCGGTTGCGAGAATTGGCTGACCATTGAGGAACTGCATAGATGTGATGGCAGCGCCATGCGCCATCCGTTGAACATGCTGAATTCTGCCCTTCTCAAGATTCCACAAGGCAATGGAACCCTCAGTGTTGGCAGTCGCCATTATTTGCTTGCCATCTGTGCGAAACGAAATGGCAGAGACTCGCCCTTCTTGCTTCAGTCGCATCAAGGTTTCATTTGCTCGAATGTGGTGCAAGATGACTGTGCCATCCAGCAATCCAAGTGCAATCACATCGATGACCGGCGAGCTGGCTAGACATGTGATCTGCTCGCCAAAGGAGTCACCCTGAAAGACCAACTTGGCCGTCCTGATGTTCCATAGCTGCAAGACACCATCTGAATTTGCAACCACGATCTTATTGAGGTATGTTGGCGGATGCAGCAGGGCCGTGACAGTGACGTCCTGACGCAGTTGGATTTGGGTATGAAGCTCTTGTGACTCGCTGTTGTATACCATCAATTGGCTGTCGCGTGTCGCACAGCAAATATAGTTGCCAAAAGTCGTGATGTGGTCGATGAAGGCACCGTCGCTCTCGCCTATCCGCCAGAGCTCTTTGCCTCTCTTGTATGCAATTACTTGAGAGCCACATGCAGCGTAAATAAGGTCACCATTAGAAGCAATCGCCGTGATTGGATGATCTGCTTGCTGGCCCACGAAGAGCAAGTTCAGGCGTGCACACTACCAGTCAGCATTCTCCACGAACAAAATCTCTCTTACATCATAAGTCTGTATGGCTCTGCCAATGCAACTTGTCAGCAGGAATTGCTTGCCACGAACTTGAATATCAAAGGGCACATGATTCGCGACATGGCCAATGGCCCTGTATGGCGTGAATATTCTGGATGCAGAGGCCTGCTTCTTGCTGTTGTCGCGCAATTGCCTGCGCGCCCGCTTCCTGCTCTGAGTTACTAGGGCCTCTGCCTCTACACTCATCCTGTATGCTTCCTGCACTGCTACAGCTCTTGTCGCTCTTCTCTTGTCGCCCAAAAGAATAAAAATCTTTGTCCGGAAATTTGGAGCGTGCGAGTCAGGAAAGAATTTGGGCGACACGAACAAGCTGCTGGCGACATCATTGCACAAGCTGTACTGCTAGAGGGCCCTGGTGTCGGGGAGAAATGAGAGTACTGGCGTCCAGATGTGCTCAGTGTCAAGCTACGTTGGGCAGCGTCAGAAGATGCTACTCGTCAGACATCACAGTCAGCGGTCGGAAGGCTGCAGTGCCTTCCAAATGGGCTCGACCAGCGTCTATGCGGCCTGTCAGTCCTCCACGACCGCTGCGGAGCTTTGATCGTGCCGCAGAAGGTATGTCGAGAGAGGGGAGTAGAGACACACGGCCTCCCGTAAGAAGAGAGCTTCCAAGAGTGATGAATGCTCAGCCCAGGGCTTACGAGAGGCACCCTGAGGCGCATCGTGATCAACAGCAACGGCGTGGACCTCTTCCCAGTGAGCAGTGGACTCAACAGCCACGAAGGCCCCCTGGGGTAGATGGACAACGAGACGTGCCGCAGAGAGCTTCAAATGGGCCGCCTCCCACACGGCAAGGAACCGCAACGCGATTCCCAGTTCGAGCAACAGGCAATGCGCCTGTCAGAAATGCAGAAGAACAAAAGAAGTGGGAGCTGAAGCGTAGTATGGATCGCGAGAAGCATGCTCGCAAGCTGCAGGCACAGCAGGCTCCCACACCAGGCCAGGAAGTCTATCGCAAACGCCCGAGATCAGCACACCTGCAGCAAGTCAAGAGTCAGCTGTACTTGCCGCCAAGTATTTCCGTGACGAACTTCTCAAAGCTTCTCAATGTACGATTGGTTGAGCTACAACAAAAGATGGAGGAAGCTGGCTTCGTCCACACTGCCCCTGATTACACATTGACTGCCGAAGATGCATCATTGATTGCAGGCGAATTCAACTTTGATGCAGTTGTGGATGATACCAATGCCTTTGATCTCTATGCACGGCCACTCCCTGCTGACATGTCTGCTCTGCCGCTTCGTGCCCCACTCATCACAATCATGGGCCACGTCGACCATGGCAAAACCACTCTGCTAGATACCTTAAGAAAATCATCTGTGGCGGCAAAAGAGGCAGGTGGCATTACGCAGCACATTGGAGCATTTTCCGTCAAGCTACCAGGCGGAGACAAGCAAATCACCTTTCTTGATACCCCTGGTCATGCTGCCTTTGAGTCTATGCGTCAACGCGGAGCCAGTGTCACGGATATCGTTGTGCTCGTCGTTGCGGCGGACGATTCAGTCATGCCACAAACGAAAGAAGCCATCAAGCATGCGCATAGCGCAGGCGTTGCAATGATTGTCGCCGTCAACAAAATAGACAAACCCGATGCGAATGCAGAAAAAGTCAAACGCGACCTTCTAGCTCATGGCGTCGAGGTGGAAGACTTTGGTGGGGAAGTACAGGCTGTTGCAGTCTCTGGCTTGACGGGCAAAGGTCTCGATGACTTGGAATCGGCCATCGTTTCGCAGGCAGAAATCATGGATATTCGAGCAGACCCACAGGGAACGCCTGAAGGCTGGGTCATTGAGTCTAGTGTCAAACGAGGTCGTGGCGCTGTTGCTTCCCTGATTGTTCGTTGTGGTACCCTCAAGCAAGGTTCTCTCATTGTGGCAGGGTCGACCTGGTGTCGTGTACGCGCCATGAGCGATGAAGCAGGTACGCAACTCAAGGAAGCCTTGCCTGGTACTCCTGTCGAAGTGACTGGTTGGTCGACATTACCAGCCGCAGGTGATGAAGTTCTGGGGGCGTCAAGCGAGAAGGAGGCCAAGCAAGTTGTGGCAAATCGCTTGCTTAGACAAGAGCAGCTACAGCAACTCAAGGATATCGAGGCCATCAACGAAAAGCGATTGAAAGAACGTGAGGAAGCTTTGAAAGCCGCACAAGCCGAGTCTGCAAACAATGAATCCACGCCACCTACAGAAACCGCTACGGATAGCAAGAAATCGCGCATCGAAGTGCCACTCATCATCAAGGCTGATGTGTCCGGCTCTGTAGAAGCCATCTATGATTCAATTGCTTTCATTGGCAACGATGAAGTGGCAACCAAAATTGTCGATAAGCAAGTCGGCGAAGTGTCGGAGTCTGATATTTTGCGCGCTGCGGCCTCTGGAGGCAAAATAGTGGCCTTCAATGTAGCGGTTGACAGGAAGACTGAGGCTCTCGCAGCTCGACAAGGCGTTGAGATCCTAAAAGAGCGTGTCATTTACAGACTCATTGATGCTGTTCGAGACAAGTTGGCTGAGCACTTGAAACCAATCGAACAGCAGCGCGTTGTGGGTGAAGCTGAGGTGCTCAAACTATTCCAGATCACGACAAAGGGACGGGAAACCACAACTGTTGCTGGTTGTCGCATTACGAACGGAACGCTCGAAAAGGCACGCAAATTTAGAATCTTGCGCAAGAAGGCTACTATCTGGGAAGGTCAGCTCAAGATGCTGAAGCACGTCAAGCAGGAAGTCGCCACGCTCGGCAAAGGCAACGAATGTGGTTTACAATTCGAGGCGTTTGAAGCACTCGAGGCTGGCGATGCTATTCAGTGCTACTCTGTTGATTTCATCAAGCGTACGTTGTAGGCTAATATATTTGATGCCAATCTATGGATCAAGCACATCATCTCTGAAGCCCTTGTTCCAATCAAGACGCATCATCAAGCTCAACAAACTGATTGTTTCCGTGCCGGCATAGTAATTCAAGGTGTCGAGAAGAACTTTAAGGGTGCGTTCAAAGTGTTGCTCATAATTGGACAACTTTTCGTCCATCGTCGCTAGATGCGCCTCATCGATCTTGCCGTACACTGGATGAAGTGTCTCCTTACGCGATTTCTGCTTGGCAGTGGTCGCGTGCGCATGATCACGCGACTCACCTTTGAGTGCAGAGTCTGCCTGCTCCAGGTGTTTTGAGAGCAAAACAATGTAGCTTGCAAAAGCTAGGCATGTCTTGAGCAACTTGGCATACACCTTCAAGAGCCTCTGATTTGTCAACATGCATTCTTTGAGACACGTATCCAGAAAATCAACGTGATCCTGCATCACGGCATCGACTGTATCGACATGTGAGAGCTTCGTCATGAATTGTGTAAAGCGCGGCTCAATCACCTCGGCAGTGCAATAGTAGCTGATCTGCGTCGTGAAGCCAAGCATGCGCGCTCGCAGCGTCCAGACGCGTTTCTTCCATCGCTCAACTTTGAGTGATGTGCTTCTGGCGCGCCATGCATGAGTCTTCGAGCATTCAATCCAGCTGAGATTGAGGGTGTCCTCAGTGTGACGAAGCGAATACAAGTGTCGAAACAGTAGCTGGTAGCGGAAAATTGCCTTGCGAGAAATCACCAAGGAGATTGGGAAAGGCACCTTGACGTCCAGCTGCAGGCCTTGGAAGCCAGATATTGCTTTTTTGCTAGAGTCGTCCTTGTCAAGGGCAGAGACTGGCTCGGAGAATGCACCAGTCAAGAGTGCATCCTCGCCAAGACCTTGAGTATTGTTAATGTCCATGAGCAAATCATGCAGCAAGTCATTCGACAAGGTCACTCGAATATCGTCCTTGAACTTGTCGTGATTGGTTATGGTACCGGGTAAACTGGCGCTCACATCCAGCAAGCTTTGCAGCTTGTCTAAAGCCACCTGTTTTGTAAATTTGGCCAACTCTGGTGCAGCGTGAACGGAAAATCCGGTGAAGAAGTCTGCCTGGGAAAGGAAGAAGAAGTGCTTCATGCTCGCTAGTCGAGGTTGCAATTCGTGCTTGTTGAGCAGTAAAGCCAGTAGCGTGCTGTTTGCAGTGGTGTATGCCTTTTCGATATTATCAAAGAAGCCATTGTCTTCAAAGGAGCTGGGCAATGCGGTACCAATCATTGCGCTGCGCACATCGACATTACTGCATTCACGGACGACATTGAGATACTTGCCAGCAAGCAAAATCTTTTCCTTGACATCTTGTAGTTGCGGCGGGCTGTCATCCTTTCTCATTGTATAGCGCTTCTCCCAGTACTCGCTCGTAAAATCTTCCTCCAGCTTCTCTTTGCGAAAGGTGGACTGTTCCTTGATGAGAAATTCGTCGTGTTCATCCGCAATCAAGCCTTGGTGTATCCAAAGATTGAGCATCGTTGTATAAGGCACAGAGGCGTCCATCAGTAGCTTTTTGAGCACTTCTCTCGACAATGGATCTCCAGAGAGCATGCGCAGCCTTGTTGTCAAGAGCTGCAATACAGCACCGCCTTTGATAATCTTTGGCGTCTTTGACAATGGACCAAAAGCCGTGCCCATTTGAAGTTGATTCAGAATATCTTGCATGTTTTCCTCTCCATACTCGTCAATGGGCGCATCCGTGTCTGTGCTCTTAGGTGCGAAATCTTGAATTAGGTCAAACAACACTTGCAGTGTTTGTGCCATGGGTCTAGCATGCAAGGCAAGGGAGTGTAATGAGAATGCTGGCGCGGAGGCGTTTTCATTCTCAAGTTGAGCAACCAGCACCAGATAATCGTCCGTGTGATTGCGAATGGACGCTGTGAGTGCATGATTGATTGTGCCGTATTCAGTTTGTGCGTGCCTGTCAGTGAAATTGGTCACGGCAATGTAGTGCTGCGCCATTGTCAACACTTCCTCTGTCACGTCGCGGAGGGAAGGATCGAGGTCAGCGTTGATGATGTACCGAGGAGATGTTGTCTCGTTTGCTTGTTTACTAGATCCCAGGCTGACATAGGAACCCGCGGATCCGAGCAGAACATAGAGAAGATCTTCTAGAATGGCACGTTCTTGTTCCTCGATCGACAAGGATGACAGTGCCGGATGGTCCGCAATGGCATTGTAATTGCTTGTGCTTGCACACGAGGCGTACGGCGAAGCATCCAGACGTGCGATTGAGATGGTGGGATACGTCACTAGCAGGTCAGCATGAGCACACGCAAATGACGCCCTACCTTCGACCTCTCTGATGGCGACACGGGCTCCATCGACTGATTCGGGACTCGGGGTACGCGCTGCACGCTTGCGTATGGTAGACCTTGCAGTGCCATCTGATTTCTCGGTGCGTTCGCGCCGCGTCTTGTCGTCAGTCGCTCGAGTATCTTGATCTTTTGTCAGCCTTACACGCTCATAAGTTCTACCGGAGACAGATGAGGCTGTATCGCGCGCCCGCCGCTCCCTGGCTGGTCGCTCTGCTGCACCATCTGCAAGAGGAACCATGGGGCCGTCTAATTGAGCAGATAACCTAGCACTGGACCTTGCACTGGCTCCGCTTGCCACTCTATCAACTGCCCTCCTTTCCATTGATGAGCGCGACATGGGCCTCACTGACCCGGGCCGTCCGCTAGAGACCGCAGGACCTGTTTCTAGGTTTGTTGTTCTTGTTACCTTTCTGGTCGCTTTCTTTTCGCGTCGTTGCCTGCACGTGTCTGAGATCTCGAAAGACCCCGCAATCAGGCCTAGGACGCATCAGCTATTGACTCTTGTACAGGACTTGAAAGCAAAGGGCCACCTCTATCAGACTGCTCAATACCGTCCATGATCGACCCAAAGCAATTCCCGTTCAAGTCAGCCAATTTGGCCGGCGTCCAGTACGGATATGTGGACTTGCCTGCAAAGGGCAAGCAAATCGATACCTGTGTGCTTGTTCATGGCTGGCCCGACTCCTGGTATGGCTGGAGGCATCAGATGCTGGCTCTCTCAGAAGCTGGCTATCGCTGCTTGTGCATCAGTCAAGTTGGATTTGGAGCAGGCACAGAGAATCCAACTGATTTGAAGCAGTACACCTTCAAGGCTGTTGCCGGCCACCTCTCGGCGCTCCTCACAATCAACAAGATTCGCCGTGCCGTCTTCATTGGGCATGACTGGGGCGGCATGGTTGCTTGGCGCATGTACAACTATTTTCCGAAGCAAGTCTCTGCACTGATGGTCATCTCCACACCCTACTACCCACCAGCAAAAGGCGCGTTTGTCAGTCTTGAAGGTCAGGCAAAGGCACTCAAGCAGTTTGCGTACCAAATCTATCTGGCTTCTGATCAGCCAGCCAAAGATATCAAGACGCGTGCTGATTTTGTCAAGTTCTTCAATGCTGTGTATGCGCCTGGCAAGGGCATGAACACTGACTTTATGAGACTTGCAAAGATGGACAGCTACCCGGAAACAAGCATGGTTCCACAGGATGAATTTGCAGTCATGGTTGATCAGTACTATAAAAATGGCATCACACCATCAACTGGTTGGTACAAGACCCGCAGGCTCAATTACGATGACGATGTCAATGACTTCAAGGGCATTGAGCCGAAAGTGGAAGTCCCGACGTTGTTCTTTGCAACTGCTCTGGACCCTGTGCTCAAGCCTGAGCTATCTATTGGTATGGAGAAGCATATCCCTAGGCTGACACGCAAGGTTATCCAGACCGGACACTTTGGTCAGGTTGAGAAGCCAGACGAGGTGAATCGTGAAATGCTGGAGTTCTTGAAGCGGCTTGAGTTTGAAAAGATGAGGCACTCCATCTGACCTGTTCCAGGGGAGCTTTCGACTCGAAGCGTTCCGTGGATTTCTTGAAACTGCAGACGTTTATGACTATGGCCTATAGTTGACTGTATCTCATAGCTATTTAAGAAGCCTACGAGAGCCATGTATCTTGGCGTTAATGACCGAGTTGCCGGGGTCGACATACCCTGCTGTGACTGCTCTAGACTTGTGGACGACTGAGGGATCTCGGGAAGCCGCAGAATCGAAGGTGGTGTTGCAATTAAGAAGCCAGTCGAGGACTGTGACAGAAACTCTGAGTAATTGAGAGAATAGAAGGGGCTGAGGTTGAGCCCAAATGGGCCAGCATTTGGACTTGTCCGATGTAAAGATTGAAATTGTTGCTTGCAAAGAAGCTGTTGAGACAACTGACTGGTGTATTGGATTTCCACGCTCCCGTCCATCTTGATCTTGTCATGTAGAGCATGTCAGCCTACAATTTGTCTCAAGCTGAGATGAGATATTGTTCAGCAGTACATTCTACTTCAGACACGGAGCCACCATGCATAGATTGCCAGACGTACAGGCTCAGGTGATTCAGACCTCAACAACCATTGGTAAGTTTGTCTTGTTCGCATCTCCATTTTCAGGAGCCCAAGCTCACGCCTGCGTTGACGCAAGGAAGCGTGAGTGTTGACGTCAGTCAATGGTGGTCTTGAATGTAGATGAATAGAAGTCTCTTGAAAAACAGATGTGTGGCTTTTGTAAGGCTTCCAATGAAGAAGCTTGTTCGTCTCAAGCGGTCTGGCTTAACAGAGCATACTCTTCCTTTGCCAAGGATGCAAGCGAGGCAAACTGTGGATCAGTGCTTTTGTAGTTGAGCAAACACATAAAGTCATTCGAGAGCCTGCCGCCGCTATGCGCCACTTGGAATTGTGATTCTTCTGCTTTGTATAGGCGAAGAAGGAGGTCCCGCATCTTGGCACCTGAGCATACGATGAATCTGCAGTCTGGTTTTCCGAGCCATCGCGCTGTAGAGGCAGCCTTAATCTCACAGTCATCCTGCAAGAAGGGCGGATCAATGATGAGTCTATCGAATGTGCCCTTGAGTGCAGGTGGGAGTTGGAAGGGATGTTTGTAGTCGTACTTGACAAACTTGTCGTGTGCCAAGAGTTCAAAGCGGGTGTCATACTCAAAGAGCCACGCGTCTTGTGCGTTACGCTTGAGGAGGTCTGGGTAGACACTCGGAGCACAGAGGACGCCTACCCGTGGCTGCGAAGATGCAGTCTTGTCGATGCCAGCCAGGAGTTCACCTGCCAGTGCATCTGCAGTCTCGGGTGAATACCAGAATTGTGAGAGTTGCCAGTCCTCCTTGAAATCATGTATGCTTGGGAGTACAGCTTCTTCTGGCGTGTCTTGCTCATTCTTGGCAGCTTGGAAACGAGCTTGGGCACGGGCTTCTAGTGCAGCAAAGCGTTCTTTTTCAGCTTGTTGTTCAGACTGGAATTCTTTGAGAGCATTGAGCGTGTCTAGAGAGAGCGTGATTGGATCATCGTCCATAGCAGAGCGTACTTTAAGAGTACTAACTACTGAGTGTAGCAGTGTAGAGTAGCAGCGTGTTGTTCAGATCGGCTTCCACCAAATCGCAGTCACGCCCGTCAACACAAATTCGCCACTGATCAACCCAGCAATGCAATCCAAGTCCAGAACTCTCCAAAGGCAGACGACAGCAACACTCCCAAGACACATCTCACACAAGCATGGTTCTCTCTGTCGGTATGTTGGATCTACTCTTACCATCAAGTGGTGCAGCACGCTGACCTCCATCTCTAGACCTCCTCAACCCTACTCCTCAGGCCGAAGCACAGAAGCACAAGCTCAAGCAGCTCGTGCAGTCGCCACGTTCATTCTTCATGGACGTCAAGTGCCCAGGATGCTTCAACATCACCACCGTCTTCTCACACGCACAGACCGTGGTCATCTGCGGATCATGTGCCTCTGTCCTTTGCCAACCCACCGGTGGTAAGGCACGTCTCATGGAGGGATGCTCTTTCCGCAGAAAGCAGTAAAGCGCCTCTCATCTAAACACGAGCGCTTTTCTTTCTTCTGCATACACTGTCCAACCACGAACACGAATCGGTCGAAGATGAATAGGAGAATTCAAAAATCAAAAACTTAGAGACGAACAACTTGTCGTCTTCATGGGTCGATGCGGCACCACTACAGCCGCATCGGCTTTGCTTTTTTCGTTCAGTCAAGGACTTTATCATCGAGCATTTATCCCATCACATCACATACCTTCTACCCCCAACACACCGCGAGCGAATCTTATCTCATTTGAGGACCTTTTATTTTTTTGCCACCATGGAAGCTTTTACTTTTAGAAGTCTTTCATCGATGTCTTCTTAATGAGCGAGAAGACTGAAGGGAAGACGGATACTGCATCCTGATCTTTGTTTTCGAATGTTTCTCTCTGTCTCGTTGCACATCTTTTTTGGATACGCTGCAAGCTTAGATTCATAGTCAAGAATGAAGTGCATTCAGTGGTCTCTTGCCTTTCCTGTGCTTGCCGTCTTGATTGTAGTTTGTGATCTATAGCAAGCCGCGTAACAGCCTCTGCGTGACTCGACCTCACTACTGAAGCTCAAGCCTTTGACCACACTTTGAACAGGTGGCCTGTGCCATGCTTCCACGCTGCTTGCCTCATGCTAGAAGGCTTCTCGATCACTGCTCTCGCAAGGTCTCGTCCCAGTCTCTCACTCGCTTGCATAACCCATGCTTGACACACGTCCGATGCTTCGCTGCACGCTCCAGCATCAACAAGTTCATCTTTGAAGCACAACAAGAACAAGCCCTCAAGTCATCCTCAACAACGCCCACCACCGCTCAACCACCAAAACCATCCTTCAAACTCGTCGAACAAACGAACAAGGCTGCTGTTGTCTTGATTGATGGTGAGGTGGTCACACTGCCCTACACGTACCTGGCAGATTGCTGTCAGTGTCCGAAATGCAAGGACCCCAAAACCTCTCAAAAGACATTCAACACGGGTGATATCCCGCTCGATATCCAACCTGCTGCGATGCGTGGCTTACCCAATATGCTAGAAGTGATTTGGCAGGGTGGTCGGCATCGTAGTACGTTTAGCGTTGACTTCCTTGCACAGCACAAGGATCGACAAGCATTGACTGCTTCTCGGCATAATGATCGACGACCGATCCTATGGGATGCCCAAACGATGCAAGGACAGGTCCCCGCTGTGTCTGTGACATTTGGCAAGTTTAAGCAAGATGAAGGGACCCTCGCACACGTCGTCCAGGCACTACAACAATATGGATTGGCCTTCATTACTGGCTGCCCTGCAGGTCATGCCAAAAGTGAGGAAGCACAGCATGAGCTCGCGAAGCTCGCAACACGCATCGGACCCCTCAAACGGACCTTCTATGGTGAGACTTGGAATGTCCAGTCGTTGGAGGATGCCAAGAATGTGGCCTATACCAGTGTCGACCTGGATCTACATATGGATCTCCTCTACTTTGAATCTCCACCGGGACTGCAATTCCTGTACTGCCTCGAGAATGAGGTACAGGGTGGGACATCTGTTTTTGTGGATAGTTTCAACGCGGCAGAGGAAATGCGCTTGAACGCTCCAGAACACTTCAAGACACTGTGCACGTATGATGTGGATTACGAGTATCGCAATGACGGACAATGGTATCACTACAGCCGACCCACTTTCATCATCTCCAAGGAGACAGGCAAAGTTGAGTTTGTCAATTACTCGCCACCCTTCCAAGGAACACAAAACCCACAGGGCTTTGAGGCCTATCAGGAAGCCATCGCCCTGTATGCAAAATTGTTGGCAAAGCCACAGAATCGACTAGAGTTATTGCTTGAGGAAGGGACCTGTGTCGTGTTCAACAATAGACGGACGCTGCATGCACGCAAGTCTTTTGGACCTGGACGACGTTGGCTCAAAGGTGCGTATGTGGATATCGATGCACTGTGGAGCAAGGATCGTCAGTACAAGAGCTGGTAAACCTGAAGTATGTAGTGTATGCAAATAAGAGCGAGGGAACCAAACGCTAAAGGACAAATTGTTCAAAAAAGCGTCACTGCGCCATGACTGTATCTTTACCAGTACGCGCCTGTCGAGGTGGTCTCAATGTACGCGCAGGGTTGATGCCAGCTGCCAAATCAGCTTCTTCATGGCTATACGGCACTTCCTTCAACAACTTGACGCGCTTCTTGTGTCTTGTGCCTTTTGCATGGCCCTATCTTGTTAGAAGCTAATCATAGTATAGAGCGCAATGCATACCTTGAGCGACGCTTCATCAGCGTAGTATTGCGCACACTCGATGCAGTAATGTTGGCCTAAGCCAGGCAAATGCTCGTCCAGTGGTTGATTCTTGAGATCTGCAATGGTCCGTGGGTTCTTGAGCTGCAGGGTGATTTGGTCGAGATCCTTGACGGCTGACCGCTTGCTGCGCTTATGAGCAAGTCTCATACTTAGTGGATGTGAGGTGAATGTTGGTCTGTAGAAGGAAAAAAGATTGTGGGCGCACTTCAGATGGAAGAGTGAAGTACATGGCCTCTACTGTAGATGATGCTAGATACTAGATCTACTGCTTTCTTTGCGGCACTCAGTCAGATATCTTGACATCCACCTCTACGTCACTCGTGGTCTTGCGAGTAGACGCACCAGAAGCGGCAACAGGCCGACCTTCCTTCTCAATCATCGCAGCAAGCCCCTCAACCTGTGCCTGCTGCGCATCCGGTTTCGCCTCTTTCCTGCCAGTTGCTACCTTCTCAGCATGCGCAAGGCTCTTCATCTCCTTCTTACTCAACTCCGCCACGGGCGACTCCGAGCCTGCTTGTCTATCCGTGATGCGACGCGCAGCAGCAAGGATATCTTGTCCCGTCAATTCCCGCTTTCGAATATCCACCTCTTCTTGAGCGGCTGGCTTTGATGATGCTTCCGATTCTTCCGCAGGCGCTATCGCTGTCTCCGCTGCTGGAGCTTCTTGCGGCTTTAGAACAGATGCAGTCGTCGTGGCAAGACCTGTTGGTAGAATGTCAGGCTTGCTAGAAATAAGCGGGCCTTGCGTTGCTGGCTCCACAAAGCTCGATTCACCAACTTCTTGCTCCTCCATCTCCATTTCAATGGTATCATCTGGCCCAGGTGTCTTGTCCTTCTCTTGTACACTCTCCTGCGTCGGCTTTGATACTCTTGCAACACGTCTTTGCTTCACACTTTGCCGTACACGACGCTTGATGACTTCAGGTGGCCAATCAACCTGCAACGCTGGAGCAGCCTGTAATGATGTCTCGGCCGCCAATCTCGCACGTTCCTCAATCGCTCGCTTCGCATACCCTTTCCCCTTGACTTCATCGAGTGATGAGACACCAGCGACATCTTCAACAACGAGTGATAACCCATCATGACGCGCAACCCACCCGCGACTCCGTAAATCATGCCGCATGGAAGATTTGTACGCGACAAGTCGTGGCATCACGCGCAAAGTGACTTTAATATCGCCTGATTTCGGGATTCGCTGTGCCATGGCTGAGTGCATGAGAATCGCTGCAATATCTGAATCATCCGTGTAGACATCCGTTCCCCAGACTTTACGACGTCGTAACGCTGTATTCTGCTCGAAATCCAGAAAGCGTCTCGGTATATGCGCATGAAAGACACCATTGATGCGTAGAAAGAGAGGTAGCCGAACTGTCGGATTATAGGTCCAATAGCCAAGTTTACAATCAGGGTACTGGGCAGCTTCGTCGAATACTTTCTGCGACTGGACTGTGAGTGTCGCCCGTTCGAAGCGTGTCGTCGAGGGCGAGGGGACAGTCGCATGTGAGGGATGATACATGAGCGCCTGTTGCGGCGCCTGTGGATGTTGCTGCTGCTGCTGCTGCTGCTGCTGCTGCTGCTGCTGCTGGGACTGCATGAGGGGCGGCTGGAAGGACTGTTGCGCAAGTGATGGAAATGGGTGCGGCAAGGTGCTGTGTGTGGCCTGTGTGCCTGCTGCGCTGTTGTGGTGATGCGGGTATGGGAAGGCGTTGGATGGCGACCGGGATACGAGGTTGCCTAGATCCATGGTGCTCTGTATAGACTGTATAGACTGTATAGAGTGTATAGACTGCATCTGACTGAGTATGTCTCCTCATCATCTCACATGAAAAGCGTGAGATAATTGGCGCTACTTCAGATGGGAATGGATCTGAGGAGGGAATACTTCATGTATATAATCATCTACTCCACCAGCTTCGAGTAGCAGGCCGAGGTGAGATGCCCAGCAACCACCATTTGCTCGACATTGCGCTTCGCTCGCTTGCCATTCGCTAGCGTAACCTCAATCACTTTCGGCGGCGTCAAGTGGAAGCGCTTGTGGCCCTCGTCAATAATCTCCTCCCACCCACTCTTCAGTGCAAGCTTCTCTGCTGATGATTCAAGCGGGGAGATGTAGGTAGGTAAGGGAGCAGAAGCACGTTTCCCACTGCCCAGCTGATAATCGCTGCTCGATCCCCAGCACAGACAATCTCGACCATAGTTGATCGTGTCAAATGCTTTCCTGCTCGCCGAAGGATCTGCATCTACCTTCGACACATTGTCAAGGACGCAAATGACGTGTGTGCTGCCGACACTCAACTTGTACACGCCAATGGGCAAGACACAATTGTTGATCTCATCCCACTCCGTCAAGCCAGAGATTTGCTTCACCTTGACTGGTTTGCTTTGGTAGTGGTTCCATGTGTTATTGCCAAGTTGACCAAACTGGCTCGTGCCAGAACACCAGATATCCACGCGACGCGACTCTGGTTTGCCCGGTTCTTCTGACTGCACCACCATGAATGTATTCCGACCACCTGCAGCAATCGACAGGCACTTGGCTTGTAGATTACGCGGATATAGCGCATTCACCATGACTGACGTTGGGTTCACAACATCCGTACTCTCTGCATTGAAGTTGAAGGCAAGTTGGCCGTATGTATTGGCGCCGAATGTGTACACTTCATCACCAGCAAGAACCACAGAATGCTGATCGCCAGCAGCGATAGCGGTTGCCTTTACATTGTTGAGACCTTCAATCTTGACAGCCTCAAGTGTGTTGCTCGCAGGGCTATGCTGCCACGTCCGCTGGCCCATCTGACCTCGGGCATTGCCCTTGCTGGAGCTGGCACAGGCATAGACGCCGCCTGTTTTGCTGAGCAAGAGGAGATGGTCTGAGCCACTGGCGATATCGCTAAATGAAGCTTGATCCGCCGTCTGTACTGTGCTGTATGAGATGGTTGCTCGACTGCTAGACAAGCCAAACCAAGCAGATTCCTGTAGCCTTGGACCTGACTGCTGTGCGGTCTTTGCTGTAGGAATAGCATAGACAATCCCTTTTCTCGAGAGCGCATAAACCATGTCGTTACCTAGCTCAACCTTGACGATATCTTTGCCAACAAGCGTCACTTCAGGCTTCGGCACAACAACAGGCTCTACACTCTTCTTTTTGCGAGAGGGCAGTTGTATAGCATCACCGGTATACCCCTGTCCCCAAAAGACGACATCACCGGAATCAAGCACAGCAACACCAACCTCCTCGGAGACTTTCAAGTCGCGCAAAGCCATGCCATCAAAGGCAGGTAGTCTCGTCGGCGCCTTTGTGAATGGATCAGCACTCTCTGTGTCTGTGACGCCGCGCTTATTGCTGCCCCACAAGTACACGCCAGGTCTTTCCCATGACATGGCGACTTGCTTTTGCTGCGAGTAATCGAATTTGAGGTCATTGCCTTGTTTAGGAGGTGATTGAGCATCAGCATGCAGTGTGCGATCCGGCTGAGAGACGTGGTAGGCGACGACGGCTGCTGTGGTGGCTGCAACACCAAAGGCAGCAGATCTGAAGCGATGGGTTCTGGTGGCGCATCTCGCGGTTGTGTACATGCGTTTGGCTGCGGCCCTTGAAGTATGCATTGTGTTGAGGCGATGGAGGAAGGAGCCTGTCGAGTATGTATTCTTGGAATAAGACTTGTATAATATCCGTGCTTATGTCATCCAGATCTAAGCGATTCTTCTCACGCATCAGACACAAAATAGTTGACAAAATACCTGGGAAGAGAACACTTGCGCTGGGGAAGAACAAGCAGTCGCCATGCCTCGCGAGAATAGACAACGTGGGCGCAGAAAGAAGAAGACCGAAGAAGAAGTCCAGGAAGAAGCAGAGATTGTGGCTGTAGATGCAGAAGCAAGGCGACACGATCATGCTGAAGGCGAGGGCGATGAAGAGTCGGGCACCTTCTTCGGCCTGCTGGATGAATCGGAACAGCTCTACTTCAAGAACATCGACGATGCGCTGATCGCCGACGAGTTTGCCGACCGCGAAGAGACGCGTCTGTTTGTTGAAAATGTCTACAAAGAGGCAGAGGGCAAGGAACTCAAGCTTGCAACCTCACCTCTCGGCTCTAAAGTGCTCGAGCAGATCCTCGCACGTTCTCAGCCAAGTCAGGTGAAGAACTTGTTCAAGACGCTCCAAGGCAACTTTCACACCCTTGTGCGACAACGCTATGCGTCGCATGTCTGTGAAATGCTCTTTGCCATCACGGCCACCTTGGTGTCTGCAGAACTCGCAAAGCCATTCGCGGCAGAAGTCGCTGATGTGGATGCAGAGCCCATCGTGACAATGGAAAATCTCTTCCTGTACATGTACCACGAGATTTCAGGAGACTTGGCAGCTCTTGGTGCAGATATCTATGCATCGCACGTTGTACGTGACATCCTCCTTATTTTCAAAGGCACCCTGTTTGTGGCCGAAGTGGCACAAGCGAACAGAAAGCGATATCACGGCCAAAAGAAGTTCTTGTGGTCACGGCCTGAAAAGGTATTGCCTGTGCCAGCCTCATTCAAGCAGTCTTTGCAAGAGGCACTCGCCAGCTTGTCCTCCTTATCAGGGCCACAACTTCGCATCATGTCTAGTCAACCTTTCAGTGTCAGTTTCGTACAAGCGCTCATCACCCTCGAGGCAGACACTGACTCAGGACGCCCGATCCTATCGGCCCTCCTGGGCGACACGCAGTCTGACGAGCGTGATGACTTTGTGGAGACCATCTTGCGCGATCAAGCAGGCACGCGACTATGCGAAACCATCATTGAGTCTGCACCTCCGGCACTCTATCAACGTCTTCACCAGCTCTACTTCATGGAGCGTATGGCAAAATTCGCCCACAATCCGCTCACTAATTTTGTCCTGCAGCGCTTCATTCTCAAATGCCCAGATGCGGAGACATTTGCCGCTATTGTCAAGGAATTGACGCCAGTGATGCAGGAATTGATTGAACTCAATCACATGCTCGTTGTTCAGCGTCTCATCGAGGTCAGTGTCCGGCTAGATGTTCAGCAAGCGACACTCCTCAAAGAAACCATTCAAGCAATACAAGGCAATAGCAAGGAGCTTGTGCCTCGATTGTTGGCTCACGTAGAGCCCAAGCCAGACACAGACGATCGGGCGCCAAGAAGACATGATTCAAAGTCACTCAATATGCAAGGCGCCTTTTTGCTGGAGGCATTTATGAACCTCTCGGATGACGCACACAAGGCCGTGACCGAATCATTACTTGCCCTTTCGAAGGAGACATTACTTGAGTATGCAAAACTCCCTGCGCCTGCCAAATTGATGGAGTCCTTCTTGCTGCACACAAGAACTTCCCCAATCTCTCGAAAGTTGCTCATCAATTCACTCTTTGGTTCCTTCCCAGACCTCGCCTGCGATGCACGCTCCAGTCGTCTCGTCGATGTGTGTTGGCAAGCAACAGGACCCATCAAGCTCTACAAAGATCGTATTGCGCATGAACTCGTCGACGCAGCGGATCAAGTCCGCGCCAACTTTTATGGCCGCATTGTTTGGCGAAATTGGCATCTCGATTTGTTTAAGAATAAGCGTGGTGATTGGCAGTCTCTTGTGAAGCAAGAAGGCGCCAAGGCACAAGCCATGTCGAAATTACAGGATGAAGCACCAGCTGCTCGGCTGATTGAACCTCAACAAGCAGCTGCAGCGGTAGATGGGGTGGATGCCGGACGGGCTGAGATGATGGCTGCAGAAGAGGCAGCGGCTGCGAAACGGCAACGAAAGGCAGAGAAAAAGGCGAAGCGGCCTGTTGATGAAATTGATGATTTGTTCTCCAAGAAGAAGAGGACGAAAGCTTAAAGTAGACCAGGTAGCTCGAGTCAATGAATGAGTCGTCCCATCTGGCGAATTTCAAAACTGCGACAAGACGCATCCTGGACACGAGCTGAAGAAAGCCGGAAGTACGACGATGGCAGAAGTGGAACAAGCGCAAGTGCCAGAGGGAAATCCTCCTCGCATATCACCCGTTTACTGTGGTGTCTGCTCTTTACCGCCTGAATACTGCGAATTCCAGCCCTCCGTTGCGAAATGCAAGGATTGGCTAGAGCAAAACGACACTGAGCTCTTCAGTAAGATCTTTGCTGGTCTGGAGCTCACGGATAAGCAGCAAAAGACGACTGAGAAGCATGAAGCGAAGCAAGCGCGCGCAATGGAGAAGAAGATGCAAAGTAAAGTGCTCATTAAACGCATTGAACGTGGAAAGCGGAAGTATGTGACGGGCGTGTTTGGGCTGGAGGTCTTTGGCATCGAGTAAGTGGAGCGATCGATGATGGGAGCTGCTAACAAGCTAGACTGAAGCCAGCAGCCAAGAAGTTCGCCAACAAGTTCGCAACTGGCGCTAGTGTCTCGAAGAACAACCAGGGCCAGGATGAGATTGTCGTACAAGGAGATGTCAGCGACGACCTCTTTGACTTCATGACTGAGGACAAGTTCTTCAAGGCTGTACCGGAGGACAATATTGATTGCATTGAGGAGAAGCGCAAGTCTGTCCGTTGATATACCGTGTACGCTTGTCAAGGTAAGTAGTAGGTAGGCGAAACCTTCCATACGGCAGACTTGCTATTCTGTGTCTATGACGAACGACTGCTCTCAAAGCTTGGTGGATGGATCAGGAGTCGACGCGTATCGAAGACTCGGAACTTAATCATCATGTTGACTGTACAAAGAGTCGATGAGACTGGTGCCAGCATAGTCTCGTCATCTCCATCCACTCAAAGCTTTGTCGCAATACTTTCCTGCCAAAGTGAAGCAAGCGAGTTGCCAAGGCACCCGAAGAAGATACTTGCTGATTGACATGGCCTCTCGTCCGCTACGCTGCGGCAAACTTGCGATGTAAACATTTGCGAGGCCGTGCTGAACGGCAGAATGTCTGCTGATCTGGCTGCGGTGCCATCCTCATACTAGACGTGGCCCTGCGCATACCATGTTGTCCAGACTGATCGCGACCAGTTCCAAGTGAAGTCTACTGTCTTCAGAAGTTGTGGACTTTCGAAACTTTCTCACGCTGAAGAGCTACTCGAGGCAAAACTGCAGTATTCAAGCTCCTACTACGATAGGAATGCAGACAGATATCGAAAAGCGATCCTCCACATCAGTCCAAGCTACGGCTTTGTTCAGGACTTTCTAAATTGCTTAACAGCCATGAAGGCTACTAAAAAAGGCCAGAAAGTGCTAGCCCCGTGCTGCCTACAATCAAGAGCTCGAGGTCTGGGCTTGATTCGTGTTAACAAGATATTGCACTCCGCGATGTCGTCAGACTACTTTGACACGCAGACAAGCCGAAGCGACCAGCCAGCCAAAATCTCATGAAAGAAGTCAGTGCCGTGGAACAACCCTACTGATGCATAACAAGGTAGGCAATCATCGCATACAGATACCTGTTGTTAGTCGTTTTGGCCCGAGAGCGAACAATTACCAGAAGAAGAGCGCAGAGAAGCTCGCCACGCGGATGTAGCTTTCCTTTTGATGCTGCGGAAGTTTCCTGAAGACTTCTGTTGGTTCGATGATGTGATCCTGTTTCAGTAGTCTCAAAGATATCAGCCAAGCCAAGGATATAAGTCGAGCATGACAGGCGTACCTTTTGATGTTCCACGCCATGAGAGGGACATTAAGCAGCAATGAAAGCCATTTGCCAGTGAGTAATAGCATAAGCATGAGCAGGCCATGCAGGCCCATCGACGGCAAGACATAAGGATTGATCTTGTCAGCTGCATCCCGAGGATTCATATAGTCAATGCTCAAGTCGCTGTAAACGGTCACTTCAAAAATGGTATGCAGTACTAGAACAAAGTTGAGCGACATGGCAGCGATAAAGGGCCAGACAGCCATGATGTAGTCAAAAAAGAAGAAAGACCGAATGCAGGAAGAATGCCCTCGATAGAAGCTCAGGTAAGACAGGCCTGGTAGCAGGTCTGTGGTTATGCCTCCGTGTTGTGTGAGGTCGAACCGCGCGAAACCATTTCCAAAGCACGCCAGAGTACCGCTCAAACAGCTATGCTATGAATTGGCTCTGAGACCTAGATTGACTCTCAATCAGTCTTTATCTCTGATCTGCTGCAATATGAAGCAAGACGACTTCAGACATCTAGTGAATCAAGCTGGACAAGCACATCCAAATAAGCCACATCGGACCTCAAAGTCGACGTCTGCTGTGCGAGCTGGTTTGCTGCCAAGAACTGTCGCAAAGCATTCTGCATCACGCGAAAACCCATTTGGAACCGCGGGAGATGCATCATTCAAGAAACCAGCCCAAGGGCCAAGCTCCAAGAATCCACGATATAATGTTGTTCGTCACGCAGAAGCTTCGACTCCAGAGGAGATTGTGAAGCTCAAATTGGCACTGGAAGCTAAGGAAATTACGTACGAAGAGTATGTCGACCGAGTCGCCCGTGTGAACATATCTGGCGATCTTGTTGAAGCTGGCAAAGCAAGAGGTCTAGATCGACAACTTCTTGCTCGAGTCAAAGCTGGCGAAGATGTCCTTGCTTCTCCGTCGGTCACTTCTGCGGAAGAAACTGTTCTTCAGAACGAAGATCCAAAGAAAATCGAAGATCCAGTGGATGAGGAAGCTGCGCTGGAGGCGGCTTTCGATGAGACCCTGATGAGCACACAAAAGCAAGAGGCAGCAACCACTGATGCCGGCCCACTGAAGCATCGTGATGCTCTTCTGCTCAAGTTGAGACAAAGAGCACCCGAGAGCGCCAACAATGCCGCTGTAACAATGGCCAGCAAACCCAGCAAGTTTCGATCCATCACTGTAGGTCCGACAACTGAAGTGATTGAAAAGGACGGCCAGAAGATCAAGATTGTCAGAGACGCATCTGGCAAAGTGATCAAGCGCCTCGTGAAAAAGGTACAGAAGACGAAATCTCAGAAGCCAGCTGCAATGGAAAAGGTCGTCGACTCCGAAAAGCAGAAACCGACCGCTCCAGCGGAAGTCACAGTAGCAATTCTTCCTCCAGCGGATGACGAGGACATCTTTGCAGATGCAGGCGAATACGATCCCTTCGCCATAGACCCAAATGCTCCCATCAAGCCAATCAAGGGCAAGCTTTTCGCGGACATTCAGGAGGAAATCATTGACGCGAGTCCCGTGACGGCCGCGAACTTCCTCGAGCAGAACAAAGACCGGCTGATGGATGCACAAGCTCTCACTGCGAAGCAACCGTCTTCCAATAGTGCCAAAGACATTACAGAAGAGAAGCGCATCCAAGCGGGTTTCGGCCTAGTCCTGGATGCTGATGCGTATGATGGTCTGAGCCATGAAACGCTGTTGCCAGAGCAAGAGGCAGAAGAAGAGGAGGCCCTCAGCGGTGGTAAGAAGAAGAGACAGCGTCGAAAGAAATGACGCATTATGCAAAAGCTTCGCCAAAGTCATCCTGGGCTTGCTTGGCTGCTTCGTCCTTGGATCGCCGCTTTGCCTGGCCTGCGGACGCTTCCTCGGCTTGTCGCTTCGTTGTCAGAGCAGAGTCTGCCTTCATCCCTGGATCGCTGCTATAATAAATCTTCTTGTCGACTGCTTTGACTGCAGCAAGGTCGGCCGCTGTGGCTGAAGTCTCGAGCAGTGCTCTGCGAATGTCGTGCAGATTATCTTGCAAGGACTCGAGTCCTTTAGCTGCAAGGTATCCTGTGACTAATTCTTCTGCTACAGCCAGCAGGGCTGCTAGTGCAAGGTGCGAAGGAGCGTGTAGGAATGGCAAGTCTGACCAGAGACATGAGCTGATCAACGCTTTCGCAGCTGAGTGTGCCTGGCTAATTGCCTTTAGCTCAAATATCTTTGGTTCTTCGGCGCAAAAGCGTTCCATGTCGAGCACAAAGCCATGCAAAGGTCTGTAGGCTGACCAATGAACATAATCAAAGAGAATCGTGCTTGATATCTCGAATTCATGCTGAATGATAGCCTCTTTGCTCGTCTTGAGCTTTGTAGCAAATGTGTCGAGCGGAACATAGTGCTCACATGTCTTCGTCGCCAAGAATAAGCATGTGATCATAATAGACTTTGGATGATACTGCAGTACCGAGCGCATGAGGTAGAAACGCTTCAAATATTGTGCTGCTGTGGCCCTGAGATGTGGCGGAAGGTCAAAAACATCAGCCGTATCGGAGAGCTTCCGAGCGTAAAAGTTGACATGGAGCAGCTCTTCTTCCCAGTTAGGGAAGTCCGCAGGCTTAGCTGGCTGCTTTCCAGACAACTCAGTTTCCAATGCTAGATTGGTCGTGCAAGTATCAATGGCAGCTAGATTGACCGCTTGCCTTTTTTGAGTCAGTTCTTCAGGCTCAAAATGCCAGCGTTGAAATTGCGATGACTCTTGATAGACAGAAGCTACCGCATGTGGCATAGTGTTCTTGCAGCTCGAGCCTCAGTTCGGAGGCGTTGTGTGTTGTGCAGATTGGGCATGCTTTCAACTTTCGTGATTCTGGCTGTTGGCCTGCACAGACCGACTCGTCGGCAGCAACCACTAGTACTCACATTGAGCTTGATGGGCTTAGCAGCATATATCCTGACTGATGCAGGCCGGCAAAAGCTCTTCTCGTTCTTGAAGAAACGTGTCTACTATATAAGCACATTCCTCTTTATTGCTGGCCTTGCATGGCTTGCAGCTTTACCCTATGACGAGCTCAATATACCTACGCGCATATCAGAGAACGCGCTGCTGCCAGGACAAGTTCAAACGCACTTCGGACACTCTGACTACAAGGTCCTTAATGCTTTCCGTAACGAAATAAGAGCATGGCAGCAAGATCGCTCAGACGAAACACGTCTCGCAGGTATTGAAGGCATCTTTCAACGTGCAGGATTGAAGACTGCTCGTCAATCGTACAATGTATCCTTTGGAGACAAGCAGATTGCTGGAACCAATGTGTACGCGCTGCTTGAGGCGCCTCGAGGCGATGCAACCGAGGCTCTGGTCCTCAACGCTGCCTGGAAGGATGAACGCGGCATCGTCAACGAGGGCGGAGTGACAGCCTTGCTGGCGATGGCGCGCTATTTCAAGCGCTGGGGCCTCTGGTCCAAAGATCTTCTCTTCGTCATTCCGGCAGAGAAAGTTTATGGCTCGCAAGCTTTCATCGATGCATACCACGAGAACCACGATGCAAGGCAAGTTGAAACACTCTCATTGACGTCAGGTGTGATTCATGCTGCTGTCGACCTGGCCTGGTACGGTGACTCTAATCGGTACCGGGATATAAACATCCACTACGAAGGCACTAATGGCCAATTGGCCAATTTAGACCTTGTCAACTCTGCCATTCACATTTCAAAGCATCAAACAGGCATTGACGCACGCATTCAACATGTGCGAGGAAACGAGGAGCTGTATCAGAGCAAGCTATTGAGCATGCTACGTGCTATGGCTACACAGGCGACAGGTCTGCCAAGCGGTTCGCACTCCCCCTACATTCCTTACAAGATTGACACGATCTCGCTCGAGGTCAACGGTCAACCTGATGGATGGCACGATGATTCCAGTCTCGGCCGTATCACCGAGTCCATCTTTCGATCGCTCAATAACATTCTCGAGCATCTTCACGCCAGCTTTTTCTTCTACATGCTCATCAACACTCACCGTTTTGTGAGCATTGGCACATATCTGCCTTCAGCCATGCTTATTGCAATTGCCTTTACTCTTGCTGGCCTCAGTCTTTATTTGCGAAGTCACTTGCCGGCGCCGGCAGTCATCACGTCAGAGAAGACTATGGAGACTCATTCTGCACAAGTGCAAAAGGAGCAACGGATAATCACAGTACCATCCAGCAGTTCAGACATCAGTGGGTTTGATAAGCTCTACCCTGCCATATTGATTGGCTCGCTGCACATTTTGGGCATCATTTTGTGGAATGGTATTCTCCTGGTCCAGCAGACCATTCGAAATACAGTTGCAACCAAGATGTTCCTGGTCTACATTCTATCACTTGAACTGATACTGCCGACACTCGTCGGTAACTTTCGACCGCTCAGTAAAGCTCAAACCACACTGGCCAGTGCACTGTCGCTCCTTGTGCTCGGGTTGTGCTTAGCTGCGCTAGCGACAATCAATTTTTCGTTGTCACTAGCCATGGGCGTGCTCTGTTTCCCAATCTTGTTCGCCAGACCAAGCGCCTCTCTCCCGGTCCGGTTGGCAGGTCGCGTCATTTTGCTTCTGACTTCGCCACTGGCAGTCTTTACAGGTGCCTGCTTCCTGATGGACCTCAAAATGGATGATGTCCTCTCGATGGTCACTTTCAGCTATGTGCATCTGCATGTTTGGACGCCTCTTGCCATTTGGGGCGTCTGGTGGCCAGCTTATATGCTTGGCAGCTTGGTCATATTCAGCTAGAAAGCATGATAGAATTTTACGACGCAATACGATTACATCTTCTATCTTCCTATCTGTGCGAAGAGAAAGGTCTCCTTTTTATCAACTCATTGCCGCCCTTTCCTATCATCGATTGAAATTGACACGCAGCCTATACTTCTGACAATCCGTTTCCAGATAGACGTGCTTGCATCATTTTGGCTAGGCTGTTCTATCGTCGCATCCGGTGAACCAGGCATTGATCTCGAATCAGAAGTGCTTGCCTGTTTCGTCAACTCGACAGTTGTCACCGTTGTTTCCTTCCCTTGCCCATTGCGGTGTAATCGACTTAAGCTTCTCACCAGATTGCCACTGCGAGTAGCAACCCAGTTGGTCGTACTGCCGCCGCTGTCCGGGAAAGCCTCTTCGCCGTCATCAGTGACACTGCCACTCGTCCATGGCCGTACAATAAGAGAGCTTCTTCTTGATGTCACATCCCTTAGCGACAGCAGAGAGTCAGTCATATTGAATTGTTGCAGTCGTCGCAGAGCATCCTCGTAGGTATGCGCTGAAGTAGGTGGTGAACTACTCGGTCTTGATTCACTAGAGCCAATCAGTGTCATACTCGAAAGAGACCGCCGACTGGCGCGCCGTTCATCCATGGTGAGGACGGAACTTCTTTTGCTTCGCGAGCACATCGCATTAGGGTCGTCCGACTCGTGAATAGGGTAAAGAAGGTGAAGGTCGTGAGCGTTCTGTCGCTGGCGTCCACGCCTCGAAGGAGAGCTAGACACTGTCACAGTCGGAAGCGACAGACACTCGGCATGTGTCGCCATTTGCTGCGCGCAGCAGGCAGCGCCTGTTAGCGACCTGTCAGCCGGGAGACAAGCTAGGACGCTTTACGGGCCGTACGAAGATCCTCCTAGGCGCTTTGAAAAACCTTGCTGACTTTGTAGATAGAGGACAGAGCTCAAAGATACTCGAGACTGACACGAGGCTTGAGCGTGGCCGCTTGAGGTCCGTCCTCGTCTCAGGAGTAAGCAGATGAAGGATCATGCGAGTCACACCATGCAGCCTCCAATCCCGTCAATATTTGCGACAAAGAAGAGCCCTGAGACCTCATGATAGGATGGTCCGAAGCAGAAGCGGTCTGTTACGAAGCATCTGCAGGAGCGACGTCTTGACTCTTGACACTCTGAACCCTTTGCTGTTCAGCTAATGTGTCTCCATGGCTCGAGCCTCACAACGAGCAGATACGCGCTCTCACAGTCTCATATTACAGCAGCAAGCTTAATGTCAGATGAGCCGGGTCTTGCAAACAGGGAGTCGCTCACTGACGAGGCCGAGTGCAAGGTTAGCAACAGGAGGGCTCCAATATTGCGATTGACTCCTCCAGTGCCGGGAAAAAATTCCATCTGGCACAACCACCCTCATCAGCCCACCAGCACAACCAGTAGTCAGCGTACCTGGCCAGTCATGACGGCCATAGGAACGAAGAAGGAGTCGCAACCAGTGCAGGAAAGTGTAGAGTCCGAGAATCCCGAGTCAGGTGCGAAGGCACAGTCAACCGAAGGATCTGGTGCGCACAAGACCACAATACACGGTGCGCCAATACAGGCGACAGTGCCCAATGCACACTCTGGTACGTTCTTCGTAGACTGCCGGCTTGAGCTAACATCTTGCTAGGCCGCAGGCTTATTGTTGTGCTGGAGAAGGCATGTCTGGAGACATATAAGGTCGGCAAGGCGAAAGAGAGTAAGTATGCGCTTCTCAATTGCGACGACCATCAGGGTATTCTCAAGAAAATGGGCAGGGAGATTGCAGATGCGCGGCCAGACATTGCACATCAAGTACTGCTGACTCTGCTCGATTCTCCGCTCAACAAGGCTGGCTTTCTACAAATCTACATCCACACTGCTCGCAATGTGCTCATTGAAGTCAATCCACAAGTCCGGCTACCAAGAACATTCAAGCGCTTTTCAGGACTGATGGTACAGCTGCTACACAAGCTCTCTATTCGATCGACTTCGTCGTCTTCATCAAAGCTGCTCAAGGTCATCAAGAATCCCATCACAGACCACTTACCACCGAATTGCCACAAAATTACACTCAGTCACGACGCTCCGACCATCAGAGTAGCCGACTATGTGCGCAGACTACCGGAGGATCAATCGCTTTGCGTCTTCATCGGCGCTATGGCGCATGGTGCCGATGACTTCGCCGATTTTTACGTGGACGAGAAGGTCAGTGTATCAGATTATTCGTTGTCAGCGAGTGTGTCTGCTTCCAAATTCCTTCACGGCTGTGAAGACGTGTGGATGTAGGTGTAAAGTGCACATTATCTTAGCATTGCCTTTGAGAGGCCCTAGCATTTCTATGAGTCGTATCATGCAGCTAATTGTTTATCAAGCAGACTTGAGGTCTTCCAGAATGTTTTCAAGCTTCTCGTACGCTGCACTTCCTTCGAAGTTCTTGCCGCGTCCCTTGAGCGTGCGTACGACTGAACGAGCCTTGAACTTCCAGTCTCTGGCCACCTCTCCGCCCATGCGCCCCTCGCGTGGCCCAAGATTCCGATAGGCATCAACCAGCTCATCTGCGGCGTCGACAACCTCCTCGAACACTTTGTACTCTGTTTCCACCATCTTGCCGGCAAGGCAGCGATATGCCTTCTCATTGGCCTCAAGTGCTTCAGCAAATTTGCCTCGCCAGATCTGAAGCTTGCCAAGTAGACGCCACAAACGAGGGTCATAAGTAATCAACGGCTGTACAACTTGTGTCACGAGATCAGTCACCATCCTCGCGACGCCTCGCAGGGCATCGGGACTGTGACCACTTTCAGAGGTTGCGCTTGTTGGCGGTTCCATTTGAATGGTTTCTTGCACAAGTAGCTTGAGTACTTCAAAGTCGACAGCAGCTTCTCCTCGATCATTGGAGCGCAACTCAATGCAGCGTCGCATAGCATGGATACATTCACCAAACTCTCCCACATCCAGCGAAACAAGCATGTAATTCTCCCACATCCGCCAGCTCTCGTGCTTGATTTGTGTCGCCATCTTGAGCGCAGTCCAAGCATCTCGGCGACGATTAGAGGTTGCGCTGGGTGCTACACGTAGCAAAGCACTTGCCAAATTGTTCCAGGATTCACCATCCTGTTGTTCGATAGAGACGCAGCGCGTGAATGCCTCAGCTGCAAGCTCATACTGACCAGTTTCGAGTCCACTGCAGCCATAGATGAACCAAGCACCATGATTAAGAGGATTGATCTTGAGGCTGAGGCTGTACGCTTTGATTGCAAGGTCATGCTCCTTTCGGGCAAAGTGGTACTTGCCAATAGACCGTTGTGCTCGTGCATATCGCTCGCCTGACACCTGCCAGCTCTTCTCCCAATACTCGAGTGATTGAACAACATCTCCAAGCAAACACCAGAGCTTGGGGATGTTGCGACCAGGTTTGTTGGACTCGATTTGCTCTCGAAGGACTGCCTCGGCCTTACCTTCTTGCTCCATCACACCATAGCACATGGCAACAGCTTCCCAATTCTCTATGCGCGTGAATATCTCCAATGCTGATCGAACAAGACCAATTGAAGTATATTTTCCGGCCAACTCAGCTTCGAGATCGAATCTAGAAGACATGGGGAGGGTAAAGAGGTGGCGTAGGCGTTCGGCGCCTGAGGCTGAAGCCTTTCTGTCTGCTCGTTGGAGGAAGGAAACTTTTGCTTTGCTGGAATCCACTGGCGCCGCTTCGTGTCCAACGTGCTCTGGCAATTGTCTCGCGGCAGAAGCATTGCCAGCTGAGCCTTCGTCAATGTCCTCCAGAAGCTGATCAACAAGAACTTGCAGTTGCAGTACACTGCGCTCAACAGTGCGCGATCGGTGACCTTCGATACGTGTTCTTGCCAAGAGTGCAGCTGTGTGAGTCGTCCAATCTAGATGACTGCCGTCCTTCATTTGCTCAGTGCTCGGCGAATGAAGTACCCGGTTGACATAGGCTGCCACCTGCTCCATGACAATCTTGTCATCTGAAGCGGCGCTGAGCTTGATGACTCCAGCGTAAGCGATGAGTATGCACTGATCAATTGTCGACAGTAAAGGTTGATTGCCAGGATCGAGAGCCGCAAGTACGGGTGGTAATTGTGAGTCTCTGACAATTTCAGGAAGATTTTCGTGCTCTGTCTTACGTTGAGGCTGTTTCGTAAACGAGACGGACTCCAAAAGGGTGTCGTCATTCAGATCAAGCTGTGCTGGACGGGCTGACTTGTGGTGTTGAGCAGCTGCAACTGTGTCGCTTGAAGACTGCGCTAAAACCACAAGCTGGGAAACATCAAAGGTTTGGTATTTAGTGCGCCTGCCGAGCGCACCACTGACTTGCATTACGATCCTTGATGAACGCTGAGCCAGCTTGACTTGTGCTAAAGCTTTTTGATCGTACGAATAGTGAGAATAGATGTGCGCAAGTTCCAAATGCCAACGAGCTTCTAGTTGAGAACCCGAAACAACTTGCACACTCGCAATCGCATTCTCGATGGCTTCCATCTTCTCGATGTCGAATATACGATTGTGTAGCGTCGAAACAGTATCGTCCAGCAATCTTTGATGGACAAAATCTACACGCATTCTGAACCAGGAGACGAATACGCAGTCCGTGAGCTCCTGGTGATGCAAGATGTGGGATGCAAGTAGTAAATAGAGCGGAGCTTGAACAAGCGCATACGGACGTTCCCCGTCGACAGTCAGCAAGTCAAGCACTTCATCATGCAGACGTTCCTTGTCTGCTGTCAAGTGATCGGGCAAAAGCTTGTGCGTAGGGAACGATGGCCCAGTGTAGTTTAGCTGCAAGAATGCATTGAGGAACGATACTCCTAGTTCTAGGACTGATATCGATGAAAGCTCCTTAGATTGATGTAAAGCTTCAGTTATCTTCTCTGATAGACTTGACAGAAAGGCTTTGAGCGATTCTGACTTTGATGTGTCGCACAGCAATGTCTTTGCGAGCCTTGTATCGAACACAGCATTGTAGTCACACTGGATACAGCTTCGAGTCTGATCATTGGCATCAATGCTTTGCAGTGTCAGTAAGGACAGCTCTGAAGACATCTGTAGATGCCAATATGTGGTCGCTAAGTCCTTAGCTTTGATCGTGAAGCTGAAGCTGAAGCTTGAGAAAATTCCAAGAGGAGCTCCGCCTGTGCCCATCTGATGAACAAAAGCTGGCGTTCGCAGATCGACGTCTCGTTCGCTGCCAGATTCTTCGTCATATAGGAACAACTGGGTCCAACGCTCCTGACTGTATGATCAAGGTACTTCTCAAGGATGCCCGTCAGTCAATTGCTCAGAAAGACTTTGAATCTGCTGTCAACTTCGCAAAAAAGGCTCTAGACCAAGATAATCAGTCTCTTCATGCCTATGTCTTTCTCGGCCTGGCCTCCACGAATCTCAAGCAATTCGACGAAGCGAGAAACGCGTATGCTAAAGCAATTGACCTTGATCCTGACAATTTGCTTGCTTGGCAAGGCTACCTGACTCTGTACGAAAATACACTTGAACTTAGCAAATACCTGGATGCATCGAGCAAAGTCGCACAACTTTTTCTTGCCGCAGATGAGTCTGACAAAGCACTCAAGGTACTTCTCAAAGCAGTCTCTCTCACTCGCGAGAAGGGCTCTACATCGGAAGTTGCACAGGCGTTGAAACTCATTCTGCCGATATCACCATTCTTTGCAAGGTTCCAAGACCACTTCCCGAATGCTTCTGAAACATATCAGGAATTGAGCAACATCGTTGAAGAAGATGAAAAGAAGAACATATCCGCAGCTATCGCTAAGGGCCGCTCGCGCCTGGGAGTCAGACTGGCCGACCTCACTCGTCAGGTGAAGACGGATGTCTACTCCAAATCCGAGCTGGAGGGCATCTATACAGAAATCATAAATTGGACTCACGATGATGCAGTAAGACGAGAGACTGAGAGTAAGCTCTTGCGTCGCAGTGTCGACATGCTATCCTGTGTGACAGACACAGCAGCACAAGTCGCCAAAGTCCGGCATCTGGCACAAGACATGACCGTCATCAACGTCAAGGACGATCTCGCATGGAACATTGCACTGAATTGGCATGATATGACTCCAGACACTTTGCCCCTGGACAAGCTCATGGCATACTTGAGGTTATACCCAGAGAGGAGCTCATCAGTGGCTTTGCTGGCTTACCTGAGGTCTCAGTTCTCGGGTCAAGCAGAGAACGTGACACGGTTCCTGGGAGATGAAGACAAGTCAGAGACCATGGGCGCAGAAGAGATTGCGCTTGCTTTGACCAATGCCTGTGATGACGAAGGCGAGGCAATCCCGCTTGTGTCAGTCGCAGCGACCATCAAAATGCTTGCGCAGCTGAAGGATTGGGAGAATGTCGTTGCTTGGAGCGAGACATACACGCAAAGGCTTGCTAAGCTAGAAAGCCAGACCGAAATGCCATTTGCAGCGTCACGCTGTTTCCATTCCGTGATGCTTGCGACGGCACTCACCTACTATAAGCGTCCTCGATTTCAGGAAGAGGCGCTTGCTCTCCTTGAGTCTGCTCTGAGTATGCGCCCAGACGAGGCCACACAATTACAGATCAAGATTGCCAAAGCCAGAATTCTTCGCATGATGCAAAAGCCTTCTGAAGCTTCTTTATTGTTGGAAGGTCTCGATATCTGGGATGCGAAGGTGGAGCTAGCCACTTGTCAAGTCATGCTGAATAAACCTGAACGAGCGCTGACTATCATCGAAGAATTGGAAAGCCCTGAATACGACAATATTTCGCGCGAGTCGCTGGCCATGGTCTACCATCAAAAGGGTCTGGCACAGCGGACCCAAGGCACCGGCAGAAGCGAGTACTTTGCATCTTTCATTCAAGCCTTGAGGTACGACTCTCGGAGTGCTCCAAGCTATACCGTCCTTGGCCAGATATACAAGTACGAAATCAAAGACTTGCGACGCGCCGAGAAGTGCTTCCACGAGGCCTTCGAGATAAGCAGCGCAGAGATCGAAGCTGCTCGTGAACTTGCATCGGGATACGCTGAAGCAGAGGAGTGGGACTTGGTCGAGATCATCCTGCAGCGTGTCATCCAAGGCAACGAGCGCCTGCGAGAGTCATGGTGTTATCGAGCATTAGGTTTCGTGCACCTTAACTACGAGCGTCACTCAGATGCAGTAGCCGCGTTCCAGGCTTCCGTGCGACTAGCGAGTCGGGATACACAGGCTTGGACTGGTCTCGGTGAGGCATATCTTGCACTGGGCCGCTATCAAGCTGCCGAAAAGTCGTTCCTGCGCGCTGCAGATATCAATGCAGATGATTGGCACCCAAAATATCTGCTTGCCGTTGTGCAGCTGGCGTTGAAGGAATTCGACGGTTGTTGCCAGATTATGTCTTCACTCACGACTGACCATGCTAGGCCGGTGTTTGATACCTTCTTGTGTACTGCTCTTCTAGGCTGGGCAGAATCGCTCCTCGGAGATGGCTGGCTCACCCAAGCCGTCGAGAAATTGGACAGCTGCTTACACCTGGCCGCCAAGTCTCTTCAAAAGCAGCCTTCTTTTGCTCTTGCGAGTGTCTTTGCTGATGCAGCGTTGCGCTTAGCCGAGTGTGTCGAACGCGCAACGGCCTTGGGCTTGACCATCAAGAGAGTTGAGAATTTGGAGACAGCAGCTCGGTCGCTGGGCAGTGATGACATGGTACCCGCGGAGACACCTCTAACCGTGACGGGGCGATTGTGTTGCTTGGCTATACGAGGTTTCTATTATAGCCTCCGAGATGTGGAACTCTCGGACAGTCAAAAGGCGACACTCTGGTGCAAAATTGGCCGAGCATATCGCGCTGTCCACAAAGATAATATCAGGTCTAGCTGGTACGCACAAGGTGTTCAAGCACTGAAATGTGCCGTCGCTCTTGAGCCTAATTTGGACACCTTCTGGTCTGCGCTTGGCGTAACGTTGATGGAGCATGAGCCAAGGCTTGCTCATCACAGCTTAATCAAGGCAACTGAGCTTGCACCAAAGTCTGCCATCAACTTTGCCAATCTCGGACACTTTTACCTGCAAAGATCTCTGGTTGATGAAGCAAGCGCGGCATTCTCTATTGCACAGACTCTGGATGCTTCTATTGCACTTCCGTGGTATGGACAAGGGCGGCTAGCCGAGTTGCTTGGAGGTCAAGATGCCGCAGATCTCTATGCTCACGCGTCAACACTTATTCCGCAAGCCAATAAGGCAGTCGACATGGGCTTCACAGCCTCTACTCTCAAGATCAAAGGTACCGGTCGTTCTCAAGCCAATTTCTTCAAGGCTGCATGGCATGCTCGGCGGTTAGCGCAGATTGATGATGACGCGACTGTTCTGTACAACTGTGCACTTTTTGAGGAAAGGACATCTGAACAACCAACGCAAGAACAGTTGAAGACTGCCAGTTCTCTGGTCGACAGAATGGAGGCACTCTACGAGACTGAAGAATCTGACTTGGCTTTACAGCATTACTGCGACGCCAAGGCACTCTTGGGACGGTTGCAACTCCGGTTGAATATGCTCGAGGATGCAATCGAAACCTGTGAAATGGTTATCGAACTGGACCCCAGCAATGCGCAGAGCAGCCTCCTGTCGTGTCAACTCGTTACGGCTATATGTCAGGCCAGATTAGGCCACGCAGGAGAATCGTGCCCCATCATCGAGGAGCTTTTACAGCAGGAAGTTCCCGATGAAGTCTTCATTCTCCTGGTACAAGCTTTGTGGCGTTCGTCTGACCTTGAGTCTCGAAGAACTGCCGCCAAGTATCTACAAGCCCGTCAAGGTTCGCAGACTTCTCAAATGATGCTACTGGCCATGTCGGCCCAGAGCAATGCTTCAGAGCTTCAGATTGCTCGCCCGTCAATTTTGAGACTTCCCGATAGTGCTCTTTGCACTGATGGGCCTGAGGTCGATACGCTACAGCTTCTTGAGTTGGCTTTGGCGCAACATTCTCGGGGCAGTGTCGACGCGGTACTTAAGGCGCAGGCGTCTCAGCAGCCTTGGCATGCTATGACTTGGCTTCGGTTGCAGTCTGTACTAGAGTCGGCCGGCGTCCAGACGGATCTAAGAGAGAGAGCTTTGCAAAGTGCCAGAGGTGAAGGAGCCTTGGAAGAGGCCAGGGCTGCACCTTACAGTGGCGACCGAGCTACTATCGTCCGCGCTTTACATTTAAATCCTGCATAGCACAATCTCGCTGCCTGATTCCATGAAATTCGATCCTTCCACGTAGTTGATGACTGTATGGAAGAATGACCGTGTCGCAAGCAAGTTCCGCAAAAAGTTGTAGGTTGGCCATTTCCATCTGAACGATGGCCCGAGAGACGACATCAGCGTCTCTCCGCTTGCCGCCTCCCTCGATACCCCTTTCAGTAGCTTTTCCTTTGTACGTTGGTCACTGATCAAAGCACAGCTAATTCGTCGATTACATTGTGTCTGAGCAACAAGAATGTCCAAACGCCCCATCAATACATTTTTTGAGCCTGCGTCTAAAAAGCACAAGACCTCTGAAGATTCTGTTCATCAGAAGGGCGATACAAAAGTGAGATACCAGAATCATCCTAGCTATCCGATACCTCTACCCAGCTCTCTACCCCTACCTCTCGTGTGCAATGCAACATACAAGCTCATCGAAAACTTGCCAAATTTATCTCTTCACTACTATGAGCCACTCTTCCCGGCTGCTACCGCCAAGAGCTTGTTCACTTTCTTACTCGAAGAGTTCCCCTGGTATCGCGTCACATATGAAGTGCGAGGGATGACAGTCAATACACCAAGGTTTACCACGGTGTTTGGGCTCGATGAGTCTCATGAATTCGAGGGTGGCGAAGGACGAGTTCTTGAAGTGGCGACTGGCAAACCGCCGACAAAGCCATTACGCTGCACACCCAGACCTTTGCCCGGCTGTCTGAAGGAACTGAAGAATCTCATGGAACGAGAGACTGGTGAACGCTTCAATTTTTGTCTCTTGAATTATTACAAAGATGGCAAAGACAGCATTTCTTACCACAGCGATGATGAGCACTTTCTAGGCCCATTGCCATCCATTGCATCCTTGTCGCTAGGCTCTGCTCGTAATTTTGTGATGAGACTCAAAGGCGACCATACCATCAAATTCAAGGCCAATCTCAAGTCAGGGGACATGATTTTAATGAAGAACGAGTCACAGTCAAAGTGGGAACACAGCGTACCCAAACGTGCAGGGAACGTGGGTCCAAGGATGAATCTGACTTTTCGGCAGGCGCGGGTGCGATATGGGAGCGAGAATTACTATCGCTACAATGTTCACGATGGACCATACTTTCGCTGGGACCCTGAGCGAAAGGAAATGATTCTAGGCACAGAGTTTGAAGCGAAGACATCGCTGGTACAGAGCACGGAAATCGACTCAGTCGTCCAACCGCCCGACCTGAAGGTTCCCAAATTGGATCAAGAACCAAGCTTTGACATTGCAGCGCAAATAGCAGCGATTGACGAAGCAGTCGCGGCGACCGAGACAGAAGATCTCATGCGTAAAGCTTTGTGAAGCCTCGTGGTCCTGGCTGTAACCAATTCTTCTCATCATACTTGCCGTTGTAGTCAATGCAGTGGAACGTGTAAATCCAACGTGACAGAGCACTCCTGTTTGCAGATGATTTGTGCAGTATATTACCGTGGATCAGGACCAAGGTTCCGGCGGTACACTCACCCATCACATAGTCTTCTTCGGCTGGCTCTTTGTAAGCTTCCACTCCCGGGATGGGCTCGAAGGTTGTGCCACCCGAGCCATCTGGGTGACGTCTCACGAACCGCTTAGCAATGGGTGATGTCTTGTGAGACTTTGGCACGAATGACAAGCATCCGTTCTGCTGGGTGCAGTCTTCCAGAGCAAACCAAAAGCCAACAGCAGATGGAGGGTCAGTGTACAGAAAGACTGAGTCTTGGTGAGAAGGGACGGCACCGCCAATTTCTGGCTGCTTGCAAATGATCATACTCTGCAAAACACGGGGATCTTTGAATTCGAGGGCTTTTGCAATGGATGCAACTTCTGGGTTGACACTGATAGCATGAAAGTCATCATCAAGCTCATGAAGAGCATGCCCAATTTTATTGATGGCCTTCTCCTTGGGCTTTATAAGCTCTCCTTGCTCATTGAAGGCGCTTTCCTCGAAGAAGAAACGGACCTTGTCATTTGACTGGAGGAAATAGTCGTCTCCGACATGTTCAGACTGCTCGCCTGTAGAAAAGCGTGTCATAGGATGATCATCTAACGAAAAGTCTTGGAGCATTGTAGATACGCTGCCTCTTAGCTTTGCAACGGTATCTGCATCGAGAAAGTCTTTGATGAGCAAGTAGCCATTTTCATTGAAGAACGAGAGCTGCTCTTCAGATAGAGGCATCTTGTATGTCGTAGTGAGGAGTCTTGGTGTGATTGTGGAGGTGAATCAATCTCGGATGTGGCCGACGAGCGAATCAGTTCCATCTGGTTGCCTTGACGGATCGCAGTCCACGTCAATAGCCTGGAGACACGTCAACCGGCAACTTCATAGACTTAGTGTACAGCTGGAGTATGATTCATGGGCTCGGGGTCGATATAGTACACCATCCTCGGATAGCCAAGCTTTTTCTGCGCAATGCGGCTGGCCTTGTTCGGCGCATCTTGACGGATCCTGAACAAGCTAGATATCAAGTGCTTGCAGAAGACAAAAAGCTGCCTTTCCTCTGCACTACGTGAGCTTTCTGCACTACTGTGTGAGTCTTTACTGACCACTTCGAAGCTGGGCCATCAAAGAAGCTGCCTACAAAGCTGCCCAACCACTACCATCCTCTTGGAAGGATGCCGAAGTCTACCACCTCAAAAGCGGCGCACCAGCGCTACGAACATCTCCTAATGTACCCCTTGACTTCAAAGTCTCTGTCAGCCACGATGGCGAATACACAATCGCTTCAGTCCTGGCATCCAACTTGCCCAAATCACTCATGGACAAGCGAGGCACGGGAGAAATGATTGATGAGCATGAGCGCGACATCCCACGCAAGCCTGATGCGGCAGATGCATGGATCAACAAGTGGTAAGGACATTATTTGGTGCGAGTGCGAGGAAGTGCCGTCTACAAGCGCCAACTATACACCCTAGAGTACAGATGGCCCAGCAGGTGGGACATGCTCCATAAGACATGCCGCAATAAGAAATAGCTCATCCCATCACATTCGGGGGCATACTCACATGTGCATGTCCATTTGGGTATTTGGACTTGTTACGTTGCCTTGTCCTTTCAGGCGTAATGGTTGCTTGTGAATCGGCTCCATTGTTCTTGGGCGCCAAATAGCCATTGCCATACGCTGAGCGGTCTGAGGCGCCATAGTCCGAAGATCCCACCACGCGGCTCGATGCTTGGGAGAAGTGGCTGTCGCCATTTGGTGCTGGGCTACCATTGTTCCCAAATACTGAAGAAGGGTCTGTGTAGCCATGAGAATTGGGTAACCTAGCCCGTGCTGAATGGACTGTGTGTGCTGGAATCTGCGAGTCGTGGTCCATCTCGTCAGCCTCGGCTCTACGCTGCTCTTCCCTTTCCCTTTCGCCGTCATTGTATTGCGCGATGGTTTCTCGAATCCAAGCATGCTGTAGCGCGCGTTCGCCTTGCATACGATGCCGTGGCTCAACAACCAGCAGACTTTCAATAAAGTCCAAACCTGGGCCACTGATTTCCACTTCATCCAGCTTCTCCTCATCAAATTGACCAGTCTGAATCACGCGCATCATTTCTTCTTGCCCTTCAGCGACAAATGGCATCGAGCCTGCTACCATGATGAAAGTCACGCAGCCTAGACTCCACATGTCGACGGCAGATGAATACGCGCCTTCAATGCGACCGTGTAGTGAAATGACTTCGGGCGCCACATAGGTCAGTGTTCCGCAGAACGTTTTGAGGAAGGTGCCTGGCTCAACCATCTTCGCCAAGCCAAAGTCAGTCAATTTGGCGACTGGAGGATTATCGGTGGTCAAGAGGATATTCTCCGGCTTGATGTCGCGATGCGTAATGCCTCTTGAGTGGCAATAGACAAGGGCGTCCAGTAATTGTGTGACAATATGAACGGTCTCATGCTCTGGCAGCCGCTCACGACGGATAATGTAGTCCATGAGGTCTCCTCCGGGGAGAAACTCAATAACGAGGAAGATTTCCAGCTCATCTGACCACATATCGACATACTTGACCACGTTCGGGTGATTGGCATTCGCCAGGATGTCAATTTCGCGTCTAAATAGCTCTGTCGCCTTGGTTGACGACTTTGTGATGGCCAGCTTGCGCTGATTGAGAATTTTGATGGCATACTTGATGCCTGTGCTTCGCTCGATTGCGACTCTGACTGTTGCAAAGGCACCCTTACCAAGGACCTGCCGGATATCGTACTTTTGCATGTGCACGGATGCCTCTCCTCCTGCTACACTTGTGGTGAGCCTGCTTTGCACCGGCAATTGAACGATGAAGCGCACCTCGTCCGCCTCGACGCCAACACCGGCTGCAATCTCGTCGTTATTGTTGAGGACTGTTGAAACGTGTTTGCCCATTCTGGCTTGATTGATGTATGTGCCGTTGGTGGAGACATCTTTGATCATGACATGGGTCGTATCGTCGCCGTAGCGCGAGTAGTGTGAGTGGTCACGCTCTTCCCAGACCTGGAAGTGTATGTTGCTGAAGCGGTTGCCGGGCAGCTTAAAGTCGCAGGAGGGATGCCGGCCAAAGGTGTAGATGTAGCCGGGCTCTCTCCGAGGCAGGACGACGGTCTCTATCCGGCTAATATTGACGGTACTCACGAAGCGAGCAAAGACAGACTCGAGATCAAACGCAGAGACGTAGGCAGTTTGCGTCTGCTGTGTTTCCTGTGTTTGCTGCAGTTGCGACGCCATGAGGCCTGCTTGCGCTGCAAATACCGAGGCTTGGAAAGGAGGCCTGACAAGCGGGCCTTGGCAATGCGCACCTGCCGCAGATGTACGACGGGACTCCGGGAGCAGTCAGAGAGATGCAGAGCAAGGAAGGACGGGTCTAGGGTCGATATTGTTCTGGTTTCTGTCTTTTGTGCGCGACGCGACTCGAAACTTGAAAACGCGACAGATGCAAGCCAAGGCTTATAGCCAGCTATCCGAGCAAGTCTATGACATCTACAGCATAAAGTCACTCAGATTCAAGCCAGATCCAGTCGGTTTCTTCGTCTTGGCATTCTGTGTCATAGCCTTGAGCAGACCCTGCTGCCGCGCCTTCTTGCGCTCCTTGCTCTTGTTCTTCTCCTTGCCCTTCCCTGCCGGCCCTTCTGTCGTACTCGCCAGCCGATCTCCAGCCTTGACCGGCCCTTTGGAGTCCAATGGCGCCTTGATGGCCGTTGCACCTGCCTGGCTCTCTTGTTTGAGCCGCCGCAGCGCCTGTTCACGCTGCCGGGCAAGGCAGGACGCCCGCGACGGCTTTTTGACGGGCGGCCGCTTCTCTAGATATCGACATGCAGTGCATAGCAGACCGGCTCGTTTGATGAGTGTGTTTTCACCGTACTGACGGACGAGTGAACATCTAGGACACACATCGTGTAACGCAGAAGGAGAGATGCCTAATTGGCGAGATCGTTCAGTAAGCGTACTCGAAGCATAGCGTGACAAGGTCTGGTTATTTGTGCGATGGAGCAGATGCGTAAGCTTCTCCAGATGCCTGATTTCCGCCTCGTCCATCACGACAAGAATCTGTGCATAAGTCCTCTTCAGCAGCCGTATGTCATTCGTGTAGCTCTGCAGTTGGCGGGGGATTTATCAAGCGAAGCGACGTTGACGACTCGACGGATACCACCACACGCTCACATCCTCTTCGTCTTCTTCCTTTCAAACTTCTTTGAGCTTGCTATACAATGTCAGATCTGAGCGCAAAGCAACCCTGCGCAGACTGTGTCACGGGCCACCTGCACGAAGGCCCGACATCAGGCACCGAGCAGAAACTCTTTGGTCTCGACACCTATGTCGCCGGCGATAAGGCCGAACATATAGTCATTTGCTTCACAGACATCTTTGGCTGGAAGATCAATAATGTTCGTTTGATTGCAGACCTGATCTCGAGACAGACTGGCTACCAGGTCCTCATTCCTGACTTCCACCAGGGCGACTCATTGCCGCTGCTCGTGGATGAGGTCCTGCAACCTGACCCAAAGGCACCGCCCAAGCCTTTCTTTACGCGAGCAAAGAACATGATGAGCGTGGTGGGCAGTGCAGCTCCTTGGTTCTATCGTCACCGCGAGGCTACATCCCGACCGCTCATTGAAAACTTTATCGAGCAATTACGCAGACAGCACCCAGGCGCCAAGGTGGCCGGCATTGGTTACTGTTGGGGTGGTCGTTATGCTTTGCTAGGTACACATGCTCGGGACACATCGACGGATCCCCTACTAGATTGTGCTGTACTCTGCCACCCTTCGCTGACCAGCGACAGTGAGTATGCCGCAGCCAAACGACCCATTTCGCTACAGATTGGTGATCAGGACCAAGGCATGTCGATGGCAAAGGTCGAAAGTGCTCGCAAGATTATCGATGAGCACAAAATGGGCCAAACCATCATCTACCCTGGTCAGAAGCACGGGTTCGCTGCTCGAGGCTCACAAACAGAGGAAGACACAGTCAAGGCACAAAACAAGTGTAACGCCGATGCGATTGCGTTTTTCAAAGCTCATCTTTGATGGTTGAGTCGGTCTGCAGCCTCAAGTGGAAGGCCTAATTCTTGTAAATTGTTTCTTTTGCTATATAGTCCACAAATCAACCCTGTTTAAAGCAAGAGCTCGAGAGGGTTCTCGAGGATTCGCTTAAGCGCAGCCGTGAACTTGGCACCCACGGCACCATCGACAACTCGGTGGTCTGATGACAGGGTGCACTTCATCACCTTGACGGACTTGAAGCCGCGCTCAGAGGTAGGGTCGAGCTCGAGCACATCTGCCGTCTGACCAACAGCCAAAATACACGCCTGAGGTGGGTTGATGATGGCAGTAAATTGGTCAATGCCAAACATGCCCAAGTTGGAGATGGTGAACGTACCACCCTGGTACTCATTTGGCTGCAATTTGCCGTCCCGTGCACGCTTCGCCAACTCTTTTGTCGTGTTGCTAATCTCAGACAAGCCCTTGGCCTGTGCAGACTTGATAATGGGCGTCATGAGACCAGCAGGTGTCGCTACAGCAACGGAAATGTCGGCGTTGTGGTTCTGTCGGATAAAGTCGCCATACCAAGCCGAGTTGGCCTCTGGCACTTCCTTGAGTGCCTGCGAAACAGCCTTGACAATAAAGTCATTCACGGAAAGCTTGTAGCGGCCGCCAGATTGGTTGTTGAGTGCCTCACGCAACTTGGACGTCTTGTCCATGTTGATGGCCACTGTGAGGTAGTAGTGAGGAGCCGTCTGCATAGACTCCGATAGCCGTGCAGCAATGGTCTTGCGCATGCCCGTCAGGGGGATGTCTGTGTAAGCTGCGCCTTCGCCACTTGCCGCAGCAGAGACAGAGGCAGGCTTCTGAGCAGAACTTTTGGGTGCGGTAGCTGTCTTTGCTGGTGTAGCACTTGGTTTGTAGTTCTCGATATCGACCTTGATAATGCGGCCATCTGGGCCCGTTCCCTTGATGTCGCGCAATGCGATACCCTTCTCCTCTGCCATACGGCGAGCGACAGGCGAAGCAAGAATGCGACCACCGGTCGATGTGCCAGACTCGCTAGATTCGCTAGTCTTGGCTGGTGCGGATTCGCTCTTGGTCTCCTTCTTGGCTGCGGCTGGTGGGGTCGACTCGATTGACGTTTCTTGCTTCTCCTGTGGCTTTTCTGGAGCCTCGACCGATACATCAGCCTTCTCTGCACCACCGGCGTCCTCAATTGTAAAGTCCTTGAAGGCGGCCACATCGTCCTCATTTTCAACGAGGATGGCAATCGGTGATCCGACCTTGACATCCTTTGCGCCTGAATCTTGCAGGAGCTTGGCGATGAAGCCTTCCTCTTGGAATTCAAAGTCCATCTGCGCCTTGTCTGTCTCGATCTCGACGAGGACATCTCCCGGTGCAATAGCATCACCTGCATTCTTCTGCCATGTTCCAATGTTGCCCTGGGTCATTGTGGGCGACAAGGCCGGCATGTCGACGACTTGGTGGCTCGGGAACGCTTCAGTTAGCAGACAGCCAGCGAAGATTGTTACCCATACACTTTGAGGCATAGTACCGCGCGGCCTGGAGGAACTGTGGACTGAGCGCGTCGAATTGAGCATAAACGCATCTTTTTTGTTGTGTCAGTAGAAGTTCTTCATCTTGCTTGCCGAGGATGGGCATACCTGGAGAGTGGAAGTCTGGCAGATGGCTTCAAGGCCCTGAGCGTCCTGAAGGCGGCTGACCTCTGCATGGAAGACTGTGTGTAGAGGAGGTGGTGAATGGTTGCTGGATGGACTGATTGCTGCTGCTTGAATGCGTGGGATGGCAAGAAGGGTTGGGACCACACCAGCAGTGGTCACTGGTCCAGCAACAGCACCAGCTAGCTACATAAGCACAGAGACAAGACATGGCCAGGGACTATGCCCATGAACTGCAGGCAGTTGCCGCTCTACAGGCTAAGCTACAGGGACAGATTGACTTGCATCGTCAAGAGGCCGAACAGGCAACGCGCTCATCGTCTGCTAGCAATGATGACAAGACTGCTCCATCTACGCTGAGCGACGCACAGCTTGCTGAACAGATTGTAGGGCTGCTTAAAGCTCAAGACGGGCTGCTCAATATCAGACCGTATGTGCAAGCTATAGCTACACTGCACAAGACAAAACGAGACTACGATGCGGCTCCAGATGCACACGGCAAACTGACTTGCTACCATGTCCTGCAAGAGGCCTCCGAATCACTGCCAGAGTCTGACTTGAAGGAACGCTTGCAGAGCAAGTATCAGACTCAATCAGATGAGTGGTGGCAAGCATCACAGCAAGATGCGCGGAAGGTGCTGACGGATGCCCTCGCCAAGGTCGAATGGCCTGCCGAATTGTCTGACTCGGCTGCGACGTCATTGAAGCAGCCCTTGGTAGATACGCTATCATTACACAAGGGCCAAAAAGTCCTGTCCCCTGTCCTATTGCCGTTTGAAATCATGGCAGCACCAGTCAAAGCACGATTCCTATATCACTTTAGCTCACGGCGGGCAACAAACCGATTGGACAAGCCAGAGTGGTTTCTGCAACACATCTTGGCTGTTTTGGATCTCCACTACGTCTATTTGCAGAGAGAAGTGCAGGGTTTGCTCGACGAAGAACTACCTGACCATGCCCTGTCTGCATCTCACGAAATGATCAGAGCAGTGCTGCCTATCGTCGAGGACAAGATCACCACGTCTCAAAAGATGCTGCTCCAAAAGCCAGAGCTCCTCTCTCACTTCATCGAAGAGACTTTTGCCTTTGACGAACGTCTCCGCCTCGATTTCGGTTTCGTCAACCGCGACTTGTCGCCCTGGCTCGGAACGACCAACACAGTTTTGTCGGCCGATGTCTTTGACGCGTGGCTGACGTTGGAGCAAGAGTTCGCCGAGACCCGCTTCCGCGAGCTCATTGAAGCAGAAGATGCCTGGGAGATTCCTGAGGCAAAAGACACAATGACTGACGGTGCGATAGAGGTGCGCGCCAATGCGTCAAGCAGGCAGCTCGATGATCTGCTGGACGGACTCACGCAGCGTTTCACGCCAGTCGCAGATACAGAACAGCGTCGTCGATTCGTCGAGAGTCTACCACAGAAGCTGCTCCTGTCCTACCATGATCGGATTCAAGATTCGACTGAGATCTTTGAGGTCATGACAAGCGGATTCTCAGGCGGCTTCCCCTCTGCAGATGTCGCCGGCAAGACAGGCCTTCAGCGATTGTGCAGACAATTGTCAGGGACTAGCAATGTGCTCATCAAGCTTAAAGATATGGCTGAGGATCCTTACTATCTCTCCATCATGCATGCGGACGGAACTGGCTGCCTGGATGCCTTGATGAATCAGTACAACAACTTGAAGCAGCGCATCGAGCAGCTTATAATTACGCACCTTGACAGGGAGATTTCTGCCCAGCTCAAGGTCTTTTGTCGCATTGGAACGTGGTCGTCAGAGGAGACACCGCAAGCACAAATTGCATCCTCCAGTCAGACCTCCCCACAGCTCATTTCGACATTTGCACTCATCAGAGAACTCTTTGGTTATCTCTCTGGCGTTTGTTCGCCAGTCTTGCTTCACAGACTATATCGTGGGGTAGCAGAACGCATTGACACGACCTTGTACAGTAAGATTGTGCTCAAAAACAACTTTAGCAGGCGCGGTGCATTGCAATTGACGCGGGATTTATGGGAGATCTGGGCCTCCTTTGCTCATTATGTAGCGAGACCTGAGCTTGGTATGCGACAATTGTTGGACGCGCAGACTGTGCTCTCGGAGACGGCTGCACCGCCTGAAGAGGGTCAGGCGAGCAAGGCACGCGCAAAGAGGGAGTGGCAGACCATGGTGCAAGTGGAGGTGGCCAACAGATTGCTCTACTAGCTACACGAGGTCCATAAGTCGCACAATGCTCGCCGAACGCTTGAAGAAGTCAAAGAAAGGTCAGCAGAGTAATGCCTACTTGCGTCTCTTGAAGTTGTCGATGAACTCGTCTTTGTAGACACGCGCAAAGTCTGATAACTTAGATACCGCACCTACACAGTCAGCAAATCAGGCATTGAGATTCATATCACCCTGACCTGTATCTTTCGGGTCTATTTCGTGCGGCGGCGGCTTGATGCCCTTGACGGCGTCGTGTGTCTTTTGCACGGCCCTGAGAAATGTGGGCGATCTGACGAGTAGGTCATGCAGCTGTTGAGCGCCCAGATTTCTGAGCAGAGGCCCGAGTACCATCCTGTCTGAGTGTCTTGTAGCTGATAATAAGTAGCCAGGATGTCTTCTGAGTGGCGAGATTTCACTTTGGCGACTCCCCGCAACCAGCAGCAGCACTCTCTACTCTCTCTCTACTCTCTACTCTCCTGTAGCCAGCATGAGCGCCAACAGCTTCTTCCTCTCCAAGCACTTCGCCGTCGTAGGCGCATCTGCAGACACAAGCAAATTCGGCAACAAGCTTATTCGCTGGTATCAGCAGCACGACCTGCCCGTCTCGCCCATCAATCCGCGCGCATCCGACCCGATCCTTGGCCTCGAAGTGCTTTCATCTGTTGAGAAACTCCCTGCACCCAGAGAAACGAGTGTCTCTGTTGTGGTTCCGCCCGCTGTTACACTCAAACTCCTCGACCAGGCAAGAGACCTGGGCATCAGAAACCTTTGGCTGCAACCAGGCAGTTTCGACGATTCAGTGATGGCGCGCGCGAAGGAGCTATCCGATGACCTCAATGTGATTGCGCAAGGCCGTTGTATCCTCGTCGAAGGCAGTGAAGGTGCGTCCCAGTTCCATGCAAGGCAAGCGTGACACATTACTGACCCTTCTCTCCTTCAAGGTCTCGCCATTGCAAAGCAGCACGGTGGCCGGGCATCATTGTGAAATAGTAGATGTACAAATATGGTATCTTTGCTATGCTTCCCACATTTTTCCTTGTCTCACCGCTTGAAGCTTGACAAGTCTGGCGTATCCTCGAGCGTGACCCTGCCGTTCTCTACACTAGCAATCTTGAGACTGCCAGCATAGGACTTTGTTGATGGCGTCCGCTCTCCCTGCACATCCGGCATCGGTGCTTCCACGACATCACGCTCGCCGCCAAATTTGATATTGGTGCGAGATTGTAGCAGGAGTGTGGTAGGTCCTGTGAAGCGGACATATGCACTGCTACCGTGAACGACTCGACGAAAGAAGAGCCTAACTTTTGTCGCTGCCGATTTCATAAAAGACCAGGTATCAGTCTTGGCCATGACCCTGAAGAACTCGTACCGCAGCAGCCAGTTTGACAGGGATGGCAGCTTGAGAGGCAAACTGATGTTGACAAATTTGAGGCTTACAGGCATAGGTCTCGGGCAAGATACGCCGTAGCCAATGACGTGTGATGGATGTACGACGTACTGATCAGTCGCTTGGAGCACAAGCTGGTATATTTGTCCCTGTCCAGCAACGACAGCCGATCCGCGGCCAGTCAGGTGCGTGGAAGCTTGTAAAATGGAACCATCGACATTCTCTTGCTTGACAGATGCTTGTACACCTGACCATGCAATAAGAGCCTGCTTGCCTGTGATGTTCCAGTCCAGTCGGCCATCGAGTTCCAGGACCGCAAAGGATGTCGCTGTTGACTGCGTGCCAATCAAAGCTGTGAAAGGGTCGGACGAGCGCAGTTTTTGGTAGATGAAAGGCAGACCACCGACTGCTCTTGAGACTGTGCCGAGGAAGCCGCTATTGAAGATGCTGAGTGTGCTTGTCAAGTTTTTCGCATCGCCGTTGATACCTACCAGAGTTCCACGACGCGTATAAAGCACGGCCTCGGCAGGAATCGATGCATTGAGCAAGCTAAAGGGCGATCCAATCACCTCAAACTTTGGAACTTCGCCAAAGGGACCTGCGCCGGATAGATTTGGCAGGTCAATTTTGAAGGCGCCGTTTGTGCTTTGTGGGCCTGTTTGGACGGTGGCATGCCGTACGAGCGGATGCCTAGTTGTAGCGAGAGCAAACAGGCTCCTGGGACGGAGGGACATGCGTGCGAACCTGTCGTTCCTTCGTACCGCTGCTAGGAGTGCTTGGGTCGGGCTGGTTGTTGCTTGGAAGCTGGAGCGTGACGTGCGAAGATTTGAAAGAATTCCAACTCGAACAGCTCAGTCAACTCAACAAGAGCTCCATCCTGCTAAGGGTATCTGTCCCTGCTCTATATTGGGCTACTGAGTGAACCAGCCCTCACTACGGCTCAGAGTATATACTCTTTTACTCCCTTTATAAGGATGCATGTGGGCTTGTGGCCAACTTGCTATCAGGCATCACATCAAAGCTCAATGCTACAGTTCATGGCGCAATGCTAGGCCACAGCCTGTCCATGTCGAGGCGTCTGATCTGAGTTCCTTCTCTAGAATGCCATCTACGAGGACTTCAGTCGTAGTGGCGAGGGTCATTCCTCTAGGTCCACCTCAGTCGCATAAACGACCGTCTCGAAGGACGCTTCAGGATATGGTTGTTGCCTCGAGACCTGCGTACGAACGGCGACGTCGACAGGAAGAAAAGCTCAGCAATTTTACCACTGGAGCTGCACGTACATCCTCTGAAGTACTTCCACGGCGGCCTGACCCTGAGCGACTGAGATTGAGATTCATCATCGATGATTTCATCAAGGGAGGTCTGGCAGCCCTGGCAGGCACACGCACAAAGTTTCTCGAAGACAGAGGCACTGCTCTCTCTGACATTGAGCGCTGGGCCAAAGTCGTGGCTGCTGAAACAGTGGATGAAGCACTGCCTTTCATGACGGGCGGCTTGCCCGCCTATGTTCTCATGGCGTGCTTGCGAAAACCGACCTCGTCGGGGCCCGTGGTGCACCAGATGTTGGAGATGGTTGGCAAGTCAATGCCAGAGCTCGACGGTCACTCAGTTTGGGAAGCGATCCAACTGCTGATCAAGCATGCGGTCCTCACCGACGCAAGTCTTCTGGTACCAATCTGTACACTGCTTTGCAAAAGTCTACCAAGAGCACGACATCTTGAAAAGATCTTTTCAGACTTGTTGGTGGTCCTTGACAAGATCACCGATCGGCGTACAGAACGCTTCTGTGCCGTGCAAGCAGTCAAGATTGTGCGAACTCAAATGGTCAAACGCCGCATAAACTTCAGTCACAAGGACATCAATATCCTCATCAAGCTTCGCCTGCGTCGAAAGGAAACAGGGCGTCATGTTCGTTCACGAGACCTCATCAAGCCCACGAAAGTCCTCGATCCTGTCACCAATCTACCCTACACAGTGGCTCAGCGGAACATGATAGTCAGACGATTCAAGCAGCATGACTCCATCCAAAGTCTGTTGTTGCTGATTCCACGGTTGAGTTGTCAAGGCTTTGAAGAGGTCTGGACAACTTTGATGGCAAGAAGAGATAGTACCCCTCGAGTCGTCAGACTTTGCTTGCGTACCATTAAGCAAGGCGAACTGAAGCCGAGTCTCACCTTGGTTGCCTTCATGCTTCGAAGTGCTATAGGCTTTGGTCCACTGATACAGCGCATTATCGATATGGTCACGCGACACCAGCTGCAGCTCACGTCTGGGGCTGCGCTGGAACTTGTGCGGCACATGGCTCGGTACGATCCTCTATCACTGTTCAACATGCTGCATCCAGAATCAGAACACTTGAGCCAGGAGATCCTGAGCAATTCACACATTTGGGCTGAAGCTGTTCGGAAGCTCAATAGCGAGCGAGTCAAGCGATTCCGTACAGCTGGACAACATGCGCTCGTCATCTCTCTTCTGCTGAAACGGCTCAAGAAATGCAATGTGCCGTTGTCGACATCTTTGCTCTCGGCGCTGGTCGATGCAGCCTTGTACAGTGGACAGCAAAGTATGTTGGGCGGAAAGTCCAATATACTCTGGATTACTGAACTCTTCCGCGACCATGTGGATCATGGAGATCAACCGGAACTCTTGCAAGCAAGGCAACCATTATGGAGAACGTATATGCGATTTTTGGTCGCAGCTGAACAGGTTGACTTATTGGAGCAGACCATGGAAGGCATGCTTGCCACCGGTTCGCCCATTAGCACGAGGCAAGTCACCTTATTTGCGCTGGGGCTTTGGGAGTCTGGTGATGTAGAGCGTATGGGACATTGGGAGGAACGACTTGCTGAGTATGGCCTTTGCTGGCCGCCTGAAGAGCAAGTGTTTGCACTCAAGGGACGATTGGAGGCTGGACTTTTCGAGCTATTTCGTGAGTAGCATAGTAGAACAGTAATGAACGGTCGTATATTCATGCAGGTTTTGGTCATGCTATGTAGTGCTGCTGTGCTTGCTTTAGGTACTGTCGCCTCGGCCGCCCGGATGCCGGACGTCGTCTTTGGTCAGCAGGACTGCGCCGTCTGCCTGTGCCTGCTTGATCATATTCTCCCTCTGTATCTCGAGGACGCGCTTCTTGCAAAAGTACTCGACCTAGTCACTGGTCAGCTCTCGCCAATGGGTGTGCGTTGTAGGACTTACCCAGGTGGCGACACATCCGTCTTCGAAGCGTGTCTTTTCCGGCTTACAATGTGTGTCTGTTTCCTGCTTCTTCTTGAGCGGGTCGACGATGCCGTTTGCATCTAGGCAGGCGAAGAATGCGTCTCTGCCTGACCAGCAGCGTTCTCTGCTTGCTCTGTCCATGGTATTTCTATGTGCACTAGGACTGTCACTGCTATGTATGCTGAGTGTTACTGAGTGTAGGCTGTGGGTCAGGAAATAAATAATTGCTGCCGCCGTGATTGGCTTCGAAGTTCATTGGCGTCCCCCTCTCCACTCAGACTCAGTCCATTCACTCTCTGTCCAAATTCACTCTCGGGCTTCTTCCCTCTTCACACACACATACACATACACAGCAATCCTCAGGCAGCCATGTTCCGAGGAAAGCAGCTTGTAAGCACTTATTACAACGGCCAGCATCACCCAGGAGAACCATGAGACAACGGCCTGTGGCTTTCCCAGCAGGCCATCTCATTCTATTTCTCTCCCGGCAACGGCGGCCCCATTCATTCAATGCACATGCTAACCCCCCACAGTCTGTGCAGTGCCTCCGTGGCCTGTCCAAGAGGTCTTTCGCAGCCGCAGCAGAAGACATCGGTGCTACCAAGGTGCCTATGAGCATCCACGAACAGGTAAGGACTCCCCCAGAGAGCGTGTCGGGATTTGTCCTCCGCCAAATTCACTTCGGCACAAAACTCCGAATCCTCCCTTCCACGATCTATGCTCACACACTTCCCTGTAGAACAAGTTCATCAACTACAAGCGTATCCAAGATAACGTAGACATCGTCAAGAAGCGTCTCGGAAGGCCCCTCACCTATTCCGAGAAGCTCGTCTACGGACATCTCGACGATGCGCACAACCAGGACATTGAGCGTGGTGTCTCCTACCTCAAGCTGCGTCCTGACCGTGTCGCGTGCCAGGATGCCACCGCACAGATGGCCATCCTCCAATTCATGTCTGCAGGCCTCCCAGAGGTCGCTGTCCCTACCACCGTCCACTGCGACCACTTGATTGAGGCTCAGGTAGGCGGACCTAAGGATTTGGCTCATGCCAACGACATCAACAAGGAGGTTTACGACTTCCTTGCCTCTTCCTCAGGAAAGTACAACATTGGTTTCTGGAAGCCAGGATCCGGAATCATCCACCAGATTGTCCTCGAAAACTACGCCTTCCCAGGTGCTCTCATGATCGGAACTGACTCCCACACACCCAATGCCGGAGGTCTCGGTATGATTGCCATTGGTGTCGGTGGTGCTGATGCCGTCGATGTGATGGCTGACATCCCATGGGAGCTCAAGTGCCCCAAGGTCCTCGGTGTCAAGTTGACCGGCAAGCTCTCTGGCTGGACTGCACCCAAGGACATCATTCTCAAGGTCGCTGGTATTCTTACTGTCAAGGGAGGTACTGGATACATTGTTGAGTACTTTGGTCCTGGTGTCGACACCCTTTCTTGCACTGGTATGGGAACCATCTGCAACATGGGTGCTGAAATTGGTGCCACCACGTCCGTCTTCCCCTTCAACGACCGCATGGCCGACTACCTTTCCGCCACCAAGCGAAAGAACATTGCTCAGTACGCAAAGGCCTTTGGAAACTACCTCAAGGCCGATGAAGGCTGCGAGTACGACCAGGTCATTGAGGTCAACCTTTCTGAGCTCGAGCCTCACATCAACGGACCCTTCACCCCCGATCTCGCTACACCCATCTCCAAGTTCGCTCAGACTGCCAAGGACAACAACTGGCCCTTGGACCTCAAGGTCGGACTCATTGGTTCGTGCACCAACTCCTCATACGAGGACATGAACCGTTCCGCCTCTATTGTGCGTGATGCTGCTGAGCACGGACTCAAGTTCAAGTCTCTTTACACCGTCACTCCTGGTTCCGAGCAGATTCGCGCTACCATTGAGCGTGATGGACAACTCGCCACATTCGAGGAAGCTGGCGGCATGGTTCTTGCCAATGCCTGCGGACCTTGCATTGGTCAATGGAAGCGAACAGACGTCCCCAAGGGCGAGGCCAACTCCATCATCTCATCTTACAACCGTAACTTCACTGGACGTAACGACGGTAACGCCAAGACACACTCCTTTGTCGCTTCCCCCGATCTCGTCACAGCTATGGCTTTCGGCGGTTCACTCACCTTCAACCCATTGACCGACACCCTCAAGGGTGCTGATGGCAAGGAGTTCAAGCTCAAGGAGCCTTCCGGTGAGGGTCTCCCTTCAAACGGCTTCGACCCCGGCATGGACACCTACCAGGCACCTCCCAAGGACCGCTCAAACGTCAACGTCGTTGTCTCCCCTACCTCCGACCGATTGCAGCTCCTTGCTCCCTTCAAGCCATGGACGGCCGACTCGGCCAAGAACATGCCTATCCTCATGAAGGTGAAGGGTAAGTGCACCACCGACCACATCTCAGCCGCTGGTCCTTGGCTCAAGTACCGTGGTCACATCCAAAACATCTCGCAAAATTACATGATCGGTGCCATCAATGCTGAGAATGGTGAGGCCAACAGCATCTACAACCCATACAGCAAGAGCTTTGACAAAGTCCCCACTGTTGCCTTGGCGCACCGTGAGGCCGGCAGGCCTTGGGTGGTGATTGGTGAGGAGAATGTCGGTGAGGGATCTTCACGTGAACACGCCGCTATTGAGCCCCGTTACCTCGGTGGTTTCGCAATCATCACAAAGTCATTTGCTCGTATCCACGAGACCAACTTGAAGAAGCAAGGTCTCTTGCCACTCAACTTTGTTGACCCTGCAGCATATGACAAGATTTCCCCTCGTGACACCGTGTCGATCGAAGGTCTCGAGAGCTTTGCACCTGCCAAGAACTTGACTTTGCGTGTCACACCAGAGGGCAAGGGCGAGTCATGGACCACTGAGCTCAAGCACACTTTCAACGAGGGACAGATTGGTTGGTTCCGCGCTGGTTCGGCACTTGCACTCATGGCGGCCAAAGCCAAGAAGAACTAGAAAAGCACTTTCTGGGTTTACATACGTAGATCTCTATACTTTTGATAGGGAGGGTAGCGCAACTCTTTAGGGTTAATCTATCTCTGTTTTGCAATTCCCTGAGCGCTTCTATTTTGTACCTTATCCCGTCGCCTCCTTGGGTCGACCTCTACTCAAGTCGGCTGCATGCGGAGGTACAGTCTTGCAGAACAGGCCAATCGCCTCATCCAGAATCTTCATGGCGGCATCCACTGTTTTGCTATCGATAATGAGTGGCGGCACCATTCTGATTGTATTATTGCCTGCCGTGATGACGAGCAAGCCTCGTTCTCGAGCAAACTTGACGACAGGTGTAGGATCCGCATCCAGTTGCAGGCCAAGCAGCAAGCCACGGCCACGAACCTCGACAACGCGCGAGCCATACTTGGTTGACATTTCTCCAAGAGCCTCTAAAATGCGGGCAGATTGTTGCTGCACATTGGCCAGAAGTGATGGGTGCGAGAGCCGCTCGAGGACATGATGAGCCACTCGACACGCGAGTGGATTACCGCCAAAGGTGGTTCCATGGTCACCAATCGCAATGGCATCTGCTACTCTTTGTGTAAGCATTGTTGCACCAATGGGTACACCATTAGCAAGCGGTTTCGCCATGGTCAAGACGTCGGGCGAGACGGACTTGTCTTCATACCAGCTATGCGCCCAAACACGGCCTGAACGACCCAGACCACATTGAATTTCGTCAAACATGAGCAGCGCGCCAACGGCATCGCACTTCTCACGCAAGGCCTTCATGAAGGACTCATCTGCTGCAAAGACACCACCTTCACCTTGCACAGGTTCGATCAGGACACCACAAAAGCTGTCGTCGAGCATATCAAGGGCTCGGAGATCATTGTACGGCGCATACTCGAAGCCCGGGACCATAGGCCGGAAGGGCGCCTGATATTTCTCATTTGCCGTAGCAGACAAGGCACCCATTGTTCGACCATGAAAGGCGTTGGTGAAAGTCATAATCTTGTGCTTGTCAGCGCCTCCCTTGGCCACAGCCTTTCCATGCTTCCTTGCAAACTTGATGGCAGCCTCGTTCGCTTCTGTGCCAGAGTTGCAGAAGAAGACCTTTTGAGCGTCTTGCATACCACCAGACGCTTTGGTTGTTTCTACAAGCAACTTGGCAAGCTGCCATGACCAGGGCGAGTAGAAAAGGTTGGATGAGTGAATGAGCTGTCGCGCTTGGTCGTGCATCACATTGGCAATCTCCAGGTCACCATGACCGAGCGCCGAGACGGCAATACCAGCGTTGAAATCAATATACTCTGTCCCCTCCAAGTCGCGCACAATGCAGCCTTGACCGGACACCAACGCGATTGGGTTTCGCGCATACGTCGTGAGCATGTATGGCGCATTCTGCTCAATCAGCCTCGCTGTTGGGGAGTCTGACGCTGGGTCTGGGTGTGTGACTGATGAATCTCGCTGTATCTCCGCTAGATCCTCTTGTGGCAGGTTGATGCGGGCAGAGCCGGCATAGCGTCGAGCTGGCCTTGTGAGACAGCGAGCCGCCCGTGAGGCATATCGACAAGGATGCATGATGAGGAGGCCTTGGGCAAGGGTGTGTTTAGAGGGATCGTGGCAGGTTGCGGGCGATGAATTTTGCGATTAGATTGGCGATTGCACCTCGACGACGGTCTCGAGTCTTCGGAGTCAGTCTTCCTAGTCTCAGAGCTACGTAGATAAACATGGAACATCATCAGGCTGCCTCGATGAAGGAGCGCGTCTCGTTCTGCATTGAGGATTCCAACTTCTGCACATGTGTGCTCCAACTCTGCAGCCTGTCCTTCATGTCACCAATCTGCCGCAGATCCAAGACGCGAGGCTGTACCCAGCTGATGGAAACAGTGCTATCGACTTGATCAATGGATCCCTGAATCAGCTTGAGTGCGAGCGCCTTCATGAGCAGATGTTCCACCTCATATACCGGCAATCTCGTTTCTGAAGCGATTGTGGCAAACGTCAGTACACGGTCATGCGTTGGCCGCTTGAAGACTGCCTCGATCAATGTCATAAGGCAAATCTTTTGTCGTAGGAAGGGCAAAGACTGTTGTAGAAGGGGAAGCTTGGCGACTTTTGGAAGCAACTGTTCAAAGCTGCTCAAATCACCAGCATTCAAAGCAGCGAGAAAGTCGCGTAGCCAGGCATGCTCTGTGCCTGCTAATGTCTGGAGGACTGGATGCAGCAAAAGTTCGCCAAAGTTGTAAATGTCTGTGCCTAGGAGCGCTGCAATGCTCAAATCGAATGCACGTTCTTGTGCCTCTGCTTTTGGCAGGTCGTCCATCTTGACGCAGGCAAGGTAGAGGAGTGCCTGTCGGTAGTAAGGGGTGTACTCCGCCTTGGCCTTGTGGTAATCTGCGCTCACTCGGTAGTAGGCTGCGTGGATCAGCGGGTCAACCGAGTCGAATGAGTCAATCACGCCGCCTGCCTCTTCCGTCGCCTTCTTTGCACCTTCGATGTCGCCGAGAGCGAGCTGCAATCGAGCTGCCTCGATGGTCGCATAGACGTACGCGTCATTGTGATCAGGCCGCTTGATTTGACTGGCAAGTTCTTCCATGAATTGAAGAGCCTCCTTGCGGTCCTCTAGCTCTGCTGCTGCAGCAATACCAAAGGAGACAAGCTTGAGCTGGTTGATGTGCTTTGCGAAGTGGAGAACGAAGTTCCGGTAGAGCTTCAGACGCATGTGGTGGGACTCGTCGTGATTATAGAACTCTTGTACCAAGTCGGCAAGCTGCTTCCATAGCTTACGCTCGTATAACTCCTCAAACTGTATGTAGTAGACCTGCAGCTCTTCGCCAGAATTCTCTGCGAGTTCTTGGAGAGCATGCTGTATGTCTGGATCCATGACTGCTCAAAGCTCTATTCTGTGCAGCCTTCTCCTTCTTCCTGGTCCTCTTCTCTCCGCTATAGAAGTAGAAATAGAGGTAGAAGCAGAAGCAGAAGTAGTGGTCGTGGTGTACGCGTCTTCCGGCATTGAGAAAGAGCGACAAGAAGCAAACCGGCGACTCAGCAGACTACAACACCAAGAACAGCTCCAGCCATGATCCGCAGAGGGGCCCAGCTCACAGTGCGCCTCCCGAGGCAGGCAAGAGGCGTAGCAGATATCATGTAAGGATTCTAAGAAGAAATCACCATGCTGACCACCCAATCCAGGATCTCCCGGACTGGCAAGACCATCATGCGGCATGGCCCCGGAGGCAGGTCCTCCAGCAATGGACACACCGCCACCGTGTTCGGTGCAACAGGCTTTCTCGGCCGCTATCTCGTCGCACAACTTGCAAAACAAGGCACGACCGTCGTTGTGCCCTTCCGCGACGACTTCTCCAAGCGGCATCTTAAGGTGAATGGCGACCTCGGCCAGGTGGTCATGATGGAATTTGACTTGCGCAACCGCAAGAGTGTTGAAGACAGCGTCAAGCACTCCGACGTAGTCTACAACCTCATCGGCCGCGATTGGGAGACCAAGAACTGGACATTCGAGCAATTGCACGGACAAGGTACCGAGCGTATTGCAGAAGCTTGTGCCAAGTACAACGTAGACCGCTTCGTCCAACTCTCTGCAGTGGGAGCTGATGCCAAGTCCTCCTCTGGCTTCCTTCGCACCAAAGCACTCGCAGAAAAGGTGGCTCGTGATATCTACCCAGAAACAACCATCGTACGGCCGTCCGTCATCTACGGCTTGGAGGATCGCTTCTTGAACTATCTTGCAACTGCCAAGACCTTGCTTACAGGAAACCACATGCAAGAAATCGTCTATCCAACCTTTGTCCGCGATGTAGCGCGTGCATTGGAGCACATGATGCACGACGACTCTACGGCCGGACAGCTCTATGAGTTGCACCAGAAAGCGCCCATGACCGTTGCTGAGATCACTGAGAAGATCTCTGAAATCACACTGAAGAAGCCCCGTCACTACAACGTGCCAAAAGTCGTGCTTCAAACAGCATCCAAGGTGCTCGACAAGGCGCTTTGGTGGAATGTCCTGTCGGCTGACCAGGTGGAGAGACAGTTCATCAACGAGAAGCTGACTCCGGGTGCCAAGGGCTATAGCGATCTCGGCATCCAGGAGCAACAGCTCGATGCACAGACGATGCAATGGCTCAAGATGTACCGCTCAAACACATACTATGATCTGCCTGTCAACCCGAACGACGGCAAAGTCAAGCCTGGAGTCATCCACGTCACAGATTAGAGGGCTGTAGTCATATTTGCCTTTGTGCCTTTACCTCTAGCTCCAGCCTGTTCCCTTCGTGAAATTCGGCGCCAATACAAAATTCAGAGTGAGACCGTGACCACATCCTGACCCTGTAGCCTGCCCGATCCGTGGGGCCCATGTCAGCCAGCCCAGCGCGCAAAGGCGACAGGCTCGAGGCTGATACAGCAGGGATCTTGGAGGACAGAATCGAGGAGAACAAGTACGATTTTGAGGCATACCTCTCGCTTGCTCGCTTTCAACGCGATAAAGCCAAGCTCGACGAAGCGCGAGAGGCGTATGAGAAGCTTCTAAGATTACTGCCCGCATGCGTACGTTCGTCTCATCACTGATTTTCTCGCTGATTCCTAGGCCAGTGTCTGGATCGAGTATGCCGACTTGGAAGCTTCGGCAAGCGAGTTTCAGCGCGTGGAGCAAATCTTCACAAAGTGTCTACAGAGTGTGCTCAATGTAGAGCTATGGAGCTACTATCTAGCATACATTAAGCGTATGAATGATTTATCCACTGGTGGAGCCCAAGCTCGCGCTACTGTTGCCCAAGCATATGAATTTGTGCTCTCTCATGTCGGTTTTGATGTCAAAGCAGGATCTCTCTGGCTGGACTACATCCAATTCATCAGGTCAGCTCCGTCTCACAATGCCTGGGAAGAACAGCAGCAGACTGACCAATTGAGACGCACTTACCAACGCGCCGTCGTGATTCCGCTCAATAGTGTCGAGCAGCTGTGGCGCGAGTATGATTCGTTTGAAAATACCGTCAGCAAGGCAACGGTGAGGCTCTCCAGCATTTAAGATGAGGGCTAACAGCAAGGCGCGCAAGTTCTTGAGCGAACGCAGTCCCGCCTACATGACTGCCCGCGCATGTGCTCGCGAACTCCTTCAGATGACGGAACCGCTCCGCCAGGCAACCTTTCCTGCTTTGCCCACCAGGAATGCAGCCGAGAACAGTTATGTGACTTCCTGGCGGCGCTGGATCGGTTGGGAGAAGCAAGACCCGTTGGAGCTTGATGATCCTAAACAACTGCAATCGCGCGTCAAGTATGCTTACAAGCAGTGTCTCCAATTTTGTCGCTTCTTCCCCGAGATGTGGTTTGATGCAGCATTCTATGCTGCTAGCATTGGGGAGAATGACCTGGCACTCTACCAAGAAGGTCTTGAGGCGAATCCAACGAGCTGGCTCTTGGGCTTTGCTTACGCAGAGGCAGAAGAGCTCGCGAAACACGGCGATGTTGTGAAAGGAACTTTCGACAAGTTGATTTCCAGTAACAAGGAAGCCATGTCTGAGCTAGAAAGTCAAATAGATGAAGCAGCACAAAGCGCTGGAGCAGAAAAGAAACTCAAAATTGGCGCTGAAGATGACGATGATTCAGACGAGGACGAAGAGCCAGGCCAGGATATGGCGGCACTCGCAAACGTTGAGGAGCTGAGATCGAGACTCAAAAGGTATGCTGAGGAGGGCACAACAGCTTACATCATGTACATGCGCGCAATGCGCAGGCTAGAAGGCATCAAGGCCGCTCGGGCTATATTCGCGAGAGCCATCAAAGAATCCAAGCATACATGGCACATATATGTGGCATCTGCGCTCATGGAACACCACTGTTCGAAGGACTCAAACGTCGCAGTCAAAATCTTTGGACGCGGCTTGAAGCATCACAGTGAGAACCCGGACTTTGTCCTTGAGTATCTCAACTTTCTGATTGCCATCAAGGATGATACGAATGCAAGAGCGCTATTTGAGCAGACTACAGCCAAGCTTGAAGGACATAAAGCTGTCAAGTTATTCGAACGCTTCTATGAGTATGAGAGCATGTATGGCGACTTGATCACGGCACAAAAGATGGCCACGCGTATGAGTGAGATTGATCCATCCGCCAATGTGCTCACAAGATTTGGCAAGCGCTTTACGTTCTCAGATTGTGATCCAATTGCTTCTCGAGATCTTGGTCTGACAAGATTGCCTGCCGCAACAGGCCCTTTTCCACCACCACCGCCGCCCCTTTCCCTGCCTCCTTTTGCCGGTATGTCGATGCTGCACGGGGACGGTATACATGCGGCAGTACGTCCCCCACCGGCCCCAGTGCCTCCAGCAGTACTCGACTTGCTCACTCGCTTGCCACCCAGTTCCGCAATGGATTCTTCTCGTCAGTTTCACGCCAAAGCTCTGGTGGATGTGGTTGCATCGCTCGACCTTGAAGCATATCAGGCTAAGCAACAGAAGCAAGCAAAGTCAGCAACGAGCAATGCGACGAAACGGAAAGCAGCAGCAGCTGCCGTTGTTCCGCCTCCGGAGGAGTTGCGAGCACTGGGGAAACACAATGATGCCAAGGATATTTATAATGCAAAGAGACGAGCTTGATTACAACAGGGATAAGGACCCACTCACCTGGTCAATCAGAGACTTTGGACCTGGTCCGATTCCCAGCACTGTACTGGAACCTGCTGCGATCCTATGGCGTCAGTTTATTCGGCAACGAGCAGAGATAGCTTACTGAGTTCGCCCAGCGTCGTGGATGATTTCTGCGACAAGTCCAAGGCTCATTGCAGTCGCTTGCATGACCTCTAATTGTTCCTCAGATTCAACCCTGAGTGCAATTTTGGCTTGGCCAGACTTCTCCCAGCGCCGTACCGTCTAGCATTAGCCAAGTAGCAGTAAGGAATACGCCGAACCTGGGGCATGATCTTCTCTGCGCGTTTATAGCAAGCCAAAGTCGCATGTCCAGCTTGGGCAGCCATTTTTCCCTTCGTCATCTTCAGGTCTATTTGTGTCAGCTGCATGAGAAGACACGTCTACATCGGGCCTACCAGTGCGGACAATGAGTGTAAGCTTATGCTCCTCAGATGCAAAGCTTTTGAAGATATCAGACTTCTCTGCAGTGCTTGTCGGTTCTAAGCGAGACGTGGCAAGGTCTTCGGTGTCATCGTCCTCATAGTCAGACTCCGTTTCAGGTTCAACAGCGACCACGGTCTGGGACAAAGCAGACACTTTACCAGCAATGTAGCCTGTCAGTAAACTTAGAATTGCAGTAGCGACTACAGCCTGCAAGGTTTGATTCATTTCACAGCACAGCTAGTCCAAAATGTAGTGGTCAAGGTGCCCAGGAGCAACTGAAGTTTTCAAATGCGACCGAGGCAAAAAGCACAGATTGAATCAAGTACACATGCATAAGTTTATGTAGTTGCCACATGATCCAAAAGCGCAAAACTTAGTCTACAAAGCTCGTGCTAAGTAAAGGAATTTACAAGCTTTTGGCAATTGCAAAAGAACGCTGCGGCAAGCAGACCAAATCGTTGTTCATCAGCCATCAGCGCTGGAAAGGCTTGGCATTTAGCATTCCAAGTATCCGAGCAACATTGAAATGTACGTATTCGAGATCAAGTAGCTGAACATTGTTCTGCTGCATTTCCAAAAGATCATCCAGCTTGAGATCCAGCTCGAGCAGCCCACGGTTGCGTCCCTTGTAATGCAGGGAAATGACAAAGGTGCCCGGGTTGGGTGAACTGATGTTGAAGTAGATGTTTGACCGACGATTTGCCGGGATGTTTGAAGAAGCAATAACGCCGTCCCTTTCCAGGTGGCCATGCGAGTACTTGAACGGACCAATCACCGTTTTCGCTTGCTTCTTCTGCTTGCCACTCACAGCAACAACTCCAATGCCGCGCGTGAGAGCCTCAGAGCCCTTAGAACCACCAGCTTGCTCCCGAACGTTGAGCAGATAGGCTCTATATGTGTCCAATTGATTTTTGAGGTAGTCGTTGTGATCGCATATGGTTTTGTAGACTGCTTGCAACGATGTCATTTCCGTTACAACCTTTTCTCGAATTGAGCCCAGGTGCGCAATCTCTTCTTCAACTTCGCCAGTCAATGGGTTGTAACGATCATTGGGATCTACCAGCCCTGCATCTGCTAAGTCACGCAGCATATCCAAAGCTCGAATTCCACGACGCACAACAGCGCCATCCCTTGTCTGGGCAGCTGTATCCGCGACGACTGCCAGGTTGAGAGGGCCTTTTGACGCTGGAGAATCCTCTGGAAGCGACCGCAGTATTTGTACAAAGGTGGATTTGGTTTCCATGAAGAGGAGATCATGCTGAGTGATGTCGAGTGAGTGGGTGATGTCTGCTATTGGCGTCTCCCAGCGACTGAATAGTGGCAAGATGATGGACCTATTTTCCGAACGCAAAACTTGAGGAGGTGCGCCACCCACTTCCTTGATCAGAATTCGCAAATGGTTGGCCTTGTCTGGAGCAAGATGGTCGATGTGCTTCTCAAGCAGGAAATGCATGCTGTAGACCTCATTGAGGGTGATATCCAGTGAGAGATCCTTCTTTGACAGGGCGATATATTGATCCATCTCAAGTGTCTCATAAAAGTCTGGCACCTCACAGACATCATTCAGAAATTTGATGACGCGCTGCGCATTGTCGTCGACAAAAGGCTGCAGGGGCGTGATGTACGGCTCCTTGTTGTGCGTTGGCTGATTGACGACATTCTGTAGTAGCTTTGCAATCAGCGTAAGCGTCCGCCGTGGGTTATCGCCAGGAGGAGAATCGACGAGCATGTAACCCGAAGGCGTAACTATCGCAGGATTGATGAAGCGCAAAAAGAAGAACGCGCCAATCAATGACGAAATGATTTGTTCACTCGCCTCAGGGAACTTGCGCCGTGTCAACTGCTTGATCTGCTTGCAAATCCAGCGGATTCCGTAGGGGATGTTGCTCAAATTGTCAATGATGGTTGTGAGCATTGTGTTAGCGATTTCGATCAGCATGAGATAGCGTGGTGTCATGATGGCAATGACATCCTTGTTGGTCGTGATTTGCTCTGGTGCAACGACGCGAGGTAGCGCATCAGGTTCGCTGCCAGTTTCTGCGGTGACCTGCTCAATCATCTGCTCGTACACTTTGAGTGGATTGATCTCCAAGTTGAGATTCCGATGCTCTATCAGAGAGTTGATGCGCTCTGAGAGGACAGATTTGAGATATTGCTGACCGGGTCCCCGCCGAGTGTAAGTGGTCATCATTCTCGAAACGGGTGTGTTTGCCCTGAGCAGATTGGTGTACTCTGATGAGCTTTCGAATTGAGCGGAGAGAACTGTTTGAAACATGGTCAAGAGGAGATTCTCTTCGCGAGACTCGTACTGATTACCGTAAATTGTAAACATGACAGTCTGGAGTAGCTGATCAATTTCGCCTAGTGATACAAGCCTTGTCAAATTTGCAATATGCCTAGGCTCTGACTGTAGCAGACAGAACAGGTTGCCGTATTGCTGCTGTCAGCTGCGTTCATAATGCGGGAGCGAACATACTTGTAGTTTCCTGTCATCGGGGAACGATCCAAGTTGTACGTCTGTTGATTCTTCAAGCTGCGAAACAATCTCATTTTGCTGCTGGTCAGTCAAGTCTGGGTTGGAGGAACGACGAACCTCATCCAAGGCCATTCGGTTCTGAATCAGAAGCGCGATGCGTGAATCCAAGTAGCGAACGTCGCGCTCAAGAACAAAGTTCTTCTTGGACTGGGATGAGATGTTGGCTTTGAGCTTACGCAGCTTCTTTTGCGCTTGTATATGTCAGCTTTCAATATGAAGAGTAATTCGGAAGATGTACCTCGCGACAGCTCATCTTCCACGTCCTGGTCCTCTTGTGCTGCAACAACAGAGTACTACACACTGTCAGCATACGCGCATGTAGGATCAATATTGCAGCATACCATGGCCGTTATACTTTGGCGCTTGTTTGTCTTCTCACTCGACGCATAGCTTTGTAGTGAATTGCGCCTGTTCATGATGTTGCTATGTTGACGAAGGTCGCACTGACGCTGAGACTGCTGAGCTGTACACTCACTGAGAGCTATTTCAAAGGAAGGCGCACTTGTCGAAGCAGCGTAGATGGGGCTGCCGACCCTGATGAAGCCAAGAGAAGGTATGCAAAGAGTCTGCGAGCGGTACAGGGAGATGCCTGTCTGTCGCGTAAGATGCAGTTGCGGCGCCCTCTTACAGCACGCGCACCAAGAAAGAAGGGCTTAGTCCCCAGGCAGAGCAGTGCAGGACGTGTCTGTCTGGGTGTGTATGGGGGGGTTATGCAATTGGGGGGGGGGGGGGGGTCAGCGCGTTGTGTGTGTGTGTTGGTCGATTTTGCTTGTTGCGGCATCAGACAGAAATTGGCGAGGAAGACGTCCATGCTCAACTGCTCAACTGCTCTCATCGGGGCAGAGAGGGGATATGCAGTGATCGATCCAGCATGCTTACTATAGATCTATGCTTATGCTACTACCACTCTGCTTGAATATGTTGCAAGGCACATCATACAGCCTCTGACCTTCTCCATGCAATATTCAGGCCGCGATCTGTGCCTCTTCCTGAACCCAGTCCGGCATATTCATCTGCTGCCTTCCATCTGCAGCGGCCCGCGAGAGCACGCCGGCAATAAGCGAGGTGCACCGCAGGCTGTCGTCGTTGGCAGGGATGCTGTACGTCACCCAGCGTGGGTCGCAGTCAGAGTCAATTATGCCAACTGTAGGCACTCGTCCCTTTGCACACTCCTTGAGCAGTACACGATTCTCCAGTGGATTGAGCACCACCACCAGGTCCGGCACAACTGCATCAGGGGCCAAGTCCGGGTTCTTGCCGGGAAACTTGTTCTTGACGTGACGCGTGACAGTGCCCTTCACCACACCGTGTCCAACTACTTGCTTCCCGTTCGTGATGGTACCGGGAATCCAGCGACTAAAAATGTGATATGCCTGCGCACGCTCAGCGGCTTGAATGACGCTGCGTTTTTGACCAGGTCGTGTTCCAACGAATAGGATATTGCCATCAGCCTGAGCAACGCCACGTACAACAGCCGCTGCTCTACGGAGATGTGAGAGGGTGAGATCCAGGTTGAAGATGTGAATGCCTTCTCTCACACCAAAAATGAACGGTTGTGTGAGCGGATTCCACAAAGAGGTAGAGTGGCCCATGTGTGCCTGAGCTGCTAGGAGCGATGGAATGGTCACGTCCCTATCGCTGGCGGGTTGTATAACTGCTGTCTTGGGGAGTATGCGCTCGATACTTCTGAGCCGAAGCCTGCATAGAGCTTGTTCATGCGTGCACGGCGCATTTTAAGCTGAGCAGCAGAGTAGACGGATGCATCTTGGGCAGCTGCAAAATCTCCTGCACTTTCCAACCTGCCTGCTTCTGCGCTGTCGAAGCTATCTAGAATGTCGTCAATGTCGTAAGCATCTGTGGACGGAAGAGCGTCCAGCATTGCTGTGGGTGATGCTGCTGCCGCATTTCTCGCACAGACGCTCGCTGAGAATGTGCGAGACAGAAGGGGAGCCAGCGTGCTGCGGCCTGGTATCCGCAACATGCTGAGAAGATGCTGGCAGGCACTGGCAGTCTGGCTGTTGCACTGGTCTCTGTCGCTCGTCTTGTCGCTTTCTCTTTTTTCTCGCCGGCAATCCACCGACTACTACACCACCCATCAACTTGGGATCCAGGTCTTCGTAGAGTAAGAGGCCATGTCTGCAGGAGATCCAAACCAGGTGGCAGCTCTTCTAGCTTCTATCACTGCAAATCTTAAAGCAGGCCAACAAGGACAAGCGCCGCCACCACAATCGCAGCAGCAACAGCATCATCAACAGCCCAATCCCTATCATCCTGCTCCACAGCACTTGCAAGGAGGATCTCATGCTCCACTTCCACTGCCATCTGGCCTTCCTCAACCATCTTCCTCCGGTTCGATCGACCTCTCGCAGCTAAGGCCATCCTCAGTGGGCAGCATGCCCATGCCAGGCTACGATACCAGACATGCAGATCATGGCCCCGGGCGCTACGGGCAACCTCCCGCTCCCTACGGTGACGCGTACTCTCATCCTCCTCCTCCTCCTCGGCCCTACGAGTCTGGGCCGGACCGTTACCGTGAGCGAGATCCCTATGCAAGCCATCACGCTCGTTACGACGATCCGTATGCACGTCCACCACCGCATGATTATGATCCACGCTCCAGAAGCCCTCGAAACGGAAGGGACCCGCGTGACAGGGACAGGCCGTACTATAGCAGAGACCGTTCCCTCTCGCCGCCCCGTCGCGGTGGACGAGGTGGTGGCGGCGGCGGTGGTGGTGTTGGCTACGAGGAGGACTCCAAGGTGACAGAGGATCTCATGGTCGATCAAGGGTATGTTGGTCTCATTATCGGTAAAGGCGGCGAGAATCTCAAGCGTGTTGAGCAGACGAGCGGCTGCAAAGTACAATTCCAGCCTGAAAGCGCTACAAAACCAGGAGAGCGTCTGGCCTTTCTGATCGGCTCGCCGCACCAGATTTTGAGTGCGCGACGCATGATTGATGACATTGTCGATGAAAACATCGCCGTCAAGGGCGCACTGCCCGGTGCACGCCATCAGATCCGCCCACCAAAGCCTCCGTCAGGTGGTCAATACGATAACTCGCGCTTGCTAGCAGAAGAGGCAACGTCACCCGAACGACTTGTGCAAATGCTGGTCCCTGACAAAACGGTCGGTCTCATCATCGGCCGCGGCGGAGAGAATATCAAGGACCTGCAAGCCAAATCGCGCGCCAAGATCAACATCGTGCCAGAGAGCCAGTCTGTCAATGGTCATCGGCCTATCAACTTGCTTGGTGAGCCAGAGGCGACAGCCAAGGCCAAGCAACTCATCCTCCAGATCGTCGCAGACGATGAAGCCGGTATTCCAATCTCGCGTAAACCAGCTCCAGAATCCCTTGGTGCTGGGAGTAGACAAGAAGTCCTTCGAGTACCAAATGACGCCGTGGGTATGATTATCGGAAAGGGAGGCGAGACCGTCAGGGACATGCAAGCGACCACCACCTGCTCCATCAAAGTGGCGACATCTAGCGACGGAGACTTCAGAGATATCACTTTGACTGGCACAGATCCGACCATTGCACACGCAAAACATTTGATTAACGAGAAGGTCATGGCCGCCACAGACCGAAACACGCGTGGTAACGCGGGGGCTGGCTCGGGCGCTAATGCCTACGCAGCTGCCAGCCAGCGTCCAGCCGACTATACACAGTCTTATAACTCGGCAGCCTACGGCAGTAATGTCGCTGCTGCTGCTCCGGCAACTGACGACCCATATGCACCTTATGGGGGATACGACGCGTACATCAAGGCTTGGCAGCAGTATCAGCAACAGCAACAACAATGAGATGGACGGGATCATTGATGCAGCACCAAAGACGCAAGCGCAAGACTCCGTCGTCCAATGGGAGATTGTCGTGATTTGGCGTGTTGGAACCAAAATTGTGTCGTGATTTTGATTGACATTGTCGCTGAATGCTTGTGTCTCGTTTCTCGTCTCTCGGCATTTTCACCTTCTTCGATGTGTTCCATGTCATCGCACGCTCAAGTCTTCTTGCTCTATTCGGTCCTGCGAGAGACTTGCTTTTGCTCAGCCATTTGCGCGGCTTGGACTTTTGCCTGCTCGTGCTTTGTTTTCTAGGGTTGTGTTCTGCTTTGCCCTCCAATACGTGCAAGTGCAGTGCTCGAGAAATGGTTGGATCTTGGATTGGTACCGGTGCATGTCTCGTTGCCTTTCTTCTCGGGTCGTTTGTAATTGTTCTTGCTAGATTCTGTCCTAACGATTATCTTCCATAGCACAGCACTGCAACAAGCTTTCAACAAAGAAGGTTCAGTGAAGAAGGAGAAATCCATCTGAAGGTCTGTCGCCTCCGTGCACGGCAGCTCCACCATCTTTCCCTAGGTATCTCGTTGCAATTAGTAGCCTGCCCACCACTTGTTTAGCTCGAAGGTCTCGCATTCCTCATAGTCGCGCAGAGCATCATTGCAATGGCATCAGAAGCTCACTGTCTCTTTGCTTTCGACGTGCTTGAAAGTCACTTTAGTAAGGAGCGCAGCCACAAAACTCTCAAAGACTGGCAACAGCTGTCTCTTGCGTCTGGAGGTCAATTGCCTTCACCGTCTCTTGCGACGGATGAAGAAATGCCCATCTTTGTGACATGGAATTCCGGTACTGGTCAAGAAAAGCGTCTACGCGGCTGTATTGGCACATTCTCAGCGCACCCCTTGGAGATGAGCCTAGCTAATTATAGCGTCACAGCGTATAACTACAGTTTGGAGAAGCCAACACGCTAACATATCACAGTGCAGTTCGAGATTCAAGATTCAGACCCCTGACGGCAAAGGATCTCCCCAGCTTAAGTTGCGGGTAAGTTGCACTACAAGCAGTTTGCAACTGACCAAAGTATTTCCATCTTGTCATCCTTTGAGCCAATTGACGATCCTTTCGACTGGACAATCGGTCAGCATGGGCTTCAGGTCCACTTCGTTCATCGCGGTCGAGGCTGTGGTGCGACCTATCTTCCTGAGATTGCTAAAGTGCAAGGCTGGACGAAAGAGGAAACGCTCAAATCCCTATTGAAGAAGGGCGGATTTGACGGAAAGTCAGATTGGCGCGATCTGCATTTGGACATTGAACGATACCAATCTAGCAAGTATGAAGTACCATACAAGCGATACAACGCTCTCAAGACAAAGCAATAGGCGAGTCTATTGTTTACTAAACACATCAATATGCTTTTGTGATCATTGCAGGGCCTGCATCAGTAATTGTCGCCTGTCCCCCAATTGCCCGAGCAGTTGTTCAGCTTGGCCTTCGGGCAGGGCAGCAAGCAATTGCCGTGTAGATCTGACGACGACAGCCTTCGTGGCGTCTGTGAGGATGGCTGCCCCAAGCACTTGCGCAACACTGTCGACAACTGCGACCAGTGAACCGGCAATCGCAGGATGTTTCCTACGCATGTTAGCATATTGCATGATGATGGAGGCACTTACTTGTCCATCAGCTCTGCCAAGAAGCGATACGCATATGGCGCATCCTCCTCGTCGTGCGTGACTGGCAGCGTGGAAAGCCAGCGCTCGATGATCTGATCGGGCTGTACGACCTTACTTGAGTTGAACCGCAAGATCTTAGCAATGGAACAGCAAGCATTCTCAGTGGCATAGATGTTGTCGTCGGAACGCGCCTCCGGTGCCTCAATCAGAGCAAAGAGGGTTCCTAGCGATTGTGCAACGAGATCCGAGAAGACTTCCCCTCCGTGCTGCGCAGCACATCCGATACCATATGCAGCAGCTTGACGCACTTCAGCTTCACTATCGCTCAAGCCATTGGCCAAAGGTTGCAAAAACATGTCCTTGAATGCCCATGAATCTGGTCCACAGAACTCAATCAGATCATCCCATACACAGACGACCCATTGCCGCAGGGAAGCGTCAGGAGAGGCAGCTTGACGCGTAACAAAGGGTAATAACCGCTGCCACTGAGGGATAAAGCTGGTCTTGTACTGCTTGAAGATAACGTGAAGAGTCTTGCTGATCTCGCCGAGCAATTCCTCATCAAGCTCAATCTCGTATAAGACTTCTTCATCCTGCTCGAGGTCAAGATCTCCGGCCTTGTGATCGGCCGCACGAGTCTCCATGCGCCGTTGGTAGTCGCCAAGCTGTGATTCGGTGCTCGTAATCAAGGCCGACATGTCTTGCTCGGTCAAGGATCCAGGGCCAAGCACTTCAATGGTCTCATAAAGACCCTGATAAAAGTCGCGCACCAAGTCGACGCTGGGCTCTGATTTGATCAGGTCAAGCAGTTTGCTCAGCACAGGCCTCCAAGCAGATGCAAGAACAGCCTGATTGCCAACATTTGCAACCTTGACACAATTGAACAATTGCGGCATGAGTCTTGCGGCCGCGGTCCGTACGCCATCGTGGTAGTAAAACGATAGGCCTGGCAATGCGATTTCGGTGAGAACTTCTTGTGCGTATGGCTCGAAGGCGGCCTTCAATTCGGCAGCGTAAAGGACGAGCATCTCAACAGCAGAGCTCTTTTCTTCCAAGGTACTGGTCTTGATGCCGACGTGCTGGCCTCTGACGGGGAAGAATTCCCAGCCTTCTTCCTCTGCAAAGTCCTCTTTCTCGTCCTCGTCATTGATGACTCTGAAGTCTGGCTTCAATTTGGCAGACTTGAGTAGCGGTGGCATGACAGCTTGAAGGTAAGGCTTGAAGTCGTCTCCCATAACTTTGCACAACCGTCCCCAGGCAGAAATCAAGTAATGTGATTGAGGGTCATCGGCGGAGACGACCTCGGTCTGAATGACGCCGAGCGCTTGAATGAGCTCTTGCGACAGTGGCGCAAATGTTTCTTTGCCTACTGCGAGGGCAATCAAGGTTGCACACTCCATAGCTTTCCCTCGGAGTAGACGGTATTCTTGGCCTGTTCCGGTACGCAGAACGTTTACAAGGAGAGGCATGATTGTTTCGTAGTACTTTGCAAACTTCTTCTCTGCGGCATCTGCAACAGTGGCAATGGTAGTGACAGCTTGTTCTTGCACGTATCTCTGAGGTCGCTGCAAGAGCCCAAGAAGTCGCTCGAGGATCGGGTCCAGGAATGGCTCTAGCTTGAGGGCATCCGCGCTCTCACAAAAGTTGACGAATGCAGCAGCCGCATGCGCTGAGACGCGTGACTCTGGGGCTTGAAGCGCAGGAATGAGGCCTGCTAGGACACGATCGTTGAATTTTTCTTGAACGTCGCCCATGAAGTCAGTCGACATCTGGCCGATAGCATTGCATGCAGCCCAACGCACTCTCGGGTGTACATCCTGCAGACTCGGAAGCACCATATCCAAAACGCGACCCAACTCTTCGCGCATGATTTTCTCGCAACCTTCAGCGATGGCGGAAAGTGCCATGAGGGCAGCGACCCTCTGCCTCCAATCATCAGATGCCACCAATTTAGGCAGCCACTGAAACGCCGGCGGCAGAATGGTCTTGCCACCAAGCTTTCGTGCGAGTCTGTCCAACGCCTGCTCAGCGGCCATGTGGTTGGCATCACTCTCGTCCAGGTCCAAGTCTTCTGTATCGAGCCATTCTTGCGTCTCATCATCGCCGCCGAGATCAGTCATGAGTGCGAGAATCTCAACAACCAGGTCATTGGCATAGTTGGAATCCTTGCGACACATGCCAGGCGCTCCCTCCGCAAAGCTTACTAGAACCTCGAGGGCTGCTTGACGCGCAGAAGGCTCCAGCTCCTTGTTTCGAATGACTGCGATGCCAAAGTTGACAAGATTGGCAAAGATGTTGCGGAAAAGCTTTGGGTAGGCTTCAACGAGCTCCGTCAATGCATTGAGCGTAAGGGTCAGGCCATCCGAGTCCAGATCTTCGAGCAAGGGTGGAAGGACGTTCATGAGAGCAGGAATCAGTGGTTCCATAGCCTTTCTACTCTGGTCGACCGTAGTAATCAGGAATATGCTGAGAGCCTGAACAGCAACAAGCCGGACTTTCTTATCCGGGTCCTGAAGACCGCCGAGGAAAGTTTCACCGAGTTGAGGAGTATAGGAGGCACCAAGCAATTCTGGGGCAGAGCCAAACACACGGAAGGCTGATTCGCGAAACATGGACACAGGGGCACGCGAGCATTCGAGCAAGACTGGTCGGATTTCTGGCCAGCTTTCGGTGTACTGACTGATTTCGGCGATCAGGTCAGCGAGCTTGTGCCGAACGGTCGCCTCTTGTTCCTTGACAAATGAGGCCAGCAGTGTCTGCTTGACTTGATTTTGCGCTGTTTCACCAATGACATCCCACACTGTATCATCCGTACCCTCGGGACTGCTAGGAGCGTCCTTGGCTGCTATCCTTCTCAAAAGCACGGCGCTAAATGCTCGTAGCGCTACTTCAGAGGCTACATTGGTCTGCTCTGCGAGCCCAGCAAGAAGCATACCGGGTCGTTGCGCAATCCAGTCTTCGTTGAGCGACTTTTCAGCGGCGGAACGCTCCTGATTATTCGTTGACGTGAGTGCGCTAAGCAACACCACGAGAGCATGAGCTGCATCTCCTTGCATCGACATGCTGCGTGTAGCTGCAGTGGTCTCTCTCGAGCTGAAAGTCTTCCACTGAACGGAGCTCGGGCGATGGCGATGGCCTACAGCTGATGGGTTGGGATGGGCTTGCTTGTACGCGCTTGGTGTGTCTGTGGCCGTCACTTTTTTTGTTCTTTTCCGAGCTGGCGGTGGACGGGGAGAGCTCCTCTTGCCTTCCCACGGACTTTTGGAACATACGTGGCCTACATCAAAGCTGGACCCAGTACACAGACACGCCCTTAGCTTCTGGCCAGAGACAGATCCCAAGGGCTTGCATCGATCGCAAGATGCATCTTCTGGTAGACTCGCCTCTCGTCGTCGGGGCTTCCCTGCACAACCCAAGGCCCAGGATCCTGCACCCATACGTCCTGCCGTACATCGTGCTCTACCCGATCTGGGCCTATGTCTACAATTACAAGTACAACGAATGGCTCGGCAGCGAGGAGTGGACATTCATCACGATTGTTACCCTCATCACCACCCAGTCGCTGCTCTGGCTCGTCGGTCACTGGAGTATTGCTGCAAAAGCATGGACGCGCTATTCAAGGGCTTCGTCCATCGCAACGGCCAAGTCCATTAAGATTGTGCCCGCGGTCGACCAAGGCAGTCCAGAGATTTGTGCACTCGACTCGACACAGTATGCTGGCGAGAAGGAGCGCGAGATCAGCTTCACCTTTCAAAAGAAGAAATTCATCTTTGACACAGATCGCAAAGTCTTCCGCGAGGTCATCTTCCCGATAGATCAGCAACCTTCAATTGCGAAGTACCAAGGAACTTCTGGTCTTTCTTCATCCAAGGCGCTCGAGACTGCTGAAAGACTCTATGGTTTCAATCGCTTCGACATCCCCATTCCAACGTTTGCTGAGCTATTCAAGGAGCATGCTGTTGCCCCGTTCTTTGTTTTCCAGATCTTTTGCGTGGGTCTCTGGTGCTTGGATGAGTACTGGTACTATAGTCTGTTTACCGGTTTCATGCTTGTTGCCTTCGAGTGCACCGTCGTGATACAGCGACAAAAGACCTTAAACGAATTCAGAACAATGAGCATCAAGCCCTATCCTATTATGGTGTACAGGCTCAATAAATGGATAGAGGTCCAAACAGACGAGCTGTTTCCCGGAGATATTGTCAGTGTGACACGCTCTAAAGATGATGCAGGTGTGCCCTGCGACATTCTGCTCATGAGTGGATCTTGTATCGTCAATGAGGCAATGCTCAGTGGCGAGAGTACGCCGCTGCTCAAGGAAAGTATTGAGCTGCGAGCAAGCACTGAACTGGTTGATCTTGGAGGCTTGGACAAGAACGCTCTTCTTTCTGGTGGTACAAAGGTTCTGCAGGTCACGCCAGCTCAATCCTCCGACAAGATCAAGGTCAAGCCAGCTCCAAACGGTGGTGTTCTTGGTGTTGTCCTGCGCACCGGCTTCGAAACGCAGCAGGGCAGCCTCGTCCGCACTATGATCTATTCCACCGAACGTGTCTCTGCTAATAATGTCGAGGCGCTCTTCTTCATTCTCTTCCTCCTCGTCTTCGCCATCGCAGCCTCGTGGTATGTCTGGACCAACGGCGTATTGCAGGAACGCCCAAAGAAGAAGCTGTTGCTCGACTGCATTCTAATCGTCACTTCTGTTGTACCGCCTGAGCTGCCGATGGAGCTTTCCTTGTCTGTCAATTCGAGTCTCGCTGCGTTGAGCAAGCATTCTATCTTTTGCACAGAGCCGTTCCGGATCCCCTTCGCAGGGCGAGTGGACGTTTGCTGTTTCGATAAGACTGGAACCTTGACAGAAGAAGATTTGGTTGTTGAAGGTGTCGCTGGTCTGAGCGGTGATTTTGATAAATTGCAAGATATTGGCTCTTCCCCGACGGAGACAGCACTTGTGCTAGCAAGTGCGCACAGCGTAGTCCGCCTCGATGATGGCACTACGGTTGGTGACCCCATGGAGCGTGCTACGCTGACAAGCATCGGATGGCGTGTCGCTGCAGCTGATCAAATCTTCCCACCTGCCGCCTCTGATGCGTTCCGAGGCGATTCGATAACCGTGAAGCGGAGATTCCAGTTCAGCTCTGCCCTCAAGCGTCAGAGCACTGTGTCCAGTCTTGCGAATAAGGAGCGAAAAGGAAGCAAGTTGCTTTGCAGTGTCAAAGGAGCACCAGAGACCATCAAGACTATGCTCACCTATGTTCCCGAGGGCTATGATCAGACATTTAAGCACTTCACGAGAAACGGCTCCCGTGTCATTGCCCTTGGTTTCAAATACATGGCAGAAACTCTGTCGTCGAAGCAGATCAACGACCTGGAACGATCTGCGGTGGAGTCGTCCCTGCAATTTGCTGGTTTCCTCATTTTCAGTTGCCCATTGAAGCCTGATGCAAAAGACACTGTCAAGGAGCTGAACCAAAGTTCACACCGCGTCATCATGATCACTGGGGACAATCCTCTGACTGCTTGTCACGTCGCGCGCGAGGTGGAAATCGTGGATCGACGTACGCTGATTCTCGATGCCGTGGAGACCGAGACTGGTTCTAATATCTTGTGGCGATCCGTTGATGAAACAGAAACCTTTCCATTCGATGCTGCACAGCCTTTACCTCGGAAGTTGATTGACAACTACGATCTGTGTGTCACTGGATATGCCCTCTCACAGATGGCTGCTTCTGCGACCATGAAGGATATCATTCGGTACACATGGGTCTATGCTCGTGTCTCGCCTACGCAGAAGGAGTTCATTCTAAATGAGCTGAAGTACATGGGCTACACAACTTTGATGTGTGGCGATGGTACCAATGACGTGGGAGCATTGAAGCAGGCGCACGTCGGAGTTGCTCTTTTGAATGGATCAGAGGACGATTTGAAGAAGATTGCTGAGCATGCTCAGACAACGCGTCTTCGCGCTGTTTATGACAAGCAATCCGAGCTCCTCGCTCGATGGAACCGACCACCACCTCCAGTGCCCAAGCCAATCGCTCATCTTTACCCACCAGGGCCCTCAAATCCACATCGTCTTGCTCGGTTGACTGAGCAAGGCAAGACGCCCTCCGAGATTAAGGCTGCTGATGATTTGATTGTCGCTCAAACTGCGCTTACTAAGTCCGGCGACGAGAAGACCAGTGCATCTGAGAAGCCCAAGCCTGGTCCGGGAGGGTCCATGATGGACAATATGCTTGCACAAATGAGCGAGTTGGAAGATGATGACGACACTCCGCCCACAATCAAGCTCGGGGATGCATCCTGTGCAGCACCGTTTACATCGAAGCTTGCAAAGGTTGGTGCGATTGGGAGCATTTTGCGGCAAGGCCGTTGTACCCTTGTGGCCACCATTCAGATGTACAAGATTCTCGCACTCAATTGCTTGATCTCTGCATACAGTCTCAGTGTGCTGTATCTGGATGGCATCAAGTTTGGTGACGGGCAGGTCACCATCAGCGGTATGCTGATGTCTGTTTGCTTCATGTGCATTTCTCGTGCACGTCCGCTGGAGAAACTGTCGAAAGAACGTCCACACCCTGGTATCTTCAATGTCTACATCATTGGGTCTATTCTTGGCCAATTTGCGGTGCACGTTGCCACGCTCATCTTCATCTCGCAGTACATTCAGCGCACGCACCCGAAGGAACCAAAAATTGATCTGGAGGCCAAGTTTGAGCCTTCGTTGCTCAATTCGGGCATTTACCTCTTGCAGTTAACGCAGCAGATTTCGACCTTTTCGCTCAACTACCAGGGCCGGCCATTTAGGGAGTCAATCCGGGAGAACAAGTACATGTACTGGGGCCTTGTGAGCGTTGGCGCCCTTGCCTTTTCGTGTTCCACCGAGTTCATTCCAGAGGTCAATCAGCAGCTCAAGTTGGTCAAGTTCACTGTAAGTTCCCACTCTTTACTATCTGGTAAGTATGCTCACATAACAAGGATCTGTTCAAGGTCGTCATTACGGCAACGATGCTGGTGGATTATGGCCTGTGCTACGTAATTGAGCAGTTCTTCAAGCGCTTCTTCTCGGATTCTGCGGCCAAGGACATTGCGCGGAGGTAGAAGGGGTCGTTGGCCTCAGACATAGATAATGTTAGACATCGCATTGCTGCCGTTTCAGGCCAGGGAACAGTGAGACACATCTGACAGCGGGGCCTGTGCTGGCCAGGCTCTGAACTCACTGTACTCAGCACCCGCCTCCCGTGGCCTGCCCACTAACCCTGGCAGCGTCGGCCGCGGGACAAAGGCAAGAATTTTAAAAAAATTTGTATAAGAGAAGGGAAGGCCGCCCAGTCTTGCTTGCCTCTAACCTTCTCGAAGTGTCGGGACAGAGATAGCACATATTCTCCCTCTCCAACACTCCCTTACACCACCATCATGTCTGCCGCTACCGGAAACAAGCAGTCCATCAAGATCCTCGACGAGCTCCTCCAGAAATTGAGCATCGCAAAGGATGAGGCGGAAGTCTCTGCCGCCACCCACAGCCTCTCGTCCTTTATCAATGGCGCCATTGAGGAGCAAGAGTCAGTCTATCCCTCAATTCATCCGCGAGAGTCATGCTAACCACGATAGTGCGCCCGTCAAGGCCGTCGAGACCCTCAAGACATCGTTGAACAACAAGAAGGATGCCACGGCCCGTCAGAAGGCACTCGAAGCCATCTCCGCCATGGTCAGTGCGCCAGAAATCGGTGCTGCTTTCGAGCCATTCCTCGTCGACTTGCTCGCCATTTCCATTGAGAAGATCGCCGATAAGCAGACCCCTGTTCGTGACGCCGCCATCAGCACGTCCCACAGCGTCATCCGCAAGATCAACCCTTACGCAATCAAGGCTGTCCTCCCCATCATCATTCAATCCATTGAGAATGCATCAAAGTGGCAGGAGAAGTTTACCTCCCTTACCTTGTTGGAGGACCTCGTTGAGGTGGCACCCCGGCAAATGTCGACCTGCATGCCTGATCTCATTCCTGTTGTGTCTTCTGCCATGTGGGACACCAAGCCCGAAGTTAAGAAGCAGGCCCGTCTTACTATGAACAAGATCTGTACGCTCGTGTCCAACGCCGACATTGAAAAGTTCATTCCCGTTCTTATTGAGTGTATTGCAGACCCTGACCAGGTGTCAGAGACTGTTCACACCCTTGGTGCCACAACTTTCGTGCAGGAGGTGCAGACCCCTACCCTCGCCATCATGGCTCCTTTGCTTTCTCGTGGTCTCAATTCGCGTGAGACACCCATCAAGCGCAAGGCCGCTGTCATTGTGGATAACATGACGAAGCTCGTCGAAAGCCCTCGTCTCCTCACACCTTTCATGGGTACTTTGCAGACTGATTTGCAAAAGGCGTTCGATGGTATGGCCGATCCCGAGGCTCGCGAAGTCGTTGGCCGTGCACAAAAGACTTTGAAGCAATTCGGTACCATGGACCCTGCAGTCGCAGCTGAGTACGCTGTGCCCAAGTTCCTGGAGACCCTCAAGTCTGTTATCGGCATCAAGGTCGACAAGCACCACGAGCCCATACTTGGCTTCATCGCAGCTATTGTCTGCGAGCTTGCCGAGGTGGACAACTACCTCGAGAAGATGGAATTCCAGCAACATACCGTTATCTACTTGGCTACTCTTCTGCCTCAAGAGAAGGCAGTCGAGGTGTCTGAAGCCTACCGGCAAAAGTCGATCAGCAACATCGGTGGTGGTTCGCCCGCTGACAAGGAGGAAGAGGAGCAGGGAGACGTTCTCTGCGACTGCGACTTCTCGCTCGCTTACGGTGCCAAGATCCTTCTCAACAGGACAAACTTGCGTCTCATTCGTGGTTCCCGTTACGGTCTTTGTGGCCCCAACGGATCCGGCAAGTCCACCCTCATGAGGGCTATTGCCAATGGCCAAGTCGACGGCTTCCCTCCTGCAGATGAGCTCAAGACTGTCTACGTCGAGCACGACATTGACGAGTCTGAGGCTGAGGTCCGCACTCTTGACTTCATTGCTTCTGACCCTCGCTGCACCACTGACGTTGGTCTCACAGCCGAAGACTGTGAGCGCGAACTGCGCAACGTCGGTTTCAATGACGACCTCATCAACAAGCCTGTTGGTGGTCTTTCTGGTGGATGGAAGATGAAGTTAGCTCTTGCCCGTGCCATGCTCCAAAAGGCAGACATTTTGCTTCTCGACGAGCCCACCAACCACTTGGACGTGAAGAATGTCAAGTGGCTCGAGGACTTCCTCATTGGCCAAAAGAATGTCACGTCCATGATTGTCTCCCACGACTCTGGCTTCCTCGACCGCGTCGTTGAATACATTATCCACTACGAAAGGTTCAAGCTCCGCAAGTATCAAGGTAACTTGTCTGAGTTTGTGAAGAAGGTGCCTTCGGCCAAGTCCTACTACGAGCTCGGCGCATCGGAGCAGGAATTCACATTCCCCGAGCCTGGATTCTTGGAAGGTGTCAAGACCAAGCAAAAGGCCATCATCAAGGTCAGCAACATGGCATTCCAGTACCCTGGCACTGCAAAGCCTCAGCTAGAGGACATTACTTTCCAGTGCTCGCTCTCCTCTCGTATTGCTGTCATTGGTCCCAACGGAGCTGGAAAGTCCACTCTCATCAAGGTGTTGACCGGAGAACTCATTCCTGGGTCTGGTGAAGTCTGGACACATCCCAACTTGCGTATCGCATACGTTGCTCAGGCTGCTTTCACCCACTTGGCTGCTCATGTTGACGAGACCCCTAGTGACTACATTCAGTGGCGTTACCAGACTGGTGAGGACCGTGAGACCATGGACCGTGCCTCGCGTGTCGTTACAGAGGAAGATGAGGAGGCTATGGCCAACAAGATCTTCCGCGTGGAGGGCTCGCAGCGCAAGATTCTTTCCATCAATTCCAGGAGAAAGCTCAAGAACTCTTACGAGTATGAGATTACCTGGCTTCTTGGCAACAACGTCGGCATGAAGAGCGAGTCTTGGACTCCTATGATGTCTGCTGACAACACATGGTTGCCTCGTGGTGAGCTCCTCGAGACCCACCAGAAGATGGTGGCCGAGGTCGATCTCAAAGAGGCGCTCAAGTCCGGTCAGTTCCGACCTCTCACCCGCAAGGAGATTGAGACACACTGTGGTCTGCTCGGTCTCGAAAGCGAGATTGTCTCTCACTCGCGTATTAAGGGTCTGTCTGGAGGTCAGAAGGTGAAGTTGGTTCTTGCTGCATGCACATGGCTCAAGCCCCATATCATTGTGCTTGACGAGCCCACCAACTATCTCGACCGCGACTCTCTTGGTGCTTTGTCAAAGGCTCTCAAGAAGTTCGAGGGTGGTGTTGTCATCATTACTCACTCTGCCGAGTTCACCAAGGAACTTACTGACGAAGTTTGGGCTGTCGACAACGGTCGCATGATGCCTTCGGGACACAACTGGACACAAGGTCAGGGTTCTGGTCCTCGTCTTGAGGAGAAGGGCGACGAGGAGGTCAAGTTTGACGCCTTCGGCAACAAGATTGAGCAGGCCAAGAAGAAGAAGGCGCTCACTGGTGCCGAATTGAGGAAGAAGAAGAAGGAGCGCATGGCCCGCAAAAAGGCACAGGGTGATGCATATGTCAGCTCTGAGGAGGATCTCTAGACTTGTTTCATGTAGACGCACTTGCTTGCCTAATAGACTCATTCATGCTATGCTATAGACTCAACCGGTTTCCATCATTAGCCGTCCACATCCTTGATGCCTCTGACATTTCATTCCTGTAGCTAGATTCTAGAATCGGCGCAAAGCAGACCTTGAGCAGAGTTGGCCTTCGTGCGATTCTTCAGCCAGAAAATTTTCGGCTTCAGCACTTTACGACGACAGTCCTACAGCCTGGCAGTGCGCAGCATGTCGGTCAACTTCCTGCTTTCCGAGTCTGCTACAGGATACAGTCTCTATGAAGTCGTACAGGCTGAAGAGATTGGCGCCCAGACGAAAGAAGTACAAGAGGCTGCTCAGGATCTGAGCAAATTCGGCCGCTATGTCAAGCTCAAGTCGTTCGCTCCCTTCAAAAACGCGGCACATGCTCTAGAGAACGCCAATGATGTCTCCGAGGGTCTTGTTCACGAGCATCTCAAAGCATTTCTGGAGATGAACTTGCCGAAGGCGGGCAAGAAATCCAAGCCGGTCTTGGCCGTATCCGACAAGAATCTGGCAGGCAGCATCATGTCAGCCTTACCTGGTGTCGAATGTAGTGCAGCTGAGCTTGCTCAGGCACTGTTGCGCGGCGTACGTCAGCACGGCCCAAAGTTGTTGAAGCAGTTGCAAGCTGGCGATATGGAAAGGGCGCAACTGGGCCTCGGCCACAGCTACTCTCGCTCAAAGGTCAAGTTCAATGTAAACCGCTCGGACAACATGATCATTCAGGCTATTGCGCTCATCGATCAGCTTGACAAAGACATCAATACCTTCTCCATGAGGGTTCGTGAGTGGTACTCGTGGCATTTCCCAGAGCTTGTCAAGCTCGTCAACGACAACCGCAGTTTTGCCAAGCTTGCTATGGTCATTCGTGACAAGAATAGCCTGAACGATGAGCGTTTGCACGAGATTGCCTCACATGTGAGTGACGATGAGACAATTGCTCAGTCAATCATTGACGCTGCCAAAATATCCATGGGCCAGGACATTTCTGAGGCTGACATGGAAAATGTCATTACGTTTGCAGAGCGTGTCGTCAAGCTGGCAGATTATCGCATCCGTCTGCACAAGTACCTAGTGGACAAGATGGCTGTCGTTGCACCGAATCTTGCTGAGCTGATCGGTGAAATCGTCGGTGCTCGTCTCATCTCTCATGCAGGCTCGTTGACGAACTTGTCAAAGTACCCAGCCTCGACCATTCAAATCCTCGGTGCCGAGAAGGCTCTCTTCCGTGCGCTGAAAACGAAGGGCAACACGCCAAAGTATGGCCTGATCTACCACTCTTCATTCATTGGCAGGGCAGGTCAGAAGAACAAAGGGCGGGTCTCTCGATTCCTGGCCAACAAAGTATCTATCGTCTCTCGCATCGACAACTTCACAGATGTGCCATCGACCAAATTTGGCGAAGTGCTCAAGAGGCAAGTAGAGGAACGGCTTCAATTTTATGAGACTGGCGAGACACCCACCAAAAACGAGGTTGCCATGAAGGAGGCCATGCAATCTGTCCTCTCAGATATCAAAGTGGCTGTTCCCGAAGTCGAGTCTAGCAGCTCCAAGAAGAAGGCATCCAAGTCTGACAAGACTGAAAAATCTAGCAAAAAGGACAAGAAGCGGAAAGCAGAGGAGACCGGCGAGAAATCGTCCAAGAAGAAGAAAAAGTCGAAAGACTGATGTTCGTCTCTGAGTCCTGTGTATAGTCTTCTAGCAAGCCATGTCTTCTCCGCGCTGAGCCTTGTGATATCAGGGCTTCTTCCATGCCTCACCGAGTTTGCGGCCGTGAGATTTGGCGCGCGCCATGTCATCCGTCGACCGAAGCTGGCTGGATCTGTCATCGAGCACATCGGTCGGCTTCTCGTAGTCAACAGCAAAACAGGGGTCGCCGGAGCACAGCACAGGGATAGGGATGAGTGCTGCGACGCCCGTTACAGTCCCGTGCAAGTATGTTATATGCCCAATCCGAGGTTGAAACTGACGACAGATATCTTACGGGGAAAACTCTTGGCACAGGGTATGACGCACGCTGTATGGTTCAAGCAAGTAGAGCTCTAACGATAGAACGTACGCAGTGGTTAGAGAGTGCGTGCACATTGACACAAACCGCTACTATGCGGCCAAGGTTATCAATAAAAAGCTCATGGCCGGCCGAGAGCATATGGTACAAATACAGGCACACTTTGCATAAACTGACGGCTTAGATCCGGAACGAAATCGCTGTGTTGAAGCGCATATCGCAGGGTCATCGCAACATACTGACGCTGGTGGACTTCTTCGAAACGCAGAATAATCGTAAGAGTCCTCACAAGTGCTACACAGCCTGACGCTAATCTTAGTCTATCTGATCACGGACTTGGCTTTTGGCGGAGAGCTCTTCGACCGGATCTGTAAAAAAGGGTCCTATTATGAGTCTGATGCCGTCGAGATTGTCAAGACTACACTCTCGGCTGTTTGCTACTTGCATCAGAATGGTATTGTGCACCGGGACCTGAAGCCTGAGAATCTACTGTTCAGATCACCGGCTGAGGACTCTGACCTTCTACTCGCCGACTTTGGGCTTTCGCGCATCATTGACGAAGAGCAGATGCACGTTTTGACTACCACTTGTGGAACTCCAGGATACATGGCACCTGAAATATTCAAAAAGAATGGTCACGGGAAGCCGGTGGACATGTGGGCTCTCGGAGTCATCACGTACTTCCTGCTTTGTGGATACACCCCTTTCGACCGCGATACCTCAGTGGAGGAAATGAAGGCTATCATGGAAGGAGATTACGCATTTGAGCCGGAAGAGTACTGGGAAGATATCTCTGAGCATGCCAAGGACTTTATAAATCAGTGCCTGACGGTTAATCCGGCGAATCGTTTGGCATCTGCAAAAGCCGCGCAACATCGCTTCTTGACACAAGAATTCGACAAGGCGAAGGCTGACCTACTCCCAGCTGTGAGAAAGAATTTCAATGCGAGGAAGACATTCAATGCGGCCATCACAGCCGTTAAGGCGATGAACAGCATGAAGAACGGTGGCGCCATGAATGGTATTCTCAGTCTCAGTCCGCAAGCTGCGAAACCAGTGCCTCTCAATCCGGAATGCCCCTTGGATCCTGTCGGAGCAGCTAGCCGGAGGGCGAGCACGCGCAGCAATCAAGGCAATGCTACCAACAGCAGCACTGGCTTATGGAGCAGAACGTCAGGGTAGTCTTATCTCGTATGCTGTGTCAGGACGTATTCTACGGAGGCAATCATTACCACTAAAAGCTATTCACGACCATTGACGTTTTTGTCGTTGTCTCGCGTGTCCTTACTTCCCGACCTTGAGTAGTACTTGTCAAGTGTCTTGCTGCTGATTCTGTTGAGATTCTCGCGAGGGAAAATGCGCAGCAAGCCCCAAGCGATGTCGAGGGATTCTTCGATAGTTCGAGCTTCGTAGGAGCCCTGCGTGATGAATTGCTTCTCAAATTTGTCCAGGAATTCGAGCGAGAGCTTATCATCTTGAGAAAGGGCCTCCTCACCAACGACAGCTTTCATACTTGCGGCATCGCGACCTACAGCATACTTTGCATAGAGCTGAGCAGACACTTCACCGTGATCCGCCCGTGTCATGCCCTCGCCAATTGCAGACTTCATGAGTCGCGAAAGCGACGGCAAGATATTAATCGGCGGATAGATCTGCTTGTTGTTGAGTGCTCTGTCAATGAAAATTTGACCTTCAGTAATGTAGCCTGTCAAGTCTGGGATGGGATGTGTAATGTCGTCGTTCGGCATTGTCAGAATGGGAATCTGGGTGATAGAGCCATTGCGGCCCTCCACTCTACCAGCACGCTCATAAATGGTCGAGAGATCTGTGTACATGTATCCAGGGTACCCTCTGCGACCTGGAACTTCCTCACGAGCAGCGGACACTTCTCGCAAAGCATCTGCGTAAGATGACATGTCTGTCAGAATGACGAGAACGTGCTTCTCCGTTTGGTAGGCATAGTACTCCGCAGTGGTGAGCGCCAGTCTCGGTGTGATAATTCTTTCGATTGTTGGGTCATTTGCCAAGTTCAAGAATAGGGTGACCTTCTCCAAAGAACCGTTTTCCTCGAAATCTTGTTTGAAGAATCTCGCAGTCTCCATATTGACACCCATTGCAGCAAATACTATCGAAAAGTTGTCTTCGTGGTCATCTTGGACACCTTTGTTGGTGCCGCCATGAGACTGAGTGTGCGAATTTCCTCCCTTGTTTACGAGACCAGCCTGACGGCAAATTTGTGCGGCGATCTGGTTGTGGGGCAGTCCAGATGAACTGAACAAAGGGATCTTCTGACCACGAGCGATCGAGTTGTTTACGTCGATAGAGGATATACCAGTCTGAATCATCTCTTCTGGGTAAACACGGGAATAGGGGTTAATGGGAGAACCGTTGATGTCAAGATAGTCTTCAGCGAAAACTTTGGGGCCGTTATCGATTGGGGCTCCAGAGCCGTTGAAGACACGACCAAGCATGTCTTCAGACACAGGAATACGCAGAGATGATCCAGTGAATTCAACATTGGTCTTATCTGTTGTGATTCCACTCGTACCTTCAAATACCTAGAGTTAGCTGGTGTCAGCGCCATATGAGGTTAGATATACCTGTACGATCGCCTTGGATCCCTGGACCTCAAGGATCTGTCCCTGGCGCTTGGTGCCATCGTTCAAGGTGAGACTGACAATCTCGTTGTAGCGCGGGAATTTGACATTGTCCAGCACCACGAGGGGTCCATTGACACCGGTGATGGTGTTGTACTGAATGCGAGGCTCTACACTGTAGTCGCGGAGCGCAGCTGCCTTGTTGATGTCGAAAAGGGATTGACCCATAATCGAACTCGCCTTTAGACGCTACGAGTGGACCTGCAGAAGGGAGCAGCAAGCACCTTTCTGTGTAGGGATGGAGGATGAGGTTGGTCGTCGTCTGTGCGAGTTGCTGCTGCTGCATCATCATCCCAGCACGTGTTTCCCGACGCGCCAAATTCAGCGCGAGGCAGACTGCGGTAGCTGGACAAGAGCTGCTCCGTACTAGTCTGTAGACTTCCACACGAACACAAGGCCTGGGCCGACCAGGACACGGTGCACAGCTTTCAAGAGCTGCGGGCTTCCCCAATCGGATCCCTCATCTAGAGCAGACCGCCGTAACATCCGCGGTCGCCGCCCAGCGCTTTCATCTGCGACGCGCAATCAATTCGGCGCTGCAGAAGTAAGGCCGCCAGCTTCTTGCACAGTCCGGCTTGTCGAGCATGCAGGAAGATACAGAGCCGGCAAGAGCGGCGGCAGAAGACGCCGCTGTCGCCGCTGGGCCCGTCAGTGTTTCCTCGAGCCTGGACAATCCTGCGGCGACCTCTACCGAGCGCTTGCAAGACGACCAAGCGATAGGGTCTACCATCATATCAGTCGTCGATGCTGCCACCGAGGCCAGAAGCAATGCAATCGACGCTATGGATGACTTAGCAACACCGGAAGTCCAAAAGACTGATAGTCAGAGCGAAGTCGACGGGCCTGTGCCCAATAGCTCAGTGCCCGCACTTCACCTGCCAGACCAAGAACAAGCCAACGGCACCGCACAATCTGATTCGAGTACCCGGCCCTCTCCTTCCAAGCTGGTTCTTAAGAGTACGATAAGCTCAAGTTCTGTTTTCTTCTTGAAAAAGACTCTCCAGGCGATAGGCACGTCTCGAGAAAGCAAAAAGAGCTCCACCTTGCGCGAGACGGTAGGCAAGGCTATCGAGGCTGTCGATAATGCATCCACAAAAGCCATCCACCCGAATACAATCCTGGAACCGCTGAAGTTGGCCTGTCAGACTCGGAATAGTCAATTGGTCGTGCAAGCTTTGGATTGCATGAGTAAGCTCATTGCCATCTCGTTCTTCGATGTGCCATCCATGGCAGACAACACGCCTTTACAACCCGACGCTATTGTGCCTTCTCAAAGGGCTGATGAACCCAAAACACCCATCATCGAGCGCGTCATTGACACCATATGCGATTGCTTCGATGGTGAAGGAACCGATGTCAACATTCAATTGCAAATTGTCAAAGCCTTGTTGTCTGCAGTATCGGACGAAAATGATTCGACAATGTTGCATCAATCGAATCTTTTGAAAGCAATACGCCAGACCTATAACATTTTCTTACTCAGCAAGAGCGCCTCCACACAGAGTATCGCCCAAGGTACACTGGAACAGATGATCAACGCGGTATTCCTCAGGACAATAGTACGGAACAACTTCATGCAGGGAACGCCAGGGGCTTCCGCAGCGGCCTTAATTCGGTCGCCTAGTGCTAACCCCATCAATCTTGAGGCCGCGCTAAACTCAAATGCTCGACCTGACGTACAGAAGGTAACTCTAGATTCCTTTGCGCGGCGCCAGAGCTACGATGGCATTCCCGATGCCGCTACCGAGGCCGACGTGCTCCTATCTCCCGAAGAGATCCTCGTCAAAGATGCGTTCCTGGTTTTTCGCAGCATGTGCAAATTGTCGACGAAGAACCTCGCAGTAGACAGCGCCAATGATCCAAAATCCCACCAAGTAAGATCCAAGCTGCTGTCCCTGCACATGATTTGCGTCATTCTACAGAACCACATCACCTTGTTCACATCGCCAAGATGCGTAATCCGGTCTCTTGCTGCTTCTCAGGGTGTACAATTTATGCAGGCGACAAAACAGTATCTCTGCCACGCCCTATCTCGAAATGCCGTTTCGCACATCGCTCAGGTATTCGATGTTTCGTGCGAAATTTTCTGGACCATTTTGAGCTCTCTCAGAGGTCAATTGAAGAAGGAGATTGAGGTCTTCATGTCTGAGATCTACTTCCCAATCCTGGAGATGAAGACCAGCTCTTTTCAGCAAAAGTTCACTTTCTTGGAAATTCTTGGCAGATTGTGCGTCGATCCCCGAGCCCTGGTAGAGCTGTATCTCAATTATGACTGTGACAGCGGTGCGGCGGAGAACATCTACGAAAGGTTCGTCTCCTCATGTGGAAGTCCTGGCTAATCTCAGAATCTTAAATAACTTGACGAAACTTGCATCACTATCGTCGCAACTGACGGCAGCACAACAATGGCAACAAGATCGGTTGCCGATAGAGCACATGAGTCCTGCGACAGAGCTGGACCATCGCCGTACACCATCTTTGTCAATAAAATCAAAATCAATCAGTCAATCGACCACAGCAGAAGGCATTGCAATGCCACAAGAGTACCGTCTCGCTCAACTTTCACTGCGCTGTATACTCGATCTCCTCAAGTCACTTGTCAGTTGGTGCGAGCAAGGGGTAGCATTGGCTAAGGAACAGCCCCTATCACGTTCGGATACGCCAGATCGGCATTCAGAGGAGGGACTCTCGCGACGGAACACGTCAGTGCGATCGACCTTCCCTAATGAAGGCGATGCAGTCTCTCGCATCGGCCAGCCTGTAGCAGGTGCTCTCTCAATTGAAGATGACCCAACTCAATTTGAGACACTGAAGCACCGCAAAACTGCTATCACAGATGCTATCAAGCTGTTTAATGCTAAGCCCAAAAAGGGCATTGCCGCGCTTCTCCGTCAGGGATTGCTCAAGTCGATGGATTCTCGGGATGTCGCCCAGTTTTTGCTCGAGACCGAAGGTCTCAATAAGGCCACTATCGGTGAGTTCCTCGGGGAAGGTGACCCGGAAAATGTGAGCATAATGCATGATTTTGTGGATCAATTGGAATTTACGGGCAAAGATTTTGTCGAAGCGCTCAGACGCTTCCTTCAGACGTTTCGACTTCCGGGCGAGTCGCAAAAGATCGACCGCTTCATGCTCAAATTTGCGGATCGTTACTGCCAAGGTAATCCGGAGGCATTTGCGAATGCTGATACGGCCTACGTTCTTGCTTACTCGGTTATTATGTTGAATACGGATGCACACAATTCAAATGTTGCCAAGAACAGGAGGATGACCAAAGCAGAATTCCTCCGCAACAACTCGGGTATCGATGATGGCAAGGACCTAGATGCTACCATGTTGGAAAAGATATTCGATGAGATTCAAAACCATGAGATCGTTCTAAAGGAAGAACAAGACGCAGCCCTGTTGCAGACCACTGCAAACGGCAATGCCCAGGGCTTCAATCTCTCTACCGCACTTGCGACTGTCGGTAGAGATTTGCAGCGAGAAGCCTATGTTGCGGCCTCTCAAGAGATGGCAAGCAAATCCGAGGCGCGCTTTCGCAATTTGCTCAAATCACAGAAGAAATCGACGGTCAGCACTGCCAGCGCAAAGTATTACAGTGCATCTCATTTTGAGCACGTCGGTCCGATGTTCGAAGTGGTCTGGATGCCACTACTTGCAAGTCTTTCTGGGCCCCTCCAGAGCTCTGAGGACAAAGACATCGTCAATGCTTGCTTGACAGCCTTCAGGCACGCCATCCGCATTGTCTGTCTCTTCGACTTGGATCTACCCCGCAGTGCTTTCGTGCGCACTCTAGCATGGTTCACCTCCCTCAGCAACTTGTCGGAAATGAAGCCAAAACATGTGTCAGGCATCAAAAGCCTACTGGAAGTTGCTTTGTGCGAGGGAAACGGACTCAAAGATTCGTGGAAGGAAGTTCTCACGTGTATAAGCCAGCTCGAACGCTTGCAACTCATTTGCGAAGGCGTCGAGCAAGACACGATGCCTGAAGTGAGCCGTGTGTCTCAAGTTCGTCGGTCTACCGATACACTACGATCGCAAAGCTCATTTCAAGCAAATCGACCCCCGAAACGTCCGACAAATATCTCTCAATTTGTCCTGCAAGAAGTAGCGGCGAGTGATCTCATGGTTGTGGTGGATCGCATCTTTGCCCAAAGTGCGAATTTGAGCGGCGCAGCCATTGTTCACTTTGTACGAGCTCTGAGCGCTGTATCGTCGGAGGAAATCTTATCGTCTGCCTACACCGAGCAGCCGCGGATGTACAGTCTTCAAAAGGTGGTCGAAGTGTCTTACTACAATATGCGGCGAATCAGGTTCGAATGGTCCAACATCTGGCAAGTTCTTGGTGAACATTTCAACGAGGCCGGGTGCAATGCCAACCAGACGATATCATTCTTCGCGGTCGACGCTCTGCGTCAACTCGCTTCACGTTTCCTCGAAATTGATGAGCTTCCTCATTTCAAGTTTCAGAAGGACTTCCTCAGGCCTTTCGAGTTCATCTTCGCGAGAAACCCAGCGTTAGAGGTCAAAGAAATGATCCTGCAATGCATCAACCAGATGATTCAAGCACGCGCTGACAACATCAAGTCGGGCTGGCAAACCATGTTCGGCGTCTTCACGTACGCCGCCTCGGAAAGTTCTGAGGCCAGTGTGAATATGGCTTTTGAGAATGTGAAGAATATCTGCCGCGAAAAGCTGCCCGTCATTCTTTCTCAAGGCAGTTTCCCAAGCCTTGTCTCTTGCTTGACGGTTTTTGCCAAAAACCGGCAGCATCAACGTACCAGTTTGCAAGCACTCGATTGCCTGCGAAACACGGAGCGATCATTGCTCATTTCACCAGATGCTCGCGCTGTCGGAGGGCTTGACTCAAATACTGACGAGCGTCTAGTCCGGCATTGGTTTCCCATTCTCTATGGGTTCCACGATATCCTGATGACTGGTGAAGACATGGAAGTCCGTTCGCGTGCCTTACAGTACCTGTTTGAAGCCCTCACAGAGCACGGATTTTCCTTTACACCCGAATTCTGGGACATCATCTGCAGACAGCTTCTCTTCCCAATCTTCTTCGTTCTCAAACCCGAAAAGACTAAGTTGAAGGCCGAGGGTAACGAAGATTTGTCAATTTGGCTGTCGTCCACCATGGTGGAAGCACTACGCAACCTGGTCCAACTGTACACGACTTTCTCCGCACAGCTTGAGCACATGCTTGGTGGCTTCTTGGATCTCTTGTCTTCATGCATCTGCCAAGAGAATGACACACTCGCACGAATAGGGAGTGCTTGCTTGCAGCAGCTCATTATTGAGAATGCTGAACATTTTACACCAAGTCATTGGGCACGAATAAGCAGCACTCTTGAGCAACTGTTCCGCACAACAACTGCTACACAGCTTTTCCAGCAAGGTCGCAATGTTGCTGGTATCAAGGAAAGGAAACCGGCCTTGTCAACAGTCAACAGCTCAGCAAGTCTCGATGATGCAATAGACGGCACGCTTGGCGACGCAGCCTCAATGATGGATGCAATGACAGCGACATCTGGCCGTGCATCATATGATCCAGATCTTGTCGTCCCTGCTAGTAAGAAACGCGAATTCAAAGCTCTGATTGTCAAGTGCGTTCTGCAATTATTGTTGATTGAAGCTGTATCGGAGCTTCTTAATAGGAACGAGAAGGTCTTCAGCGCGATGCCCCGCCAACACGTCTTCGAGATTCTGGATCTGCTGCGAGATAGCTGGCAATTCGCGCGCAGCTTCAATGCCGATAGAGAATTGCGCTTGTCACTTTGGAAAGCGGGTTTCATGAAGCAGCTTCCTAACCTGCTACGTCAAGAAGTGGCAAGCGCATCCGGCTACATCAACATACTACTGAAGCTTCTGATGAGTGATACTGTGGGGAAAGACGTGCAGGAGTCGCAAGTCGTGATACAACGATTCTTGGTGTAAGACCCTTCGAGCGCTTGGCCTTTGCTAACTTCAGGATATCCCGGCAACTCTTGGGCGACTTTGCCCGTTTGGACCTAGATGCCCATGCTAGGAATGTCAATGCATGGCGGCCTTTGATCTGTGATCTATTCAGAGGCTATCAAAGCCTCCCATCCGGGCTCTTCAGAAGGCACCTTGACATTTTCTACAATTATGCGACAGAAATCATCGGCGGGTTACCGCTCGAAGGCGACTTGCAGGCTTGCATGGAGGCTTTCTTGAAGCGCGTCGGCGAGGATGTGCTGTTTGTCAAAGGGACTGCAGCAGGTGTGGATGTTAATCTGCGCAGCGAAGTCAATGAGAAGTCGTAGAGCAGCCCACACAGAACTCATCTGGTTGCACTCGGGTCTTCGGAGTATTGAGCGTGAGATATTTCTGGAGGAGCATCAGATTACCCAGGTAGGCTTATGTCATGCGAAATGTCAATGAGCCAGCGGCCTAGCACTGACAAGCAGCAAGAACTCCTGTCAGTATAGCCTCACCTTCGCGAACTTCAATACAAACCTCGCTTAGATGTCTGAGGCGATTCGCAATACCTTCCAAAGATGTGAACATGAGAAGCGCAAGGCTTTGATTACCTTCACCACTGCCGGATACCCAACTCCTGAGCTGACACCGGAAATCATGCTCAGCATGCAGAAAGGTGGCTCAGATATCATCGAGCTTGGTCTCCCTTTCACCGATGCCTTGGCTGATGGCCCAACGATTGTCCGTGCCAACACAGTTGCCTTGCGACAGGGAGTCACATTACACACATACCTTGACATGGTACGCGAAGCCCGCAAGATTGGAGTCACTGTGCCAATAATCTTGATGGGCTACTACAATCCAGTGCTCATGTATGGGGAGGAGCTTTTGATACAGAAATGCAAGGAAGTTGGAGTGAATGGATTCATTCTCGTTGATTTGCCTCCAAGCGAAGCTGTCGCGTTCCGTGGGTTGTGCACATCTCACGGCTTATCCTATGTTCCCCTTATCTCGCCAGCAACGACTGAGAAGCGCATAGAGCTGCTCAGTAAAATTGCGGATTCTTTCATCTACGTTGTTTCGAAGATGGGAACCACAGGGTCCGATGCGGCTGGCTCTGTCAACACATCTCTCCCTAGTATCATTGGAAAGATCCGCAAGTACACTGAACGAACACCCTTGGCCGTTGGATTCGGTGTCAGTACTCGTGAGCACTTTATAAGTGTTTCTCAGGTTGCAGACGCCGTGGTCATCGGCTCAGGCATCATCAACACCATCGATTGCTCGACCAGCGATCCAGCTGCAGCTGTCAAAAAGTATTGCATGGAAGTGGCTGGCCAGGACGAGCTCGCCATCGATAAGCGCGAAATTGGCCTTGTGGAGACTTTTGGAGCCGCATTGAACACTATGGATGCAACACCGAGCGCCGTCATCACAGACAAGGACGTTGTTGGCGATGACTTGGCTAAGTTGGGTGATCAGTTTGCCGCTCTCGGTGGCAACCTGCCCTCAAACAAGGCATCGAAAGAAGAACCAGCGGTGGTCCCCGGGCGATTTGGCGAATTTGGAGGCCAGTACGTCCCCGAATCACTAGTAGATTGTCTTGCCGAACTGGACGCTGAATGGCAGAAGGCTCAAGCGGATCCTGCCTTCTGGGCAGAGTTCAGGTCCTACTACCCGTATATGTCGCGGCCCTCGAGCCTGCAGTTCGCCGATAGACTGACTCAACATGTTGGCGGAGCCAAAATATGGCTCAAGCGTGAAGATCTGAACCATACTGGCTCGCATAAGATCAACAATGCTCTAGGGCAAGCACTGCTCGCAATGAGATTGGGCAAGACAGAACTGATTGCCGAAACTGGAGCTGGCCAACATGGTGTTGCCACCGCTACCGTTGCAGCCAAATTCGGACTCAAATGCACCGTTTACATGGGCGCCGAGGATGTGCGCAGACAAGCATTGAATGTCTTCAGGATGAAGCTGCTCGGTGCCAAAGTCATTGCAGTGGAAGCGGGAACTCGCACGTTGAGAGATGCTGTCAACGAAGCAATGCGGGCATGGGTTACCAATTTGACTGATGTCCATTATATCATTGGCTCTGCCATTGGACCGCACCCCTTTCCCACTCTAGTCAGAACTTTCCAAAGCGTCATCGGCCAAGAGACTAAGGAGCAAATGCAGGCTCTTGCCGGCAAGTTGCCGGACGCTGTTGTTGCCTGCGTCGGCGGTGGCTCCAATTCCACTGGCATGTTCTTCCCCTTTTCTCAAGATCCTAGTGTAAGGCTGATTGGTATTGAGGCTGGTGGCGATGGCATTGAGACGGCAAGACACTCTGCGACCCTAACTCACGGCTCAAAGGGAGTCTTCCATGGCGTGCGAACTTATATTTTGCAGGACAAGGAGGGTCAAATTCTGGATACACATTCGATTTCTGCCGGCCTCGATTACCCCGGCGTCGGCCCGGAACTGGCGTCTTGGAAAGATCAAAATCGCGCAGAGTTCAGCGCTTGTGATGATGCACAAGCTCTGGAGGGATTCAAGATTCTTTCTCAGGTCGAGGGCATTATTCCAGCACTTGAGACTGCGCACGCTGTTTGGGGTGCGATGAACCTTGCCAAGACCATGGAGAAAGACCAAGATATTGTCATCTGTTTAAGTGGACGCGGAGACAAAGATGGTGAGTTTCAAATTTTTCTTGAGTATGCTAATGATAAAAAGTGCAATCTGTTGCAGAAGAGCTTCCTCGGCTAGGGCCCAAGATTGGATGGGATCTTAGATTCTAGTAGTCAATTCGAGACGCTACGAAACGTATTCTAGTGTTCCGACTGACTGTGCTTCCGCTTCGTGATTTTACCAGTGTCCTTATTAGTGTTCCTCGCTGCCGACTTAGGTCCCCAATTCTCTGTTGGATTCAGAGGAAATCTAGTGATCTTTTCCTTTCTCACAGCCTTAGCCTCCGGATGCATGTCAAAATTAATGGGCTGCCGAGGTTCGCGTCGGGAGAGAATACTTGCGCCAGGCGTATTAGGTTGAATGGAAATCTCACGAATGGGGTGCAACTTGATCCAGGCTCGCATCACATCCCATAGGAACTCACCGGGAGCATCTGTCTTAAGAGCCCCTGGACCGGTGTGACTTTCCGAGACTTTGTAACCAGCATTCAAGAGGGCAGACTTGAACACTGCTTGCGTCGGCAACTGGGTATGCAAGACTTTGCTCATTCGAGACAACGACCAGTAGTGAGGAGTTGCCAATTCTTCGCGGGCCAGTGTGAGCATGCCCTTGATACGTGGCAATGTAGCGATTGCTGATTTGTCCTTGCCTTCCTCTTCTTTGACAAGTGACAGGATCGAATCGACAAACTCGGGGTCGTGCAACAAGCCGCCATACATAGGGCCTCCCAGATGCA